CCACTTGAGAGTCGAGTTCCTTGGCGTTCTCCGAACCTGTAACCATGGAGCTCAAGCAATAGCCAACCCAAGCAGCGTCCTTGGCGCTACCCTGAACACTGTGTCAGATCGCAGCACCAAGGCATGTGCTTGGCACGCGCAGACAGGGCGGCTCCGGCGCACAGCTCGAGTGTGCAAGAAAGGGAACGACCATGAAGGTCTGCATAGAAGGCTTTAGTGATTTCTGCCCAATCTTTATGTATGGATACATCACATGTTTTCTACAGGGGTCCACAGTACTACTGCCAAAGGTGGGGGCTTCTACTTCACTGAACAACTTAAGCATTCGGCATGTGTGAGGTGGGGCTAAAGGAAATAATCGTTGATATATCTAATGGAAAAGTCTGAAAGGGATATATATTGCTTAGAAGATCAGAAGCATAACCAACAAAATGCTAACCATGCCTGGTTGCAGATGGTGTCGGTCAAAAACTGCATCAAAGTTCCCGACTCATGCTCTTGCTGTTCCACTTCAAGGTCGAGTGAATCGGAATATGCACATACACTGCGGAGCGCTGGAGTTCAAGGAAGTTTTCACCAACGACACATGAACATCCTCTGGCATGGGTCTCACAAATGCCCTCTGTGCCTTAGACCTGTTGACTCTTGCCAATCACAGCAACTAAATCGACAAACACGGTCAGGACCGTTGTCTGGTTTGTGAGCCAGCGACCAGCGAGCTTGGTAAGCTCGTGCTTCGAAAACGGCCAAGCTCGGATACTGAACCGCTTAGAGCTCAAGCCAATGTGGTTCAAAGCGAGATTAGCTGCCTGCTGGCAACAAGTTTAAACACGGTCCGAAAAATCCATGATCTCGTTTTCAAACACTCTTCAAAGGCCAGGCTCCATCATTCCTGAAGCCAGGAGAGCCCTGCAGGCCAGATGGCATGGCAGCAACACTCTTGATGGTAAAAGGCCCCTCATATCAGAGTTTTACTTTTCCTCTACACTCATCTCTCATTCGCCGACCCCTATGGGGCTCGGCGCTCATGACCGGGCGTAATGTGGGCGCTGACACTTCCAAACTGCGGCATTCGTGCGATGTTGTGGTGCTTGTGCTCGAAGAATATGCTGTGATGAAGTGGTCATCGGCTCTGATTGCCGCCCATGGCGTGACAACGTTGTCATTGTTCGTCGTCGTAAAACGCTCTTAGTTTCCGCTTTGGCCATCTGTCAATCCAATGTGTTTTGTTGGCAACTCCGGCTCGATTTGAATCTATACTAGTAGGTGATAGATGATGATGTCAGCATTATGTTCTTATCACGTTGTTTGTTGTTTTTATTTTCGCTTTGCTCTTGCCGTGACCTTTGCTACTACTGTCGTGTCGGTATTCGTCTGTGTTGAGATGTTGGTTTCACGACATTCTCGGGCGACAGTGCTTGCGAATTTTGTTCGGAAGACAGCTTCGTGTCGATTTCATCCAAGATCTCAGGGGCACACCTATCACGTCATTGATTTTTTAGAGGGTTATGCAAGTTGTGGATCGGTAGTCCTTTACCGGCTAGGATGTTACGCGTACTCCAAAGCCGCAAATGTAGACCGCGTATATGATCCCAGACACCATGTTGCAACTTGAAAGCTTGGCCGGGTGACACGCGCCGAAGAGGAGTCAGCTCAGTTAAGTTCACTCACGCTTGCGTCCTGGGCTGGCGGCTTAATGGAGGTTTTGGGCAGGTCTGATTAGCAGGTTTTGATGACCACAATCTCTACAGTGAACGGCAGCATGCAATGAGAGTCACACAACAACCGACCGGTCTTGGCTACAGATCATGCTACAGAGCAGAACTGTTAAGTTCTCTCCCTTTTTTTCGCCGGGGCATGAGGGGTTGTTGAAGCCCCTCGGCCTTGAAAGCCCCCCCGATGTTCGTGGGGCTTTTGGAGGAGCGTGAAAAGTTGGAATGTTTCCCCCTGTGTAAGGAGAACCTCTTTCTCTTCGCCAGGGTTCTCCTCTCTGTCTCTCTCTCTTCTGGGTGAGAGGGAGGGGCAGCGTTCAGGCCCCTACCTCGTGCGGTCCGCACACCCGCGGCTCTTGGCAGGCTATCTTTGCTTTGCTTTGCTCCGGGGTGTGGTCCGCAAGCAGTCCTTCCATCCAGCATATTGTCCGGATCCGGATGGGCTTGCTCTCTCTCTCCCTCTCCCTCTGCCCCTCTCCCCGTCTCCCCCCCGTCTCGCCCCCGTCTCTCCCCGTCTCCCCCCGTCTCCCTCCCCGTCTCCCCCTCAGGTCGCGGCAGCGTTCAGGCCACTCCCCGTGCGGACACGCGCACCCGCGGTTTCACGGGATGTCCATTGTTCCCCCTGCAGCTTCAAAGACGGGGGCTCGGCTCTACACGGGAAACAAAAGAGAAGGCTGCCTGCGCGTGTTGACAGGTTTCGCCGAGGCACGAAAAGGGAAGGCCTGCTCGTGTGTCGAGCAAGTAAACCATCTCTCAAGCAACAACAGCAAAGCAGCATTCAAAACCCCATCCCCCAATCTGCAGGCCTTCTGGGGGTCGAAGGAAGAGCTTGCATTCGTTTCCCCGTTGTTTTAAGCAAGGACTACCGTTGGACTACGAGGCTTGATTGAAATGAATTACGGCCTTCTGTTCCCCCCGAATTCCCAACATTGTTTCACAACGGTGCGTTGAAAAGAACCAGGATTACAGGCCAAGGCGGGCCTAAGTTGAGTGAGCTTACCTGAGAAGGGTTGAAAGGAAGATCCCCCCAACTCCTGTTTAAAGAGTTCGCACCTAGGTTACAGACATCCTTTGCGGAATTGATTAGGTCAAACATGGACAAATGCATGCATACAATGAGACAAAATCTCCCCCACAAGCACTTCAGCTAAGTCAACTGAAAGCATAAAAAAAAGGGTCCCCAAAAAACACCGGAAAGCATAGGGAGATTTTCCTCACAGCGCTCACGACTGCTCAGTACCGGAACCTGTCGAGTCCGTTGCCCTCCTTCTCGAGGCCATGTAGCTGGCTTTGCACTCGCCGTACTTGCCACGCAAGGCTGGGAGTGATGCACTGGGTTGCGTTCCTCCCCCTCTTGTCCACCCTCGGCGTAACGACCGATTTCGCACTCGGCCCCCCCCCATCATCGCCATCTCGAAGTGCGAGGTTTGCCAGGTTCTCGGCCGTGCCACTGTCACGATCACGACGTTGAAAAAGTCCTCCGCCAGTTCGCTGGTAGTCAGTGCGAAGCTTGTGCTTCCCCACCACAAGGAGGATGGTCCCCCTGTCTTCGAGGAAGCAAGTGCCGAGGTCCTTGCAATCTTGAGTTCGCGCTCTTAGTCGTAGCACTGCAAACTTGCCGGTCGCGAGTATTGCGTCGCTCCCCCGGCTCGCTAGATTTACTTTTGACCGGAGCTCGGGCGATCCGGTCTCAAAGGCACAGTTCGAGACCTTCACCCCCGAAGCCCCCCCTCGAGCAGACGTTCAACGGAATGTTCTTGGAGACGCTGTAGGCTCCTTGAGCCAAACTGGCTAGTCACTCTCTCTCTCTCTCTCTCTCTTCTTCAGCAGGGCGTGGGAGGCGTGCGAGGCCCCCCGGCCGCTTGGGCCCCCCATGTGTTATGGGGCGTTTGGAAAGGGCGTGAGATTGACAACGAGCCCCCTTGACAATGAGACGGTTTACTAGTTACAGTGTTTGTCGGTCAGGGTTTCTCAGTTGCGTGGCAGACACATGCACGGCGCAACTCTCTCCCTCTCTCTCTCGCTCTCGCTCTCGCTCTCGCTCTCGCTCTCGCTCTCGCTCTCGCTCTCTCTCTCTCTCTCTCTCTCTCTCTCTCTCTCTCTCTCTTCTTCTGCAGGGCTTAAGGGGCTTGTCAGGCCCCCCAGCCTCGTGGGCCCCCCGTTTGTTACGGGGCTTTCGGTAGGGCGTGAAATTTCACGGGTTCCCCTAGGTTCTTTCAAGCAAGTGTATTGTACTATAAAACACCTAGGATCGCCCACGTTTCTTGACACATGCAACCAACTCCACTCGTGGGTATCGGACAGGCAAGAAGGTCGAAGCAGTATACAAAGAGACATAGAAGTATGATATTGTGTCCCCCACTGTGAGTCGGCACTAATTCTTATCTTTCGCCCGAAGCTGTAGGCACTCTACGTGTGCACTGGTGCTTCGGATCTCGGTTCCCCCAACTTGTTTTTGTATGCCAAATAATTAGTAAGCAATAATCAAGACAATGTTGAGGGTCCGGAGTTCAGCACTTTCAAGCACTGACTGTGTGTTTCTGCTGCATGTACCGGGGTTACAGCAGGGGGCATGGCGGTCACATCCTAGCAATGCCAACGAAGCTACGGATGTTGACTGGATGGGTTCACAGACGTGTGAACCTGTACCTGCGAAGAGTTGCTCATGGGTCACATGTCTGGCAGCTTGGGGACTCAACCGTGATTGCAACAGTCATGTTTGTGGTCATTTCTATTTGCAAGTCTGATATTCTGCACTGAGCCTTGAGATTCGTAATCAAGTTAGATACTGCAACATCTAGACATAACTAGAATGCTCAGAGCAAAAAAGAAGGAGTCAAGTGTCCGACTGCCATCTGGATCACGACATCCATGCAGTGTGTGTGTGTGTGAAACGTGACCGCAGGTAACGGGTGCTCACAGAAAAACGAAATCAGTACATCAGGATGTACAGATTGAGACCGCGGCCGATTGTTGCATTGCTCTTGTTCGGCATGTCTTGAACGAATGCCTGACGAATGAGAACAACTCCATAGCTAAGTGCCAGTCATAGTCCTTGGTAGCGGCTTGAAAGACACGGCAGAACTTTTTCCCGAGGCTCCGCCACGTCGGGGCGAGTGGATGCTACCGGGACCCTGGATAACGGCCACCCTGCATGGGTTCTGACCAACTCCACGGGCACGACGGGAATTGGAGCTTGACCTCCTCTGCTGCATGTCGATGTACAAAGTGCCGGTCGCCCTCCTTGATGCCCACTGAGGTAACATGCCTGGCTCGGCCTGGCAATCTCTACAGCTTGAAGATGTCCACGAAGAGAGAAACCACGCCGACACAGACGACCATGTGAAGCACCTGCGACGCACGGGAAATCTCATCTTGCACGGCTAGAGCCGCCCACGGCCTGGACGAGGCTTCCGTACTTGGTGAAGTCGCCAAACGTATAGCCACCATCCTTCATGACCTCGGCTCGGGGTACCTGGGGCCTGTTTGGAGCCCGATGAGCTCAGTCAGCTCCCTGGCATCGGCTTCCCTGCAAAAGCATCCGGCTCAGGTCGCACGCGGCCTTCATGCAACCGTGCTACCATAAGGTTGGTCTGGTAGCCCAGGGGTGACATGAAGCAACTGCCGGCTGCGAAGACCATCACGTGCGAGAGCGCCTCCGGGCTCACACTAGTTCGTGGAAAAAAAGAGAGCTTCAGTTTCGAATGAGGCAGGAAGCTGCCATTTTGCCATGGCTAAGCCTTTGGACCTGTAGGCTGCACTAAATCCAACATCTTGTCATGTATCCTGTGCATACAGGCCAAAGCGCCTGCGTCTCTCTAGAGATCGCAGGTTAGCCTGTATGTAGGCATCAAGCATACTGTCCGCATGTCGCCATGCATAGTTCCAAGTTCTCTCTCTGTGTCTATATATTTCTGAGTTATTGGTTCGTACTGTACGATTAATACATGTACCTTATATATGTATATATATATATATACACATATATATATATATATATATGTACGTATGTATACGTGTATGAGGATGTGTGTGTATATTGTATATGTACCTGTACATGTGGATGTGTGTGTGCATGTGTGATGCATGTATTTCTGTATGTGGTGTGTGTGTGTGTGACATCTATGCGTGCATGGCTCGTTTTGAGCATGCAGACCTTCCACATGCACACAGACAGACAGAAACACCTTTCAAGTCAGAGATTTCTACCTGTGTGGACCTATGGTCTTAGGTACCTACAAACACAATGAGCACATGCATACTTCTTCACAGGATTACCGGCAAAGGTGTGCAGCAAGGCTTCGTGGAGGCAACTTATCATCTGTCCATGTCTTACGCTACAAGTGTAACAGAATGAACATGCGGACGGCTTGGCAATGCTCTTTGGTTCTTTCTTTCTGTCTTTCGTTTCTTCGTTGTCCCAGAAGGGACACAGCCTCCTACGAACTGCGCTCCCAGCTGTTGTGCACACATTACGTGGAGCCATTGCGATGCTGAGCGGGCCAGGCGCGTTCTTGGAACCGTACTCAGCTCTGGCAAATTATACGCAAAGACGTATAGGGGAAAAAGTAAACACGAATGCCCAAGTCCAATGTCGCAGTCGGAAGCTGCCGCAAGAGGAAACGTCCGAACTTGAACATGGCGAAAATTGCAGAAAGCTCAGCAAACCTTGACGCTGGTCTGTTGGCACTCGACATCGTCGGCGCTGCAAGTGCTGCGAGCCATCGTTGCCAGCATAGGGCCAATAATGGCCTAAAAGCTGCATGCATGTTGCAAAAGCTCTAGAAAGTGCGTTCAAGGTACAGACGGGCAAGTGGGTCACTGCGCTTGCCAAGAATTGTTCACAGTGCTTCTGCATGAGGCAGCACCCCAATCTTTGCATGCAGCGACTACTTCAAGTGGTCTTGCTGGTCTACGCAAGAGCTTCTGGGAGAACTTGGCGTGTCCGTTTGTCGGTCCAATGAATGCAGACACAAGGGGCAACAGTTGCGCTGTTGTTCATGAACAGTGACAAGGATGCCGCCAACAAATAGACGGCAGTTCGCAGTCCGACGGTTCCAAAGGGCGTCGCCATCGCCGTCATCTGCTTGGCAGCAAACCTGAGTCTGTCTCGCGAGAGACGAGAGCCTCGGCGAGGGCGAGGGAACTCCTTTGGGCCGAGAGGCATCGCGATCCCTGTCGCCTGCAAAGCGAGGGACAGCCCGCCAGCACCAGCTATCGTCAAAAGGACGGGGCCCTTGATGGTCTTGTAGACCTGGGAGGAGTCCCCTTACAGCCTTCGCATAGCAAATGCGAAGTAGTTTGGTCTTTGAATTTTTGCTGGAGCAGGCGGCACTTTGCATGCTGAAGGCATTCGTGAGAACGAGAAGAAGCACCTGGGACTGCAATCAAAATCTTGGGGTGGTGTGGCTGCAGTCCAGGCAAGTTGCAAAAATCCCAGCTCCGGTTGAAAGCCGGACCAATTCCAGTGTCACGGAGAAGATCAGCACGGCCATACCCAAACAAACTGAGATACAACCTTGGCTTCGATGACCGCAAACTGGAGCAGTTGTCCACCACAGCCACAAGTGCAACGAGGCCACGTACTCGATCGTGGACCCCGCCAGTTCGCTCTGGACTGGAGTTTGGCACCATCTTTGTTATGGTAAACTCCTTTGGCGTGCTGAGAACGCATCCCCACTTGAAAGATCTTGAATCAACTCTTGAACTTACGCGCCACAAAGGAATCGAGAGGGCCTCTTCCCAAAGTGCCTCCCCTACATATCGCTCATCTGCTTCCACAAGCAAGATGTCACCAGCTTGCGGTACACCCTCCTGAGACAAGCGAAAGCAATTCAAAGAACCGTTCGATTTACACATCGTGCGGAGAGCATGGGCAAATTCGGCAAATGGCCTTGCCCCGTATGGAGATGGGGCAGCAACCAAGGGCTTGTCTCATGGCCTGGGTGGTGCCCAAGTCACAGTGATTTCGTGATTTCAATGCTGGAACTGGGGTGCATGTCAAGTCGAGCTTCATCATATTCGAAAGGTGCATTCAGAATTCGGCTCCGGCTGGAGAGGCAGGCTTCCTTGGCTTTGGAATGGATGGGCATAGAAATAAACATAGACTGGAGCGGACGCTGCTTTCCGAAACCTGCTTTCGTCAAACAGTGGCACCGTGCTGACGACCCGTTGGTGTGCAAATATGGGTACACAATTTTTCTACATATGCACTGCCCCCAAAGCAGCGGGTACGCAATAACAGGTATGGTTTCTTTCGTTCAGAGCAAAGTCATTGCATCGGGGTTGGAGTAGCCGCGAGGTCAGGCGAGGTTTATGGGCAACTAGGATCCACCCCTCATCTCGAGCGGTATGCGTATTGCTACACAAGATTTGTCGGGCCCCGTCTGTTGAAAGCCAGGCCCATCATAAATTCCAATACATCGGCCTCCTTTTTTGGCTATTCCACAATAAACAGACAGACTAGCCAACCATCATGATCGAATTTCCAACCAAACGCGCACCCAACAGACCCAACCCGGGCCAACTTGACGTGCCTAAACCTGAGGACCTGAGAAGGAGAACTAGCGCCGTCACAGCGCCATTGGTTGGTTGACTGAAATGCAAACATACAAACAGACAGACAGCTTTGATCTTTTCGGATGAAATTTCAGGGCAGAGTTTCGTAAAGGTGGCGCCTCTCCCGCTCCATGCCGAGTGCTCGGAGCTGACACTGCAGGGCTCAGGGCTGGAGACGAGTCTGACGGGACTGGAAAACTTAATGCTCTCTTGTGGGCTAAACAGTATAGCTCCCATGTTGGCATGCTTGGTGGAGAAATCCCAGTGGCTGGGAGCAGCTTTTGGCCGCTTGCTCTAGCTCGGGTCTTTGAAAAGGAAAAGCTCAAAAGAGATCGGGATTAGACTTTCTCTGCAGCGTTGCCAGATGGCCTCGTTGGCTATGCGCAGGCCCCTTATCTGCCGCAGGGAGAGGACACCCACGTCTGCGACAAGACAGCTGAGTCGCGCGTTGTCCTCTAGTGGGACCCTCGGAGCTTGAATGTACTTCACGCCAGGTAGACGCTTCAACTGAAGTCGGGCCAACTCCGGGTCCATGCCCACATAGCCCCCGCCCGGTCGGACAAAGAAGTCGACGGTGTAGAAGTTCTCCAGCGCCGTCTGCTTGTCATCAGTCGGCTCGCTCGGTTCAGCTTGCGCAGCAGAAGATGAAAGGCAAGGCAAGGCCAAGGCCATGAAACCGAAGCTGACGACACAAAGAATGGTGCCACTGTAGGACAAGTCGAAAAATGTCATAGTGTACCTTGGGCGTGCTTCGGTTGGCCCTTCAAGCAGCTTGAGCATGCCACATCCCGATTTGCGAAGATGACTAGAAAGACCAGGCAAACTCGACATGCAGACCGCGAAACCCTGTGCCCAAAGAATGCATTCTGTCAGCTACAACTAGCAAAACGAAATGCAGATCTCGATCTGCACGACCAAAGGGCAACGCCATGTCCACGCTATCGCGAGCAACCAGGCAGTGAGAAGAGCCGATCAGCGTGCAGGATCCACCGAGCTGGGCCTGAGCAGAAATGTGCTGACTTCGAGATGGTGACCTACTGACTCTTTTCAAGCGGATACTGCTTCTGAGACCTTCTCACGTGCGGGAACCATTTCGCCAAGGGTCGGCGAAGGACAGCGGCATCAACAATTTGCCCGGCGCGACGCCCAGGGTCCGAGACCAGGAGACGATGATTGGAATCATCATGGTCACGATGGCCGTGTTGCTCAAGAATGCCTTCGGGCTCGTAGTCACAAGTGCTGCTGGTCTGGGTGCAATCTCTTGACACTGGAGCATCAATGTCGAGGCAAAGCGAGCTATCTCTGGAAGTAGAGGCAATTTCGGGGCGCCGGCTGAAAGGACGGCAACCGGAACGAGCATTCGCAGGAAGGCCTCGTGACATTCAGACTGAAACTATCTCTCCATGTCCATCCCCCGCCGCCCCCGGTGCTGGGCTGCAGCCCCAGGCCAGGTCTCTCTGGGGAAAGCACGACATGAAAGGACTGTGGACTTCCCAGCATCACACCAACGGCAGTGTCCAGCACACCTGGTTGGGACAGGTTTCAGCCCTGGGCCCTGGGCACTCGAGGCGCTCGAGTTCACGGCAAGGTCGAGCCTGTTTCTTCAATCGCTGAAGCAATAGGGAAAAGGAGGGCCAGTCCAATAACGCTGCTGCTGGCAATACCTGCCCAGGCCTGCAACCGATGCAAGCAGAAAGGAAGCAAAGCTCAGCACCTGCGGCAGCCACACGCAGCCTCGTCTCCGGTGATAATACCGAGGAAACCATAGATGCAGCTGAGCCCGAAGAGAATGAGCTCTGCGGACATTCCCTCGACAATGAGATACATGCCCATGACAGCCGAGATGAGCACGAAGTCCACTTTCCATGCCTGTGCACGCGGGGCAAGCACCAAAAGAAGGCTCAGCAACGGGTTGATCTGCCTGTGGAAGTACACTAAAGGAGCAGCTGACCTCACATTTTCTCACACGTGTGCAGACCGACTTCCTGGCACAAGATCACCGCGTGGCTCAGCGCCGAACGAATTCAATGGTGCTACTCTCACGGGCTGTGCGCCCACCTCTGCCGCCGCTATACTGTATTCAACTGTATTCGGGAGCGAGACATTCTCAGTTCAGCCCAGGGGCAGTCTTTGCCATGGACAGTACAGTATCTCTTCTCGAAGGTGAGGTGGGCATCATCACACAGCCTCATACGAGCTTTGCGACTGCCTGGCCTTGTGCTGAACGATCTCTCCCTAACACACGCTGATTTGGGATTGAGCTTCAAACATCACGGCTCCACCTGGCTCTGACTTACAGTTACAGTTTCCGTGGTCCCTGGACTGCCAAGCACGGAGATCTGACGTGCGGTGCTATCAGTTCGCACTGAAGTGCGGTAAGAGCATCAATCTTCAAAAAGAACCGCTACCTTGCCAGGAAGCTCTCCCCCTGACAGCTCAAGATGTTCTTACCTGCTGCTGGTCTTCATCCTTACACCCCGACAACGAGCCAAGTCTTTCTTCGAGAACATCCGCTGAGAGCTTCGAGTGGCTTCGAGGTCTTCAGACCTGCTTCTGACAACTGTCGCCGACTAGTGACTAGCAGCTGATCAACCGAGTGCCCCGGGCTTCTCCGTTGCAATGTGCTGCCTGGTGAGAAGTCCTGATTCCAAAAATTCATGTTGCTTCCTGTTGACTTGCTTTTCTCAAATCCGCACTCTGCCCACCTGCGTCTATTTGTGTTGCTTCCAGTCTCGTGTTGATGATTACGCTCTGGCGACCCTTGCGTTTGCTTTGCGGACATGCTTGTCCCTGAGCCGAAGCACGCCAAAGGGTCCGCCGAACACACAGCTTGGCAGACTTCCGCTGAGGCGATGCCTGAAACGCTCCTGGGCCAGGGTCGCTCACGGCAGAGCCTCTTCTTCTTCCTCTACTGTAGCGAAGAAGAACCTATTTGACAACGGATTCTCAAAACAGACCCAGCGACTTCCCAATGGCGAAGAGATTGCGGTCCGCGAAAAGTGCTACACTTAGTCCCAGGAAAATCGCGAACGCGAAGACGGCCAGTCGCTTCCAGGTGAAAGCCTTGGCACCCAGTGAGTTTTGCGAAGCTTCGGGCTCCAAAAGAGCAGCCTTCTCCTTGGGCCACGGCGGACTTGAAATCCTCAAGAAATGTCGTTTCTGGGTTCAGCTGCTTCACGGCATGGAAAGTGCCAGCTCTTTGCAGCAGCTGGTTGCCCTGTCAGGGGAGCGGCATGGCAATGCAAGCAGCAACTGACGGTCATTCCTGGGTATCACCTGTGCAGTGCAGACACATGTTGCGGGCCTGCCTTCAAAGTCATTTTGGCCTTCTGCGCCGTCCGCTCTTCCGTGTTCCGCAAAGCAGTCGCCAGCAGGACGGCAAAGAGAATAGCCGCGACGGCCATGGCTGGATAGATGACCGCAACCAAGCGCTTGTGACTCAAGGTCTCCACGGCACCTCCACTCCGAGCGCTCTCAAGTCCAAGCCATGACCTACCCTGCAGCAAAGACTATTGCGCATGTCTATGTCGCAGAGTCCTTGTGACCTGTCACTGCATTCAAGCGCCTTCATCGCCAAGTGAGCTGCTAGCAATGTCGGGCAGAGAGCCGCGCCAGGCATGTACCAAAGGTAGCGACGCTCCCAAGCACAGTGTGGGGGCGACGGGTGCACCCCCCACCATCGCTGTTCATGTATGATCTGCAATCGAATTTGGCAAACCCCGCGCTCCTGAGCCTCTCCGCCGAAGGGTTGCAAGAATGATGGTCATCTGGAACCGCTGGGTGTGAGCCGAAGGAAGTCTAGCCTGAGCATGAAGTGGCATGCGATGTCCTTTTGCATGACTCGCTACCATATCTATCTCCCGTCGCCATCGCTCAACGGCGCGATTCGTCGGAACACGCCTGGCGGTGCGTTGTTGGTGGTACAGGCCGACGGCTGGCATGAACAATGGCGTCCAAGCGTCTCAGATACACATCGTGACCAAACCGGCCGAGGTTTTTTACCTTACAGCTTGCCGAAGTGGCACGCGTCTCGGCCGAGGCTCGCACATGACATACTCAGTCCCATATTTTACAGCTTGCACCGATGGCACCGGCTGCCATGAGTGGGGGATAGTGGGGGCAGATCTAAGACGCAGCGGACATCTTCACACATTAGGATCATTAGGGAAACCGTCTGCCTCTGTCGTTGCCAGCATCTGCAGCTCATGTCCTAGCCATGCGCGACCGTTGGTGCGTAAAACCTCTGTAAGAAAGGGCGTGCAACTACCGACTGCCCAGAACAAAAAGCCGGAGCTGGGTCAGATTCCTTGTGGTTGGCAACACCTCCCTGCCCACAGGTCTACTGAAGGCACCTGTGTCGCAGGAGTGACGGTTCGGCCTGGGTTCCGATTCCCTTAAACGCAGGCTAAGAAGTGAGGCCTAGACTTAGACGACTGAAGAGCCCACAAACCACAAATGAACCAGGAATGCGCAGCTGGGAAGCTCCGGGCCTCGGGTCACTGAGGCCCGGGCTCGCTTGGCCTCCTCGGTCTCGGAAGTCACGGCCTCGATGCAGGCATCGCCCTCGAGCTCCTCCAAAGGTACCTCCCAAAACACATTAACGAACGCTGCAGAAGGCATCCGGGCACGGACAGGCGAGGTTTCTAGATTCTAGAGTCTACACGAAACTCTTGCAGTCGACAAGAGTCATCGTCGTATATCGTCGCTGCATCGGAACTAGTCAACTGATGCGTTAAACCCGCAAACATGTCGTCGCCCTAGGTGGTGGTGGCGTTGGTCGTCGTCGTCATCTAAACAAGCATGCAATACACAGGAAAGCATGACAGCACTGGAAGCTGGGATGATCGTGTTAACCGTCTCCTTCGCTCTAGGCCAGACTGGAGACGATTCAACCACCCTGCTGCATGTGCAGCACGACATCTTGACCAAAGAAGAGCTAACATCTGCACGGAACGCAATTTTTTTGCCTCCCAAAAAAAAGGAATGTTGAACGTCTTTGGACATATCGTGAGATTACTCGTCTAACTCATCCAGGCCACGGGGTTTTGTCTGGACTTTTGCATTTCGATAGGCACAAGGGGTGAATATGATGCCTCAAAGACCTCCCGGTGCCCCGCTGAGTGGCGGGCACGTCGGAACAGTGGATGTTCCTCGCAGGCCGTGTCCATCCACTCGTGGAGGTCTTTGACATCTGTGGCATGGTACAACCTTTAAGCAGCTCGACCGATGCAGCATTCAGCAACTTGCAAAATCTTCCACGGCGCTGAGGAGTGGACAGCCCGTCAGGAGCCATCACGTATGCGTACACGGACAGCAGTCCGTGGCTGATGATGCGTCGGCGAGCATTTTTGCCTCCAAGCGCTCTTTTCAGACAAGCTCCCATCATCGAGATGAAAGCACAATGTAAGCAAGTTGCGCTTGAAATGTGGATCCGGGAAGCAGAAGAACATTTTTTCCAGCTGCCCTTTCCTGGGCATAGCCAGAGATGGACGGCTGGCGTGCACATGCAGTCGTTTGACGGCTGAGGAACCGGAAGTAGTTCGGCAAGAATTTCATCGCATTGGTCCGGATCACCTTGGCTGGTTTGCTTGCCTCAAGCTTCCTTATAGCTTCACGCTTATTGCCAAGCTTGACCATCAAACTCATTGATGCCCGTGTGGAGTCAAGATAGTCCAAGAAGCTGAAACATTGTGGTGGGAGGGAGAGCCCTCTGCCCCCTGTCTCATTGCCTGGATTCGCTTGCCCACGTAATTCGTGACCTGTTCGCGAATCTCCATGCCAAGCATAAGCCTCAGTATGGGTGCTTTCTGTGATCACGCATTCTCGCACACGACACCTATCGAAGATGACACAACCTAATCAATGCCAAGGGGCTTGTCCGGGAACTTAAGGCTAAGTGCCATAAGGAGGCCGCCGAAACCACAGCCAACATCCAAAAATCGGACTTTGTGTGTGCCAGCCTCGCGAGGTGATTCAAAAAAGGCTTTCAGTGACCGGGTGAAACGTTGCTTTCAGAGAAAAGGGCTATCCTTGCCGTTCCGCGCATCTGGCACGACTCCCAAGTACCTTGCCACCAGAAGCTTCTCTGTTTTGCGGCTTCGTGGTTCACTAGTCGATTGACTATGCTCATATAGCCGCGTGAGCACTCGATGGGGTTCTCGGCGGTGTTCAGCTGCAGCCTCTCCAGGCTGCCTTCGAAGAAGGAGGGGAAGTGCACCGACCAGTCCACATGGTCAGGAGACGCCTCACATGGCAATCGAGGATCTGCTTCAGCGCTCCCCGCAGACGCGAAAAGCAGCCACTGAGAGCAGTACCGGATAGCAGTCCCCCCAGTCCTTGACTTCGCTAGATGGCCGGAAAAGTTCCAACTGTGAGATCATGAGATGCTTTTGATGCCCAGAATCACAAAGAGGATTGCAGTGTGCTCGCTGGCGAAAATCTGCCTTCTTCGGCTTCTCTATCTTGCCTTGGACGTAGCATTTCGCTCGCACTCAGCTCGTCCAGGCACGGACACAAGGCAGCCTGTCTCGACTACTCAACACTCGCAACACGGCATTCTGAAGTTTGAGGTCAGCACTTTTTGCAAGAACTGTCGAAGGGGCAGATGGCTCGGGCTCCATGGCTCAGATCAATAGACAAGACGCAGTGTGTGTGGGCGTACTATCCTGTCACAAGGGTCGAGATGAACGAAGTTGTCGGTTGCAGCGGAAGTTGTTCCAGGATCGGCTCCATCGCTGTTTCACCTTCTTTAAGTTTCTCGTAGTCAGCTGTCAGCTATCAGGTTTGGCTGAGAACGCAAACCGCTGGAGATGGCACCGATTATCTGGTGGGAAACGCGGGCGAATGTCTCCTGCGATTGACCCTGGGATTCCCAAGCCTCCGGAAAGAAGGCTGGCCGTCATCGACGCCTTTGAAGGGAAGGTTCATAATGGTTCATGCGCAACGCTTCGCGCAAGCTCCCTATGGCTAATAGTCACGACTCCAGCCTTCGGGCGACGATTCACCTGCATTGCCAATCGCGCCTGGACGTTGGTGCAGGCTTGTCGGCTTGTCCCTTCGCTTTGAATTCCTGACAGGCCATCATTCTCCACCCTTTTCCACTGGCTGCTTGCGCTTCCCAAGTGCCGTCCTTGAGGCAAGGCATTGGGCCGCTGTTGCAAGCCTTAGTTGCTTGTAGATTCCAGGTTGCTGTGGCCAATGCCGGCATTCTGCAAGAACACATATTCGGTTGAACAGCGAGTGTGCATTGCTCGATGCAGAGGATGGCGGGGTCTACATTAGTCTGCATCTCTCCACCTGTACCCTGCAAGTACGATGATGACGGAATTTTGACGGGCTGTCCACCCTGCATGTAGGGGAGAGCTGCTCCCATCCGTAATTCTTGGATCTCGTTGCTTCGAGTCTTCACAGTTTGTCTTGTTATCTTTCATTGTTGGACGGGTTCAGCCTTGCAGGCCCTGTTGGAGTTCGCAGTGTCTCTCCCTCTCCGCTACTGCTACTTGCTTCGGTGCTTGACAGGGCTCCAGGCAGAACTTTTAACAAGCTTTCTTGTTTCTTGTCCGGAAAGGTAATGTTGTGCGGCACTGTTGCAAAGGAGGGGGCTGCCAAACCCGACTTATTGATCTGCTTGACCCTAATTAATTACCAATTTTTGCCATCACAGGTCCCTTACTCTGATCGTTGAAGGACTGGCTAGGTCTGGAACCCTCAAGACAAACAACAAGCCTGCACGCGACACAATCATCAGTATCGCCCGCCACTTTACCTTGGGAGTGAATGACTCGCATACCCGACATAGTTATTTGGGCCGTCTTACGGGAGTCTTGGCACGTTGCACAGCCGAGCGACGCCTGCTCCCGGCAGGTGAAGGCCACGAATCGCGGCACCAGGAACAAGTAGGACTGTTCACTGCGCGGTGGGACAGGCATCGTGTTGAATCGCCCAGCATTTACGTCGTAAATGCCATCGAACAGCTTTGCTCGATTGGCCGAGCCAGAGCCCTTGTACCTGGGGTACAATCTGGGCCGGATCCGATGTGCATTTAGATGAGAATCATCATAGGGCAAGCAAGCGAGGAATGAGCCTCCTGCGTGTGGCCAAATGGCTTGATGCGGAGTCCTGCGAACTCTTTGCTGTGCCGGAAACGATGCCTCTCCCTTTCTGGAGGAATGCTGCCCGCACGTCGCTCCCTTCAGCATTGCTCGCTGTACGACAAACCATGAGCATGACCCGCAGGCCTTATGTTGTCATAAAGATCCAAACCAAGACAGCTCCGGCTCCCATCTTCGAAGCACCTGGGACATATGTAGCATGTGTCAGAGAGCGCTGAATCATGCTGAAAGCATACAAACATGGGAAAAGGACCGCCAAGCCCAGCGCATGCTGGTGGCCAAAGAACCAAGGCGGACCGGCGTGACTGCCCTCGCCCTCACTCTTAGACATCTATACATTGAACCTAAACGCTTCGATTCCTATCCAGTCGGCACCAGCTTGCGCACCAGGCCTTGCCCTTGGAGCTCGACCCTCGAAGTTCCTTTCTTTGCTTTGGCACAGTCAGGCACAGTCCGCACTCACCACGCATTCAATCTCGGCCGGGCCCAGCGGAGGGCCCCGGCCTGGGTGCGTTCGATAAAGCATGGAATCGGAAACATTCCTGAGAAATCAGAACGCAGTCAGCAAGGTGCATTAAGCAAAAACCGTTCCTCACCATCGTATGGAGAATGCACTTAAACCTGCCAACGTGGACAACACTGACTTTTTTCAGCATATTTGGCAAAGGATGCAAAAGGCTGGAATGGTCTTCGCGAGTATGTTGTACTGCTCTGCAAAAGAGGTTTGTGGAAGACAGTCAAATCAACCAAACTGCATTTTGCGCGTTAATTGATCAGTTGTCTGCCCCGCGGAACACGCAAGGATCGATCCGCTTAAATGTCGAAGTAGGTGTATGCAGTACGTACATACGGACGTACGTAGGCATGGATGGATGGATGGATGGATGGATGGATGGATGGATGCACATGTATGTATGTACCCAGAACGCCGCAATTTCGTTAGTGACGGTTGGGGTAAGCACGTACGTAGGTACATGCGTCTGCATGCCCGCGCCAAGGCAGGGGCGCGACGAGCTCGCAGGACTCGGACTCGGCTCTCAGGGAGATCTTAGGATCCGCTTGTCTGGTCCACGGGCCTCGGCTCCCCGACTTCATCGTGACGATTGCGGCTCTGCTTCGTTGCTTGAGCGGTCTTTCGCTGTCCCGAACTTCCACTCTCTTTCCCAGCACTCAGTGTGGTACCGGCACCACGGTTCCAAGCTGACAGCTGCTTTGCTCTGACGACATGCCGAGCGTGCATGCACGTGACAATGGAACGGGGAGTCACGTTTGCTTAATTCCTCAAATGCTGGCCGACTAACAATCACCAGCTTTCCAGCGCCTGTAGTGGCGCGTACGAGCTCAAGCTGCACAAAAATGCAGAGCACGGCTGGCCGACCCTTAAGGACTGCAAAGGAAGCTGTCTTGCCTGCGAATGCATCTAACTCTGGCTCAAGATGGGATCATGAGGAATTCATACGCTGGCCAGTCGAAACTAGTGATCGGGAGGTAGATCTGTACACAAATCATGCCCGCACGACTTCAAAAAATCGACTTTCCGGGATCCTCCCAATCTACGTATAGGCTATGTGGATTGCCTATTTATGCCTATCCATCCAATTTTGAGACTTTTTCTGACACTGGCTCAGGAGATCGGCGACGTGCTCTGCCCACCCGCACCACAGTCAGTCCTCGGTGATCTTTTCGAGCGGCGGGGAAGGGGCAACAGCCAAACATGGAGCTCAGGTCCAGACAGTTGGAAAGACGTGAATCTGCGATCCACCCATTCCTTCCATCATGAGCGATGCTCTCATCTCCTGGTATGGAAGGTAATGCTCCTGCACCGTCAGAAAGATCCACCCAAAGCTTCGACCCCGTCTCTACGTGCCTACACTCATCTAATGCTTACATGGGTGCGGAGGACAGGACTGGTTTCGCAATACATGCTAACACCAACAACAAGCAACACCGAGCTTGTGTGGAATCCCGCCACGCCAAAGCCGTGTCCTCGATGACGATAGCGCGGATGAAGACAGCCCAGAACACCAATGAGATCACCGTCCCACCAATGTCCTTCAGCGCCTAGCCATCCAGGATTGGATTCTGAGTGTACGGCTCTGGAAGTCGAATCTGCAGGGTACCGTTCATCTGCACCAGTTAAATAATCCGAATGAAGTCATCCCCTGGTGAGCCTTGTGCTCGTCTGCAGGTGCGGTCTGGGCAGTTGGAGCATCACGGAACGCCCCCTGGGAGAGGACCGCCAGTACTACGTAGTACTCGTAGATTAGAAGCCATCGAGCTTTGATGTGGTAATGCAGACTAAGCTCCATAGGGTCTTTGCCAACTGCTTCGATACTCGGCGTCTTGCGCTTGCCTCCCAGGACCAGGCGCCTTACATAATTAGTCTTTGGCTCCACAGTTTGGGACCATTTTGTCACTGGGTGGCAGAAGCCCCAGCCCCGAGAGAGCGTCCCAGAGCCTTGGTTGTTGGTCTTCGGTCCAAGGAAGGATGAGTCGCTTCCTGCCTCAGTAACGTCGCAGTGACTTTTTCTTGCTTGTCATGGGTCAGAAGTCGACTTGGGGTGCCGCCATGCTGAGAATCGTAAGGAGCGCGAGCACGCACATGCAAAGGCCTCGCGACCTGAATCGCCGCACCTGGTGCGAATGCTGCTAATGCCCACATCATGCAAGAAGGCGCGATACGCTGGCAGTCCTGGCCTCGCTGGCCCGACGTGCCATGGCCATCCGTTTGCGTGGGGGTTGTTTGTGGCCACCGGAACAGCTGCGGTCGAAGAGATTGTCACGAAGGAGTCCGAGCAAACTGATGCTATGCACGTGGCAGCCTGTACCGACACCCAAACCCAAGGCTTCCCCTGACTCCACCGATGACTATCAGTGACTATCGGTGTTGCAGCATGCCACGAAATCGCAAGCTCAGTCTGACGCAGGCTTGGCAGGTCCACCCCACGGATGAGCAAGTGCGCCTTGCCGAACAGAACAGCAAACAAACGTGTAATCGCAGTAATCGCTGTAACACGACACTTAAAGTGGATGGCCTTCAACACGCAAGAAGAACACTTAGGCAGGATCGCCACGATGATAGCTAGAGCCTCGCCTGAATCGACGACGTGCGGCAACATGCCAACACCACCACTCCATGAAGTCCAGCTGCCTGATCTCTTGAGCCCGGTAGATCTGCTCGGTCAGCAGCACCCGGGCCAATCTGTGACAGGAAACCACCACTTTGCCGCTACATGGTAATCACAAAGCCGACTGCACGACAGCCAAGGCGGCCAAGCTCCTCGCCTGTGCGGCAACCTGGACGTTTTGTTCAGCCGACTCCGAAAACCATCTTTTGCTGGCTTCTGATTCTGCTCTGAACCAAAGGGCGGCCAAGGCACGTCAGCCGCCCCAGTGACAGGAGCTCCCGAGGCACTCCCTGGCCATCTTACGACCATCTATGACGCCTCGTGGCGAGCCCATGGTGATTTGAAAATGCTTGCAAGCCCACTCAAGCCTGGAACCCGAACTCGTCCATTGGCTCCCTGACCATCCCTGACCCTTCTCCTGCCTCCAGGTTTCCGGCACAAAAAACAACCAGCACCAAACAATGCCCGCCAGACCAACAACCAACACCCCGGGCTACGACGGAACACTTTGAACCCAGTCGAACGCACAGCAACCCTGCGAGGCAAACCCCGAGGCCAGCAAGGGCGGCAGAAGGCCAAGGACACGCGGAAGTTTCTCCTCCCTGCCGTCGCCTCCTTCTGGCAGCTGGCTTTGGGCAAGGCGCGGAGTTCTTGTGGCCTGGGCGTAGAGCAGGTGCTCAGGTGCCCAGCCGTCTGAAGGTCCAAGGAGTCCAAGCCCAGGCCTCGACCGCTGCCTTTGATCCTTCAACGCACCCCCTCCCAAAGACAACGAGAGTTCCTTTGCGAAGCCTCTTCCTTCCAGCATGAAGCATGAGGTGTATCTCATAAGCGCGGCAACAATTTTATGGGACGGTGGTGTCTCAATCAATATGCCCTCGCGTAGGCCTCAAGTGAGTAGGCTGAGCCACTTGCAGGCCATCGGCAGCTCCGATGCAGAAAGAGAGGCGGGCGCTGCCCTCCTGTGGCTGTCTCGTCTTAGGGACGGATTCGCGGGCTGTCCATGGCTTCCTGCACTTTCCTGGAAGAAACTTCTGCTCAGGATTCGCAAGCAGTCGACTGCAAGCGGCCAGCCTCAAGCCTCGCAAACAAAAGACGACAAAACTCCTTGCGGCATACGGGTGACGCATGAACGGCTGGCAGGCAGGTGCCGCAATGCGTTGTGGCAATGTCCTCGGAGTCCAACAGGGCACCTCTCTCGTCCAAAACCTGGCCGCACATCCATGTTTTTGCGCATGCTTGCTGCTGTGCTGCGCCCTACCAAAAAATCAGGCTTCCTTCGCGAACAGAATTACTGCTGCAATTTCCGAGACATCGGCCAGGATCGGGTGACGCAACTTCTTCAACGCCCGAAGAAGCTGAGCATCTGCTTTGTGGAAAATGGTTTCAACCTGATACTTGCTTCAAGTCTCTGTTGCAACTCATGTGGCAAAAACTAAGGGGCATTTACATGTACTACACTAGTGCCGTCTCCATGTGACAAGATGCCAAGCACATCCTTGGACTCCGAAGACGGATCACACGAGAAGTATCTGCCACAGCTAGGCTTCGCCCGACTAAGACCTGCAGGCCTGAGGATGAGCTTACCAGTATGAAGAAGATCAGAATCCACCAGAAAAGGTAAGGGGGGAGGCCTCGATGGCAGGATCTCTGCCACGCAGGCGCTGGACCTTCAGAGCGGTTTTAACGTTTGCCTTCCGGGTCACATGCTACCCAAGCAGATCTTGGCAGTGGCAAACGTCCTCAACATGCCGCCGAACAGCATGCTGCCGAGTGTCCGGCATATTCTTCCACTGCAGCCCCTTCCCAGCCTGTGGCTGCTGAGAGAAGCGAAACTTTAGAAGAGGCCTCTCCCCCGAATGCCCAGCCTCCCGATACTGGCCTTAGAGACTTGCAAGCTGCAAGCTGCTCTGGTTTTCTATTCCCCATCACAAGCTAGCCATAATCCCCAACACATACTCGAATCAGCTTGAGATCGCGACTTGCCCACCTCCGGCACAAGTACAAACGCAGACTCGTTCCCGTGGCATGGAACTCTTTTTGAATTTTTTTTTCAATCCACAAGCTGCACCCTGCACTGCATCAGGCACCGACGACGTGCACCGTGACTTTGTAGGCGTGGCGACTGAGTCGGAAGAGCCTTCTGTTGGTCACGGGGCGGGGTGCATGTCATCTTGACTAACATGGGCATTCGCACTTCCACACCGCCATTCCCTACCTGTCCTCGATCGTGAAGGCGGAGGTGCCTGGCTGGAGCCCGCCCGCCTCACCTGAAGCCTTCAACCCTTAGCACTCATTAAGGCGAGTTCTGAGATACCAGCTGTGATGTATCTGATGGCACCGACCACCAGGGCCGGAACAGCTGCAAGCGCCTAAAAAGCAGTTCTGCGTCATCAAACCACCAGTCTTAGTCGAGATTCATGTTTTGTCCGTTTGCGGTCATTAACTTGTGGCCTGGGGCGCTGTGGAAACTCAGGCCACTCGGCTCCAGCAGAGGCATGTCTTGGGCTGCCGTGCAAGCGCCAAGCCGCCATATGCAGCCATGCTCACGAAATGAATTCGCGAGTCGAAACGTTAGCAGCCTCTACTCACAAGATATTGGTCTGGCAGCGCTAAACTCGTGACACTTTCGAGTTGCTGCCTCAGCGCCTGCGCAACCCACCGGCTACCCAGGTGAGAACCCGATCTCCAACTCCAGCTCACCCGTCTCAATGTCCTCCGGGAAAACTAGCTACTGCGCCTTCCTGACTTCATCTTTTCCCATTTTCAACATTTCCTGATCTGCAATGATGCTAGAAGGGCGTAACCGCTAGAGGGGATGATAAAAGGAACACATGCTGCAGCTGGAAAGCGGTGTCCTGCAGCTGGTCCCGGATTCTCACCGGCTGGTTTGCGCGGCCGTGGATGATGCGATAGAGGGGGATCTTCATCCGGCCCAGGAAGTCATCAGAACCCATCATGTCCTCGTCGTAGACCTCCAGGAGTAGCTGGTCTTCTGGATGCCTGGGCTCGCGAGGTGCATCTCTCAGGAAGATGGGGGGGCAAAGAGACCCAAGAGCTAACAGCTGCCACCCTGTTGCTGGATGGGGAACAGGAAGGGTGATGAATTCCATTTGGGGTTCAGATCGTTGTTGATGGTATGAGTCCGCTTTCGTTGCTTCTCGCTTTGGCTCTCCAGTCTAACGGTCACGTACGGGTCCGAGACGTCGCCCAGGATGCCGGTGTCTGCATTCACCAAGTTGTAGGCAGCTATGATGCGCACAGACAGGATGCCAAGGCCCCCCATGTCTGAGGACTGTCTCTTGGATTGGCCGGGCGAGCTCTGCGGGCTTGCCGATAGCTGAGAATGAAAGCGATCTCGATCTCGATCTCTTGGCGGGCTCAGGGTTTGGCTGGCTGGTGATGCTTCAGTGTCATAGGCCTCGTAGGTGCACTCGAAATCGATTTGAGCCTGCGCTTGCGAGCCTTCCAAGCTCTCGCGAAGCTGCAGCCTTACCAAGTCCAGTAGAGAGAGAGAGAGAGAGAGAGAGAGAGAGAGAGAGAGAGAGAGAGAGAGAGAGAGAGAGAGAGAGAGAGAGAGAGAGAGAGAGAGAGAGAGGGGCAGGGCACCTAGGATGCCGTCTGAGACAAAAACGTCAATGCGGTGCGGCTCCTGCTGCCTCGCACTGAGGCCCCAGCGGCCGACTGGGATTCTTTGATCTATGCACTGCTGCGATGATGCGCTGAATGGGTAGCTGCGCACGGCCCAGGAAGTAGTGGTGTATGTGCTCATCCACTCTGGGATTGGCAAGGTCAAGCACTTCCAGCTGCAACACATCTGCGACAGAATGCACCTCCAACACCATGGCCGGGGTGTTCCACTGCGGATTGCGATTCCTGGCAATGGTCGGTGTCATCTTCTCCCTCGCATGGCTGGTTCGCGCACGCTGATCCTGGATAGAAACCTTGACGCATGGGCTAGGAGTCCCGTACAAGCCGCTTCCGTGGCTGTATGCCAGGTTAGCAGCTGCATTGATCCAAAGCGTGAGGATCCCAACTCCACGTCCGGTGACCCCGGCAAGCTCGGGTGCGTTCTCGGCAAAGGATGGTAGACGAGCCAATCGAGCCTGCTCCAGAGGCCGACGCAGACGGTGCTGCTCCTCCTCAATGGGCCCACGGCCAGGTAGCCAACCATAGAAAGCGTCATCCTTCCAGCGCTGTTCCGGAGCATCGTTCGTTGTCCGGCCCGCGGCTAGTTGCGGCTGTGGCCTGGCAACGTGGTCACTGTACTCGCGGTGGTCGTTGAATCTGCGGGAGGGCACCTCCGAGAAGGAGGGCAGCGACATGAGGTTCCGTGCCGCGCGCGCCTCCTGCAGCTGCTCGATGTTGCCCTCTTGGGGTCCGGGCCGCCCGCCGGGCCCCTGATGGCTTCGCCAGGCGTGGAAGGGATCGCCCTTCCAGGCCTCGCCGACCTCCTCCGGCTCCAAATTAGGGCCCTCCAACTGGCCCTTGTGCTCAGCACGGTTCAGCTCTCTACGCCAGCCAAAGAAGGGATCATCCTTCCATTGGCGCTTGTCAATCATCTGCTGTCGCGGGAAATAAGGTGGTGGCCCTGAGTAGTCCTCAGCGGTCAACAGACGTCTCTCAGTCTACGAGCAAATGGGCCCTTGCATTCTGATCAAAAAATGGGCCGAGCGTCGTATTGGCCCAGGCGACAGGCCTCATCGATGGAAGCAGCAATTGATGTCAAGCAGAGTTGCAATCATGCGATCCGGGAAATCAGTGCGCATGCCAAGCGTCCAAGGACTCATACTCGTTCAGCCTGCGCGCCTGCACCGAACTAAAGTAGTCATTTTTGCACGAACGATGCTTCGATACGTAAATACAACCTATCCGCATGCTATCAAGCAAGACAAGAGCAAGCGCAGCAAGTGTGACCGGAGCTGCAGGCAGCAGGCAGCAGCCTCGCCAATCTCTGCCACTTTGTACTGGTGATCAGGTCGCGCCAGAGCTTCCGGCCCAAAGCCTCGCGAATCAGAGGCTCCTCGCCTACTCCATGGTTCAGCTTTGAACACCGTCCTCTTCCCATCCTCTTCTACTTTCACGACGCTTTTTAACCCCCCCCCGTTGAGCGGTGGGCCTTTGAAGGAAGGCAATGGCACCTCAGTTTGCCACGACTGTTCGGCAAAGTAACATCTCCGCACTGGGAAAAAGGCACCGGCTGAACCCTTCCGTGACCAAGGGACCATGTTTTCCTTCTTCTTGCGGCTTTCTTGTAAGGCCAAGTTGTGCTGAAATTGCTTCTGCCTGTAGCAGAAGACAGTGTACATGGGCACTGCATTTCTCCGCTTGTCGAAAGTCAGTCCGAAACTTTGACCGGTTCCTTTTGAGGATCAAGACTTGCCTTGAGGACGGATTTGCCAACCTGAGAATCTGAACAGAGCTCAGAGGACTTGCACTGCCAGTCCCTCTTCTATTGCACCAAGCTGCTGATCGGCACATAACAGTTGCACTTCAACTTGAATGCGGGGCCGCTTGCGATCCTGTCTTGCACGACAAGGGCTTGCGCGGGAGTTGTAGCAGTCCTAAACTGTCCCCGTGAAGATCGGATGTCCTCGCGCACGACATCGCCTTCGTCCAGCATTTCCTCAACCTTAGATACCGGCAAGAGTTTTGATACCACATGATACCACCTAGTGCGCCATGGAGGACGTGTACCGTCGATTTGCCAGCAAAGTATTTCCGAGTGGCTGTGTGTGTTTCACCAGGGGTCAAGCTCCGTATAGGAATGTCTAGACGACCCAGGCTATCATTCGCGTGCCAATGATTGGAGCTGAAGACCTGCAGGGGACCCGGCACTACTAGGCACAGAGAGTCGCCCTGATGTGCAGACACCAATGGCACCTCCAGCTGAAGCTTCGGCTCTCGTTCGTCTTGCAAGGTAAACTCGAACTGTTGCGAATTCCATACGGGATTGAGACCTCAAGCTCGCGGCACCCAAACACAGGAACCCTTCGGAAGAAAGCTACTGAAATCAAGGGTGCTCGAGCTGTTTATCGAGTCACTATAACATTGACTATATACCTAATATAAGACCGCAAAGAAGCTGAGGCCGGCGTAGCAAAGAGCTGAAGGATTGCTGAACGTGCGGCCCGGCGGCTGTTCTCAACGACATGGGTCTTGAAGTCCTTTGGCCCAATCCTCGCCACCGCAAAGGGATCCGAGGCGTCTTCGGGCAAGATTCCCAAGTCGGTATTCCGAAGGTTGTAAGCACGCAGGATTCTCAAAAGGAGCTTGCTCCCCTCCAGACTGCCAGTCAGGGCAGCGCCAGCTCGTGTGGCTGCCGGCACATATGTTGGAAAGCTCGAATCGTCCTGCTCCTCATTGGGGCGCTGGCGCTCCGGGCGCTCCCTCCTCTTCTCTTGGGGAAGCTGAAGTAGTTCCCTCTGGCGCAAAGGCGAAGAAGCTTGTGCCTCCCGAGTTCTGCTCAGGTCTTCATCCTGGCTTGGATCCTTCTTCTTCTTCTTTTTCTTCTTCGCCTCCCGGTCCCGGTCGTCTCCCAGCGAAAGATCGCCATAGCCAAGGCTTTGTGGGGTGCCTCCAAGGTAGCCTTGCTGCGAGGGTGGAGTGGGCATCAGATCAGCCATGGCATTTGGGCTCAGGGTGCCTTGCGGCGGCAAGTTTCGAGATCCAAAGTTCTGCGTCCCATGGGGTGGAAGGATTGGCGATTCTTCTGTTGATCTGATTGTCGCAGTCGGCGGGAGAAAGCCATGAGGTGAATCGGTGGCCAAGTCCAGCCCAGAGGGAAGGTCTCCGAAACTCCCGCCCGGGGGTAGCATGCTTCCAGAGTTTGCGGGGCGTGGAGCTCCGCAAGCAGCACATTCTACAGCGCCTCCCTCGTTGATAAGCGTGCACTGTTCGCACTGCCATTGTCCGTCATGCAGGGGTGAAGAAGCCAGCGGCATGTCCGGCGCGCCATGACCCAGATCAGATCTGAACATCCATGTACAGGAGCTGCTGAAATACCACTGCTGCACTCACACTACCTCTCGAGCAAACACGGAGCTGAGGATGGATCAACACCGATTGTGCGCCGCGCAACACGAGCTTTCGAGCCACATAAACTACTCTCGGCCCATTGAAACTGTGTTCGGCACCGAACGATGGGAAGAAGTAGGCTTCGATCCATGGCCATAGCCCCCTTCCGGAGGCCTTGTCACCGCAGCTGCGGAGCAAAGCAAACCTACCGTGACTTGCCAATTCCCGAAGCAGCCAAACCACCCAAACACCCGACTGGCGGGGAGGTCTGATTTCAATGCCCCGCTTTGAGCCCGCCAAGCTTGTGACGGGAACAAAGCAGAATGATACACGGGCACAGCGCAGATGATACACTAGCAACCTGAGTGATACAAGGGTCTTGTCGTGTGAATCAATCCGGAGCCGTCCACTATACAACTACCCCAGCATCCACAACCTATAATGTCCAATCAGTGCGGAAGCCGTTGAGACCCGGCCTTGTGCGCAGTGAAGTAAAGTGCCGAGTCCGGGGGGCCAGCATGGATGCTTGCGCCTCCATCCGGGGCACGTGGAAGCCCGAAAATCCCAAATTTGGAAACTGGGCAGGGCTGTGAACCATTCTGCAGCACATGTCGAAGTTCAAGCTGCGCATGGAGGCGTCTATAAACCTGTGATTTTTTGGCTCCCTCTTGTGATGGAAGGCCTATGCACGAGCTAAGGCACCCTTTTATTGTGCGACTGCAAGCGATTGCCGTCTGCTGTGGCTTTGCCACACAAGCGCGGCGCAAGCTCCGTTCCTATTGCCACGCGGAGCTACCACTCGAAGAGGTCTTCCTTCAGCCCCGTGGTGGCCTGAAACTCCATCTTCGAGTCGGGGATGGCACCAGCCATTCCCTTGAAGTCGGCAGCCCGCGGCCGTGGGCACTCGCGCGGTAAGGCTTGGTGCAACCAGTCTGCGAAAGCATGCCCGTGGATGAGAACCCGTTCGCCCTGCTCCTGCGGAAAATACGCGACAATCACGAAGCAACATCTGTTTTGACATTAATTCATTGGCTATGCTTGGACTAAGCCCAGACGTAGGCTCCTTTGCCAACACTTTCAGCTTCGCCAGCAGGTCTTCTTGGAGCTTGTTACCAGAATGTTCTTCAACAATGCGGGCTATCGCATCGACGTGATCAGGTGCAGACATAAGTGCCTGCTCCAACTTGTCCTTGTACACTTCGCAGGAGTTGGGGCAGCAAAGATCGTAAAAGCTGGTGGTGCCATCGCAGTTGGAGGGGCCTAGCATATAGTTCGGCATGAAGACGAAAGTCTCCCTCCCGGTCTCTTCCAGTGCCCCGAGCTGGCGCAGGTAATCCAGTGATTCGCGGAAGAGATCTCCTGCTCGACTCACTGGTTCAACTGCTGCAACAGAGAGACTGCGTTCTCAAAACATCTCCCTAGCCACTAGCTACTTCCTGGCATTTCAAGTTGCCATGATCCCTACTAGGAGCAGCAGTTGCTTTTTCATTCAACGTATCTATCGCATCCGAGCATGGAATCATCCGCATCCCATCTGCCAGTTGCAGCAATTCTGCATTGATTCTGCATAGTATGCGCGAGTGCAGAAGCTGCGGCATCAGGCAAGCTTCCTACCCCGATTCCCCGGCCCTGCCCACCACCAAACATTCTTCCCCCACCCATGCCCTGCCCGTGCCACAAGTCTCCAGCTCCTTGTTGTCCTTCGACTAGTTGCTGCTAAAATCCCAGCAGTCTCCCCCCAGAGTTGTATCATGTTGCACCTAAGTGAAAGAGGAATGGCAGCCTCTGCTTGGCGAAACGTGAGAGCCGCCACCAACCGGAAAGTAGGTTTTGCCCTTGGAGAATGGCCGTCTCCTCCATCGGCAGTCCTGAGCTCAGAGAGTAGGACACGCCCGTGGTCACCTCCTCGCAGAGTCTGGAAAGTCCTTTCCATATCCTGAGTGGAAGGAAGAAGCATGCGAGCGGCAGCATCAGGTCCCCTGGCTGCCCTGGCTTTTTGCAGTCGGGAGTCGTGGCACATGGCACCGGACACCTATACGTAGAAACTTCGTGGAACTACATCAACGACATATCACAAGGCTTCTGATCGCTCACCTCCTGAAACAACAGCAGCACCATGTCAGCTGCTTCAGCAGCATCCTCGAAGGTCAGGCTCTTGCTCTTGAGCAGTGCCTTGTCCACCTTCACGATTTTACGATTTGAACAAGGTTTTGCGGCTGCACTTTCCCACCTGGTCGTGAATGAAGGAGCGGATCTGAGGCCATCCTGGAACAGCACAACTGCGCTGCCTGCGCAGTGTCGGAGACTTATAGGCCCTAGGCTGGTCTCGCCTCCGTAAATGCGGGAGATGGTGTTTACTTCCTCCAAGGCCTTGGGCAGCGTCAGTGCCTCGGCCAGCTGCGAACAGCGACGAACAGCCAGTCATGGCGAATTCCAAAGCACGAAACAACGAAACGGGTCCACATGACTCAGCCAAGCGACGTAGCCGCTGTCCACCTTTTGGCTGACATAGACATAATGCGCCATGAAGACCTGACTAAGCAGCGACAGTGGGCTTTCTTTTCTTGGGGCCACCTTCGCTAGAGCCCACGTGCGATCTCCGGCCTGCAGAACGCTGAGGAGTCCTCCATATATCAAGGAAGCGGATGCCGGAAGTAGCAGAGAGTGCCATGAGTAAACATCTGCAGAAGTTATCACCGTAGCAAGCCGAACGGCGCTCTTAGACCCCGTCTTGCGTCCTTCGCCGGTGGTCGTGCCCTCCGGCTGTAGCTCGTGCACGAGCCATGCTTGCTTCAAGCGCTCCCGCTGGTCGCCATGGATCAGGTGCTCCTCGGAGCATCTGAGTATATTCGAGTATAGTTTTTTTTATAGTGTAGGTACAGGAGTGTAGAGTATTTTAGCCCTTCCCTACTCAGTTCTGGCTCGAAAGGTGCAGTGCCAAAGCACCCAACTCCTGCTTAGACAAGGTTCCAAAGTCGCAACGAAAACGGCCAGCATGCGCAGATCGAGTCCCTGCTCACCCGCTTTGTTCTCCATGACCTTCCGATGCAGGCAGAATCTGACATGGCATCACAATGGCGATCACTGCCATGAGCCAGCGGTTATGCATGCAAGGGTCGGTCACGCACAGTCCTCTTGAAACTCCGGCAACCGTCCCCCCCCCCTCTCAAAAAAAAAAATAGTAGGAGACTGCTTCGCTCTTACTAGTAACACTGACCCACGGAATGGAGGGATCCAAACCGGCCGAAGCGTTCTGCCCACCTCCAGGAGATGCCCGGCGACACGGCCACGGAGAGCTTCCTGCCACCGTTTCGGCCCAGGCAGGGTACTGGGTCTGAAAACCCGAAACCCCAAACTCCTAAACGTAAACCCCACACCTGAATCCGAAAATCACGAAACTAACCCGTCTGGTTCCAGCTTGTCGGGCGAAGCAAGGAGAGCTCCAGCGTTTGCCAGATGTTTCGTACGACAAAGGGTTCGGGTCTTTGAGATTTTGCTCACACCATCTCATCACGCGATCACAAACTCCTTTTTTACTCCTCCACTTCCAGCCCGCGCTGGCTCGTTTCGACTGGAACTGGCATCTTGTGTGCCCCGGGGAGCCGTGACTCAGCCTAAACGGAACCCAAACGACCTCACAAAGTCACGAAGTGGACGGCATCCTCGCAGCAAAGGGGAAGCGGTTTCTCTGAATCTGGCTACGTAGAATCAGCAAAGCCGAGAGTTTCCAAAACTGAAAAGATCGGGCATGACCCTGGGACCTTACCCCATGGCTTCGCTCATGACCAGGTTCGTTCTCAACAGGATGTCGTCTATAGAACAACCTCACAGCTGGTCCTGCACTCACGACCTGTTGCGGGACCTGATGTCCACGTACACAGAGAAGCGATATGGTGCTGTTGGATATGTCAGACCCAGATCCTCAGTGTCTCAAAGACGTATGTGAATTCAGCCTGGCTTCCAAAGCTGGTGTTGGGAAGCAACTCAATTTACACTACAAAGACAAGAATGCTGCGTGCCATCGGGGGTCCGCGTGATCCTTGATGTCTGCAATGAGACCGTGTTCTGCTGCAACCCTATGAAACAAGTCTTTTGATACGTAGAGGTGTGGAGGTGCAGATCTGGATACATGGCGCTGCTGTGACGTAGAGTTCACATGGCTGGATGCCCGCAAGTGCTCGGCCAGCTGTTTCTTGGACAAGTCTGACACTTCCCCCACGTAAACGAACTCCTGGGCGATCCTCAACATCTCACCAAAAAGTGCTGCGACAGCTTCTTCCGAATCCAGGTAGGTGATCACCCCAAAGGAGACGACGCAGGCGAAAGACCGGGGCTTGAAAAGCATCTTCAGATCAGAAACTCCTGCGACGACGAATGTCCCATTCACGCGTTGGCGGGCAACTGCAATTGTGTCAGCGGCGGGATCGATTCCATAGACCTAACAGCAAATCCCGGCAAATCTCGACTGATGTTTCTCAGGTTTCCATCGTACATACTCCCGTACTTTAAGTCTACGTAAGCTTACAGCCCAGAATCGACCGTGTCAGGATTCTCGTCTGTGAAGGCCCTGATGGCAGCAACGAAAGCTCCAGCACCCACGCCGACTTCAAGCACGCTGCGACGCAAGGAAGGACGCAGCGGCTCCAGCAACACCTGGGCTTGCGCCAGCCACTGTTCCCAAGTGAACATCTCGTAGCCACCGAAATGATGTAAGGGAGCGTTGGCCGCGCTCAGCTCTCTTGCTTTCTTGTTGTAGATCTCAACCCAGGAGGCAGATCCGCCAACCTTTGTAAGCTCTCTGTGTATGGCCTTGCCTATATCGAACTGATAAAGCCAGATGCCGTCAGCCCGAACCGAGCCCCAACCTCGCACTTCCCCACCAATATCCGCATTGAGAGCAATCCCACTCCCCAGGCCATAGGCATAGGTATGCTCCAGAATTCCAGCTTCCGTGACCAGTTGTCCTCTCCGCGTTGGGGATGAGGCGTAAGCCACTTCCACCTCAACAAATCGGAGCACACTGTAAGGACCAACACCCGCCACCGCCCTGTTACCCCTGTCGTGCAGTTGCTTAGGAACCTTTCCCGGCACGGCTAGACCATGAAGACTGCGGGCCTTGCCGGACCGGAACGAAAGTCTTACGAACCTTTTATGGCACCCGGCATGCCCAGGGCATCCCAGGGCCTATGGCAAGCCCTGGACCTCGCACATGCGAGAAAGAGAAGGCTCAGAAAACCGGGCCTTCCAGCACCGAGTGAAAAGTGATCTGCGAGAAATCAAAACAACCGAGCCGGGCCTGTTTTCCGCCAAGGAAGATGCGTGGGAAGCGTGGGCGATATCCCGTTGCACAAATCACGGGGCTCCTCGCTGTTCACTGTCGCAGCTGGCTAAGTGCTGCACAGAGTCTGATTGCTGCTCCTCTGCTCCCAACCCACTGTAGCCGGTCCTGGAAAGCAGCCCGCAAAGCTCCGAAGAGGTGAATTCGTCACGGCCGTCCGTGAAGTATCGCCTCACTATACTGGCTCAACTGGGTTCAGGTGAGGCTTTTGGTCTATATAGGGTCTAACTCCGGCATGAGCACCTAGCCACGGTGGCATCATGACATGCGCGTAGACATGGCCCTAGGCTAACGGATATCAATTTCTGCTGACTGTTGCGGCTTCGAAAACGTCCGTAGATTTGCAGCTTCAGGCTGTCTTTCTGCAGTCCCTTTCACGTGTCTTTGTTAGTCGCGAGTCGTGGGTTGAAACACCTTCCAACTGCAGGTGGTTGCGGGTCGTTTGGCTGGAGCACCTACTGCAGCACGGTTCTTAAGCTATGATTGTTGATTCCCCATTGCAGCCGAGACTCACAACCGGATCAGTTGGCTGCCGGCGCAGGCCGCGGGTCACAGCATAGTCTCGGATGTCTCCTCTGAGACCAGAGAACCGATTGATACGCCCAGTGATCGGACAAACATCACTGAACGAATCGAAGCTGGCATTTGCCGACTGGGCTTCCGCAGCAGAGTAGAAGAAATATTTGGGTGCTGTTCTCTGTACCAGGGTCACATTTGTGGGTGACCGGCGGGCTCGCAGTAGGTGGAGTATGGCCCAAGCTGTGTGTGAGCTACCAACAATGACTAGATCATCATGGGTGGCCGAAGATTGCAGGGCATCGTAGCCGCTAAAGAGATGGTTGAATCCACAATGTGACAATGTCAACTGGGACTTTCCAAGCGGTGCCTGTTGACACTGTTGCAGATCCTCTGTTGCACCCATTGTCAAAATAACACGCTCACCTTGAAGCCGTTCCTTGCTCCCTGCCTGTTCGTACACGACGGTTTGGGTCAGGTCACTCACATGCAGGTCAAGCACACTTGCTCCAAGAACGACTTGACTGGCCGGGAAGCCACGGAAGATCTGTTGCAACTCCTGGGCCATCAAGCGAAGGAAAACCCCGACCTTCTTGAGCTCAACTTCCTTCGAGACGTTGAGTTCCTGGACCAAGGGACTGCGAAGGGTTTCTGGGAAGAGCCGGGCGACGTTCTCACTGTTCAGGATGTCCACAAAAGCTGAGCCAAAGGAGTTGCTGCTGATAGGCAACTCGAAGGATGGACCAGCACCAAGGTGGTCCTCACTTGGGAGACTCTTGCCGTTCCCTACCAGTAACAGGCTGAGAAGGCTTAGACTTTAGGAACTTTTGGGAAAACGTTCCTCCTTCTCGAGAATTACGACGCCTTTTCGAAGGAGGACCTCCAGCTCACCCACACTGGCTGCATAGTAGAGGGGCCCCAATCCTGCCGGACCACCTCCGACGATCACCAGGTGAAAACTTTCCCGGCTTCCTTCCCATGGGACCCAAGCTGGTCCCGCAGCAACCTAGGTCGATTTTCTAGCCCACAGGGGCCCCTACACCCCCAACAGGTTGAAGTTCTTTGGTGAAGCGATGCCCACCTGCGGCAAGTATCGATCCTCCCAGGCCCAGCTCCTGTTTTGATGATCGCCGTAGCAAACCAGAGACTGCAGCCGCGCCCCAGAAGTGAGCGTCTTGGATGACTTGAGATATTGAAACCGTAACAAAGCTAAGGACGTAAGGGGGCTAAATCTTCCTTTTTGGTCGCCTGCCATGACAATAGGGGATGCCTGACGGTGGGCAAAAACATAAAACTGTCCGTCATGACCTGGGAACTACCAGGCCCTCGCAAGACACGGATCGTCGGCTGCATCGTGCTGTGGCCAGAACAAGCTCGCCAACAGCCTGACGAATCTAAGTGTTCTTTGGGCGAGATAGGGTCATCAGGTACGCACGTGAACAATGAAGGTGCCGTTGTCATACTTATCCGCTCTGATTTTGCACTCCACTGACCCAATTCCATCATGAAGCTTCAATCACCCACTGTTGCACACCCCTTGACTCCCTTCATTCACTCAAGTGCGTATGATGGCGTGTGTATGCCTGTCAGCTCCCTGACCCTACCATCCTCTGGAAGCCTTTTGCTGCTTCCGGAGCAGCTACTACGCTACTAATTACGGAGTCACACCGTGCCACATAGCTCTCACGGGCTATGGCTCTGCTAGCGATCGATTTGTGTAGAGTGCTCGGCCAGCGCACACAGCGAAGGCGTTCAAGCTAGTGGGGAGCTGTGCAGCTGACAGTGAACTCTTCTGCTGAGCATTTGGCGTTTCGTCACAACGGATGCTGCCACAGCCTAGCTTCGGAGTGTATGGGGTGTGTGAGACCGAGGGCTACATGAGTTGAACGATGTTGGAACGTGAGCGATCGAATCAGCCGGTGACTGAATGCAGCAAGCTTTTGTCACTCGTGCTCGACAAGTCAGACGAAGTTTGGGGAAAGCAGCATCAAACTCCATCACAGCATGAGCATATTAGCACATGCCAATGCAGCAAGTTACATTAGTATGTGATTGCAGGAACAGAACTGAGTGCTGAGGCAAACTAGGACAGTCGACAAATACGAGGGTCGACTCCCAGTGGGCGTATGGATGAGTGAGGACTGAGTTTCAAATAAATGATTGAGTCAGAGTAAGGGGAGGAGCAAGGAGTGAGCGCGGGCAAGTATGGACTAAGCATGACTAAGCGATTCTCGCGAACGAGCTGCAAGCCGGATGGCAGTGAACTCACCAAGGTCGCGCAAACAAAACATGTGCAAAAGCCCTGCGCATGCCATGATTCTACAGCACCGTGTTGAAGATGGCCTCTGGAGGGTTGGAGGCAAGGTGGTGGCAATGCCATCCGTTGCCCAATTCAGCTCTGACTGCTCCATAAATCGACGTCCACTGATCCTCCGACACATTCGTATACTGGACAACTGCAGCGACCTCGGCGCATGGAATTCTGACATACGGATCCTCGCCGTTCCAGGGTGCGAGGCGGCGGTTGGCTTCATCTGCATGCCCTTCCTCACGAAGGCACTCAGTAAACCAGTTCGCTCCATAGAGCAGCTCAAGGTACTCTGATGGTTTGCTGAAGGTCCAAAGCACCAGCCCGTCTGTGGAGTCTGGTCTTTTCCAATATCGCTTCCGACGTGGAAAAATCATAGAATCAGAATACAGCGGACCACTTCTGCGAGAGTATCCACGCCTAGTCTCAGACAGGGCACACCGACAGCTGAGCATGTCGAATGTCGACACAACAGGAAAGAGCCCGGCTTAGCTGAGAAGATCGGTCTACAATCTAAAAAAACAGGAACAGCTTTGGTGCGGCTCTAAGGCCCAGGCCAGTGGGTCGCATTTTCTCTGGAGCAGATGTAAAAGTCAAAATTCGGATAACTCCACAGGGGGTCGCCAGCTGCAGCGTGTGAGATTCGGAAAGTTCTCGCTTTCTTTGCCTGTATGTGCAGGGCCACGCCACGTCTCGACAAGAAATCCGCCGTGCGGTCAACAGCTTCCAAGCGATCCAACAGCATCGATGTTTGCCCATTGCTGTTGCTCTCCTCTTCGCTCCAGTCAGAAGCTTCAACCAAGGATGCAACGTCAAGTTTGGCAAGCTCTAATCGGGACTCAAGCCGCATGGCCAGCGCCAGCAATAAAATCTCAACGCCTCGGTCATCCTCCTCCACAATCGCCATCTCCGCGTCGTCGTCCCAAGGGATGATTGACAGGTGTCTCATGGACCCCAGCAGACCCCCACCATTGAGAACATAGGCGATGCCCAACATCTCACAAACAGAATGTGCGACATCCATGAGGTCCAGAAGCTGGTTTTGCTGGTCGCGCCTTAATGCGGTGGAATAGTTACTCAGCAGGCCACTCTCGGCCTTCTCCCAGACTTGGAATGGAGTCTCGGGCCTGAACGCTAGCGTGCGCATCACATCGTACCTGCCCGCCATGAAGGAATATACCGAGTTTTTGAAGGGAGTCGGGCGCCGGCAAGCTGACCACCACAGGATCATGAACGTGAAGCGTTCCACATACTCTACGGTTGCGGACTTCGATGCCAGAAGCGCAGCAGGCAAGGCCTGCCCAACGCACAGATCGACCACGGCATTGTGTTCTTCATATGTTGACAGCTTCTTCAGGAGGCCAAACGCGATCGTGCCAGGTGCACGATTCACAAGCTCAACGGGGAGACTGCATTGCCTCACGAATGGCTCGAAGTGTTCGGCCACACGATGTAGCAGCAGATTCAGTGGCCAGACCCCGCAGGTCTCACCCCAAAGACTCATAACCATGCAGATCTCAAGAGGTGGATAGAATGTACGACTCTTTCCTGCAGAGGCTTTCAACACCTGAGTGGGCCATTGAGGTAGAGTTTGAAACACGATGCTAGCCCCGACCCCGCACCAGCAGTCATGTGCCACAGGGTGGTCTTCTGTCGCAAAACTGATCTCTGCGGTAAAGTTGGTAACATCCTCCCACGCTTCCATGAAGGCTTCACGTCTGGCTTCATCAAGCTTCGAGACTCGCTTATGATATGCCTGGAACCTGCTTCCTGGCTCATGGGCCGCCTCCAGCAAGAACATCATTCGTTGGTGGATCTCTTTCCATCGCTGCCCATTGTCGCTGCCCAGACATGAGTTTGCGACGTAGCCCCCGTTCCATGGCCAGAGTAGACTCTCAACCGGCCCAGTTAGCCTACTTAGCGTCACCAGCAGTCGCAACACCTGCGACATGCTGGCAAGGCCTGAGCCGCTGAACGCTGTCAAAAGGACTACACTTCCACACTTCCATTCCGCTCGCTTCTCTGGACAGCCTGTGGCTCCAGGAGTGTCTATAGGGCCTAGGGCCTAGGGGCCCTGAGGCCCCGTTGTCCTTGTCATCCGGCGGCTTGCGTCCATCACCTGCAGGGTTCAGGCCGCGCACATACCAGGCCTCAGGTCCGGTTGGCGCAAGGAATTTCAAGGATTCGAAGACATGCCGCATGCGCGGTGTGGTATCAACATTTTGAAACTTCACTGGGACTCTTCGTCGTGTTCAAGACAAAGCATACTTAGGAGCGGAGGGCGGAGGCTCTTGGGCGCTGGCATGCTGGCGCAAGAAATGTTGATGAAGCCTGACAAAGAAACACAGGGACCGTAGGCCTTGCCCTGACCCGGGTAAGTTCCACCAGGAGCCCGGCAGATACCTGGCCGCTGAATATCCAAGGCCCTCCCTGGAGCCCTCGGTTTGCTGTAACGTGGCGTAGATCGGCTTCAGCTCCTGCGCTTCCGAAGCATTTGCCCTCATGTCACATTCTGCTACATCAGCTACACCGGCTACACCTTAAGTTGTGTCGCATTCAACATCTGTCTCTCTCCCACACACGCACACAATCCCGCATGCATACCACAAGGGCTACCATACGATTTGTTTTTGTCCAACCCTCGCCGACGCCCACACCCAGCAGGTCAGGGCACCAGCTCGAAAACCCAGCCTGTCTGTGTATGTGTGTATGTGTGTCTGTCTGTGTGTGTGTGTGTCTGTGTCTGTATGACAGTATGACTTGTGTGTTTGCTCGCTTCTTTGCTTTTTTGTGTGTGCTTTGTTCGTACGCAGGTGCGTACGCCCGTCGGTGCCGCTGGGCGGCATGTAGTCGCCATCTGCCCCGCTGCTCAAGGGGGCAAGCTGCTCGCTGCCCAAGGGGGCAAGCTGCTCAGCAGCCAAGGCGGGTAGGTGGGAAATCGAAATTGCAATTGCAACACACGCACACACACACACAGCTCACGCGACGAGACACACGATTCCAGCTTCTGCTTGGCTGCATGCAAACACCAAGTACAGGCGTTAGGCTCGGAGAATGGGCCGGTGCTCCTGCCTACCGGCCGCCGAAGGGGGATGGATTCAGGATCGGAAGGGTGGGCAGCAGCCCACCATCATGCATGTATGTATGCATGCATGTATGTACATACGTATCTACACACGGGTGAAATCTCCAGAGCGTCGTCAACCGTCCCCTTTCTACTCTTGTGCGTGGCATACAGCTGTCGCAGCCAAGCTGCCTTCTCAAGCTTTTGCAGCTGTGTGGCGTTGATTCCTTAGCTGCTGGCGGGCATCAAGCAAGTTAGCCGCCGTTAGCACAGCTCTGAGATGTGAACCAAGTTTTCGACACTTGGGTTTCAGAACAGTTCATGGTAAGGCCTGAAGTCTAAGTGCTGCTCCCCGCCCACATCAAATGCCAAGATGGGATCTTCGCGCATCGCTAAATGGTGGATACCGTTTCATTTTTCGATTGAACTGCCACAGCACTCGCCCGGGGGGACAAGCAAGGATCTTGAAACCAAGGAAGCCGCCGAAGTTCATGTTCATCAATCTGTGCTGCAGTACAACAGCACGACCAAATTCATTCTTTTACGCTACTTGGCTCGTCACCTCCAAGAAGCAGAGTACCACGACCTCTACACTTCGACAAAAGCAGGTGTGGGGATTTTCCCTCAAAAAACCCAGGTTCATGGAGAGCCTAAGAAGTTTCTGCCGCCTGGTTGCCAGCGTGGCTCCCAGCAAGGGCTGATTCGATTTCTGCAATGAGCGCTCGCTCGAGCCTGGCAGGTGGCGCAAAGTCCTCCGTACCCATATTCCACACACAGTATCGACATTTTACGACTTGGCATGCACCGGCCTGTCTCTGCTCTCCTGCTTGTCGCAGTCCGCCTGACACGATGTGCCGAGGCCGCAACGCAGCCACTGAATCAGAACCTACGCATTGCCAGTACGATCACAAACCCACCCATGAATGCCAGCAAGATCACTTTCAGCATCGACCAGCACGTTCAAGTTGTGTTCCGGTTCATGACTCCGCAGTGGAATTTGGTCCCTCTGCCTGCTTAGCCAGAAGCGTGGGCGCTGACCTCGCCAAAGAGGCGAGCGCGCAAACGCCCGGCGTAATTCCTGCTGCAGCGCAAACAGAAAGCGGAGTGCTTCGGTTTCACTGCGCTGGGGATCACTCTCTCCCTTCCTGCTAAGCGCATGTGCCCATTCAAGACCGCATGGTACAGCTGCAGCTTAGTGCTCCAGCAGCTCCATCAAACCATGCACAGCTACTCACTCAGGAACAGAGCAATCACGAAGTAGCATGGCCATGAAGTCCTTCAGCTGAACATGACTCATCATCATCACTGTATTTCTGACCTTTGCAAGCAGGGATTCTTCTGCAAGGTCTTCTTCTCTACAGACTGAGTAGCCTACCCAGAACGGCAGTCGCGAAAGAACCCGACGACGGCTCCGGGCCCGTGCTAGGCCCGGCCTCGGGTAGGCTGAGATTGCTAGTGATGTGTGGCCCAGCAAAGCTCCATTGTAAGATGCGCACGCCATCTTCGTCAAGGAACTGCACTGTTGGCTTCGCCCCTCTCAACCTTCATGCCCACTCTTGCAGATCTTCGAGGCTGAATGTGGGTCATCTGTCGGCATGGCGGCGCCTTGACTGCATCATGGAGTAGGCCCTCACAGGGTCCGCCGCAGTCAGGTAAAGATGGCATGCCTCGGTCGCGATCGGCATGCGTGTTCGCATGGGTGTGCTTTTTGGTCGAAACATGCCGGGTGGGAGGGGCTGGAAGTTGCTCTACTTCTGCTGCCGAGGGTCAATGAGAAGAGATGCACGCATGGCCTGAGTTGCGAAATCGTTTCATGAGATGCACTGAAGCGGGGCCTGTTCAACCTTGCAGCGGCTTGGGATCCGCGCTGCGTACAAGTAGTACCTGGTTGATCTAGCGGGTGATCCACCCGTCACCTCACGCGGGGATTTGCGTTGAGGCCATGTACGGTGCCCTTGCACTGGGCCTTGAGCCAATGACTGCCAATATTTCGTGTGAGTCGTGACTTGTGCAAACTGGAATTGACCTAATATATGCACCGATTGCATCCGGTCCAGTGGTCAGGCTGCAAAGCAACTTCCAACTTTTCAGAAACAACTTAGAAAGAAGCTACTCTATTCGTCGAGGTGAAATCAACAGAGCTGCTGTTTCAGCAGCATCAAGCTTCTGCTATCTAGAGACCAATGAATTCAATGCACGGCCGCGCAACTTCGTTGTCTGCGAGCCAGCCACCGTCGCTTTTAACAAGTATTCTGACGACCATCATGCCATCATGCAGAGTTGACTAACCGGTTATGCTGCCTCGTGTTCAGTTTCAGTATTGATTTTGTTTCTCACATATCATGTCTACAGAACTGTGGGACAGTGGTCTTCATGCAGGTGCCCACCTTGTTTGCACGGGCTGAACTACTTCGATGTATATACATCTTGTCACACGTTGAGAGGCTCACCTTTGAAGAACTCGCGTATACCCCACCACGATAACAACAAATCAACGAACTCACAGCTTATGCCGAGATGCGAAGGCTTGTGATTATGCGCGTACACGTAGATTGCACCAGCGAAGTCCACGACTGCTGGCTGCCTTTCCCAGCAGTTGAGCAGTTTCTCGCTCCTACAACACATCTCTACGTCGCTTGCTTGCTTGCTCTCTTTCTTTATTTCTGCAGGGCTTAGGGGTCGTTTCCGACCCTCAGGCCTTCGGCCCGCCCAGCTCACCTCCTGTTGTTATGGAGTGGCTGGCATTGGGGCCTTCCAGACTGCGGCAACGAACTACTCGGTACGCCCCGCGTTTTCATGCAGCAATCCCACCTAGAGCTCTAAACCCCCGCGTCCCGGCCTCGTCTCCGTGCTTGCTCTCTTCTTCCCCGGGGCTTGAAGGGCTGGTCAGGCCCCTCGCCCTTATAGGGCCCCCCGATGTCTGTACGGAGGCTTCTGGAGGGGTGTGAAAGGAAGGACAGTCTGTTGTGCTAGGATTTGTCTCGGGTACTTGATCGGACTTTCTTAGCTACAAGCTGAACAGGATACCATAGAGCATCCCGACATAGGTTCATAGCCAACGATATTTCCCCGATTTCTGCTACTCGGGCTGATCTGACCTTCGTGCTGCACACCTTCCTGGGTTCTAGAGGAACTTCATGCCCTTGCTCTCTCTCTCTCTCTCTCCCTCTATCTTTTCCTCTCCCACCCTTGGCACTTGTTGTCTGCTTGGAGTGGAAACTCTCTCTCTTGCTTGCTTGCTTTGTCTTTCTTACAATATGAGGCAGACAGCCGCTTATGAAAACAGACGAACAATAACTACTGCGGAAGGTAGTCAAGACACTAGGAAAGGGCAGGACTTCAGAGAGGGGAGCGCGGGAGGAAGGGGAGCGGAGGGCAGGGCGGCGAGCACACGACGAGCATTTCACACTCTATGTCTAATGCTGCAGCATGGACCTTCAGCTTCTTTTCGGGCTGCCTGGTAGACACCAAGAACCGGCCCGGAACACTCAGATGATGGCGCCTGGTCCCAGCGCTCTGGGCCGGCCCGGTGGGAGGCTCGAAACCCCCCGACGGCCGCCGATGGATAGCAAGCGCTTCTGAAAGGGGCCCTCGATGATCTGACCTCGGCTGCGCACATGCTCCGAAGCTCTTGTACGGAGAGGTGCTCGTCAGCTTGCACAGCAGTTCTGCCAATTGCGCAAACACAAGCCTTGGATTGCCCTTCAAACACCTCGAACATGGGAGGCTAGACTCGACAGAACGATAAAGCTGCACGTGCCCTAAGATATCCCTCAACAAATATCGCTGCAAAGCGAAAAAGCTTCGGACCCATAGCTTCTTGAACGAGCCACCCGAACACATGCGGGAGAGTTGCAAAGCAGGTCAACATCCAAAAGGGCCGCATGCTTCATCACCTCAAGAATCTGTAGTCACGGGTCCATGTCGTCAGTTCTGCATACTTGATCCGATACTGAGGCTGGCGAGCCCACCTGTGTTTTGACTTCGGCGGGCACGGCAACCTCGACAACAGGAGAAAAACTCATGGCACCTTCCTGGCAACTGCACACGCTTCGTCAGTCCCTCCCACACTCGCCGATGTGCTCTGCTTCGCCACAGTATCTTGTTTGCTGGCCTGCTTGGTGTGCTCCAATGCGAGGGCGAAAGCCTGAGTCTGCAAGCACCGGGAGACACAAAGAATCGTTCGCCAGTGATCTACTGCTGCTCAGGCACGAGTGACCGCTCCAGGACCTGCTTCGACGTGATGTCGCTATCCTGGCGGTGGGCTCGTTCCAGCTTCTGCGACCGAAGCCTTCCTAGCAGTGTTCAGGTTTAAAGTTCGAACATTGAAATCACATCGTCAATGTGAGGGGGCTGGAAATGCCGCCACCCCACTTCCATGTGCTTCGGGAAAATCCCGCTACCCGTTGAAACAATTCACGAAATCAGGGCATAGGACTTCTTTCATGGCTTAGCCGGTTTAGGATGGATGGTGACAACCGGCACCATGCTTCCTGACAGGGCTGTGTACACTTTTTGCGAACAATGACCCCCAATGCTCTGTCTCTTAGGTTTAGCTTGCTTGGATCAGCGAGTCCTTGGACCAGATACTCGCCTCTGCCAGAGCAGCGTGCAATATCTGGCCCACAAGATCGAAGACACCTCGGAGTTTGACGACATGTCGAGCTCCCGGCCAATCTAAGCCCAATCTGCGCAGAATGTTGTGAACAGGGCCCAAACGATAAACCGTGCCACGACGCGACCGGTTATAGATTGGAAGCAAGTTTGCAGAAAATGAGTGTTGAAATTTAAAGTCCTGTGTGTGTTCTTGATTTCTTGAAATTGAAATCTCAGTCCCCTGTAGAAATACAAGAAATCAAAAGTTCTAGAAGGCTACTACAAGGTGATACTACGACTACAAACATGGTATTAAAAGGTGGTACTATGGTACGTGCTGTAAGGGTGCTATACTGCTGCATCTTGGGAAGCAGTCTGCAACGTCGTAATGCGGAAACCACTTTGGCCTAGGTACCGCCTTTGTGCTCCGGCTCGACACCCTTGAGCATGCCACCTGGGACAGGCTTCAACTTCTCAGACCTAAGCCTCGATCAAAAGACTTTCTGCAACTACATCGCAGTGTGGGACTGTATGCAACGGCTTTTGCAGATACCCTAGCGGGACTGAGGCACCCAGAAACCCCTGCTGGAAGCATGTGATTCCATAGCTCTAAAGCCGTCCAGGCGCGGTCGTGCTGGATCGACGTTCGCCTCGGCAAGAGGGCAAAGTCTGACAACGGCTTGGCAGAAGTATCTCACGTGGTGGACGACCAGCCGCAATGGTGTGATGGTGGCATGGCTCGCAGCAACTGTCCACCTGCCAAGATGCAGCTTGGACTGCAACTCGAGAACCTCCTTGTTCAGGCTCCTCGGGTGGTGGATGTCTACATGCCATGACCTGAAGTGTTTCCGGCAGGTCTGCTCTGATGCTAGATACTGCAGCCCGTCGCTCTCTTCCTTACTTCCTTCCGCGAGGCGAAATTCTGACCCAGACCCGGGCATCAAGCCGCCAAGGCTCTCCAGCCATCTGAGGTTGCGCACGAGCAGCTTCGCCTGCATTATCGCGGATGTAGCAATGTAGCACAAACGAACAAGGAGTGGTGCCATGTGTTGCCTGCTTCGGTTTGCCGTCTTTGCTGTCCTCTTCGTCTGCCTCCTCATCCTGCTCTTGATCCTCCTCTTCATCTTCCGAGTTCATGGCATTAGTGGCCTCTCTGCCCGGACCTGCTTTGGCTTTGGGGCTGAAGACCTGGCTAAGGCCAGCCCCAGCCCCTTCGGCCCCTTCCCCAGGCTCTTTGGGAAAGGCAGATGCCGACGCGGTCGACGCTGGCTCCCCGACCGCAGTCTCCACCACATCACTCTTCTGAGCCTTTTCTCGGCGACATTCCTGGTCCAACATTGCCAAGCTGCAACCCAGCTCGAGCACGCTGTTTGCTATGCAGATGGCTTTGTCTGCTCCACAGCGAACGACTGTTGCTGTTCGGGCTGTGCTTTCGCTCAGCACCCTGATGGCTGAAACTTGATCGATGGAGCACTCTGGGTTTTCCAACATGCCCACCATGTTCTCGTCATTGACTGCCATGTCGTCGAGATGGTCTGCGGTCATCCCGCAGGAGAGTCCTGTGGTCTTCACTACCTCTCCTCGCTCCTGCAAGCCGACACCCGACATGATGCTGGCAGCCCACTGGCCGTACTCTTCTAAGGCCTGTGCTGCACACTCCGCCACGCAACAGCTGCTCACTCGCAGAATGCGCATGTTCGTGCTGCAGTCCCGGAGTCGCAGAGCTCCCTGACGAGTTATGGCCATTAGCTCCCGAAGCGCAGCCCTCTTCTGAAGGCCACGCGCCTCTGCCGCGAGGGCGCAAAGATCAAAGGAGCGACAGGCCAGAAGCGAGATCTCCTCAGCAGCCTCCTTGGCCTGCTCTGCATAGAAGACGGCATCCTTCGTGAACTTGTGCAATGGCGTGGAAGATCCGACTTCTGCCCCTCCGCCGCCCTTCGGCTGGACATCAGACTTGCTCCGCTTGAGGACGGCAGCGTAGGCCTGAAACAAGGGCTGCTCCGAACATTGACATCCGCAGCGAAGCATACAAAGCCAACTCTAGACGTTCAGCAAAGGTATCAGGTGTTCCAACGCTCAAACCCTCCCTGCTCCGTCGCCTCCTGGATTTCCTGAAAGCGCTCTTTGTTGTCGATGCCAGCCTTCAGCGAAATTGACAAGGTCCCTTTGTTGCTGCTTTCAAACGGCGATTGTGGAATATGACAGGTGGTCAAAGGCCTTGTCCGGATGCTCTTTGAGCGCCAAGGCACCTCGGTTCCGCTGCCTTGCTATGCTCGAATATGCATAGGGGCAGCCACATGATCGTTCCAGATTCTTCGCATATCGCAGCGGCATGGGCTAGCATAGGGTGTCTTGAGTTTGACACACAGTGGGGTGCATCGGCCCCCATGCCCTACAATCTTTGCCGTCCTGCAGAAAGCATTCGAGCGCGCAAGACCGGTGGGGGGATGTAGTATATGCATGAGGCATGCATCCAGGTCGCGGTATGCCTTCTTGATCTCGTCGGGCGTCGCAGTTGGGCCATCCAAGCCCAAAACGAAGTACGATGCACATTCATCTGCAAGAGTCCTTACTACAGCCGGCTAAGCAATGGAGTAGGCATGGAACATTGCTGCCGAACGTCATGACATGCTTCAGGTAGTCTCTCTGACCTGAAAGACTCGACCAGCAGCACACCCATGTCGCACAGGAGCAGCCCACGCCGAGGCCCTTGCGCACCACCCTCATCATGTAAGTTTCCATTGACCTTGGCCAGGCAGGCCGCTGGATATGACTGCTGCTTGCAACCGGAGTAAGTATTTGAAGACATGACAACCCATTGTTCAGACTCGCAGCTGATTCTGCCGACGGAGATTCGGCAAACTCATTCGGCTGGCTTGCGCTTCCAACTGATCGTCCGGCTTTTCCAGGTCTCTCAAGAACTGCCTTGGGCCAAAGCAGACACAAAGCTAGCTTCCCCGAGCCCTTGTTGGTCAACAGTTTGCGGACGATCCATCTCCGCGCAACGTAGACCGAGGATATTACATCCGTAAGACCCACACCCGTCATCCCACAGCTGGCTTGCATTTTCAGCTGAGCGTTTGGGGCGAGCCTCACAGTTTACGAATCTGCCAGGTTGGGTGGGTCCTGATCTGAATCTCGTGCCTTCGGCTTGGCATGGAGGAGCAAGGCAGAGCCCTGCCCTCCTGCAAGAAGAAAGGACGAGTGCAGGCTGCAGATCTTCCGTGTTGGGTCTGCCTTTGGCGCCGTCGGCTAAGTGCCGCCTCACCAGCTCCAGCCAGACTTGTGTCCTGAAGTTCTGATGGTCTGCGCGCTTCCTCACGCACGAAGCGCGACAAAGCTCATGACCCACGCCTCATGTACTCGTCGGAGCAACGCGGCCTCAGCTTTGCAGGGGTAGAGTGTTGACTCTCTCGCCTTCTTGTGCGGATCTTCTCAGCCGCAAGCCCATTAGGTTCTTGACCACACAGCAGAGAGCGCATTCCACTGGCTTGCGCCTTCAAGGCCAGTTGCCTCAGGCCGAGGTTGACCTGTCGACTTTAGACGAGAACATCTGCATGCAGCTGCAGCACATGCAGCTTTCTAGAAGCGTGCATGGCCTGGTCGGCGCTGACAGCTTTCCCGCATTCGGCTTCCAGGCTTGCTGCCTGGAGCGCCTCTTCCAGAACTATCGTCGGACTTTTCGAGAAGACCTGAAAAAGACCAATTGCTTTTTGGCGCCCCGTAGGTCCTAAGGACTCGCCTCCCGGTACAGCCACCCACCCTCACGGCTGCCCGGTGCATCCAGAGGCAGCCCAGACAAAGCACAAAGAGCTCCACCAGATCCCACATCTGAGGCAGACATCTCCTGAGCCCATGGTTCGTGATACTGGCTAAGTGAGACGGTGCCTGCACTCTGGCTTTGTGCACCCCGGACCTTATGGTCGAGAGGGGCAATGAAAAAGTCGATCGCTGCATCGTGCTCCAGGAGCATCAAGCAGTGTCGCCCTCCAATGTCTCCTGCCCCCAGAATAGTAGTGGCAGTAGCTGTATGCAGCAATCAATGATGGTATCACTGAGTTCAACAAGAAGAAGGAGAACAAGACAAGACAGTTGTCAGTCATCACGCTGTTACTCTGCCACGTCCTGCGACCCATTGCTGTATGGCTCGCTTAGCCTTGGTGCTCAGCCTGCACCACTCCTGCTTTGGCGCATCCAGGCCTTTTACACCTAGGTCGCACTTCGCACTCAATAGTCAATAGCCCAACGAGTGCGATGCACTTTGATGACTGATGAAGTGCGCTCTGCTTTGAGCGCTGCACGGGTTGGCTTTAGCTGGAATGACGTCGAAGCTGTTGCACCGGCTCTCGCTTGGAGGCTCCGCTGTTGCATTTGCTGCTGCCAGCGCGAAAGCCAATGCTTCAGAGCATCAGATCCCTCGCCGGTCTGTACGGTTTGCACGGATCCCAGCGCTGAGCTCACTTCGCAGATCCAAGACGGCGTTTCCGGGCTCAGAGCTTTGAAGGTGGGGTCCTTGAGCTTGCTGGCCACGGGTACATTCTTTGAGGGCTTGCCTTCCACGTTTTCCAACAGGATGCTCCATGGCACGCTGGAGCAGCGGGGTACGTTGGCTTTGGCATCGCAGTAAGCCTTCTTCTCGGATCCCCGCCCGAGCACGAAGCGACCTGCTCCCGAGAGTCGGGCATCGTCTGTTCGGCTGCTGGGCCTACTGAGACCTGTCAAGGCAGTGTTCCAGAGCTTTCAAAGCCACTCTGCAACTGATTCTGAAGCCTGGATTCCGGGAATTGAAGCCCTGCGAGCAGGTGGGCAGTCCAACTGATTTCTGTCCTTGGCAGACAAGATTCAACATCAAGCTGTGAAGGTGCTAAAGCCTCCGGAGCCCTCCCACCCTCCACCGAGTGAAGAGAACCCTGCAAGAGATCGGTTTGTGGACGCTTCTTCCACTCTAGAGTCACTAGTCAAGTCCGGCGTGCGGTGACCCAGCCGCGAAGGCCTGAAAGAAACTAGCCTTCAGCCGGTTTCAAACGTTTTTGACATGTATTTTTGGGCCTGTGCTCATCAACTCTTGCATGGGCTCCAATGAGCTTTTGCTGGGGGCCTTGATGGATGACACTCTGCACTGTTACACTGCAGAGGCCGGGATCCGGGCCGGAAGCCTCCACCGGGTGCGAGAGAGCCATGCCGTAGCCTCAACTATACGGATCCCAGGTGCAGACTGGCACTTCACCTGTGCCATATGCCAAATTACGGATCCTTACGGTGCAACTTGGGCTTACCAGTTCTTGCCTTTCGGAACGCACGGGCCAGTGCTGACATGGTTGCCTTCACAAACATGTGCCTAGCGGTCGTAACACTGACGTGATCCCCTGGCTGTCACAACGGCTTGTCCCAAGGCAGCCGCGTTTGGCTGACAATGGTTGCAACATCCACAACGTAGCCCCGTATGTCTTAGACCCATGATTCAAGACAACCACTGCCAAACTTCTCAATCAGCGGCCTGCTGTCTACCATGCTCGGGCAGAAGCCGTGGTGCACATGCTTTGTCTGCACACTACGTCAAGACTGTGGCTTGTAGTCATTGTAGTCATGAAGAAAGAAAGGCAGATCAGAGGAATTGGTGACTGCTTTTGGTTTCAATCAGTCTAAACTGCTCGTTCCATCTAGTTAGGACACTCATCAGTCAATGCCAGTCTCTACTTCAAACCCCCGATTGGTTCAGCCTCTTCTGCTCGAGCAAAGGGAACCGAAGAACATCTGACGGTTGCACAGCACTGGCATCCAGCATTGAAAGCGCTGCTCCCACCACAGCTTTTCGACAGCTTTACCTCAGAACTGCTCGGAGTAACCTGGCACTGGAGGATCTTTGTAGCCGGGACCACCGGCACCACACCTCGGTAGAAACATCAGCTCAAGTACCAAACATTTCTCAACCTAAATAAAGCTCGGTGCCCAAGCCATTCTGGCAAGGGGTTCGATTGGAGCCACTGTCCACCTCGATCCTTGCGGTGCATTCGGCCTACTCTTGGCAATTCTTGTTCAGTCAGCTCAGGCCGCAGCCTTGCGCCACCCGCGGTCACAAGGATGACAGAACCAAGCCACCAGAATCTTAGGCATCAATAAATATACTCGCGTCCAAGTCCGATCATGACTGTGACTGTGGAGCTTGTCACTTTCTCCAACTGTAGAAGGTCGCAGGACACTACTCAAGGGATCTCACAGGTAATTAACATGAACTAACTGTTCGCTAATCTCCGAGAAACGTAGCGTGCTTCATCTCCTCGGTGCTGAACCTTGTGCATGTAGGTGTCCTCAGGCACCGCGCGGCGAGGCCAGTCAGATGGAAGGCGCAGAAAAAGAAAGACTCTGTGGCTGTGGTCGTGGCATCAAAGATGATGACTTTGCCGTCGCTCCATGATACCTGTCCACACATGAAAGGCCCAGACTCGGCGTGCCGACACCGACACACCCACTGTTTTCGGCCTCCTGTCCAGCCACCGTCAAGGTCGCACCACTTGGCGCACGGAGTCCCAGATGCAACGTGAGTCGCGGGTGTGTGCCTTAACGCAAAGCCGCAAAGTACAGAGCTGGGCTTTCTTTAATGCCTTTGAGCTCTGGACCGAAGTGTGGCTTCAGCTGGGCTCCCGGTAGCAGGCGGGCAAACGAGGCACCCGACCTCGAAGAGCTTCCTGGTCCTATGTCCTATGAGTGCGGAGCACCACAGTCACACCAGCGCCCCGGGCTCCGCACAGATAGGTTCCACAGGCTGGGCCTATTTCTGGTCTTTGTGCCAGCAGCGCACAGCTGGGCTGAAGGAAGGGCAAGCGGCAGAGATCGGACTCTCCTTCCGTGATAAGGTGATTCAACGTGTTAGGTCACAAGTCTGCACTTCTCTTTCGGAGCTTATAAAGCTCCTCCGCTGTGAATGAGCTTGATTCTGGTCCAATCCTCCTTCCTGGCCGCAAAAGTGATACTGCCCACAAGCACTGTTTTGCCTCACATGACAATGTACTCCTGACTGTCGCGCCTACTAAGCCGTGCTATTTCTGTAGAAACTCAGCTCGCATGGAGCCTCGGCGTCAGACCGCTCTGAAATCGTGCTGCTGCGCCTCGCCAGTGTGTGGAATTCCCCAGAACAAGATGTGCTCTACTGAGCTGGAACGGTGTCCGGTTGTTGTGTCTTACTGTCTGGGCCCGACACCGAAATGGGCACCGTCAGGATCTTCCTTCAAGAGAGCCTGGCATCGACCGACTCGTGGCGGAGACCACATTAGCTCAGCCAGCGCTCAGTGCCAAGCTATCTTCCGAAGACTAACTTTAAGAACTTTTCAAACGGAACGGAGGTTAATTGCGGGGCTTCCGTGCAGAGACTGGCCGCGCCAGGACCCCTGTCCTCGCTAGAGTGCTCGAAGGATTGCGGTGCTTTTCACTCGGGTGGCGGCTGGGACATGCTCCGGCCGACATGGCGGCTCCACGAGACTCGGCCTCGAGGCTGGACCGGAACGTCGCGTAGTGCCTGCCGGGACCAGATTCTGTCTACTGATTTCTCCGGCCGGCCGGCCTCTCGATGAAGTTGGCGAAGTCCGGCCAATGTTCCCGTGCCCAGATCGGCCAGTGCCAAGCTGTCTCAGATGTCGAGCCCCGAATTTTGGTTAGTCACATCAGTGGCTCTCTGATAGCTCTGGTTCTGGTCCGAGCAGCTGGGAAGAAGTCGGCATTCCTGCACTTCAGGGATATGCAGAGGTATCCCAAGGGGGGTTGCCAGCTCGGGCTGGTGCTGATTCAATCGCATTGGGCTGGCGGTTTTCCCGACGAAGAAGGGAAGCCGCTGCCTGTGGCACCAGGAACCCTCACGAGGCAATGCCGAGATGCTCTTTGACATGCCAGGGCTTGAGCAGTTCTGCAAATCGACGGGCTACATGGTCGAAGATCTCCGAAGCGGCCCTGAAGTCCTCACGGTGCTTCTGGTTCTGATCCGGGGTAGATTCTAAGATGTGGACGGCAGCCCCAAAGTCCTGACCGCCACGCGCAAGCTCCAGCCTGAACTGCTCTTGGGACCCATAGCCGTAGCCCCCCTTTGCCCCGAGTTGTCTGCAAGCTCGTCGAATCGACTCTGACCCATGCCATAAGCTGATCGCTTCAAGGGCGGACAGCTTGCAAGCGCATAAATTGGGGAGACGGCCCAAGCTCCGATCCGATGAGGAAGGCAAAGCGCCATCTCCAGGGACATTTCCTGCTCGGATGCATGCTACATTGCTACACCTGGTGTTGTTGTGTCCCTGAATGCTTCTTACTGCGAATGCGAACCAATGCCGGGCTCCTCAGGAGGAACTCTTCAAGCTCCAAGTCCACGAGGTCGCAGCCTCACTGAAGTGGTATTCATTGTTCGCAGTTTCTTCTGAGCCACCGCAGCCTGCAACGGCCAGTGCTCTTTCATGGAGAGTCAGAGACTCCCGCATGACCTCGCATCAGCTCCAAGCTGTCTTGGAGTTCACAGCTTTCGAGGACTCCACCTTGCCTGAACGCTGGGACTCGCAAGCCCCACCTCCTGCGGCCTTGGGCAGCGCCACTCGCACTTTTGCACAGCGGGCTCCACTGCCAGCTGAGTTCCAAACTGATGCCCCCACCAGAAAAAGGAATGCAGTGCTTGGCCCAGGCCAAGTGCCTGGGAGAAGGGCTGCTGCCCAGCAGCATCCGTCGTCACTTCTGCTAGCGCTTCCTTTCCGCTTTGGGCCCGATGGGAGCGACCGAGAAGGTAGGTGGAAAATCGAAGGGCTTTCTTTCTGCCAAAGCGGCCTAAGCATAGGTTCGGATCCGGAGTCACAGGATGCTTTGTCCAATATGAAACATTTTCCAGTTTTTTGACATATTCAAAACTCAGCCCTTCATGGTGGTTTGCGCAGCTCAGGTCTCTGGGATCCCAGGCTAAGCGTGGATGCTCCTCTGTCGCGGTGGCCAGGTCCAGTAGCGTTCGCAATGCTTCGGAGCGAAGTCTCACAGAACACAAGTGATTACGGCTTGGGCTGAAGTGAAATTCCACACATCTCCTAGATAAGGCCCAAACGAGCTGGGCTGCTCCATGTCAGCATCCTGTAGAATTGAGCAAGCGGTTTGGAGCGGCACCACATGTCATCTTGGGACAGGGACTGCGGACATCGTGCCCTCCGGGAAGGTGACTTGCATTTTTTGTCGACGATTGACCAGCAAGGTACACTACGGGAGCTCAGCCATGGTTTAATTTTCAGGCTGGCTGCGATTGAGTTGTGGTCGAACCTCGCATCCCCGGTGCAGGCCAGAATAAGGAGCCTATGCTCAGAGTATCATGCATGCTTTGTCAATCCGCAAATATAGATACCGACCTTACAGTGCCGGAGCCGTGAGCTGGACGCTCAGCCGACTTCTTCCAAGCATTGCAGGCCCGCTGTCTTTGATTTCGTCGCGCTCATTCTTTGCTGCGCTGTTGCGCCTCGTGTCCCGTGTGGCCGACTTGTGGGATTGGTTCATTGATGCGACAAGGCCAGCGCGGCTTCTGCCTCCAAGCTGCCCCTGCTGCTGTCTACTTGAGCTTGAGCAGCTGGAGTAGCTTGAATTTTCAGTGGTGCGCAGCCCTCGTCCAGTCATGCTGAGCACCAGGCATGGGCAGATACTCGTTGAAGCCAATTTTGTACCAACTGCGCCGTCAGCTTTTCCTGGCTAGCCTGCTCAAGATAGCAGCACAGGACGGCGTAAGTGGCTGGGCGCAAGAAAGCATGAGGAACCCTCCATGCCACATGAGTGCAGCCTCGTCATCATCAGTCAACACACGAATACCTCACCCGTCTGCGCTTCAAGCAACCGGATGCATGGATGAGTCGTTGGTGTACATTTCTGCGCAAAAACACTTGAGCGACAGCTTAGGCACCGGACAGTGCGGCAGGTTCAGCACACAAGCTTCTACCTGTCAATCGAGAAGTATGCAGGTTTAGTAACTATGACAATGACAATACACATTGCAGAGCCTCAGCGTCATCTAGGCCATCTGCCAGCACTGCGGCCGCTGCCCAAATCCCAGCCACCCACCATCCAGCATGGCTCGGCCTCGCAACGCAATTTGCAAGCTGTCTTAGCATGTTCCCATTTACTGCAGCACATAACAGAAGATCACAGATCATAGCCTTGTTTAGAATAGGTCGAAGTCGACGTATGTGTGTGTGTGTGGGTGTGTAACGCTACATGCACACAAAATATACATACATACTTGTATGCATACATACGTACATACTTACATACATGCCACACAGACAGACAGCCAGACAGACAGCAAGGCAGGGAGGCAGACAGGCAGGCAGGCAGGCAAGCAGACAGACACAGAGAGGTCGATCTATCTCTCCCTCACTAAATATCTAATTACTTGCAAATTTCTCTTATCTACCTATCTGTCTATCTTCATCTATCTATCTAGCTAGCTGTCTTCCATCGACCAAAGTATTTATCTATATCTATTGAATTCTCTGTCTGTCTATCTATCTATCCATCTGTTCGTCCGTTCGTCTGTCTGTCTATCTGTTTATCTATCAGAATCTGATCTATGTATGCCCGTCTATCTCTAACTCCACCTCTCCATCTCTACCTGTAAATTGCCTCCTCCAATCATGGGTCTGTTTCACCCATTTGTGAGTTTGCACTCGTTAGCAAGGCGAGGGAGCGTCTGACTAGACACGAACACAGCAAATGAAAAATGTAAAGAAGCCGAGGAATGTTTACGTCTCGGAACAGCCGCCGCAAAGCTACAGGAAGTGAACATTCGAGAACATTCGCCTGCCTGCGGCGGTTCGTGGCATGCTGCATGGTGGCATTGCTCCCGCTGCCATAGCCATAGTCTCCGCATGCTCTGATTGGGGCCAAGTCTTCTTCACAACGTCACGAAGCAGGGCGATGGCAAAGTGTCATTCTCTTGTCGGGCAGCTGGCTTCCTCGAGAACTATGGAAAGCTCTCTACCTGTGCATGGAACCGACATCCGGCAAGTAGCGACGCAGTGGCTCCAGCATTCTAGAGCTTCATGGAGCTGCTTCCACTCATGCTCATGCATTCACGGCGACTGGGTCTTAGCTTCTTTTTGTCATCCGACTCTCTGCGATAAGTCCCGAGCCGTCTCAACATGGAAGCCCAACTTTACAGGTGCGCAGGACAGCAGGCAATGCATTTGCACATGGGGCGATGCCTGCCGAGGCTGCACAATTCCATGTAATTCCAACGAGAGCGATCTCAAGACTAAGGTCAGAGATGGTCAGACAAGATGCTGGACTGCCTGACTGAATACTCTTAGGGCTCCAGATTAAAGCCCGGAGACAAAATTGTGCAAAACTCATCTTTGGAAATTTGGTCCAGCCAGCTGGTCACAGGCAACTTCGCTTCAAGCCTCCGCACGCCACATCTTCACGGAAGTCTCGTAGGGAACGAAAAAGGGGTTCCCGACGTCGGCTTCCTGCGCTTCCTCCAGCGTGTTGATCCAGGGGTGGCCACCGCGAGTGGTCGCGACGTGCTCGGAAGCGATGTTGTGGCCGAGGTTCCAGTACTTCGCATGCTCTTCTCCATCCGGATTCTGAGGTGGCAGGCCGACGACCGAGAGAACGCCAACAGTGAAGAAGCCACGGCAGTCGTTGCACCAAAAATTTTCCGACAGGTGGCTTGCCAAGGCCGTCGAGGCTGCCACGGCATTGCTGGACATCGGGGAGGGCTGATTGTGCATCGAAAAGTGGATGAGGCTCCACAAGAGGTTCGGCCGGTGAGTCCAGGACCCCACGAGAGCCAGGGCCTCTGCAATTTTGCCCTCCTTGGCCTCGCCGGCTTCGCACTCCTCCGGACTCAAGGCTGTCAAGTCGACACCGGTCTGGCGCCACATGCTGGCATAGAGGTCCTCCAGCGTCGGGCACTCGCCAACCAAATGCGAAGGCCATAGAGCCTTGAAGATGTTGTGTGTAACCTTCCTGACTTCCGCAGTGAAGGGGGCCATAGGACCCGTCCAGTACTTGCAATGCATCGCGGAGGCTACTTCACCTGGGAAAACCAGGAAGGCGGTCTGTAGGGACTCCAGCGCCCACTCCGTGCTCATGCCCGATCTTTGCATGGAGGTGCGTGGGCAACGGGAGCTGTCCCACCAGGGTCCAGCATAGCACACGTCTCGGGGCCGTTCTTTGACGCAGGTGGAGGGCAACACATCAAAGTCCGGTCCCGTGCAAACAAGACCAGGCGCACAGGCAAGCGGCCGTTCCATGGTGCCCCCGTTGGGGTACGATGCCCCGGTCTGGGCTCGCCGCACGAAGGCGTTGGCAAAGCGTCCATGCGTGGCCAGGGTGGGGATGCAGCTCTGACCTTCCTGGCGATACTTCACACAGCGACCGTGAGAGGGCTTCCAGAGCTGCGTCTCAGAGTAGCCCTCAAGCTGGATGCCGTTGGCCACACCCACCATCGAGCTGCCACAAATCCTGTCCCGGCTCAACTTCAAGGCTTCCACCGTCACGTTGCGGACATTGCCTTTGGATGCAATCTCTTCGATTTCCGCATAGTACTTATCGCCGCAAAGCTCGAAGTTGGGAGTGTGCCCGTTCTTGCCCATGGCCCAGGCACCCCATTTCTCATGTGTGATGACCATGCACCACTCATCTGCTCTGCAAGCACTGCGGTCCAAGTAACAATCCACGACCGGTGGGATGGGGCACTCCCAATTGTCGCAGGTCATCTTGATGAAATCGCCCTTCTTGGCCATGCGCGCTCGGTCCCCAGCTCGGTCCCCATCGACATAAACGAGGTCCATGGAGGCTCGGCTGCAGGCCGTGGTGAAGGGGTTGGCGTACCACATCTGCCCCGCAGCTCCATTGTACTTCTCCTGTCCACACCACACAGGTACCAAGCTTCCAGTCTCGTTGTCATTGTTCTCGGGGGTGCTGAGCCTTCGCCCTCCCAAGGCCTTGCCGGCTTCGAGGCCTTGCAGAGCCCGTGCCTTCCGCACGGCCGGAGAAGCCAAGGCCCAGTACTCGCTGGGCGATGCCAAGCACCCTGGAAGCAGGGCAAACAATGCGAGCATCATTGCAGGTGAAATCTCCCGACTAGGAGAGTACAGCCTAACCAGCTTGGCCTTGAGCCCAAATGGCTACTGGGTCCAACCCAGTCTCTGCTCGCTTCCATTTGCACTATTACTATCCAAAAGAGCAGTGGATAGCGAAGGCATTCTCGCAAGTTTTATTTCACCCAGCCTGCCGTCCACAGGCAGCTGGCCTGTCCAGATGAAAGCTCGATACAGGATGCGTTCTTCAATGGCTGTCGGCTGCCGCCTCCATCTCAGGTACATAGTTGTCGGTGAACACGAGACCGGCAACACATACCTTCGGGCGGCCAGTCTCCACGGCTGATGTGCCTACTGCTGTTGCTGCATCCCCAGCGGCCATCAACCCGATGCAGATCAACAATGCCATAGAGAATCTCCATAGCCTGCCTGACAACACGACTCAAGCGCGGAGAAATTCTACAGAACAACTTGTCCATGAGAAGATAAGCTGCTGGCTAGACTGCTCCAGCAAGCACAGGCCCACCAAGGCAGGCGCTAAGGCCACAAACCTTAATCATCATCAAGTTTAGCCTTCTCCCGGCATTGAGATTCTTGAGGGTTTTACTCGACCCGATCATACCCCGAAAAGCTGAAAGTTGTTGCTGGTTCTGTGCTTTGAACCTGGACCCATAACGACCCCACACCCGCCATGTGTCCTATCTACCATTCCTTCGTGGGTTCGGCAGTGCAAGTTTGGTGAGAAGCTCCTGACACTAGAAATTGCAACTACCCGGAGTGCTTCCAAGCTTTCTTGGGCACCGCGCACTGCGGCTTGGCAGGCCCCGCTGATCACATTCACCTGTACAGATGGAACACTTTCTCGAAGGGAACGACACATGTGTCCTTTTACAGCTGCCCCTGCCCACGGTTGCATGACACATGGCAACGATGCCGTGACGGCCAAAGTGCGCCTCACCCAGGTCTGTCGTGACACAGGCCACCACCTGCAGCTCCGCGCAGCTCCGCACGCAGCTCCGAGCGCCTGTCAGGGCCTCGCTCTGAGGCCCGGACAGCGCTGCAGGCCACGATGCCCACTGTGGCGGACCTGGAGGCCACTCAGCAAAACCGCTCCTGCAGGAACTTTCGGCTCTCTTGGGGTCGAATTTGAGGCTGGGGCTGCCATGGGCCAGACTGCTGGTGCCGAATGGGTGCCACCATAGACGACGTCAGAATCGGATACACCCCGATCACGGCGAAAGCCATGACCACCCGAGCAAAGCTTCCGAAGGGCCCATGTGGCAAGTCGAGGAGGACGTTTGAAGAGACTTTGGGACCGATAGCGATGTAGGCAATACCGGAGAAGCCGATGAAAAGCAAAGCCACAAAGCCAAAGCTAATACCCAGGCATGCCGCGAATCGGCGTGGACTTCTGTGATCCATCTGCTCGTACATTGGCAGTATACACATCTGCACTACGGCAGCTTGCATGAGAACACTCACCATGGCCAAATCCCCTCGCCCAAATCCCAGCAAGCAGCAATCCTCCACATCCTCCAACTTAGGGTCGCCCCTCCAGCCCAAGGAAAAGGCTGCCACCAGCACGCAGCACACGTAAAGGTTCGCGGCGATGCTAAGGGTAGATGAGAAGGCAAGATGCTGTTGATCCATGAAGCAGAGAGGCAGAACGACCGCAGCACCTGCGAGGACGGCGAGGGAACGCTCTAAGGGCAGGAGCCGTTGGAGACTGTCAGCGATGACCACCAGGTACCCCACCTGCGGGAGCTACAACAGTCAACTGGTGGCCAAGGGATGTTTGGATTTATAGGGATACCGCCCGCTAAGTGTCCGATTGATTTCAAGATTTTTTTTCAGTGTGCTCTCTCACTCGCGGTCTGCGGCCAACGCTCCAGAGTTTTGCCGCAGTAGCACTTGAATCTTCGTTGAAGTGAACCCGCCCACCAAGCACATGAAGACCGTGATCCAGATCATCGCTTCGCACAGCGCCCGGGCAGCTCGGCCAGCATGAGGGAGACGGCCGAGCAGGCTGCCGAGATCGAACACCTGTTCTTTCTCCTTGGTATTCTGTTAAGGAGGCAAGTCGGAAGAAGGTCCACTCAGGAAGAATGAAAGCAGTCCAACTTTGAAAATCCCGAGCTCTGCCGCATACACCAAGATGAGGTTGGTCCCGACATTCGCTGCCAACACCACCAGGGTGAGCCTGGCTGATGGATGCTAAGGTAGCATCACTTTCTGCTGAGGCTAACTAGAGGACGGCAAATGGATCTTGTATGCATGACTCTTTGGTCCGCTTTGGTTTGTGTTTGTTCTTTGAAGCAGGTGTGATGGCAGTGGTGATGTCTGTGATGTCGGTGGTGGCGTTGGCGAAGGGTTCCAGGAAACGCAAGCTTCAGCCCACCAATAGCAGTTACCCATCACTCCTTCCCAAACATACGGAGACATACCAAGACCGAGATTGAATCAGATTTAGACTTCCGTTCCACCCAGTTTGTCCTGTTCCGACTTGTCTGATGACCCGGAAACCACACATCCGAAGCCACCAAATATTGAAAACTGCCTCGCGTGGAACAAGCACTGCATAAGCTTACAACCTTCAACAGATGTGTCAAACGTCTTGGGACTTTGAAACGCCCGAAATTCTACTGCATGTTACGGACTGCTACGTGTGTCTTGCCTTGACTGCTGTCAAGTCACGTGTCATTGACACGACAGTGGTACAGTCAGGACGACGACAGCAAGGATACTGGGAGGACTGTCTGAGTGTAGAGTCAATCGAATGAGAAACCGATTCCGAATGGAGATAGCCATGATGGTGGCGGCTATGCCCTATGGACAAATAGACAAGCAGACATGCTATGACTAAGCTAGGCAATTTCGGCAAGCAGACACAAAAAAACAGTCACACAATCCAGACAGCATGGTTGCAGCCTGGGTGGAAGCTCACGAACCGCTTTCATAAGAACCAAGTTTCCACTGCCACCGAGAGGCATGGCTGCAGGCACGAGAGATGCGCCCGCAGTCGCCCAGGGGAGACTGAGGATGCCACAGCCCAGGGTGGCATTGATCCTTCAATTCTTACAAAGAGTCGAGAGTGGAAGATGGTCGAGTGGTCTGTTGAGACGCCGGATTTCAAAAAAGTTTAATCGCGGCAAGCCGAGGCCAACGAAAGCTCTTCCAAGTTGCAAGAGATGCGGGAGCCCTCTACTGATGGCAGTCTCGTTTTAGTGCCCCCTGTCGAGTACTGTTGTCTGTGTTATGCGTACAGAGACCCTTGAGGTAAGAGGGAGAGGTTGCGGTGCCTTCAGTTTCCCAATAAGGACGCGATAGGGGTCCAATGTAATATAACGTATCCCCCCTTACCGTCCTTAAGGTTCCTTATGACTTCTTGCTACTGTTATCATGTCACACTATGTCTTGATGTGTTCTTACTAGCACGATGCTGGTGTCGTTGTTTTCTTGTCGTCCTCGATGCTACTGCTGGGCAAGGCTCAAGTTCAGGATCAGGGCCAACTGGGACGCCCCGTGCTGCTGCTCGATGAGTGGGCTGTCCAGGCCCTCCATGGGCTTTCTGTTTGACGACAGGCCTTATGTGCGGTTGGTGAATCTTTCCGCGTCCTATGGAACCTCGCGGGTCATAGGGCTCATACTGTGCCTAAATGACATCTGCTGCTGCCGCCATCCGGCAGCTTTCCGCCATGTTCTGAGCCAGCAGCTATGTCATGCAGCTTATGATGAAGTATGTACGGCCGCGGCGATTGACGCTTCAACACCGACACCTTCATCAGACTCATGGATATTTTGCGCGGGTTGTGAGTCAAGGTCATCCTGATTCCATCACATCAATTCTCGAACAGCAGAAGTTTACTGCCATTCGAAATGCGTTCGAAAACATGCATGCCAGTTGAAGTTCTACAGACGTTCGCAGAACGTTTTGAGTTCCTTCAAATAGCCCCTCTCAGACTTCTTCCAGCCGTCTGCCTGGCAACATGCCAACGCAGCTGCCAAAGTGTCAGCACAGCCCACTGCATCCTCAGGCGCACACACGATCACCCGGACTTGAAGCACAAGATCGCCACTTGGCCTGTTCCACACTCGTTTGCGAGCAGCATGCAAGAGCTGAAGCTTTGGCACAACACGCGGTTCTGCAATGCCCCACTTAACTTCCAGCTGTCATGCGAGCCTAGGTAGAAGTAGATGAAGTGCTTCCTCCGTGGCGGAGCAGCTGTTGCAAGTTTGTCGAGACAGGGCATGAGACAAACAGACACATCGTTCACTACCGCCGCAAAGCTGCGTCTCATGGGTCACATAAGATCCGAAATTGCGTCCCACCACGCAATGCCAAGTGGGATTGTACCTGTTTGCAGCAACAACCAAGCCGTGCAAGCATTTGTCCAAGCCAAAGTTTTCTGCTGTCTTCCATACTATCAAAGCATCCATTCCCACTCGTCCAGACTTGCAGCTGCGGATTTAAACACCGGACGTTGCTTGCCAGTGTTCGGCCACTTGCCTATGGAGCTATGAGCACTTCTTGTCAAACTCCTTCTTGATGAAAGCAGCAATGTCCTGCAGGTAGCAGCATATATGCGACGGCTAGGCCAACAAAGATTGAGGAATCTCGTCGGGTGCACGGAACAGCTGTCAAGATGAGCCTGACCCATTGCAGCACTTAGCCAAACATGCAACATGCATTGTCCTTCTCGATGTTGTACTTCTCCAGTGCTTGTGTGGCACAGTCGATGGCATCCTGCTGCATGTCCTCAGCCATATCTGCGTTCTTGATGACCTCAGTGAAAACAACAAAATTCCCTTCACGGTGACTCCCGCTGGTGGGCAGGAGGGGCTGGGAGCAGGATCATGAAGGTATGGTGCTGGAGAGAAACCAGCGATGACAGGAAATGCGCAGTGGCAAACGACAAGCTCGAGGACCCACCAACAATGCCGAGCCACAGCCTTGCGATCCGCCATTGCAGAAGGATAGCTAGCTTACTGTTTACCGGGTCCTTGCTGGTCAGTTTGGGCCTTGCTGGCTTCGGAGAGAAATCGGGTGTGACAGCACTCCCAGGCTTACACTTGCTGAACATGCGACCAGAAAAGTGCAAAGACTTTTGTGTCCGGCTGTAAGTATCGGTGGCGCCCCTGAGTCTTCATCAGTTTAGCAGGATGCCATCATACTTGGTCTGGAACCTCGGGCGAGGGAAAGGCGCTGTCGAGGCAGTGCGTCAGTCAGAAACGAGACAGCGCAACAAACCGTGAACCTGCAGCCGATTGAGGCCTTGAAATGTTTGATTCGAGTGTTTCTCCTTCGCTACCGGAGCCGAGGGGCCACTTCATGCCGTCCTCCTTCCTGAGCCTGTGGGAAGATCCGACCCTGCCGCGGCGGAGCTTTCGGTACTGCACGCGGCCTCCTGGCCGAGACAAGTGCACGTAGAAGTCCATGCCGTAGATGCCGGTGCCGGGGTCGTACTTGATTCCGAGGTCAATGTGCTCGGTGATGCCGAAGCCGAAGCTGCCGTTGCGTGCGAAGTTCTTCTTCCGGAGCTCGTATTCCTTCACCTTCAGCCCCTTCTCAAGGATCTCCTCTGCCTTCTCGCCACGGACTGTGACGTGGCATGCGATCTTCTCGTTGCGGCGGACGCTCCACTGGCGGATCGTCATCCGAGCCTTGGAGAACACGGGCTGCTGCTCCGTAAGCTGCTCAAGCACCTTTGCTGCCCGCGTCAAGCGGTCACCACTCTCGCCCACACTGATGTTGAGCACGAGCTTCTCCACGCGGATCTGCCGCATCGGATTCTCCGACTTGTCCGCCATGCTGGGCACTCACCTATGTGCTACTTCCTGATACTTAAGCCACCCTGAAAGCAGCACACGCGAATTCCAAACCTGACTTGACAGCCTTCTGCGCGGAGCGACCCGGAAATTAGAACCTTGCATCTGAAGCACTTTTTCGATACATGCAACGTCAATATCACCGAAAAACACGACACAGGTTCCGAAGCTACGCGACTTCGTCAGCGATGCTGGAGACACTGCAGGTGCACAGCACAAACGACCAACCGTGCTTTGCACTCTCTGGCCTGGGTTTGCCACTCGCACTCTGCATTCTGTGCCATGTCTCTTAATGGGCTTCGGCAGCATCTCAAGTCTCGAGCAGAGTCTTGAGGTGCTAAGCTGAGAATGAATCTAAGCTCACGCATTCCTTTTCGGCGAGAGCGCCTCGCCACTTCCTTGTTGGGGTGGAAAGAACCTCCTCTCTACCAGCAGAACTTGGTGGAGGCAGCAGAGGTCCTGTGAGCGTCATCGGAGCGGATAGGCCTCACGTAGCGAGTACGTAGAAGACTCACCGCGACTGTGCTTGCCCCACTGAAGATCCGGCTGAACAAAGTTGGTAGGTGTAAGAGGCTTCGTCCTGTCGAGAGTCACAATCGGTGGAAGACGGAAGATTCAGAGAAATCTTGGCTTGTGGGAGATCCTTGCAGCCAACGGCACCTGAACATGAAGCACATCTTTGCAACAGCCCTTGCTTTTGTGGCCAAAATTCTGAGAGAGCAGCCCGCTTCATCGTAGTTGCAGCAGCAGTCGTCGAAGGTCTGCCAGTCCTGCCATCGCTCGCTGGAGCTCATGGCACGCTCTTCTTTTGTATTTTCTATGCAGATAGAAGCTGCCGGGTCCCGCCAGCTTCTGAAGACTGTCTCCTGAGCAAGGAATCAATGGGCTCGGGTCAACTAGCCCTGCCGTTGCTGGCACTCCAACCTCGAAGGTGCAGAGCGGCCAGACCTCAACATGCAATAGTCATTCAGACATGTGCCAAGGAGCAGCACATTGTGGAACTGAGCAAGGCCACGTACTGCGCAGCAGCTATGTTCAGCTTGCCAACATCGAAATTGAAGTCCTACCACACGAGTCAACAAGTCAAGCTTCGACGAGAACCAAAATGGAGGTCCTCTGGTGTAGAGCATGGCCGGCGACTGCCCTGACACCTGAATGAGCTATCGGCATTCTAGGGTCGTGCCAGATACACGACACAACAAAAATAATGCTGAAAATTCGACGGAAAATGTTGTAACCCGACCAAATGTTAGGTGCATCCTGCTTCATCCGTCCGCAGCCTACTTTGCTGGCTCAACGAAGGCACCAGCAAAGGCGGTAGTCTCCAGGACCAGCTTCGTCGACAAAGCCTTGATCGCTGGTCAAAGGCTTGATCACTGGCAGCACGCAGAGTGTTCATCTAAGCCCCGATTTGTCGCTTGCCATCGATGGTCAATCGCTGCTTACATCTACGACGACATTGCGAGCTTACAGCGCGCAGCCGGCGGAACAGACATGTCAAAGCCTTCGAGGAAGCGCAAAGCAGGAGGCATTGCAAGTCGTCCTGTTCGTTCCACCAAAAAATCGCTGGGCGGACGGCGGACGGCGGCAGCAACATCTCACTGTTAAGGGCAGAGAGGGTGGGTGCCGAAAATCACTAGGACTCAACATGACTCAACACTTCACAAATGAGCAACAATCTGTGGCGTGCGGCACGAACGCTCTCACATGTCATTGCATGCACAAGTGCACCGGCACCACTACTACTACTACTACTACTACTACTACTACTACTACTACTACTACTACTACTACTACTACTACTACTGCGGCTGTTGCTGTTGCTTCTGCTCTGCTCCGTCTCCTGCTACTGCTGCTGCTACTACCACCAACTGCTATTGTTACCAATACTGCTGACAACATATCTACTCGTACTTCGCAACTGTACTACAACTACAACACTACTAAGCACTTTGCTGCTAAAATTCTCATCTGCACTGCAGTACTACACCGCCCCACTACTACGACTACAACTACAACCACCCCCACAACCACGACTATGACTGCAGCTATTTTTTGGTCTATGACAACGAGGACGACGACGCAGACTATTACTACTTCCACGTCTACTTATACACCTTTGGCGGGAGACAGATGCTGCATCGCAGTGTGTGTCATCTCCATCCTCTACTCCCGAAAGCTTCAAGCTCTTCACATGTGAGCCGTCACACCCACCACAACCAATTCTACCAATGCCTGCAGCCGGCCGGAGCTTCCTGAGGCATCCACCGAGACTGAAGGTACCCGTGTCGCCGGCTGCCGTCCTAAAGCAAAGAAGTCATTGAGACTGGGCGGTAAATGGTCTTCGAAGTGTACTGCATATGGTTCCCTCAGCTCTATCAGTCTGCTGAACATAACTCAACCTATGTATATAAGCGCGCACACGCACACACAGATACAAACATGAACGTACGAACCTGTGTCGTAGTTTGTGGCCGCCATGCCGAGAATACCGGGCTTGGCACAGTCTGGCAGAGTAGCCATCCAACAGCGGACCGATGCCTCGAGTCCCAAGCACTCTGTTGTTCGGACATGCATGCCAAATCGCACGATGTCACGTTCTCAAGAACTTGGCAATAGACGTGTTGACAGTGATGCAACTGTTGGCTGAAGGGAAGAATGGTACTCAGCAGCTATACTGGCCGTTGGCACAAGCCGCAAACCTGAGCCTCTGGCCTGTCACTATCTCTCCCGTGCACCCGCGCAGCCGCATCTCAGGCTTGGCTCCAGTCTGGGCACGAGCAAACAATTGAGCCGGGATCATCCGGGCACACACAGTAAAAATTAGTCGTTCAGTGCATTAGTGCTGCTTACTCATGGGGATCTAAGAGTATAGCCCACTGCACTGCTCCTTCATGTTCATGTCTTGCCTGATTTCACTGCTCCGTTGGTGTTCTATGGTGCTTTTGGGTGTGCTACAATCACTCAATCGATCCGTTACCTCGCTGCAAGCCTAAACCTGCTGCTTCTTTACATATTCTAAAGTCTCGAGCCTAGAACCTATGTTTGTATGCTCGAGTCGCGTACCACATTCTTCTTGTTACCTCGGGGCTGCTCGCTCCACCGCCCTAGATCCGTCGCTCCAAGATGATCTGCAGACTTTGGGTTTAGGAAAGAAGTCTACCTCCTGACGAGGCAACTTACAACCTGCTCCCCGCAGACAGGCCTTCACCACGACCAGATCACCAGCAGCGAGCGGCTTCGTGGTGGGAAGGTCCACGACCTTTTATTTTCAAACCGGTCCTAGACTCCTAGACCTGTGCAAAACAAGCCCCTCACCCTGCAGAGCGTCTCTGAGGCAACTGCCAGGTCGCAGGGGCCCTTCATGAAGCAGGTCTCGGACGGAAAAGCGTATGCGCGGGCAGCAGACTGCACTCTCTGCACTCTGCGAAGCCATGCCCGGGCGTTTGCTCTATGCAGCTGAGAGGCCACTTCAAGGTCAGCCTCCAGGCGCACCTTGGCTCTGGCCGGAGGGGGAGCCGGAGGGGGAGCCGCAGGATCTGGGTTGGGAGTGCCATCGCGAGTGTTTAAGTTCCCGACAAGGGTCACAAACCTCGCCAAGAGAAAAGAGAGTTTGAGCTTGCAAAGCTGAGGCTATGAGGCAGCCTTCCACTGTCACCTTGCATCTTGGGACGTGGCCCAGCAAAGATCGTGAATTCCGCGGGTCTGTTGGGATCGCAATTGGAAAGCCTGCTGCACCTCCACCAGCCCAATGGCCACAACTAAGAACACTTGCCCTAACTAACCCTGGCCATTCTGTCACAAATCGCTGCGCATTGGAGATCCGGACTCAGGGCAGCACCAGCACAACCTCACTCAAGTAGCACTCAAAGTGCATCCGTCTGCAATGGCACGGCACCCTTCAGTTCTTAGAGCAGTCACTGCTACTGGACTTCCGCCTGCGGAGGTCCTTGAAGATTGCGAGGCTCAGAATGTGCCCCACATATTGAAACAGCTCTGTATGAGAGACCACTCCTCTTTGATGATGCCGGGACCTTGAGAATGGCATCCTTTCCAAACACCACGACGAGGGTACCATTCTGGAAATTATGCTTTTCTGAACAGGTGTGCATGCACGCACAGAGGTGGGTGCCGGCTACTGCCATGCCTAGGTAAGCAGATTGGATCGTAGCCGAACCGGCTGAACATGCATCCAATATGTTTGCCACCCGCCCTTCTGAACATGTCGGACGGGAACTCGACAGAACTGGCTTCGAAGAAAGGCCCCAGGGACAGTAGGCACCCCCAACTGAAAAGCCCACAAGCAAGTCACTTTATGGTTGCATCCAATATTAAAACAAAGGTTTGGGCCTACGACAAGACAATTCCACGGCAGCTACGAGTAGCTGGCAGCTAGCTTCCCATCATCTACAAAGGAATCTCAGGCGGCCGCTTTGCTATCATGCCCTCCGTCGGCATCACCGGTGCGGGGTCGAAAATGCCAGGATTGTCCGGCAAGTCCTGTCTGAATGGCGGGGAAATTGACAAAACATCCCTCGACAAAGGCACTGCTTTGACCTCTGGCTTCTTCAACGAGCATCCGAATGAGCCACATTTCCGTGAACCGTTTGATCCTCCGTCTCAAATCGGTACCAGGTGCCACCTGCCGCAGCAGTGGGAACGAATTGTAAACTGTTGCATCTGGTAGCCTGGCAGCAGTGACACGCGAACCAGGTACCCTCGGACCCTTCCTAATATGGCAGGCGAGGGCTTTTTGCAAGATGTGGGGACAAGACCTCCCACCCTCTCTTGCTAAAGCGCCCCGCGCTTCTGCACAAACTCAACATAGAGTCATGTCAGGTGGGGAGAGGGGTGTGTTTATGCCTACTGCACCCAACCAACTGGGAACACCGCCGCAACAGTTTCAGCAAGATTACTTCCACCGTTTGCAAGACCGAAAACATGTCACGTGTTTAGCCGCTTAGCCGTCATGGTAGACAGCGCCTCACGATAGAGATCACTCAGCCTCGAAACCCATGAACAGACGGAAAAAGAGGCCCGAATTGCGAAGCGAATAGCGCATAAATCGCACTTATTCAGGTTTCGGGCGCCTGCATCTCTTCGTCTGAATAAGGAGAGACGCTGTGCTAGCTCGGACATAAGATGAGAAAGAGATAAGGACTCCCGTTGCATGCATGGTGCTTCCGAGATGTGAAGTGAGCAGAGCCCGCACTGCCTTGATGTACACCAGCCAGATCTCTAGCGTCGGGCGATCGGCCTTTGTCAGGATTAGGGTGAGGACAGCTGCGGCGCCACATCCGGGCCAAGTGCTCCATCACGTTTGCTAGCTGCCGCTAGCAACATGCAACAGACGTCAACAAAAAGTCTGCGAAGCAGATAACACGTCGAGATACAAGCCTCCCGTCGTATGGTTTCGAAGTAGCCAGCACTCTAGAATCCCCCTGCTGGATCCTCATCCCAAAATTCAACAGCGCACATGCCGCCGAGGCCTGCCCGCATCGTAAAGGCCATCATCTATATCATCTTCGGATGAAGCTGGGGTCCAGACTTGTCAGGACTCCATTGTTTGGTAGACCCGGAATCTCAGCGAACGGTCGGACATGAGTGAAGACAATGGGCTTGCGAACTCTTCAATGCTGATACCAGCGGGAGCAATACGATCATAACAGTACGATAAAATTGCCTCGCGATCCCTGAGCAAGAAGCTTTTAGGTGGGATTGCAGTATCTTGTTGAATCCAGTCGTTGAGAGCAGCGAACAGCCACTGCAGCGCAGGCAGGGAAATTCTGCGCAACACGTGACGGCCATGAATCAAGGAGCACAGATTCAGGCTGACCTGCTGGCTCTCGATCAGCACAGGGCTTTGATGGTTTCTGCTTCCCATCCAGACGTTGTGTAAGCAGCTTCACTGACAACCCAAATCATCCGCCGACGCTCGCAGTTTGCACGAGCAGTTACACAAGTGCCTGGGCTGGGACCTGATCAGAGTGCCAACTTTGCACCTGCTCCGTTGTCGCGTGTACCGGGAAAGCACCTACTGCATGGCACTCTGGGTTGAACCAGATCAGTCCAAGCTGATCAAAATGGCACCCGAGTCAAACGACTTGCCCAAAGCAAATGTAGGAACGAGAGTTCACACCGGACAGCCAGCCACAACTGTGCTTAATGATTTGCTGAGCAACAATACAAAACTCTGCCCATACTCTTGCTACCGAACGGTAGCAGCTGAAGCTGCGGCAGGACCAGCCAGGCCGCAGAACTCCCCGGTTTGGAGCATGACCATGTCCCCTGCCTGGCCCAACCAATTGAAAACAAGCTTCGTTGCTAAGGGCCGTTTAGCAACCTCAGCATGTTCCCACGACCTATCGTAGCAAGAGGCAACATGCTGCGAAATCTTCCAGCGACACCTGATCCTTCGCGTCTGGAAATCTCTGGATTGAATTTACACATCTACTCAGCACCGTGGCTTCCACCGCACACTTTTTTGACTCAAAGACCGGCCGCAGGCCGCGCCTGAAGACCCACGCCTCGGAAGCCTTCGATGATGCAGGTCTTGATCTCTGAAAGGGGCCAGCTCCTCTGTACAAAACATTGACATGGCCACTCCACAGTTGCTCAGAGTCATATTCGATCGAGGCTGGGGCAGTAGAGACACCTCGCAAACTGCGTAATGGTCGCTCTCAGCACCTTCAGCTCGAGCTAGGAGTCTCATCCATACAGTATCACTGTAGCACTGGGGAGGGCACCAGCCACGACAAATCTTAGAAGCTCGGTCGCGAAGGCACCATCCACATTGCAGCATTCCTCCGCTTTACCACGTGCCATCAGACTTTACTTAGCCATCCAACTTGCAGCCACTTTGGCTTATACAAACACATCCGACACCGCCGAATTAAAATGGAAATCTGAGCCCCGCGCACCGAATCCGCCACAAAAGCATGCACGGTAGGATCCAGGTTGCCTTACATCTGATTCAGGCTTTAAGAGTTTTAGTAGTGGTGGTAGTAGTAGTAGTAATAGTAGTAGTAGTAGTAGGAGGAGGAGGAGGAGGAGGAGTAGGAGTAGGAGTAGGAGTAGGAGTAGGAGTAGGAGTAGGAGTAGTAGTAGTAGTAGTAGTAGTAGTAGTAGTAGTAGTAGTAGTAGTAGTAGTAGTAGTAGTAGTAGTAGTTTTGGCTCCCACTTGTCGGACTAGTAGTAGTAGTAGTAGTAGTAGTAGTAGTAGTAGTAGTAGTAATAGTAGTAGTAGTAGTAGTAGTAGTAGTAGTAGGAGTAGGAGTAGTAGTAGTAGTAGTAGGAGTAGGAGTAGGAGTAGGAGCAGGAGTAGGAGTAGGAGGTCTCGGCGCCGGACATTGCTGCGAAACCTGTCCAGGTCGAAGAACCTTGGGTTCAATAAAGCGTAGAAGTCATAAGCTGTATACTTTAACCTTTTGTCATATTGGAGATGCATGCTCTCATCATTTTCCACGCAGGCTTTTGCAGTGATGAGCTTCCAGCTGCTGGTGCCAGACTCCCGTTGGCCGTGAGTTGGACCTGAGGGCCAGGCCAAGCGGGAAGCGAATCACTGACATTGCAAGGCCTGCCTTGAACCTTCAGCGTAGCCACGGAGCTGTAGGCATCTGGGCGGAGTCACTGCATGAAAGACTACCCCCGCTCACCAAGATCACTTCCTGATCTGGTCTTCAAGCTTTGTTGGTCTCTGCAGCTCTTTGCCGTGCATTGCCGTGCTAGGTCCCAAACCACCGCAGGCTGCTACCTGAGTGAACACGTGGCGTGATGACACATTGCCGTGGTACCGGGGAATCCAGTCGGATTTCTGGTGCAAAAGATCGAACCACACCTCGTCACTCTCCACAATCTTCATGCGATCTTCGTCCTTCGTAGGCTCAGGTCGAACAATCCGACAAATGGGTGGCGGTCAAAACCAAATAGTAGGTGCCGTATTATATTAAGGACCCAAGAAGGGATCATAATTTTGACAACCACCCAAATGATCATACATTGGCTGTCGCATGAGACAACGAGCTCCTGTAGGAATGGCGCATTGATCGTGAATCCGAAGACTGATCTGAGCTTGTACTCCTGTCTGACATGGTGAGGCGACTAATTTGTCTGCGTCTCGCAGAACCGAGACAGGGAAGTCAAGCCAACCCGAGCAAAATAAACGGGCCTCTTGCCGACCTGAAGGGATGTCAAAGCCTCGTGTGTCCCAGACCTCAAGCATCGCGAACGCAAAGGCTAAGAGCGGCTAAGACTCTCGAAAACAAACGCCGAGAATAGCTGAAGATAGCAGGCGGACGTCTAGTCTCTAGAAGCTGATCTTGACCTGAAGCCGTCACTCCATGGAAGCTTCTCCCAGGAGCAATGATTAAGCCCGAAAATGCTCATGACTCAAAAAATCTCCCGAGGCGTTAGATGTGGGTTAGATGTGGGTCGGGGGCAAGCAGATTTTCTGGCTCACAGAAGATGACGCCCATGGACCACAGGAGGCAACGGACGGCTGTTACTTGTTACAAGACCTAATCCTAATCGTAACCTTCCAACCCAGCTTCCGTGAATTTGTCGAGCAAACACTTTGGACAAGTCCGCCGACGTGAGCGACGGCACATTGTCTGAGAGAAGGGCTGCAAGGGCACCATTGTATGCTGCGCTCGATGCGACGAGCTCCTCAGATGACGAAGGCAGTCGCGGTCGCAACAGTAGATAGAAGTGGCGATGGCCCCCCGCAGAGATCCTCACTGCTGTCACCCTCTCTGGAAACCCAATAGTCTCTGTCAAAGAGGCAAATGGGGTGGTAATTACGATCCCAGTTCAGAGCTGGCTCAAAGCACTTCACGATAAGAGCTCGGCTGTGCAGTGGGGCAGTGGGCACACTGTGACATCAGCACATGCTAGGCTAGGGCCAGGACGAGGCGGTCAGGAGCAAGGGCCACTGCCTCCAAGTTAAAGGCTTTTGCACATCCTTGCGACTACCGTACATGCTCGCTGGATTCCATGCAGTTGATCCGGGTGCCTTCGATGCTGCTGGGTCCACCTGCCATGTGCACAAACAACCTGACAGGCTACAACATGGCACCAGGGCTTCGGACGACCCAGGCTGCAGTGTTTCGGTGTGCTGTGGTATCTGATGGCTAGAGCTGTAGAACGTGAGACGCGGTTCGCAAGTACGAGGATCAGGTGTTCTGATCACTGCATTTCGAGCTGACCGCCTGAAGCCGCTGCTCGGTGCGGAACCACAGAATGCAACTTAGCTGCTTTGAGTTTGGGGTCAGTCCGCCACTCGCTCCGACTCAGGACCCGAACCAAAACCGAGAAACAATCAGAAACACACCCTTTACCTGCCTTCTGCATCCGGAACCAATCCCTGGTCCTTATGGTCCTTATCGTAAGAGCGGAAGGGACTGCGAGACGAAGAAGTCAACAGGCAAAGGAGGCTCCGGGCCGGCATCAGAGAAAAAGGCAGGACGCAGGCGGCTTCCCACGAGAGGCTTCGCCTTTGGCCGCCGAATCTTCACATTGCTCGCATTCCGATCGGGGAGCATCAGCCTTGCAAAGAAGTGGTCCTCGAGCTTCATTGCATCGACGACGGAGCAGCCACGACAGCCTGGATTTGACCAGCTACTCAGATCTCGATCACCACTCCGCTCGCAGAGTTGGCACCGGCCGTTCTCCACGGCAAACTTCCCAGCCTCGGCCTTCAGCAGATCCTCGACCGGAAGAGCCTGATTGGGCGGCTCCCGTGCCACCGGCTTGAAGGACGAGGCCACCTGCCGCGTCAGCGCGTCCGGGTCCACGCGACTCCGAGCAGATGCAGGCGCTGGCCCGCCAGCGCCCGGCACCGCAGGCGCCTTCGGCGTGCTGCCTCTGCTAGCTGTAGGCCCGGCAGGAAGGTCCTCATCACTGGAACTGTCCATCTTCTTGACTGTGACATTGGTCACGTCGTGTATGGCGCGCACGACCACAGAGGCCTTGCCAAGCTGCCGGACTGCATCCTTGACCGAGCTGCGGGTTTTCTGCCGATTGACATTCATCGCTGCCTCTCGTGTGATCCTCCCTGGAAGCATTTTCGGCGCCATGGGCTGCTGCTTACCACGGCGTCTCACCACCTTCTTGTTGCCTGGCCCAGCATTCGGCTGCAAGCTGGTCCGGCCGGTCAGCTTCTGCCCAGCGGGCGGTTCCTCCCATCGAGACAAGGGCAGCTTCTTCACCACGGCCTCCGCCCCACGAGGCCCGGGCGCGGGCCCAGACCCGGGCTCCTCTGGGCCCTCCAAGCCCTCATGCATCTGAGTGGAAACGAGCCGGAGGTAGGCAACCAGCCAGGAGATCTTGTAGAGAGAAGAGCTACTCTGCTGGACACCATTGCCGTAGAAGCCCAGGTACAGGAACACGATTCTGCAAAGCGTCTCGGTGAAGGCTGAAACCTCAAAGGCCGTGTCACTCTCCAAGGCTTCAGACTCCTCAGGCGAGGAGGATGAAATCGTGGAGTCTGTGCCTTTGAACTTGTCTTCATCCTTGCCCGAGTGAGCATGGCTAACTGGATCAGGACTGGCAGAAAGTTGCTTGAGCTTCGATTGCGATGGCGTGGGGCTCGTACCACTTGGCTTCTTGGCCCCGGCCGCCCCAGCCGCCCCAGCCGCCCCGGCCCCGGCCCTGCTCTTTGAGGGCTTAGACTCCGCACCTCTGTGCTTGGCCTTGGGAACCTCAGGGCAGATGGGCCGCGGAGGCAGCAAAGTGAAGCACTCCGTAGTCTCGTAAGCCCTGCGCAGCTGCTGCTCCGTTACCAGCTGCGGCGAAATGTGAAAGTCCACGCAAAACTGCCAAAAGTCGATCCACTGCATCTGCCCCGATGGCGCATAGCACTCGAAGAGAGTACTAAAAATGTCGCGGTAGCAGTGAACCACGTGGAGGACTTCGGGCTCAATTAGCATGGATGCTACGAGTCGCTCCCGGCAGGCCAGGTCTCTTTCCACGACGGATTTCCAGACCTTCACATGGGGCTGGTTCTTGCCCTTCTCCTTCTCCTTCTCAGCCTTCTCATGCTCATCCGTGGACTCACGGCGCTCCGAGCCATGGGCCTTGGAATTCGTGTGGGGATGTTTGCTTCTGTCTCCATGGCTCGCATCTACCGACTCGCGGCGCTCCTGGGATTTATCTTTGGAGTGTTCATCCCGGCGTTCGGCTTTGTATTCGTGGTTCGTTTTGGTCATGCCTGCCACGTAGGCATCGTCGTACATCCTGAGCTTCTTCGCCCCTTGCTTCATGCGATCCACGAACTCGTATCTGTCGATGGCCTCGTAATATTGCCGAGCGATAATATCCAGCAGCGAGATAAGCCGGAATCGGTTCACCTCGATTAGAAGCAACAAGGAATGCGTTCCTACAGCCACGACTTGGGACTGAAGTCTATGCATGACCTCGAAGAGGTTGTACAGTTGTACCATGAAAATTCAAGCACCATCCAATTAAATCGGAGACTCATACATTCACACTCGGCAATGCCAGGCGAGTTGACTAGTTACACCACAACATGCAAACACATCGGAAGTTCAAGCGATCCGAGAATTTAAGAACGTAGTCTCTCAAGACACCTTAGCAGCTCAACTGAGGCCTTCACGATAGACTGGACGGGTGCAGTGGGGGCATGGTGTGCTTGCGGAGGGCAGATTCGGCAAGGCTGTGCCAAGCTGTCAAACAAGGACACGGCCCAGAAGTAGGGAACCATAACCTGATCCACAAGCTCCACCTCCAGGATCATTCGGCAGAAGGTAGGCCGGTCCATGCCCATGCCCATTGCAGGCCCTCGTGTAGACACACACCATCGGGAAAGGCATCGAGATAAGACCAGTACCTCTTGATGGGTGAAAAGCCAACACATCTGAGATCCTTCGATGAAATGGTTATCCGCCAGGAAGCCGTTCTGTCGCTCGATCGACTGTTTCTCAGCTTGCTCCTGCTCCTCCAGCAGGTCTACAGGTACGAGGCTCTTCACCTCCACGGTTTTGGGAAGAAGAGACTCGAAGTTGGGGATCTCCGCAAAGAGGAGGCCAAGACGCCTCTCGTCGACTTCGGCGGTCCTCAAGCGCTCCTCATCTCGGACCTGCAAAAGGAGGAGCTCGGCCTTCTGCTGCGTGATCAGCAAATCCCGGGCCCTCGCCTCGGAGGCGGCCAGGAAGGCCTTGGAGCTCCCCAGGTCGCCCAGCCCGCCCAGCCCGCTGAGGCCGCTGAGCTCCGCGGAGTCCTCCAGGAGCACCTTCGAAGGACCCTGCAGGCCTTCTCTCTCGGCTCTCTCGGCTCTCTCTTTCTCATCTGAGTGAGAAGAAAGGCCCTGCAAATCGCTCAGCTCGGCGTACTCGTGAAGGTTGGAGGTGGATCCGAAGGTGGAGCCAACTTGGGCATTCTGCTTCGCGGCGAAGCTGATGCTCAATCTCTTGAAATGGGGACCACCATGGCAGTCGAAGAAATCGCTCAGACGGAGCTGCGAGAGTTGACTCTTCAAGCGATGGTTCCGAATGATGTCTGCCTGCATCAGCCATGCTGCAGACGAGCCCCACTCTTGCCTTGGCTGGTTTCGACTGGAACTTTATTAAACAAGAGAGGGACCCAGCCAGGAAAGAGCAGCCGAGCGACGCAGTGATCTGCAAAGCCGGGCAGCTTGCGACTGTCGAAGTGCTGATGTTGAAGTGGCCAGCGTCCAAGTCATCGCCTTCTTCGGCCCGAGTCTCCGCGAGCCTCTCCACTGGTTTCTGAACTCGTGCGCTCTGCGGGGTTGCCGGTAAGGAGAGCCTGACTGCAGGCTCTGTCTTGACGCTGGAGCTGATCGCTGCCCGAGCTGTCTGTTGCTTTGGCGCCTCTCTTGGACCAAGCTTGAGGCTCGGCAAGAATCCCTGCTGCCCATTACTCATGGCTGGTCATTGAGCCGTTTTAGCTCATGACCTGCAGTGCAGTCGCTCTCGGCTTCCACTCCAACTACCGCCAACCATGCAAGTCTTAGCCCATCGACCCACGGACCTAGAATCTAGAAGTCATAGCCCAGCACCGTGTCTGGTTCTGTGTGCTGGTGTGTTGCTTCTCTACGCTGTGTGACCTGGAGCTGTCAAGTCGCGACAAGAAAAATCGACTTGCCTGTTCACTGCAATACCCAGAACCCCAATCCTTGCTGAACCCGATGACAGAAGGGTGCGAAGCATGCTCTGCAACCCACCAAGCAAGTTCAGTGCACTTTGGGTGCTCAAGAAACCTGATGATGCCAATGTGGTTCAAGCTCGCATGCCGGACGATTGTGTGAGCTTCCTCCGCCGGCTGCAACAACTCGAGGAAGATCTGCCGAGTTTGGGAAATGCTTTCCATTGGGACCCTGGGAGACAGGGAAGAGAGAGAAAGAGAGAGAAGCTTCGTCAACGGCACATTAGCATGACAACAGTGCTTGCCGGGTGTTGGATAAGCACAGACTCTGCCACTCCCTGAGAGATGTCACAGAAGACGTCGTGCAAAGCTTGTGACGACGGTCCCGCGAATCTGGTCTTCTCCGGACTCTTACGGAATCGCTTTCAATGCGAAGCTCGGAGGGCAGAAAAGGGACAAGTCTCTACTGTAGACTACGTTCTTCCGCTCCCAGATTTTGCGGAACCTCCGATCCGGGTTCCAGAGGAGTTCGGGTCGAGTTCAGGAGATCATCAAGGACAGGCCCCTTTTCCTTCGCGTTACCATGGTCTAGTCCAGTCTCGCAAACTTTCGGCCCTCTTGCTCTCCTCTTGGATATCTTGGTGCCGATCTTTTGGTACTATTATAGTACTCGTGCGATCTCGAAGTCGGTTGCCATGCGAGTGGACATCGCCCTGAGCACTCTGTGTCTTGGTGCATCTCAGGGTTTCTTTGTTTCTGCTGGTACTGGGCTTACACCATCCAAAAAGCCTAGTGGCTCTACAAAAGCCAATCGTGAACTGAGGTGCGAGGACGAAGCCATGAGATTTCCATAAAACCCGGAGACGACCTGGTGACTTGTTGAAGCCTCACCCGGTCCGAGTCGGGAGAGCAGGGGGGGGGGGTTCGAGCGCAAAAGCAGGAAGAGTCAGATTGGTTCGCTCAGGGAGTGCGGCACCTCACTAATCGCCATGATCTCCCGGCTCCGGCCTGAGGAAGCTGTTCCAGCTGTTACAGAAGCTTCTGACAGGGTTCTGTCGCTACTTCGGACCTTGCTCACCTGTGCACTCTTTGCTTCTGTCAGGCTTTGCATGTCACTTCCGCACACTTCACACATCACTAAACGATCAAACCGTAGTTTGCACGGCCAGCGCGGCTGCAACTGACGCACAACCGCGCAGGCCAAAAGCGATGTGGTCAAAGCATCGACACACCGCCAACAACTTGGATATCGACCAGCCTGCACTAAACTTGGCATGTGAGGGGATGGCTCTGTGCCACTTGCCATCGGAGCGTTCGAGTCCTTCAAACGAGTGTATCAGGTGGGAAGCCGCAGAACACCTATGTACAAAACTTTGACTTATCTCTCATCGCCTGGATACATGAGTTTCCGGGACGGTGATCCACGAGCCTGTTGTGGGGACCTTATTCAAGCGACGATCGCCCTGCACATACCGTGACCTCAACTGAGCCCATCGCGTCGCGCCCAGCCGCACACCCACCATAGGCAATGCCACCCACTCCGACGGCATCTGGTGCTCCGAACCTCTACCACCATCAATGGCAATGATTGACCGGGTTACAACAAGCTCGCCGAGCTGGAAAGAGAGACCTCTAACATGGTGTAGTTGCAGGACATGCAACATTTGGGCACCTTCAATGAAGTTTTGCTCCGCTAGACGCTGCAGGCAGCCTATCACCGAGGCACGAGCATGACATATCCGTCGTGCGTGGGGTCCAGCAGCTCATCCTCGGCAACGAAAGGACGAAGGGTCGCATCAAGCCACAAACCTGCACACATCTTGCGAGACCCAGGCCGTATCATCGAACTCGATGAGTGCATGTGCATTCACATCGGGATTGTTTCCCAGGATGGGCCTGGGATTGAAGATGAGTTTGCTTGACAAGCTGTCGGCACTGTCACATTTACAGCACAGGCAAGAGCAGAGAAACCACTTAGCCCGCCACGATGATGCATTCAAGCAGTAGCGGAGATCACAGTTCCGAGCACTTTCGCGATAGTTGATGAGGTTGCAGAAGTCTTAGGTCGCACTGACACCACTCCGTGCGAAACCCTGGTGCAAACCGTCGCTGCACAGTGAAATGCAAAAGCGACAGGGGAAGGAAGCAGTCAGTATGGTAAGCAAGGGACGATTCTCCCTGCAAGCCTCCACGAATGCAAGTTTCAAACTGGAATTAGAAGTGGTTCTAGAATGCCAGCACGGCGTGACTTGGCGCGCCTGCTTGCAAGCCTCCAAGCTGTCACGTCCTTTCAGGTTTCAGGTGTCGCAGCCGTCTTTTGTGGAGAGTCTGTCGCTCAGTCGGTCCCTCTTCTTCAGCACGGACAGGGGAGTCGAGGCGTCTCAACCCGTGCGGAGTCGCACGCTGGGGAATCATGTGCGGATCAGTTCGGTCGGGTGAGAACAGGCTCATGCACCGGCTTGCCCCCGCACCCCCTAAACCTATCAGCCCCGCCGTGCCTGAAGTCTATAGGCTTGGTACCCCAACCGCCGGCAGTGCACGCGCAAAAAGTGATACTCCCCAAGTCTTGTGTAGCCTGAGCCTGTAGCCCACTTGAAGAAGCATGGCTCCAGTTCAACTGAATACCCGATGCTCAACAAAACGTGGTAAAGCAAGTGGGACAACCCTTCACAAGGTCATCAACACTCCTGTGGCACGGAACATCATGTGGTGTGCATTCACAACACTCGTTCCAGAAAACAGCATGCGAGGTCAGTAGGCTCCAGCTTCCCCCCGGAAGCACACCACACATCGAAACACCGCAACGACAACACCCCACTACCATGCTCTCATGTTTGCGTGATCGGTACTGGGGCAGGAGACTATCCTCTGGGCTGTCGGTCCCTCTCTCTGTCTGCCAGGTTGGGAGTTCGGGAAGCGTCCAGTCCCGAACCCCGCACGCGCGTGCACCTGCTGTCCTTTGCAGATATCTTTATGCCCTTTGGAGGCTCCTCCCCCTCTTAAATGCTTTGCTCGGGGTCTAGAGCGGGGGCAGGCCCCCGTACCGCGCAGCTTGCGCTACCCCATCCAACATCTCCTGCCTTTACAAGGACTGGTGCTCTCCTTTTTGGGTAGCTTTGTCTTGTGGCAGGGTAACCCTGTCAGAAACAAGTAGGATGCGTCACAAAGCATGGTTCCCCGGTCCACAGTCTGAAACACGCTCTCTGGTGCCCCCGACTGCGTTTTGTAGGCGAAGGTGCGACAGAACGCTGCAAGTAGGCAGAACATGCACAGGAATGCAGCGTCTGCATTGAAACATGTCGGGTGCCCCTCGAGTGGCGGCCCTGCCTGCACCTGTACCCCACCTGTAATGTCCATTCCTCACACCGAACTGAAGCCTGAGCCCACATGCAGCACTGCCCGTGACCTTCCGCTCAACCCTGAAGCTCTGGCAGTTGGTCACCCGCGTTCTCTGTTTCCTCCCCATTCCTCCCCCTCTCTCCATCTCTGTCTGTGTCAGTGTGTCTGTTTGTCTGTGTGTCTGCGTGTCTGTCTGGCCCTCAACTCGTCCGTCCGTCCGTCACACAGTGTGCGTGTGTGTGATTCCTTTGTGCCTGTCCTCTGTCCGTCCGTCCGTCCATCTCTGATTGGTTGGTTGGCTGTCTGTGCGCGTTTGTACGCGTTGGTTATTTGTTGTTTGGGTGTGTGGGTGGGTCGGCTCCTACTTACCTGTCAAGCCGACAAGCAGCAAGCAATCAGCTTCGCCCACAGTACCGGTCCTCCTTCCCCCTCGGACGGCCCCACTCGCTCGCAGTCTAGGCCTGCAGATCTTGTGAAGAAAGTCACCGCACCAAAACATTATGAAATGCCGAGAAGCTGAAAAGCGAAGTATTGCAATAACGAGACGAGCAAGAAAAACAAGACGAGTCGCAGCAACATAAACACGTCAGCTTTGTAATGTAGGATGCCTTCAGCAGACATGCCGAAGCCAAGCTGAGCAAAGTAGGTCCTGGCAGGCGTCTTCTGGACTTCAGCACAGCTTGTGCCTACACCGCTGACATCTTTTGATTGAACCGTGCCACCTGGACTTCAATTGAAGGGATTTGTCGTCGTGTTCAGGACTGTCGCAATTGGGCGTTGGTGGGTGGTGTTGGCGGTGATGATGACTGCCATGACTTGCATCAGGTTAGAGGCGTTGCTCATTGCTACTACTGCTACTACTGTGTCTCAAAGTGTCTTGGATGCGAAGGCTCCCAACTTTCGGCCCTTAGATCGTGATCGAAACACCAGGCAAGGGCCTCGCAGGATTTTCCTCATCCCATTGCGACTGTGCCGCACCGCCGCGGCAATCATCTGCCAAGTCGTCCGCGTTCAACTCGGCGGGGATTCAGGAAGGCGGTGCTGCACAACCCGAGCTCACAGTGTCGCGCTCCCAGCGCCGTCTTGTGGCGAAATACTGGACCTACTGCCTCTGGCAGACGACAAAAAGCTGATTCCATGCTGGTGTCAGATGGCGGAACATGTTGAAGCTGCACCTGTAACCATTGGAGAAAGATCGGTATACGGCTAAGGCTCGTTGGTTGGAGCGCTGAGCTTTCATCCGACGTCCTACCACCACTCATCTCTTGCTGTCAGCTCCCATGCACACCCAGACAGTATTCAAGGAATGGACGCTGTGCTCCAGGAAGTAGCCGCGAACTCCAATCTAAGTCGGATTCAGCCAGAGTTTCCCGGCTCGACATGATGACAACACGACTCTCTGTGATAGAATCTGGGCGACAGGCAAACTCGTAGGGAACTTGGATGTCCACCCGGATGGCCGGCAGACCTAAAACCAACATGGGACAGCAAAACAGATTTGGCTGGCTCGCCATGCACAGATCCGCCAAGAAGTGATGCAGCCCTTTCTGCGTCGCCAGCCCTGACTCTCGAGTGATGGGAGCATCGCTAGGCCTGCCCTTCAATTCAGAAGGATGCCGTCGTACTTCGTCTGGAACCTGAAGGAAAGCACAAAGGAGCAGTCAGCCGGTTCTGTGCACGCTTTTTGCGGGCTTGGGGAACTTGGGAGTGGCGATGGTGCAAATCCTGCAAAATCGCTTAACCTACGCCCTCGATATCATCCGTGCGAAAATATCGATTCGAGGGGCCACTTCATGCCGTCCTCCTTCCTGAGCCTGTGGGAAGATCCGACCCTGCCGCGGCGGAGCTTTCGGTACTGCACGCGGCCTCCTGGCCGAGACAAGTGCACGTAGAAGTCCATGCCGTAGATGCCGGTGCCGGGGTCGTACTTGATTCCGAGGTCAATGTGCTCGGTGATGCCGAAGCCGAAGCTGCCGTTGCGTGCGAAGTTCTTCTTCCGGAGCTCGTATTCCTTCACCTTCAGCCCCTTCTCAAGGATCTCCTCTGCCTTCTCGCCACGGACTGTGACGTGGCATGCGATCTTCTCGTTGCGGCGGACGCTCCACTGGCGGATCGTCATCCGAGCCTTGGAGAACACGGGCTGCTGCTCCGTGAGCTGCTCAAGCACCTTTGCTGCCCGCGTCAAGCGGTCACCACTCTCGCCCACACTGATGTTGAGCACGAGCTTCTCCACGCGGATCTGCCGCATCGGATTCTCCGACTTGTCCGCCATAGCGATGTTGCACACTCCCTCAACAGAGGTCAGCGGGACTGGAAACAAATCCGCTGTCGGCCGAAATTTTGCGGTCCACAGTGTTCATAGGTGCCAAGCTGAGGCAATACAGAAGTCTGCGGAATCTCTGAAGTCAAAGCAGGGGGGCTGTAGAAGGCACTCCGAACGCCGAGACTGCTACGCGCATCGCATCCGGCAGTGACGTTGCATGGTGCGAACTGCAGCCTCAAGGCTCGCAAGGCTTAGGCAAGCCGATCCCATTGCCGTCAGCTCTTCCTCCCTCCTGAAACGAGCAGAGCAAGCACTCGCTCAGCTCTTCGCGCCAGGACGGTTCCATTGTCATGCCGCACGATGTGCTGCTGCGGCAGATTGCCTTCCTTGTTTGGTCAGCGCTCTTACTGTAGACATCTCTCGCTCCCGCATGCTCTGGCAACTCCGGAAGTCCAAGGCCGTGGCGGGCCCCTGCCTCAGCCCAGCGCAGAGCCCCCGCCCCCCTCCTATATCCCCTCCCCCCGTCATGAGAAGCTCGGGCCGCGGCATCGACGACCAGGTGAGGACAGCCCGGCCTAAATCCTGAAAGGCATCAGAGAAGAGCTGCAGCTCAGGTGCGGCATCGCGGTAGCCCTAGAGTTCTTCTCCGATGATGAGAAGAGTTGAGGGTCGAGGAGTCTAGGAAGGCTCCTGCCCATCGAAGGTGACCCACTCAGGGCTGGGGACGGGCAGGCCCTGGTGCACGTTGGCCATGGGGAGCATCCTCAGCAATCTTCGGCTCTCTTTGGCGAGCTGTGGGACGGTTCGAAAAGAGCTCGGGACAAAAGCAACTTGCCTGTATAGCGTAGGCAAATGCTATCAATTGTTTCTACCATTTCCGACTGGGTGGGAGTTGAAACCTGCCGGAAGTAGCCACAATTCCTGGTATTGGCTACTGTTGGCTGGTGCCTTCGTGGCGCTTGCTGACTTCACCTTCCAACCGTCTTCCTACGGTTTGGCTTTGCTTCACACTCGCGGGCATGCTCAAGCCGTGGGGCAAGTAAAGGGCACACATGGCACAAGTGCAACAAGAAGCTCTCTCGAATCATGTACACTGTACATCACGCCCTGAGATCATGTCTTGACCGATCCCGGGCCCCTGATGGCGAGCCACTGTCCGTCCTGGCACTGAAACGCGGAGATCGATGCTGACAGTACGGTCTTTGCAGATCCACGCGAATCGCAAACCTATTCAAGCATTGAAGCTGTCCTGTGCAAACGCAAGGCCGGCCTGGGGTCCAGCAGTGTCAAGTGAAACCGCCCTCTTCGACAGAGCCTGAGGACTGGGGTGCCGGCTACCGCAGCCATCTGGGCATTGCTGACCGTCTCAAGGGCTGGCCTTCGGAATGCTTTACCTCTACAAATCCGGTCCTCAGCTTGAGCCGCTACCTCTAGCCTGGAGCCCTGGAGCCCTCAAACCTTTGAAACTTAGGGCGAACTCGAGGCAGCGGCTCCAAGATGCGAACCTGCGAGAGCGGAGCGACTCGAAACGTTCTCAGCTCTCTCACGCTCTCGTCCGCTCCCTGGGCCCTGGGCCTTCGTCATCTGTTGGACGTCCCACAAGGCCCCGGCTCCTCCACGACCTGCAGTTGCAGCTCCCCAAACGGAAGGGCACTTAAGGATGCCTCTCGAACCTTAATTGTCAACAGCAGCAAAGGTGGACACCAGCTGCGGCGAACCAATTCCCATCCAGCGAGAAAGCGACTGCCTAAGCACAAGGGGTCACAGGGGCCGTCATGCTACGGACGACGCTTGTCAAGAGAGTGGGTGTTTTACGCGGCATGAAGAGCCCTGGAGTTGGAAGGACTTCGGTCCAGAACTCCTTTGGCGCCCCCCTAGACAGACAAGCACAAGGCCCCCGACGAGCACAGCCATGTTCTTGCCGATTCCTTGCTCCTGATAGGGTGGCATCTTGGCTTCAGCATAGATGGTCTTACGCAACGAAAGCAATCTCATGTCCATCCGTTTACAACCGCCGCTGGACCGCAGAATAGTCAGACCCAAGTGACGCTATACTGACGCTATCACCTCACGGGTGTCCTCGCGGAAGGTGTGAATCGGCATCGCGCTGCTCGTCCGGCCTGCACCACCGCATGGCTGCGAAGCCGCAAGAGCTCGCGGCTCGCGCGCGGTGCGAGCCCTGAGCTCGCTAGATCTCCTGTTGGGGCTTTTCTTCGGCTCATCTGATCCGAGCGTGCGCGTGGCAGCAGCTGCGTGCGGCTCGCATTAGCTCGCCAGATCTTTACGATCTGTGAATTCGTTTGCGCATGGCAAGTGTGCCCTAAATCGCACTGCCATGGAATGAACCGCACATTCACCGGAGAAGCAATGGGCGTTCGCGGCTTGGCCGCCACGCAGCAAGCATCCCCAAGTGCCTGGCGATCTCAAAAAGTAGGAACGAACGATGCCTTTACGATGAACACCTACAGAGGGCCTTCTGCGGCCCTGTCGCACCGGCACACGGGCCCTCATCCCACCCTCTAATCAAAAACTTCTCTTTCGGGCAATTTCAGCCCTTTGCTACTACTACGACACTACGACATCTGATCATGCAACGAGGGGTCGCGGTTTCTTTGGAAACAGCTTGCCCATCATACAACAGACTCAAAGCGTCCCGGTGCCTGTGCTTCTTGTTCGGGTGCGTCCTCAACCGAGGCGTCTATGTCTTGGCTCTCCTGAGCTGGCGCTGGATCCGACTGTGTCTTGCCTTCACTGATGTAATCGACCTCCCCGCGAGAGATGTAGCGGAAGACCATGGTGATCAGCACGCCATCAATGAGGAGAAACAAGCTGTACAGCAAAGGGAAAACAGACACAGCACTGAATGTCTCGGCATCTGGGAAAGAGAATGCGAGGATTGCTAACGCAAGGGTGCTGTTCTGCAGACCTGTCTCCAGGCTAATCGTCCGACATGCACTAGGAGGCAATCTTGCCAGGAGTGCATTGGTATATCCCATAATGCCTCCGATTGGCATGAGGACTGCGCTGGCAAACCAGAGCTTCCAACTTTCGGCGAAGACATGCAGGTTCGTGACGACCCCCGCAACTAAGGCAGCCAAAATAAAAAGCATGCCTATCACGGAAGCCACCTTTTCAATGATCTTCGCCCCCTTGCTGCTAAAATATCTGACTGCCATGCCGATCCCAACGGGCAGGATAACCTCAGTTCACAGCTTCATTGGCTAGCGGCTAGCAGTACTACGTGCATCTGAGCCAGAGAGAGCCGGTGGCTAAAGGGCTTCGGGATCCTGGAAGCTGAAACCGCTTTTGCAATGAGCGCGGCAACTGAGACTCTGACGACCACAAGTGGCGGTACCAAGCTGCTAAACGGGATTCGAAGGTGCTCGTCAGTAAAGGGCGGGCTGTAGACCAGCAGACAGAGTGGCAAAAGGCCGATCGAAAGCAAAGTCGAGAGGCTCGTGGCGATGATTGACAAAGGGAGGTCGCCGCGGGAGTAGTACGCAAAAAGGTTGCTCGTGGAGCCTCCCGGAGAGCAGCCCACGACCAGCATAGAGATGCCTTGCTCTTTGGTCACTCCTAAGCCAATGGCAAGCGCGAAGGAGATCAAAGGCATGAAGACAAACTGGCAGAGGACCGCAACCAACGGCGCCTTCCAAACTTTCCGAGCCTGACGGAAATCGGCGGGTGTCAGTGTCGCGCCCAAGCCGAGCATTAGAAGAATCACGACAATCGCGAAGATCAGCTGCAGGGGATCCATCCTCCGCACCCTGGGGCCTGGCTTTGGTAGCCCGAGGTCCCCAAGTTGCGGCAGCGAGGGGAGATGAGGCTACCCTGCCAAGCCAAAGCCCCAAGACGAAACGATGACCCTTCTAGCTCGACGAAACAATGTCAAGACGAAACTACGTGACGTCTCGATGTCTGACATGGCGTACAACGGAGACGCAGCCATCAGAAAAGGCTTCATGCCTACCTGCAGCCAGCAGGTCCGCTAGGGCAAACCACGTGATGAGATCCTGACACTGAACGCTCTTGCTCTGCGACGGCTCGTCCGCTGAGGCAGCTCGGCATCGTGCGTCGTCGCCACCGGTTGCCAGCATGATACCCGAGCCTACAGCTCAAGCAGCCAGCTTCATGAATTGAAACGCTTCTAGTGGCCTTCTGATCGGGTGTGCTTTCAACTAAACTCTGTTGAAGCCCGCCTGTTCCCACTGAGAAGGCCAAAGAAAGCACAGCGCCACTGTGCACTGAGACCTTCCATACCGTGGCCACTATTGGTCGAAGACATCATCATGAGGCAGCTACAGGAGCAAGCCGCCTCACTCCTTCAGATCCGAAGGAGACTTGCTTCAACTGCTGATTCTATGTTCAACGCGTTTGGAGGCCAGGCTCCATGGTACGACGCCGTGCCCTATCCCTGTGTATCATGCGACCCGTGTCTTGGCAGGCGCGTTACAATCCTGATGTCTCAAGTTTAGCGTATATGAGCGAAAGGAAGGCTTGTTCGGACACGTCTTCTTTAGTCGTGGCTAACTGACTCTACAAGGGCATCGTGGCAGGCATCACTCACGGCAGTGATATCGGAAATGCGGGTGCAGGAAATGCCATGCAGGCAGAGAGGGTAAGTTTCAGGGATTGGCAATAATTTGCCTACGTGGAAGCCAACGAGAGGCCCTGACCCCCAACATCGGGTCGAGGCTTCCAGACAAGTCTGCAGCACGCTGTGCGGCGGCAATCCCACTTCTTATGCAAAGCTACTATCAGGAGACGGGGAAGATACCGTTTTCTGAATGCGGTCGTTCTGGTTGCATCGTGGCGACAGGGCCCTCGCGCTTAAGTAGCCGACCAAATTCGACAAAAATGAGGCGAGCACGGTTGAGACAGCTTCCGGCACGCGTGTCCTCAGCTTGGAGCTGTTCGAGCGGGCCTAAAGGATGTGCAAGCAAGGCCAGAGTCTCCTCGCATCCCAGATGTGCACATCGGCATCATACGATGCCGTTGCAATCACGGCGGCATCTGGCCTCGCCAAGCTGATGGAAGTTCGCGCATTTCGTCGCTGTGGCACATGCTTACATGGGGAGCATTTCAAGAGCCTTCGTAGCAGCATTTTCTTGCTCGCCCGACGAAGCAACTTCGATACAGGGGCAAAACAAGTGCAGTTAAAGTGCAGTTAGTCTTTGGCTTTTGCACTGGGTCACTGTACAAGACCTCCTGGGCCCGAAGCAACTGCTCGCGACCTTCTGGGCTCAGTCGCATCTCAAAAGCTATGCTCACTCGCGAAGCGCCCTGCAGCTGCACTTGGTGCAGGCACGGTTGGCAAGCGGGGAGAGGCACTGCCTGCAGGAAGTAAGCATGCGCCCACTCTTCGCCGATCATTGCGGCGGCACTGGGGAGCTCTGCGCTGGCCGGCACCCATGCGTGGTCTCTGTGGACTTCGAGCCCAGCGGTATCTGCAACCACGACAGTGATCAATCCAGGATCGGTGTGCTTACAACACGCCGTCCACTGCCCGGGCATTTCCGGGTAGTAAAAGACATCCATCACCTAAAGGAGTTGCCAAGTCTTGAGCAGCAGGCTAACACATTCGACAATTGCTATCGAGGCACAGCTGTGCTGCCGCGGCGGCCGCACAAGGACCTGCCAAACTTTCTGGCTCGCATGCTGGCTTGAAACCATTGCGCTGGACACTTTGACATTCTGGGCGCTGCAAAGGCTCTATCGGCTCTGATAGCTCTCCGCAACAAGCAACATTCAGCATTGCCTGAAAAACTGCCAATGACAAGCAGGGGATCCGGGAACCCCTTGCAAGCACCCCTTCAGCGAACCCCCTTGCGAACGATGATGGACGCCAGCAACGACCAAGATTGCCGGTCCCCCCCCCCCCCCCCCCCGCCCCGCCCCAAGTGGTGCAAAATACGACATATTACCAAGATTGCCCAAACGGAACCCCTACCCTCGTTCCCCCCGGGTAAGAACTAAGGCTGATCAAGATTACCAAGATTACCGGCAAACGCTCCGGCACAATGCATCATCATCTCATCTCATTACCTCCATCATTGATCAGCAGCAGCAGCAGCAGCAGCATCTTCGTGATGATTGTCATCGCCTCAGGCCCGGTGCCAGGAGCTCCTCTACAAGGGGCCGCAGCACTGTCCAAGTGGCCATGAGCGCATCCAAAGCCTTCAGTGCGGTTGGTGTTAGTATTTCCTGGCGATCAGGTCTATGTGACACCTTACAGTGCCTTACAGTGGGAAGGGGGCCTCTTCTGGGAGTGGAGCAAAGAGAGAGAGAGAGCATCTCATCGCGACAGAAAGTGCACGAACAACGGTTCACAGTCACAGCAGCTTGGGTCTGCTACGGTGATGCCGACACTCGACTCATCAAAGTTTCACCATAGCCAAACCCGGGGTGTCCGACCTCGATCTCATCTGCGCCAGCAACTTGCCGTGTGGCCTCGCCCAGCTCTGCCCCGTCGCCTTTCAGGACGATGGGAAGTAGTAGGGCTGTGTGTGTGTGTGTGATGCTGCAGTTCCCGCAAGAGTTCCAGCCAATCCGTCTTCGTCAGGTACAAGTAGGAGTCAGGAGGCTAGGGGCTTGGGGACATCATGGACCAGCTGCGCCGCCTTCTGCATGGCGATGGTTGAGTAGCTGATATGGAAGCAGCGCCGCCTGCACACAAAGGGCGCTGTTCCCCTCCTTCCCCAAAACAAGCTGGACATTGCATGCTGCCGTAAACTCGATCAGGGGCCTTCGCCCTCTGTACAAAGCTTGGGCGCAGGGGCGGCTGGCGCAGGTGGAAGCGCACCTGTGACCTCGAAACATCCAATCAAAGAAGAACCGTCTGCAAATGACCACAGCAAAACAACAAACAGCAACAGCAGCAGCAGCAGCAGCAGCAGCAGCAGCAGCAACAGCAGCAGCAATCGCGCGGTCCCAAGCACAAGACAGCACTAGCATCACCTTCGTACATTGATTAGTTACGAGCAAGCTCATCGGACTGGCATGACTTGGGGGCTTGTGGCTGCAACCAGATGACACAACTGCCCTAATATTTCTTTTCTTAGTTCGCTTACCATCCTCCTCGCAGGTCTAGGTCAACCTCAAGCACAAGTCCTACCCGAGCCAGCCTCTCGGAACAATGCATGATGAAGACCTGCCGAACAGCTGATATTCGGTTAGAGGTAAGACAGGTAAGTCATACCATGCGCTCGAATGTTGGCAGGTTGGTCGGCCAGATATCTGTCTCGGCTGCTGCACTATCCTGGTCGCAGATATTGCCCATGTGAGCTAGAAAGAATATGTAAGAAGAAGAACCATCGGGATGTACTGCTGCTGCTGCTGCCGCCGACGACCAGGACAACGACGACATCAAGACAAGCCGCCACCCTCCTTACAATGCAAGAAGTTCACCGTGACCTGCATCAAAAAGTAGACGCCTAGCCTCTGCAGAAGGGCCGTGGTGCAAGACGGCAAACGGATCCGCTTGGCACCCTGCCTGTTTCAGGGACCGGGCAGACATTGAAGCGAAAAGTCTACACAGGCAAACCGATGGACCGGCTGTCTCATTCGAGAACAATTCTCCTGCAGTGCTGCTAAGCGTTGCAGCTACACCCTTACACTCAGGCTCAGCCACTGCATCCCAGCCACTGGTCTCCGGTGTCTTCGATCATGCTGGAGCCAGCGCTTGCACTTTTCTAGTGCGGCCTCCAGAACTCGCACCTGACACACAGCCGGTGACAAAAGAAAGGTCGGCTCGGTTTCATCCCAAGGCCTGCGAGTGCGAGAGGTTCAGCGTCCATGAACTGAATTGAGGACCGGCCATGCCGGTCCGAACCATGCAGAAGAGGCCCCATGCATGCCCGGCAGAACGCTTGAGCCGAATCAGCATTGGAAGCATTCAGAAAGCACAAATGGAAACTTCCAAGTCGGGGAAGCACGTGCACTCGAGGCCGTGGCGACACGACAACGGCGGTGAGGCCCTGCTTGTGCGCCACCGGCCAGACATGTGCCTGCATCATACATGGCTATTCATGTACTCGGCTATCAAGCTGGAGTCCCACATGTTTTATGCAACGGCGGCCTCCAAGCCACATTTGGGCAAGCAGGTCCTTGCTTGAGACACTGATACATCTGGTCGAGCAAGCTCGGGAAGAGTCAAAGCTTCTGAGGAGGTCGCCCGAGAATGTGGCATTCCAAGCTCGGCCCGCACCTTTCGCTCTGCGCAACAATTGCTGTGGCAGTAACACTACCCAGAGTAAGCATGCAATACAAGATCATGCCGCATGAACGACATACGATCACCAGCGGCCGGCTGAACGCGTGCATCAGCAACAAGAAGCACGACGATAAAACTGACCCGGCGTAACCGGTAATGACAACAACAATGATACTGACAGTGGGTTAAGATCACCCATCGACTGCTCGGCTACTACTCAGCATACTGTGCATAAAGTTAGGATTGTCTGTAGCATCACCTGGCCTAGTACATCAAGCCATGTAGAAGGCTAGCATATCATACTAACCAGCCTTTTTGGTATGCCCTGGCGGGGCTTTGCCCGCTCCTGCCTTTACTTCCAGCCTCAAGCCCGTGTTGGGTGAGCCGAGAAACTCAAACATCCTCAACGCCTCTAACCCTCGATCTAGCGGGCAAAGCAACATTCGCAATGGCTTCTTTTCGCGAGTCTCCATCCTGATCGTCCTAACCCAACTGCTCGCATCCCAATGTGGGAATGGAGAAGCACTCCTTCATCGTTTGAAATGGGACGGCAGGGAAAAGCTGTGTTCCTTCTTGCGCGACTGGGCGTCCGGCTCACAGAAGTCGGCTGCCATCTCCCGGAAGTTGCTGCAGGCCTCCGCTTTGAATCTTCAAGCTTAGTCCTTCACACATCCTTTCGATCCGTAGCATCAGAAGCTTGGCTTCTCAACACGTGCCTTCTCACACTGCATCGCGGCTCGTTTCAAGGTGAGGTGACCTGCCAGAGATGGCAAACGCGGTCGTCTCTGTGACTGTCGTCCGCTCGCTACTCCCAATTTGCCCCGTCTTGTCTGTGCCTATGTCTGCAAGATCTTCATGGGAGAGAGCTTCTGCAAAGTTCACGAAAGGCTCCTCGAACGTAAGCAGGTGGCAAATCCACGAACTAAACTCCACTTTGAAGGATCCTGCGTGATGTTGAGGGGATTCATACTCAGCCTTGGCACTGCACTTTGTTGCAAGATTTAGGTAAACCAGTCTGCAAATGATTGACAGGAATGGGGTGCACACACATGGCCCAGGATGACGTTCTGCCAATCAAAATCAGGCCTCGTCGCTGTGCGCGTCAACAGCATTAAGACTCAGCGCGCTCCAGGTTTATGCAATGTGGCAACATTCTTGAGCCTGGATTCCATCTTGGCTCCGTGCATGTTGCCACCTGGCCTGTGCCACACAGGACCCCAGTTGGGGCAAACGTGCGGCGGCACCTCAGGTTCTTGTCTTTCAGCATGAGCCTCCAAGTCGGTTTGCTGCATCTCGTAGCTCTGTGGGACTACTCTTGGGTCCCCCCGCGCCCAGGCCATGCGGGCCGAGGCCCGCAGCGTCGCCCCAGAGCCGCAAGCTGCCATCGAGGCCTTCTCTCCACTAGGCACCAAATGTTCGCAACTTATGCTACTTGTAGCAAAGGCCTGGATATGTAAGCGATGCAAGAGCACTGGAGACTTGTCATTGAAACCGGAGCATGTAAGCTTCCTGAGACTCGCCTGCTGATGCCAGCCAACTGCCATCGGGTGCCCAAGCCACTGCCTGTAGCACTCGAAGTGCACACGTGGGCACGTGAAACTCACAACAACACCAAAAGAAACTGACACTGTTCATCGTGCGTCGCGCCGTAAGCAAGCAATAGCGCTGATATATTGATAGATTTGCTGGATGTTCATGCATGTTATGTGGAACAGGCATGCAGCTCGCCTGCACATGGTCGAGGTGGCCGATCAGCCTCACAAAACTACACTACAGATGCTCGCCTAGCAGGTGGTACTTGTTCATGTGTTGTACATGCTTGAAGGTGCAACAGCTCGCACTGCTTCTGTAGCTGCCACGCATCGATCGAAGCAGTGAAAGTGCTGGGGCCCTTGCGTTGCGGCAATCTCCGGGACGGCTGGCTTCCATATGCGCACCACTCCATCCTCAAAAATCCAGCGGCCGTGCAGAGGTGCTACAGCATGCACTTCAGCCCGAGCTGCCTCGTATCCAGCAGCAACCCGGCGCTCGGAGCCGAGTGGCTGCGAAGCGTAGGCGGCAGCTACCACAGGACCTCAAGGAGTCTGCAGGGCACCGAAGGTGCTCCTTTGGCCTTCGGCTGACTTTCAGGCCCGCGCTCTTCGACACAGTGAGGAGCGACACTGGAGGCACACTCTCCGCAGCCCTGCACTGCAACGATTGAGTTCATGTGCGTGAAACTGTTACCTACCGTTAACACGTGCGCTTGCCAAAACTGTTCATCATCGACATTCACCGACTAGCCATCAAAACCTTTAAAAGTGGGAGCGACTGGGGACGGAACCCCGGTGCGTCGGACCTCATCAACACCTGCCAGGTGATCCGAGAGGGGGCATCTCTGCTTCGAGCTTAAACGCCTTTCTGTGATCGATTTGGGACCACATCGTATGCTTTAGTAGATTTCCAAGTCTAGGAACAGTGCAACCGGTGGAGATGCAATGGCGTGCTCATCATGTGGAACATGATGATGGCCACCTGTCGTGTCGTCCTTCGACAGTTTCCACTCGGGGCTTATGGATCGTGGCAGAACGGTTGTAGCCTCTTTCCCCTCTCTGCGTGGGCTTCGCGGCTCCACGGGCCGATGCGCTGGTATCGAAAGGGATCCAAACTCGCACGCAGAAATTCAGAAGTCATCTGCCTCGCTTCACCTGCCATGATTACCTCTTTCTGTGCGTGCTGCTTGGAGAGCTCAGAAGGCTAGGTCACATCTGCGATACAGCGACCGATATTTTCGAATCGAGAGCAGCCTCGAGTGCGACGATACAAGCCACGTCAGTCCAAAACCCTTCGCGCCTGGAAGGCTTTGCCAGCGGGAGTCCAGTAGTGCGATGGATGCGAGCAATCCTGGCATCGATGCGACTCGGCGCCAACGTCTCCTAGCCAGCTCGGCAGTCTGAGAGGCCAGCATAGGCGGGAAGCGCTCCACAAACGCAGATCTGGTAGATTCCCAGGGTGTAGGTACCTTGGAGGTCGGAGAAGAACTTGGAAAAGCTCAGAGGTGCGGAGGCTCTGCGACTCTACAGCACAGACTTGGGCCCGCGCGCACGGCACCCAATGAGTCGACACCTCCACACACCATCTTCCGCTCCAGGTCCTCTGCGCCGGCCTCCCAAAAACAACTTCGGCCGTAGTGCGCAGTTGGCGCTGGGTTTGGCTGAGGCCCAAGCGTTCGGATCCTGCTTGCACTGGAGGGCACCGAACCCGGACTCCGAGCTCACGACCTCGGACTGAGTGGCTCGTGTTACAGGTAGCACGCATCTCACGAATCTTACATAACAGCTCGATCCAAAGCTGGGTGCTGGTTGGTGTGCTGAGGTGGTAGCTCCACCCGGAGCTAAAACGTCAGGAATGCCCTCACAGATACCCCGAAGGGCACTATCCGATGATTCCATGCAGAGTCGAAGGAATGCATGCGCTCAATCTGGCCTCTCCACAAACTTCGGATGCCTTGAGCAACAGGATGCGATCCACCTCCAGCTCCCACGGCTGGCTCAATGCTTCTCCACTACCGAATCGTCCGTTCTTGATCATTCCCTCAAGCTGCGGCGGCTGAGGCTACAACCGTCCAGAAAAATGGAGTAGTGTAAGGACAGGCACCGTTTGCACCCGCTTTTTTTGACCCGCTTTTATCAAACATCATTTGTGACCATCGTGGGTTCAACGGCCTCGGCAGCACGCCACGCAATGCACTTCGTTTTCATGACAAGAACGCGAGAAGTACTACTGTCGGACCGTAGACTTTGTTGGCTCGGGGTCTCCTAGTCCCCCCGATTCACTTCAATTGTACCTCAAGAGTTTAGTCCTGCGTAAAGCCGCTTCCGGACTAGATTACGTAGCAACATAGAGCATGGGCACTGTCACCCTCACCGAGCCTGGGCACTCCTCGGTCACTTGAGAGACTGATCATTTTCTACCCCATGGAACCGTTTTACTGTCCGCCTGGTCCATACCCCTTCGTCCCTCCCGGTATGCCCGGGAGCGCCTCTGGCCTGAGCCCAATTGCAGCCACCTGAGCTGGGCGGTCTGTGGCCCAAAAGCCCCGAAACATCTTTGCTCTAGGCACACCCCAGACTAGGATCGTACAAGATTAGGGCTCAGCATATCATAATTCGGGTTGCCGGACAACTCCAACAAGAATGCCAAAGCACCTAATGAGATCATGCACATGAATTCAAGCTGCTAGATTGCTTCTAGGCTCATTTAGCTCATCGGGTCGTGACACCTGACAGCCCAAGGCACAAGACTTGACTCTTCCACAACAAGGTCATGTTGACGTACGAGTACTTGGGACGTCTTGGCAGCCCTTTACGCTAACTCAGAAATGCGACACCTGCGCTTGCAGAGTTGCGGGGCTGCGGGGCCCTCACATGAATAAGAATCGGCTCTTCGGCTCGAGGGCATGCACTGGACCTCGGCTGATAGCGCCGATCTGCGCGCCGATCCGCCAGCACTCGTCACGCGGGGCCGCGGGGCGCCGGCCAGCCATCACGAATGCGAAGGCTGGCAAAGGTCCCGAACTGGCGTCAGCTGGGAGTAAAGCGAGCAGCACGTTTGTTGAAGGAGCCTCAGCGTAAAAGTCCGCAAACGTCTGGCAGTCGCTGGGCTCCGCCTCAGACATGGCTCTGGGCAACTCCCTGTAGCCAAAAGCCAGCGAAGCATCCGAGATGTGGGCGCCGCCCTGCTGGGCCCCAGGGCACCAGCACACACGGAAGATGCCACCCGAGACCACTCGCCTCCGCAGATACTTCTCTGTTTCCAATCATGCAAGTCATGTCTCACGAACAACTGCTCCAATCAGACTGCGACTGCCGACAGCCCAGCTTGAGGCACGACATCTCAATCATGACAGCTTGAGTGCTTTGAGGGCCACACAGCTCTGGCCAGGTCAGCTTGGTTTGGCCATCTGGCAAATTGCCTGCGGCCGTTGGGTGTCCGGAAGTATCGGTGCCGGCTCGTGCTGTTTGCTTCAAGAACTATTCGGGCTTGCTCCTGCAGGGACTGTACTCACAGCCGACATCTCGCACGGTTTTGGAAGCAAATCTCGCTCGCAACGACGAAGCTTGAAGCTACCTCCATGGCAATAGAAGCTCAGAGCCTACGATTCCAGGCGTGCTCGGAGAGTCTGCCAAAGGCCCACGCCTCAGAGATTGCCAAACAAGGCCAGACTGAGTTGGGACGATTACTGTGTCATACCGCATCTGCACCATGCCAACAGGAAGAACGAATTCCTGATCTCCGCAACCCTATCAGTTGACTAACTACTTCACAAGCCCCAAAGTCACGAAATGAGTGGTCGAACATTCCCTTTTCTCTTCGCTTTGCGAGCCTGACTGCAGGAAAGCTTGCAGGGCGTGAAGAGCCATGGGGTCCTCTGGAGCTAGGGATAGTGCAGTCTGGTAAGCGCTCAAAGCCGCAGACGCCGCGTGGCCGTCGGGGCATGGTTGCTTCTCGCAGAAAGCGCCGCCCAGCCAGCGGTGGAGCTGTGAGGCACGAGGGTCGCGCTGTAAAGCCTGACGGAACTCAACCACGGAGTCGGCAGCTCGCGCGATCCCGGAGTCGGCCGCATCTTCCCCCAGCCACCATTCAGAGGCCAAGACCTGCCTGTTGCCAGCCACCACCGGCGTGGCGCGGTGCAGAGTCCACCCGCGCCAGGCAATCGCATCGCCTGCCTCCAAGTCGACGTGATGCTCCAGCCTCACTCGCGTTGTTTCTGCAGTGTCGCTTGGCACGGACGCAGCACGCAGCGGCCGCTGCCATGTATCGGCCGTGAACTCCAGCACCTGCGTCCTATCTAACGTGGTAAGTTGCGATGGTTCCGGTGGGCCGTGCGGACCGTTGCCATAGTCTCTCAGCTCAACGGCGCCACCCTCGTAGGAACCCTTGTTGCTGAGAACGACCAGCAAAGTCAGTAGTGTGGCCCCATCTCCATGCCAAGCCACCTCAGTGTTGCAAGGCGCCATCCCCGACAATGCATCCCGTCAAAGGGCGACTGCAAACCCTGATTGCAGAGCCCCGGGTCGAAGCCAATGCAACCTGACTCTTGTAACGAGCCACCGGTTCAGATCTCCAGGTTCCTCGATACGTCAGAAGCTCCAAACACCTGCAGCTCGTGCTTGCAGCTGCCCTCGGGGAGGTATTTGAGAGGTTTCGGGCACGTGCACGTCAATCAATTTATCGTGCGATCGGAACGCCAAAGGCTCGGACTCAAAAGCACACGAGCTCCCACCTGGCCCTCAAGGGCTGACCGTGGCTGAGGTTCCATCCCGCCTAATGCCAGGGAGTGCTGCGACGTGTGGCATTCCAGAATCACTAAGACTTCCTGAAGCCTTCTCTGGAATGATGACTTCCTGCATATATCCCCTGTCACCATCGAGCGTTTCCATGTCGGTGCTCCTTGTCACTATCCTGGCAAACCTGGCTAGCATCATCCGAATCGAATGTTCCTGGTTATGAGGGGACCCTTGGCAGACCCCGATATCACATGCACGAGCGGCGAAGCAAACATCTGTGGACAGGACTTACCATGGTACAATCTCTGCGAATGACTGGAGCTACGATGCAATACAACACAAAGTCTACTTCGGGGGCTCAAGACGGGCAAGGCAAGAGGAGGGGCGAGCGCTGCACAGTAGGAGTAGGGACGTGTATTAGTGGGCACTTCTTTGTCCGAGCGTCTGCAGCATCCGCAGCCATGGCCAGCTCCTGCAGCCGGCGTCGCCTTGCTCCCGGGGCACTGCGCAGGATGCCGAAGGCAATGCTCATGCCATGCTCTCTGCATGCTCTGCAGCTGCTTTCCAGTTCTGTCAATTCTGGGGTGAGAAGCCTGCTGCTGGCTAAAGCGTCCTTGATAGTGTCCTTTTGGCACTTTCTTGCCGACAAAGTAACAAAGCTGTAGATTTAAGTTCTGTTAAGGGGCAGATCTGGTGCAGCGATGTCGATGTGGTTGTGGAGGAAGATCGTCTCGTGGCCTAGAAGAGACGCCAGCAGCACTCAGCTCAGTTCCCCGCACACAACACGCGCACACACTTGCAAACTCCATGGTGGGAGTAGCTTACACTCGTTGCCTGACACTTCTCCAATCATCTTTCGACATGCCAGGTTTTTGGCTTGGCTTCCCTCTCTGATGCATAGCTTCATTGGGTACGGTAGCATCAGAGAGCCGTACCCCCCTGCGAGTTTTATTCCTTTTGCTATCAGGGTGTCACACACACACACACACACACGCACACGAGGCCCTTACAGGCCACGATGTCCTGCTGCGACTGAGGTCCGGACTCGCGCCGCCAGCGCCAAAGCTTCTGTTTGAAACAAGGTTTGGGTCAATCGGCCGTCTCTGCTGTTCCTGACCTGGGCCCCAGAAGTTCAAACCTCAACACTCATCCCAAAGTTTCCGCTATCTCGCACTCAAAGAAGACTTTCAGCCAACGTCAACCAACTTAAACACAGTCGCTCGGCAAGTGCTGTCGCATCCAAGCTTCACATAAGCTCCACTCTCTTGCTTTTCTTTCTTCATCACGGAATAAAGAGAACAGCATCACGACCTTCAAGCCCCGCGCATCTCAATCCCGAAAGCTGTGCGCCTTCCCATGGTCTGGATCGGATTCGCTTCGCCAGGTTGAGCGCTTGCCGCCGCGCCCGTCTTGAAAAGGCAGCCTTCAAGCGCACCTCGGCAAGAAGTCTCCACGTATTGTCTCTACACCTTGGCAGCAATTGTTACAACAGAACCTGTTTTGTAGTGAGTCTCCATAATTATGTCCACCTCCCGGTTGTATCAGTTCCTCGCACGCACGAGAAGCCACCTTGCACAAATCATACTCCGGCAGTACCATGGACCCACCTAGAATGGGGGAAGCACTTCAATGTGACTTGCAGTTCCAAGAGCAATCGGATACCGCCCCAGTTCAGACGAGAGGCGGACAGTGGCATGCCGACACTGCTCTGCGCTTGAAGGGTTACCAGCAGCCCTAAAAATAGAGTAAGCCCATAGCCTCTAGTTCTCATTCTGTATGAGCCGGAAACGGCTCGGCCCAGGAACGACCGAATGTTGCTGCCAAATTTCTTTCTCGGATACTTCCCACCGGTGCCGAGTCTAAGTCTCTAAGTGCCCGGCAGCGCCTCCGTGTGGTGTTCCGACCTTTCGGTGCTCTCTCAGAGACCGAGTCCGAGCATGCCCGAGCCCTCTGGGTTCTTGAGCTTCCGGCCCCGGGTGCCCACATTCCACATCGAAGTCCACAATGCGGACCTGAAAAGAGAATCGGAGCCCCTTTGCCAAACCCTACAAACCCTAAGTCCCTATTACTATAATATGACTATAATATTACTATAATATTCCTATCCATACTGCTATCCATACTACTACCATATAACTACCATATTAACTCTCGTCAGTTGTGATTTCACTCAGCGACTTCGCTGAGTTCCTGGCGCGGTCCTCCTCCGAGAGCTGAGCCCCCTGAAGATCGATGCTCGAAGAGTTAATATGGTAGTTATATGGTAGTTATATGGTAGTAGTATGGATAGTGATATTATAGTAATATTATAGTAATATTATAGTAATATGGTCTATGATTTAGAGTTTTCTGTGCTGCTAGTGGACAGTACGAGTAGTGTGGCAATAGCAACGACCTAAACTTGGAGATGTCAAGGTGCCCAGTGCAGCCTCCAAGTCGCAGCGCTGGCGGAGAAAAATCCATGTACTAAGCACGAGACGATCAAATCCAGTGAGAAGACCACGTGCGGCACAACTCTCAGCCTCGTGGAATCACCACATCTGACACATCTGTTCGGTCCAGTCAAAATTATGCAGTTCGTCCCGTCCCTCTCAGATGCCACACCGAAGTTGGCCGCACAAGATAGAAGATTAATGTTCAAGATCTAGTAACTAGTGCCCATGCGCAGGTCCAGCTCCAGATTGCGGAGGTCTGAAAGTGAGAAGGCTCCCTGCTAAGCCCTAGTTCCATCGTCGCGACATTCCAAAACTGTTGCCTTGCTGCCAATTCGAGGCGGCAGTTGAGGCGACTGCTCAAAGCCGCCAGATCTTTCCAGGCCTTGTCACATGTTCGGGCTTTAAGCAGCACCGGCCGACAAGGCGACACTTGTGCTGTGCAAGTTGCACGGTCAGCGAAGCACGGATCCTCAACCATGGCGTCTCCTTTGAGGCCCTTGCGCAGATCCGGCCAGAAAGCAAAAACACTGCCTCGGGTGCAAGCTGATGCCAGCATGCAGGCGTCTTGCTGGATGCCTCATCTGTGGCTCACACCGATCTCCACCTGAAAATCGATGTCGCTGGAACAGGTCCGTCCTGCGCTGGTTTTGAACATGGGTCACATGGGTCACTTGGCATGGCCCGAAAGAAGGAAGTCTTGGGCGATGCATCAAACAACGAACGCTCCAGGCGCTGTCCTCTGCCCGAGCAAAGGCAGACATAGTACTGACCACTCCGGGAGAGAATCAGAGGGCCCCACCTAGGCAGCATTGCTTTCCAGAGGATCGAGTCAATCTAGTCTAGATCAGTGGGTCTTCTGGGACGGTGGCGAGCTTTCAGGACTGTGTTTCGTCAAATCGATACGGTGCGATACGCATCTCATCGTGGCGACTGGACGCAGGAGGGTGAGAGAGGCACAGAGAAAGAGAGAGAGAGAGAGAGAGAGAGAGGGGGAGAGACAGGCAGAGAGAGAAAAGAGAATAGATATCCGCGAACAAGCAATCGGCTCAACATGCCCTATGTATGGCCTGCTCGTGTACCAACGGCATGCCGAACAGGCAGATCAAGTCTGATCTATATCTGTTGGCATATCTGAACCTGAAAGCAAAGCCTTGGGAATCGGCACGTTACGTTGCACTCTCTGAATCATGTCGCCCCGAAATCTCCGACGATGCGTTTCTCCCGTACTCCTGTCAACTGCCTCGGGATCTGAGCATCCGACGTCTGGGCGAAGTTGGGGTCTTCGCCAGTGCCAGGTGCGTCCGGGTCCTGCCAGCAGTGGTCTGTACACGTGAATTTGCGTGGACGGCTTTGGCTTTGCCGAGGGTCTGGGATTTGCAGCTTCGATGCCAGCTTCCACAAGAGATCACAAGAGAAAGCCCAACGATCCAAGCCAGCATAATAGTCACAGGAAACATGCAAGACAGCAGAGCGGAGGGACTGAAGGATGTAAGTCATGGGTTCTGATTCCGGTGCAATGACTCAGCAACAGGCTACTTGAACAAAATGCATTAACAAGCGAAATTCGACGAACCACCAATGCAGCGTTGGAAGCTGAGCATGAGGCATGTCAACCACCGTGAGTCACTGTACAATCGGCATGTACTATCTTCACATTCGCTGACACAGTAGCAACAGTCGCAACTGCAGCAACAACCTCAGCCGCACAACCGCCGCCACGACAACGACGACTTCAGATTTGTTGCGAGCCGTTTAGGGAATGCTCAAAACAAAGTTGAGCGCGCGCCGCATCTTACGCGTCCCAGGGCCTCGGCAAGCTGGCCCAGCAGATGCTCAGTGCCATTGTAGGTCCTCGGCATCAGCAAGCCGCAGAATTTTGACACTCCATTCGGATTCGGAGAGCTGCTCAATTTGAAAATATTGGCTAGCCTCTCTCGGGACAGCTCCTGTTCTACTGATTCTACTGGGTATGATCGTCGGCCCCCTAATGCGTGAAGCATTGTCTAGGTTTTCGCCCAGGAATACCTTGATTAGGAGTCGTCACAATCGCGATCCTGCTGCTCAGGTTCCCTAGTTCATGAGCGAGGCGGGCTGCATACCCCGCCACTCTCAGTATCAGGGCCGCTGCTCGGGCAGGTCTGCTGGCGAGAGCTGAGTCTACCGCCACTAACACCTACACGAACCTACATCGAAGCCCCGACCTTTTACATCGAAATGCATTGCAAGCTGGGGCCATGTCCCCTCTTGACCGCACCTGAGGGGTGCCAGCACCTGGCGCGGGGAGCAAAGGCCGTGCATCTCGAAAGGCTCTGGGACTCTCAGGCTTGGGCTAACCGAAGTCTTTGCGAGAGGCCATCGCCCAGGCCAAAGCCGAGCACCTTGGGACGCGACATGAGCCTAACCACTGCGAGCAAGCGGGTTTGACAGCTAAATACCGAACTGGCTCTTCGAGTAGGTCGCTCTTGTGATTTTCTGCAATTGCGATTCAGCCGAACGCGGCTGATCATCAGCTTATTTGAGCCACCGGCTTTCAGGGAGAAGTTCGTCCCAACCTCACGCACATGTTTCGTGCACAGCCTCCCCAGCAAACTTGGGAACGCAGTCGGCGCCTGAACTTTTCGCCGATCAAAACCCTCGCCTCCAATGACCTGCTCTTGGCTCAAACTCGAGGCAATGTGCAATGCTTCGCATGCCCTATCTCCGCCACGAGCTGGCTTCTGCAGGCCGAAGCTCCGATCTGCGAGCGGGCCTCCAGAGCCGTGGGTCCGGCGATGGAGAAGTTGCCCAGGTCGAGGTTGAACCTCCAGGCTCTCTTCAAGCGATGTTTGAGTTGCACACGACACAGCAACCGCTAAGTCATAGTTGTCTGATTTTTCCTACGAGTAGCACAGATTTTGACCTAGGGCCTAGATGGGCCTAGATGACATGACCATGAGTAGAACCATGGCGAGAATCCAAGCTTTGAAGCCACATCGATGAAGCTTTGCCCTTCTAATTTAGTTTTGCGACCCGCCCACTGAGCTGCTGGCATTGCATCGGAGCTGCAGAGAGGTGCCTGGCCCCAGCGGCAAGGGAGGCAGTTGCAGTCCAGGACCCGAGGCTTTTCGGATATATGACCCTGAGCTGGGCTGCAAGCTGAAACATTCTCCGGCATGTCTTCCATCATCGTCATCGGCATCTGATTGTCGGGGCCGTCCATGGGCAGACTGCTTTCATTGCTGTAGTTGCTGTCGTTGTCATCCATATCATCGCCGTCGCCTGAGTACGCAGCCGAGCGAGTGGTTCCGGGCATACTTCACATTTCCATTTAAGCGCCTTCGACATGGAGGCTTGCCGGGGCCACATCTTGCGCGGTTTTACTTCCATGTTTAACTGTCGGGGTGAAATCTGGCTCGACCAAGGGGATGTCTGTGCCTTCAGTGCATCTATCCTGGCCCCACCATGAAGGTGCTCCCGTTTCCAGTGCGTCAGACCCCAATGGAAGTAGCAATGCTTCGCAGCATGGGACAGGATGACTTGGTGCCCGCACTTTCCGTCAGATTGGTCTCGTTGGTTCGGTTGCCGCCTGACCAAACAAAGAAGCTCAGCTCACGAAGCAACTGTGTCCAAGCGAACCGCACTGGAAGCTCATGAGGCCTGCCATGTCAGCTCCAGCCTGACTTCTGCTCGAAAACTCACCCGCCATGCTTCTTCCGTGCTCGATGCAGCATGCCGACAGACGGAACGGGCCCCCAATGGTCCCACAACTTGCTTTTTGTCCAGCGCCACGTTTTGTCGGACTCCGAACTGCAGCCAGCGCTCGCGTGCGATCTTCGCACGCCAAACGGCTGTAGGCCTCAGGCCTCAGGCAAGAACCACGGCTTGAGCTCCGACAGCTGCTGAAAGACTCGCGTGGCGGTCTCCTTGTCCTCGCTCCTGACTGATTTCCTACTGGTTTAAAGTTTGCAGATGCTTAGATGACGCTTCTTATGCCCAAAAGTGGTGTTCTGGCGGCAAACGAACGAAAACTGAGCGAAAACTCTAAAAAGACAGCCTTCTAACACATCGCAGGCTCTTGTCCGGGTGCCATTGCAGACAAAGGGCTCGCCTGCAACACCCACTGCCGTGCCCTCTCTACCCCACGAAAATTCAGAAAAACTGCTATGCTGCATGCACGGTAATGATATGTCTCACTGCAGGAGACTGTGCAGGTACCCTGTAGCCGTCTGAGGTCGGTGCCAGGCACGCTTGCGTGACTCGAGCGGCTCGTCTCTGTGTTCCAGCAGCTCCTGCAAAAGCTGTCGCCCTTCAGCGGATGTTGGCCAGAAGGGCGGCGGCGGAGGCGGCGGAGGGGGATGTGTTGCTCCGGAAGCCTTCTCGGCACCACCGGCCCGGTGTCTTGCACCTGCCTCACGCTCACCAGAGCCGCCACGCGGTGGCCGTGGGCTCCACTTCCGGTTTCCGGTAAACTCAGACTTGCCCTTCTCAGGCTTGGGGATGTAACGAAACCACCGAGTTCTCCAGTAGTTGTCAGTGTCCCTTGCCCGCGTTCGCGACCAAGCATCACGCTCGGCTTCCTCCTTCTTTTTCTGAGTCTTACGCGCGAGGTCCTCTTTCCACTCCTCCTGAGCATTCCGTCGCGCTTCCGTCTCAGCCTGCTCTCGCTCGATCTGCGCTTGGAGCTCTCGGCGTTCGCGCTCCGCTTCTGCCTGCAGCTCTTGGAGTTTTCGCTGGTGTTCCAAACGCCGCAAGAACTCCCGGTGCTCGAAGGCCTCGTGCGAGACCCCGGCCCTGCGGTTTTCGGATCTATCGGCCGATGCATCGGCCTCATTGGCTTCTTGGGCTTCTTGGGCTTCGTGGGCTTCTGGCTCAGCCGCGGGCGGTTGCAAGGGGGCGTTTTCTGCCTCGGCGGCTTGGGCCGCGGGAGCCTCAGCCGGGCCGGGCGGGCCCGCCGGGGGGCGGCCCGGCGGGCCCGGGTCCTGGCGGCGCAGACGAGCGGCCTCGGCTTGGCGTTGCAGGCGCCGGGCGGCGCTCTGCACCTGCGCCACTCCAGTGCTCGCTGCGCTCTGCATCGGCTCGGTGCCGGCCAAGAGGGATTCGAAGAACTCAAGTGCTTCTTTGGAGGGAGGCTTGCTGGTCGGAGTCCTCTCTTGCGGCTTCTCGAGCAGCTGCTGCCTCTGCTGCTCCAAGAACTTCGGCATGCACTGCCATCGCTGCCAACTGGACTTGTAAGTGCCGGAGTTTGTTTCAAGTGCACAATCAGCGGTAGAGCCATCACGTGCTCGTGCCTCTGCCGTCTCCTCTGACAAGCGTTCGCTGCTTTCTGCAGGTCGCTCGGGCTCCTTTCGGAAGGTCGTGCCGGACGATTGCCCAGCATGTGCCTCATGGACGACGTCCGAACCGCAGGCCATCCCTAGCCATCATCCCTGGCCTCCTTAGAGCTCATGCCGAGCCCGAACACTTTCGATTCGAGCCAGAACTACATTCAGTCAGCGGCCTTACTGCGGCACAGCAGCTTTGGACATTAAGTGTCATGCTTCTTACTTCGCATGGACTATGGTGCATCTTGGGTCCGAGCCGCCGCCAGCTGCCGCTGAAAAACCAAGCCGTAGTCCTCAAGTCAATCGCGCGATTTCTCCGAGTTCGGAAGTGATCTACAACAAGGCCTCCCAAGAAAACTCGTAATCCCATCCGGTGAAATTCGAGTCATTGGTCGCATTCCTCGGCCCCAGAGAACAGGACGTTGGATCTATCTGCTCATGTCTTCATGGTCGGTCTGAGGAAACCCGGCTCCCAGTGCAGCACACATGGCTTTCGTACTAAGCTCCTGGCGTCAGGTTAACCTGCACAACACGAGAGCGACACGACATCTTCGTGACAGCTAAGCTTCGCTACGGGTTTGACACGAGAAGTGTATGCAATTTCGTCGCACGGTGTGACATGCACACACGCTATGTAGAGATACATGTGAATATCCGCATCGGTTGGTGTACGAATATGCGGTCATTCTCATTCCTCGGCCTCTTCAGGCGGGTAGGGAAACAAGTCGGTCAGGTCAACCTCGCCGCAGGGGCTCAGCAAGTGTTGCGTGCTCTGCTGTTTTCCTTCATCGGTCTCGTGCCGGATTCTCCCCTGCATTGTTCGTCCTGCAGAGCGTAATAGCATGGCAACAGCAGCTCAGCACAAGTATGCAACAAGCTAAGACAAGATTCTGAGCCCCACCTCAGAGCAGAACACCAGCAGACCTCAAGCGGGTTTCTGCAGTTTCGCTCCATTCTAGCAAGAAAACACAGGCACCAGTGTGCTGCAACTCGGTTTTTTCCACGTCGCTGCTTCGGCTCGGCTTTTGACTTCACTCATCGAGTCTGGGGAGAATGCCCGGTACGTGCCCGCAGTCGTGGCTGCCAGATCCGACCTGACACGACGCACAGCCGCACAACCTGTGCTTTCGTGGCTGAAGACTTACGCCCGACAAAACTCTGTTGCAAACCCGAAACGCAAAAAAATGGCTCAGCTGACCAGTGCAGGGGCGCAACCCAACAGCCGAGGCTTGAACCAGATCAATGAAGCGTTCTCACCGGTGGGGTCCACCCCTTCTTCTAAGGGCGCCTCGGCTCGATCTCTGGGCACAGATGCCAGGAACAAAGCCAACTTGCATGGGAATGAGATGCATTCTATGACGCAGGGCACAGCCTTCAATATGTGGCAACATGTTTCAGACAAGGGCCGCAGCAAGAGTAAAGCAAAGAGTTGGCAAAGAGTCTCTCCAGCTATCAGGAGCATCTTGATGCAAGCCCGCCTTGTGGTTCCGAACTAGCTGAAAATTCGCAAAACTACGTACAGGAACAACAGCTGTAGATCAAGCTCCCACCCAAGAAAGCGCCAACCACCACGCTTGATCACTCCAGGACTCGGGCTCTGAGTTCAGGATGATAGCCTTGTGCATCCTGGACCTCGAGCTGGCCCACCTGGACCGGGTGCATGGTAGACAGCGTGGTGTGACATCATGTTTGTATAATCTCACGAAAGTCTGATCTACTATATACCGTATGCTATATTGTGTTACACCGTACTTTTTGGCTCCCACTTGGCTGATCCGAAATAATGTATAGAAATAGTATACTGTAGCATAGTGTAATTTAGTACAGGAAAGCCCAGTCTGGCCTACTCTCGGCTAGTATAGTACAGTGCAGTACATTGCACTACAGTTTATTCTCTTCTACTCGAGGTATGTTGTGCTTGAACTAAGGAGCTGCAATACTCAAGGTCCAACCAACTCTTGCAGGGCGCACGGTGCTTGGCTGCCCCAACGATGCAATCACTTGGATCCCTGGCTTCACCTCAGAAGGGAGCACTGTCAGGACTGCCAATTCCGGCATGAGCTAGGCCCAATGCAGATGCCGCTGTCGCGCCGACACCCGGGCCCAGGAAGGCCTACCCAAGGCCCTCTCTCTCTCTGTTTGGGTAAACCTTGATCTCTGCCAGGGTAAAGGGCCAAAGAGCGACTCCGACCCTCGCCAAAGTGCGAGGTGGGGCAACGAGTGCAAAAACAGAAGCAAAGTTGCGGGAAGATGGGCTCCGGTCAGCCACGGCAAACAGCTTTCAAAGAGTTTAGACCTGGGTTGTGCCGGAGCGCTGGACACCAGGAAAAGTAAGCAGTCAAAAAGAAGCCTGCTAGGCCTTGCATGGTACTGCTGGCACTCGCGGATCATACTCAGTGCTTCATGTGCTGTTGCAGGCTTGTGCCAAAGACTGGTCGACGCACAAGACTCAGGGTGCACCATCCCGTGTTGAGCTTGGACGATGCTCTAAGCAGCCCTGTTCTGGCCTCGGGCTCTAGACACGCAGCGGGCCCGAGCCTGACTCGACACCGAGGAGCCCGGACCGCCGCACCTCAGGGGCATGATTTCAAATTCATGATGCTGACACTCCTCCTGCATCGTCGTAAGCTTCACCGATCTAAACCTCACCCGTCAAGCCGTCACACTCCTTGGGGCTACTGCATTACGTCTTCATCCACCACACGAATGCGATCGTAGTCGACCTGGATCGAGGCATTTTGATTTAGATGTGTGTCGGAAGAAGCCTACACCCAGAAGGCTGTTGGGTCAGCAGCGCTTTGCACAGTCCAGCATGTCATGTGAAACTGTAATATCAGATTCATGTCAGGCTGGGATGAGCCCCTCTTCCCGACGACACGGAGTCCGAGCCTCGAGGGAGTAGCCCAGAACATTCAGAAGAAATCGATCGAGTACCTGCAGCTGAAGCAAAACGAAGTCTCGGGCTGGATGGGCCGCCGCAGAAACCCTCGCTCCAGCAAGACCCCTGTCTCGCTCGGCCAGAAGCACGCGCACGTAAGGCGCTCGAGAACTTTCCGGATCCTGCACCAAGATTTCGTATCTTAATGTTGGGAGCTCGAGTCGGCTCGCAAGTTGAACGACCTGCAACGTTACCGCGCGGGCTCATTATCGAGCCTGCTCAGGCGGGCTATCGTCTTTGCCAACAAGTTCGAGAGGGCCGACCTCGGCAGCCAACTTTTCGGCTTGGCAGCGGCATCGGGGCAGATGCTCGGGTGCCAACCACATGAAGAGGCCCGCCTGCCCGCGACATACTAGATTCCTACATGCACACTGTTCCAAGGAGGCGAGGCTACGTCGAAGAACCTACAGCAGGCTCGCAGACACGCATCGCAGGCGTCTCCGTCTGGTCCGGCCGCCGCTGGCCTTGCCGCAGTGTGTGCGCGATGCTTTCACAGCCACAAGGAGATGCTTCATGTAGCACTTCATGGCACTGTCCTTCCGGCCGGCACCAGCAAGCACTGAAGACACCTCCAAGCTCCAGCGCTTGGTGGGACTGGGACGGATGGGGCTTGAAGTAGAAGCACCGGCTTCGGCCCCAGACTTTTCACTCCGCTTTTCTTGCCGAGTCAGGTCAGGAGATCCTTTTTGGGCCTCGGCGGCCTGGGGGGGACCTTTGCTGCCACTGGCGGCTTCTCCTTCTCCTGCGCTCGCGCCGGGGGCGGCGATCTGGCCCGCGGAGGGAAGTTTCGGGACACTTTGGGAAGTCGGCTGGGATGGAAAACGACAGTCACGCGACAGATCCGTTGCAAAGAGTCTTGCGACAGAATGACTGGATAATAGCCCGCTCCTAAACCGCTTGGAACTGCTGGCCCATCAAGACCATCGCAAGGCTCGCTGCCTATCAAGTCTTGAGCGTCAGACGAGGCCGGCGCTGACTTTGGCCGCCCGTCGAAGTCCGCAGCATCTGCAGGGTCGGCGAGGAGCAGTTTCCCTGTGTCAAGCTGGACTTTGTCAACCAGAAACAAGGACCGACACTCGTCGTGCGCTCCAACAGAAGCCACCAAGCTCTCCGCTCCGTCCCGAACCAGCGCTGCGAACTCCACGCGCACACCTGCATCCCGGCCTAGAACCAAACCGAAGTCTGCCAATCTGGCAACCAGTGTCCAAGAAGATCCGGGCTGGGCGGTGTCGATGCAGCAGCTGTGGAAGCCACCGACATTGCCAGGTGCTCTGGAAACATGGCTGAAATGTTGCCAGCCATCCCCAACAGCTTTATGATACTGGCCAGGTCTGCATTGCAGCCCTTCGGGCACCGGGATGAAGCAGATCTTGCCTGCATCGCTCGAGCACCAGTAGTCAGGCTCAGCTGGGGGCCAATCGCAGCTGTGGGATTGGTTGATGTCGCGCCTGTCCAAGTGCCAGGGACTTTCCATGGAGCTGAAGACTTCGTCGAAAGACATCCCAACCACTGACGGATCTATTCGCCGTAGGTCCGACGAGCGCTCGCCAAGGACCTCTTCAGGGCCGAAGAGCGCATAGCGCTCGATCTCAATGCTCTCCGTGCGCGTTGGTGCCCCGTGCCATGTGCTGCCTTGCTCCTCCGCCACGGCCCCTTCCGAGGCAACGGATGGAGATCGCCTAACTGCCCGCTCTGGGGTGGACGATCTGCCTGGCGTTGATCTCCTAGCCATGGCGAACTTCGGCCCTGGTGTAGGCTCTCGACTTTCTTACCCATACCCCGGGGGTGCGGGTCTCAACGTCAGTGCTCATGAGTTGATTCTGTCGACACCTTCAACATCCTTCAGCTGTCAGCTATGTACACTACATAGCGGATTTGTACACGCGCTGAAGACAAGTATGGAAACGCATTCAGAATGTAATGTAGGAAACATAGATCTGCCTGTTTGCCGGCATAACTATGTATCTCCGTTCGCTTGTCGTAGTCATAGTCCCTGCTTGCGAACCAGAGTTAGAACGTGCGTGGTGCACGTATGGTACACAAGTAATAAGTCAGGTCAGGGTAGCGACAAAGGAAGACGTGCCTGGACAGATATGTAAACAAACGGGTAACGTATCTGGCTCGTAACTCGGAGATTTTCTGCATGCCATCAAGTGTCGCACATAGCAGCCTACAACCCCAAGAACGAATTGTGCTTGATGCCGCTTCCCGGCGATGAATCTGGCTTGAGCTGCTTCAGTCTGTGACTCGGAGCCAGAAGCGAGTGCCAACGATCCAATCCGAGCAACGAATGAGCCGGCCCCTCGGCGACAGAATAGCTACGTATGGCGCAACACACCCGATCAAACTGTCATGGCACAAATGGCTTTTTCATCAGCCTCACAGGAAATGCGCAGCTCTCTTCGTTGCTTGCACCCTCTGCCTCCATCTCTCGGACAGGACAAGGGCTACATCTGCCGAGGGCAGTCGCTGCTCGAGACTCGGCGCTTCGGCCTGCTCAATCTGCTGCCTCGAAGGCCCTCCCCAATTGTCTGAAATTTTGCAGTTTTTCCCCACCTCGTTGCAGAAGAGTCGGAACCGCGTCTCCCTATTTGGCAGGGAGCTCCCAGTTCTTGCATCCGGGCTCGTACCAGACTGTGGGGCAGAATGTGAAGGTGGGCTGATGAAAGCCGAGCTCTGCGAAACAAGGTGCCTTGCAGGCTGTCCATATTGTCCACAACCCACAGTGGAAGCGGCACGGCTCCCAGGCCCAGCAGGACCGGGCTCATCACCGAGCAATAGCAGGCGGCCCATGAGGCGCACAGACGCGCAGACTACGATCCTATGCAGCTGAGGCCGGCGAAGCAAACAAGTCAGGAAGTCAGGGAAGTGAAGAGCAGCAATACCCCAGTCCTCCAGCCTTGACATCCAGCACACCGTCCTATTTCCTAAAATGGTACAGAAAAAGACAGAAGCCTCCTGTCGCGAGCCGCAAGCCCGGGAAGCGCCAAACCTGCGAGGGGAGCAGCGAAGGCGACAGCCGAGCACGGACTCCGAAAAGACCGCGGTGGCCTCCGACAGCTCCGTCAGTTCTTCTTCGGGGGCCGTGAAAGTGTCTACCGATGGGATGAAGCCTTCCTCCCGACGTCGCATCGATGCGGGCAATGTCTGCATACTGCGGGAGCTAAGGATCCGGCTAATGCTCCGGTCAACGTCATCGATGAATCGCACGCCTGCTTCAGAAGGGGTCAGCCTTCTGCCTTCCACAGGACAGATTCACCTTGCCTCACCCTCGACGATGAGTGGACGACCTGGGAGTCTTCGAGCACCGGCAATCCATCCTTTTCTATTTTCTGCTGGCGCGCGCTGAGGGCTTTGCCACCAGCCAGGCCGCTCTTCAAGCGTTCGCCAATAACCTCCAGAGCTACCAGCTGAGCCTCTGGGCTGGCTTCAAGTCAAGGCGTGGCCCTCGCCTCCAGCGTGAATCGCTCGTAGATGCCTCAGCCCAGGCTAAGCAATGAGATTGTGTTCTGTGATGTGATATTTCGGACCTAAAATGTCAGCTTTATTGAAACCTTACAGTTCCGGGTGTCCGGCTCCATCGCGACGCATCCAGGTTCGAAACCAACGTCCGGACGAGGATGGCAGGTGGCAAAGCGAAGAAGACTCAGCGCAGGCCCGAACTTATGAGTTTCGAAAGGTTCAGCCAGGGCATGGGATCACCGGTCGTCAGTCGTCAGGTCAGTCCGGGATTCCCGCTCTCCCTCGGTGTCAGGGGCTGATCATCATCACCTCTCAACTCGAGAGCAAGGCTCTCCCTCAATGCAGTTTGCCAAAACGCCCTAGCCGTGCCTTGGCCTGCTGCAAGATAGCACGCTAACAGCCTCGACATGTCGTTCCGAGAATCCAGGCCCGACGAGCACAAACCGCCAGAAGCCTGGAGGGGTACCCTTCTAACACGAGGCCTCAGTAGCACGATCTTGATGCCGCGCATCACCTCAAAGTCGGTGCTTGTGGCTTGGGCATTCAAGCATTCAGCCAGTGCAAGCAGGCCGTACTTCCAGGTCTGCGGCTGAGGAAGCTCCAAAGGGACCACATGGACCACCAGGGTGAAACGTGTTGAAATCTTGGTGTTGAGACTTCTGACGGGTGGGATGGGGAGGGGGCCACGCTCAACAACATGCGGTCGTGCAACAGGCCAATCGATTGCTGGCACTTTCCTGAATCCGTTGATGGCAGTGGCTCAGTGGCAGGCATGGCTTCACATGCTTGGGGCTGCGGGCTCTTTCTTTGCTTCTGACGCCCTGCGCCCACCATGCCCCTCATGTTAGGATGTCCATGAGATGATCATGTGCTAGGTAAGGTGTCTTGAATCAAAGCGAGCCGAAAGTGCCGCAAGCAAAAGCAAAGCGGTGTGTGCATCCCGTACAAGCAGGAGAGGTACGGTGCTCTACCAAAACTCTGGCCAAGTTTTCTTCAACTCTTGGGCATGGCGCCGCCGCCATGTCTTTCTGATCTGTGGGAGGGCTAAACCAGCGGGTTGCTTCAGCTTTGCCTCCCGATCAACCCGCAGCGCTGTGAAACAGGCACGTGGGGCTCGCGCCGCCGACCCGCGCCGACTCGCAACAGCTGATCTTAAACCGGAACCGGCGGTCGCTCCACCTGCTCAAAACCAGGGGGAGGCCAAGACTCCCCATCTGGCACCGGTGCGAAGTTGATGCGCAGCTTTCCTGATTCAGAGACTTGCTGCGCAACACGGACTCGGGCTGAATCAAGTCCGATGAGGGTCGGCACCACACAACTGCCAGCAAGCCTCGTTTGCCTATTCGCAGGCTACCTGCAGCCTCGACCACCCTTTCAGCGTCGCTTAGGGTGGCCATCTTCACAAAGCTGGACCCATACCAGAGACCGGTGGTCTTGTCATGGATCCACTGGACGATCTCGACCTCGGAGAAAACAAGGCAAGGCCAAAGGCCAAGCTGCAAAGCCGCGAGATGCCGCGATTGCCGTCGCCACACGTCCTGGTAAGGTTTCGACACCTTTCCCGAGGGCATCACGCACCTATCAAGGCGGCCATGCAGTCGAGGTGTCCACTGTTACTTGCATCCAAATGATATTCCACAGTGGCTGCAGATGCTCAACTGCAGTATGCGTCTTTTCTAAACTCTACCCTGTCTGCCGTGCATCACCTCGGCAATCTTCGTGCGGCCCAGCTGCCATAGTTGCATCAACTGCCAGAGGCATGCTTCCCACGAAGAGTCGTTGCGAAGGCGCTTTGCCCTGATGCTTGGCCTCATGCAAATGTACGACAGACGAGCAGGACAAACACCCATCTGCAAGCAGCCGAGTCGTTGTCTCTGCGCTTCACCGCCCGCTCTGCAACACCGGCCGGAGCGGACGCTGCCTGAGCCAGGGTTTTCAGGCGCTTGCAGCAACCTTTCGCACGTCGCGGCGGCACCGGCACCCACCTTCCGCTTTTCGGCTGGCTTCAGTGCGGGCGTGTGGAGGTCCCGCAGCCGGAAGCCCTCCTGAACTCGCCATGCGGCAGGCACTCAGGCACTTCTTTCTCGACCACACCCGTGACAGCATGGTCCTCGCAGAGCGGGCACTGCAGCTCTGGGACTTTCTGCCCGGTCTCAATCTCGGAGCGGCAGTCTGGGCACACAATGACGGGCACCTGGCAGTCCTGCAGCAGTATCAGCAGTGCAGTGGCACACTGGTCTGGTATGTTCGGATTTTCAAGGATCGGTCGCAACCCGACGGGCCTGCACGGAGCACTTGAACTGCCCTCGGTAAAGCCCCCAGATGCGTTTGCAAACGCAGCAGCGGCTCTCAACCTCGCAGTGCCAAGCATGCCAACTGTGGACAGGTCCCACAAGAACCCTGAAAAAAAAAAAACACAAACATCCCATCCCCCATCGCCTCCTTCTCGGTCTCCTCCGAAGGCTTTTTCTCCGGAATCTGCTCCTGGCGCTTGTCGAAGAGGAAATTCTTGCCCTGAGCGCAGTTTTTGCCACCCGCCCAGCTGAACAATGTCGCACCGCAGTGCATTGAACGAAAGACTTCACACAGGCTGCGCTCTCCATTCATCTCCATTCGAAAACCGCCTACCAAGAGATCCCTCCCACCTTCCAGTAGCCGCCTTCGGGAAAGGTTCGCACGTACCGCTCGATCCCACCTGTTTGATTTGATCTCGCAGTACAAGGTCCACCGAAAGTTGCAAGAGACATCAACACAATCCAACCTACTTCATTCGAACCTGCTCTGAAAGACTCAACCCAATTGCACATATCGTACACAATTCAAGGGACGATTGCGCGGCAGGGCTGTGACAGGACCTGATGTCGTGGTGTGTAATCTGCCATAGTAAGGACATCGGCGGCAATGGCAGCACAGTCAGCTATACCAGGCAACTGAATGCAAGTAACCGTCCAAAATCACAGAGAGAGAGAGAGAGAGAGGCAGCAACAGACAGGCCGGGATGGCCATCGTAGCCTGCTTGCCTATTTATGCAGGCCTGTACATATACATATGTATGCACATCGACACATGCATGTATGAATGTGTAAAGTAATGACAGGCTGGGATTTATCTACGTCCGTCCGAATGTGTCTGCTCTCACCTCATCGAGAAACAAATTTCACTGTGCTGCTGAAATTCCGACACGCACCGCACGAACTATTCTTATGGATGTGGAGTGTGCCGAAGCATCTGCGCCAGGTTTAATCACCACCGGCCAACAACCAGAAGAACAGGAACAAAGCAGATCGCGATCCTTGCCGAACATTTTCCTTCCGGTCAAGATACGAACCAGACTCATAAGCAGACCGAATGCAAGAAGGAGAAACCGAAGTCATGGCCTATATCTGCCTCCGCTGAACCTCTGTGCAAACAAGCGTTCGATGCTCGGACCCGCTTTGCTACGCATTTCCTTACAATGCGGGATCGCACGACTTGCGTGCACCACATTGGAGTTCTGCAGGCGGCCTATCGTAAAGGAGATTGAAACTTGTGTGGGGACTGTCTAACTGCGACAGGACCGCCTGCAGAGTTTGACGATGAAGAAAACAACCAAGCCCAAACATACTTCGAGTGTAAGCTTCCCACTTTTGATACAGTAGAGTTGTTCTCGTTGAGTTGGCTTCACGCCGTTGCCTCGTGAAGCCAGCTTCAGGTGTCTGCGTGCTTTGCTTTTGCTGGCATGCGGACCCTTGCAACATTCTGTCTGCAACGCAACAAGCCACCACCAGGCCTTTCTGGACAAGTTCTGTCGTTGACCGGTAACAGAAAAATGCAGGAGAAAGAATAATAAGCGAGAGTGAGGGAGTGAGTGAGCCAGCAAACTGCAAGCCCTGGCCATTGCCTCGCAGCATGAACTCCCCCTCTGTCTCGAACTCAGGCTTGTCCTGCCTGGAGCATAGCAAAACAGCACGGTGTGGGCTCCCGAGTTGACGATGCTCCCGTAACCCAAGTCCCAACTCCGAGAGAACCGCAGCTTAATGCCTGCCAAGACACTTCAATTGGGACATCAGCGCGGAGAAGCGCTCACAGCGGATTCCTCCGGTGCCTTGCAGTCAGCCAAACACCCGTATCCGGCTTCATCCCATCCCGATGATGTGTTCCCATGACTGCATGCCCTGGCACAATACATCATCACCTTCTTGCCCTTGAGCATGTCCTGTGGAATGAGAACAGCCCGGTCAACATTGTGCGTTGTCCATTTCTGTCGTGACCGCTTTCTGCTGCGACAGGTTGACCTGTTTCGCTATTCTCCACGCACTTCTCCTGCGTCTCTGGCAGCCCGAGCCATTTCGGGAGTTCGTGGCTGTTGCGCACCTGCATCTGACATTCGAAGCGCTGACCTAAGGAGTCCTTGCTCGAAGCTTGAATTCTGAGACGGAACGGACAACAGGCCTTCGGATCCACGAACTCCGCGCCGCCAGGTGGGGGTTGAAAGTGCCCGATCTCCGTCTCGTATCTATTTCTTACCTTACGGCGACTGCAAACTGCAGAGGCACACCTCTTCGAGGCCAGTGAGTGTCTAAGCCGATGGCATCGATGATGACGGTGTTCGGTTCGGACATCATCCTCGGTGTGATCCCCAAGGTCCTGGAAGCCACGAGAAAATCCCAATTGCTTCCAGGTTGCTTGTGGTAATCATCTGCTTCTATGTGCTTGGTCTCGTTGGATTTCAAGGACGGAGCAGAGCTCACAGGCAAGCCGTAGGCTACCTCAAACGGGGCAAGGCGGGTTTGTGAAAGCAAAGGATGGATAGTAGCAGAATCGGTCGAGAATGTACATTGATCACTATCCCGCGAAGTGCATATAATATACCTACATGCATATTTATGCACGTAAGTACCTCCGTCCGTCCATCCATCCATCCATCCATGCATGTAGAAATGCATACACGCACGCAAATCATATGAGTATATGTCGGAGGAGGTGTCTGCAGGTGGGTAGGCATGCAGGTAGGTTCTCTTGGGTCGGTAGGTAGGGAGGGTAAGTAGGTGGGTCGGGCCGGTAGCAGGTAGACAGGGTCAGTAGGAAGGTAGGTCGGCAGGCAGGCAAGAGGAAGGTAGGTCAGCAACTAGGTGGGTAGTAGGTGGAAAGGTAGGTAGGTAGGTAGGTTGGCAGGTAGGCATGTAGGTTCAGTAGGTTTGGTAGGTAGGTAGGGTCGGGGTATATAGGTTAGGCAAGTTAGAAGATGATTGATGGACAGGCTTCACCGCAAACTGATAAGCCGAAAGCTTGACAGCTTTACGGATACATAGATAGATAGAAACAGCTAGATAGCTAGATAGGCGGCTAGCTAGCTTGCTAGGTTGATGGAAAGCCCAGGGTGCGCTGTGACTCTGACGGCCCTGGGTGGCAATCCCACTGGAAAGCGTGCAGAATTCTCTCCTGCCGGTAATTGTCTGACCATGGCACAAGCTCCTCCTTCTTCTGAATTGTCAAGCTCCTTTGAGTAATCGCACCAAACATCTCAGGTCTCGCAGCCCGCAGTTGACTGAGATGCCGTCAGGATGCTTGAACTTCTTGTGGTGGTCTAGGCCATCTGTTATTTTGAAATCTGTGTCATCGAACAATGAATCCCAATCCTCAGATTGCGGCTGACCTTTACAACTTCTGATCGGAATGACGCATCCCATGCTTGGTACTTGTAGCGATCTTCAGCCATGGTTCCCGAAGTCCTTGCGCGAAGGCCCTGACGCCTTCTGCAGTTCCTGTGAGCGTGCAATTCCTCAGGTTGCTGCCCGCGGCGTGACTCCAACCAACAAGGAGGCCGTTGCACTCGACTAGACTTTGTGGCAAATTGACCGGCGAGATTCAAGCCTTCAGCGGAACAGCGACCCCGACCAGTCACGCCTCGCAGCATCTGAAAGGCCAAGTAAACTGCTAGGCAATCGCAGGACAAGCACTAAAGTCACGAAGGGGGAAGTCATCCCGCAAAGTGCTTGGAATGCGGCCGTGCTTGCGGCCAAGCTCGTGCACCTGATCGGGACACGTGAACCAGCTCACATCCCTGCACTGCTTACACTCGCAGTAACTGCAGGCTGAGGCATCGACGAAGGCAAGGGCCCGCCGGTGCTGCTTGGCAGTCCATGCTGGCTCCACGTACTGGTAGAAAAGCATGATGGATGTCGGTGGTTTCCCTTTCTCATCCTTCACCCCGGCCAGGCCAGCTGGGACTGGCGGAAGCTTCTTTCCTGCAATCGACCTTGCCATCTTCGGCAGCATTCCTCTCATGCTCTCTTCCAGACTGACGTCCCATCCCGCGACCATGGCTCGAAAGCGCGCGGGCTGTAGACAAGCCAAGGCTGAGGGTATCCAGAATCCAGTCCGTGGGATGATAGCTGGGTCTGCGGATGGCTCATACTAGCCTCTATGGCACAGAGGGAAAAACCGGGACGGCGGCGACAGGCTGGCAATGCCCACATCTCGGACACAAGCTCGTTCCTGCTTCAAGAAACCATGTACGGAGCTGAATCCTTTTGCTCCTGCCTCGCGTGCGGTTGCAGGGTATGTAGAAAATTGAAGCTGTGCTTGTGGGACCACGGTCTGAAACCAAGCATGCAATCTTGGTCTGCCGGGCCCGTACTCAAAGCAGGGGTCAGTAGAGACGGACTTCACATCTTTATTTACGTCGATGAGGAAGGTTTAGATGGGGGCCCGGCACGCGAAGCACCTGTCAGCTCATCCTTTCTTGAGATGTGTACATGTTGCGTGGTGAGGGATCTTTCCTGTTCTTTGCTCAAGAAAGGAGACCTATCAACTGTGCACTGTATCACCACATGTTGCGTGACTCAACGGTTCAACACTCCGGACGCAAGAAGTCCACTAAGCCAAAGAGGCAGGGAGACGGTGCTGCCCTGGAATCTCGTCAAGTCTTCCCAGGGTGCTTTCCTCTGAGTTCCATCTCAAGTTCTATCATAATAGTACGCAGTAACACTAAAACACGAGGATAGATAGTGTTCTTGTCTAAACAGAAAAGATTGATAGATGACAATACTAAATACTAAGAACCTTGGTAAGAAGAAGCAGCTACCTGTAGGAGCCGTCTGTGGAAGGCCGGGCGACTCCTAACTTCCTACAGGCTCTCCAAGAGAAAACACTTCGATGGCTGGCGCACCCGGGCATCTCCGATGTCTCTGAGGGCTTCGGGGCTCACATTCGGACGATCCAGGCAAGGCATATTGTTCGAGGTCAGCTAGGTCACGGTTGAGGCTTCTTGAGGTTGAGGCAAAAGGGCCGGCTTCAATCGTGCTGGCAAACAAAGGGTTTTGGGTGGACGGTTTACACTCTCGCAACTCGGACAAGCCAGACGAGGTCTCACGCACAGGGTGCAAAGTTTTCGGGTTAAGTAGAAAAATACCTCTGTGATTGCCTTTCTCAGTTGTGAGACTTCTGGAGCAGCATCCGGGTACGCGTTTTGCATGTCGCGTTTTTGGAGAACTGAAAACTTGTCAGGATCACCGGGCCAGTTTGTAACGAGTCGGCTTGGCCGTCGGGAATTTGGAAAGAGCATCAAAACTCCATACTACGTACTGCAGCTTGCAGGACCATCAAGATTCTAAATTTTACATCATGCCACATGTCCGATGGACGAGGCGAGGTCGTCAAAGTTGAATCTTGCGGCTGCCACATGGAGCAGCACACAGAAGCAAAGCGCGCATCAGGATTTGTCTGGTGCACCTTCTTTTGCCTGGCCAAGCCCCGCCCGCAGCACATCACATCACAGCGGCTTCGTCAAGGCTCTAAGCACGGTCGGTGACACCTGCCGTTTTCGTCCTGACTTGCTCTTGTCGAGTCTCTTGACCTGCATACAGGACAGCAGGTCGTCTGAGCGTTCTATGATGTGCATCACGCACCTGTAGGGAGAGCAAATCCGCGAAATCCTGCCATGCGGCTTCAGCATCTTCTTGGCTTACATCGCCTGCTCCAGAGTCACAGCCGCATTCTGAGTCCTACAGGCTGCCTACATCCAGCAGCCACACTCTGAAACAAAAGCAGCTGGTCGAGATTGCTCCGTGCTAAGTCCGTGCCAGGCTGCGGAGAAGAAGCGTGTAAGCGCGCTCAGCCATGTTTTCCTGACCCAGACTCCCTCATTCAGAAACCCCCGCTCTGCTTGCGTGGAGGCCCTATAAAAGTGTATGCAGAAACATCATCCTTCGGGTTGTCACTCATCTCCGCCAGGAGGAGGACCTTCTCTTCCCTTGTTAACACACCCTCGTCTTGGAGCCTCCTGGTGCGCGACAGCACAGCATGCCAAGGCATCGACACCGGCACTTGAGTTGGCGCCCGGTCCTCAGGCCACCAATGGCCTCTCGAGCATCGTACACTTCGTCTTCTTCCGGATCAACATAGAGCTCCTCTTCCAAGTCAGAGTCCGAATCCGAGCCAGCATCCAGATCATCATCCACCTGCTCAACTGGTACCGGGGTCATGTTGCCTCCGATGCCGAAGGGGCCGTCGTCCTCGCCATCGTGCTCCGGCGTGAAGAAAGGTGCCCGAATGACGATCGAGTTGCCACCCAAGCCCAGGTTCTGCGCGGCTCGCATCACCTTTTGAAACTGCTGGAAGCTCTCCTCGTCTGCTTCCGGGCCGGGACTGTCTCCTGACGAGCAGTGGGCTTCTGTTGACTTTTTGCACGTGCGACTTCGACTACAGTTCCAAAGCCCAGGAGGATTCGTGGCCCTTCCAAGTTTTGACTTTGACATGAACCGACACAATCGCGGGGACCCCCTTCACTGCCTGGCGGTTTGCTCGCATGCCTGTGGCACATCTTCCAGCGGTCGTCGGCACTCTTCCGGAAGATGTGGCTGACACGCAGGTTGATCCTCGCGGGGACTTTAGACTCGCAAAAGTGCTCTCCCAAAGCGCATTTCGGCGGATCCCGTCTCCTGTAGTTCTTGCCCAACAGCCGTTCCCGGCAGGTCACAATGGCAGTACCACCCCGCACGTTGACCTGCGGCGATTAGCAATGCCCCGGAGGGCTCTGAAGTCTGCTTCCGGCGCGTGCACGGCCTTCACTTGGTCGAAGGACACCTGGGTCTCCATCTTGGACTGCTTGAAAACCCTCTCGAAGGAAGAGCCTGGCTGCAGCACAGTGTGATAACATTCAATGATCTTTGGACGTCACACTTCTTGCACATCTATACACTCTCCATCTAGTCTGCTTTTGCCCTGCTATGCTTTTTGCGTGGAGAATGGCCGTGCCGCAGCGGACGCAAAAATCACCAAGAATAATCTCACGCATGTTTGCAGTTGGGACGCAAATGTCAGTGTAGCCCGTGTGGTGGTGATAATCCTGCTCCTCGGACCCATCACTTTGGTGCAAACCCGACAAGCTAATCAAGGACGAAGCGGAAACGTACATCGTTCTGACACTTGTTTGATGCCACGCGACGTAGGGGTGGATGCATTGTGCAAACGGCACATTGTACCAGCACTTCTTCATCGAGGCAAGATCTCGCTTGTTGAACGCTTCCTTGGCTAACACTGAACTGAGTACGACGAGGCAAACATGTCCTGTCATCATGTTCGAACGAAATGCTTCCGTGGCTCATAGAATTTGACATTTGCGTGCAGCACGCTCCCCTCGTCATCTATCTGAGCCGAGAGCAACTGCTTGTTGTGCTTTGCAGCCTCCTCGAAGTTTCCAGCCTCTGCTGAGGCAAGCATTTTTCTCTCCAATTCCTTGGCAGGGCATCGGGGAAACGGGGAATTGGTATAAAGAAGCGTGGTTTATCAAAGACTATCAAGAGGGGTTTGCTCGAGGCTCGAAAGCCCCGAAGCACAAGCTCTGGCAGCAGCTGAGTGGGGAGGGCTCTTTGCAGGCGGGTGATTCAAAATCAAGGTGAGGCATTCGGCTGCCGAAGCTCTTCGACTGCCCCCTCGCTCATCTTCTCCTCGTTCACCTCGCGGGTGCAGCGTGCTCTCATTCTGAGCTCTGCTATTGGGCTTGCAAACCGGTGCCTCGAGGCAGGACCGACAGACCCAAAAAAATGAACCGGCTTTGCTGAATAGACTCTGCCTTCGCCCTAGCAGCCCTAGCAGCGCAGGTTGCGCGATCGCGCATGCAACTGGAGATGCCCTTCATCGATCCACGCGACAGCCCTCGAGTCTCGAGGCTTAGCCGAAACTCCATTCACACATCACACCTTTTGAAGAGGAGCGACGTCGCTCCGAGCCGTCAAGATGTCTTTTGGAATTCTCCGACAGAGTGCCTCGGTTGCCTCTGTGGTCTGGAGTGAGGACACGCAAGCTAGCTGTCTTCGAATCTGAGAGCCTACTTGAACCTTTGTGCCTCCTGCCTGAGCTTGGAGGTCTCGATCGATACCAAAGCAAGCGCTTCTACAGCACTGCCGATTCCTACAATGCTCCACTCTGAATATGTTCTGCAACAACTGCAGCTTGATTCGAAGGCTTCTAGGATGCGCCCTGGCATGCCTTAAGCTTTAGCAGGCAAACACACTCAAGCACAAGAGCGTGCTCTGTAGCAAAGTCCGTCAGGCAACGGAATTTGCAGAGTACCTTCATGTGTCCTGCAAAAGTTGAAAGGGAAGCATTCCGGAGGGGAAGCATGAAAGAAGAGCTGCACACATAAAGCGAAACAAAAGACGTCCTGCATCTTCAATCCTTACAACGACTGAATGAAACCCTAGGGAACGGTATGGCCCGCTCCTCCCATCAGTCTCTCCGGAACGCAAAAAGGCAGCATGTGTAGCCGCTGGAAAAGACTCCCAGCAGAGCTGGCCAACGTCTTGCAAAGCTTGTTCGGCTATTTATTCGGCTCTGCATGGTTAGAGGGCTCGGCTTGTGGCGCGAAGAGTCTAGGTACAATCAGCCAGCAATGCCGCTGAGCTCAGTGTGAACGCTCAGCTCCTAGGCCCTAGGCAATCTCCATCGGTGCATCGACATACATAAGGTAGTCTTCGGCTGCGTCGGCCTGGCGCTGACGGCGAAGTCGCGCGGCAAAGGCGACGGCGGCAAGCACGCCAATCGCAAGGGAACCGGTTACGACCAGCGGTCGAGACCCAGCCGGGATCGCTGCGAGCTGTGCTGGAGGGGTAGCCCTCTCCTCCTCGTGCTCTTTAGCTTCGGAGGCCAACTCCTCTTTCAAGTGCTCCTGCTCTTGGGCAAGCTCCTTCTGCAAACGCTCCCGCTCCGAGGCCAGCTCTTCACGAAGCTGCTGCTTCTCCTCCTCGCGCAGCTTGCTCTCCTTCGCTTCCTCTGTGTTCTGCTGATCAGGAGCGACGAAAAGCTCGCCGGCCTTGGCGGCCTTGGCTGCCTTCTTTGCAGCAGCAGCTGCCGCCTTGGCTTCGGCAGCAAGCTCATCCCGCAGGTGCTCCTTCTCGGATGCAAGCTCAGCACGGAGGCTCGCCTTTTCGGACTGCAGCTCTTCACGCAGACGCTCCTTCTCCATCTGCCTTTCGCGCTCCTCGCGCTGATCCTCAGAGACCTGCTGTCGCCCAGAGGCATCAGACCGGGATTGCTTTGAAGTGGCATTGGGGCCAGTCGATGCCAAGACCAAAGCTGGTTCGGATGGACCCTGATGATCTTGACCCTGTGTGAACTTGGAGTAATCCATGTACTTCTGGAAGCCGTCTCCGGCAGAGCCGTGCCCCTGCATGTACTTGCCTTTCATCTGCCGGGACGATAGCTATGGGAGACTTCAATGTCAACTTCTAAGGGCAAAGATAGCAGAAACAAAACAAGCTAAAGTTGATACTTGGAGGAGCTGCTGTAGTCCCCACCGTAGGACTGCATGTACTGCTTGTAGTCACCCTGCAAGCAAGCTTGGGGCAAGGGCCGCATCACAACAGCCGTGTAAAGGTTCGCTTTTCGAGGAACGGGCGTGGATGGACATGCCGGCAGGGCAACCTACTTACGCTTTGGTTACCACGTTGGTGCGTGGCCACGCTGACGACTTACAGCACGTTCAGCGGCGGTCCATTACCAATCTACGCGGCGGGGCCAGATCTAGCCTTAGCCGTAGCCGTGGGATCTTGCGTAAGAGGCTGAAGTTTCGATCAAGTCAGATTTTGACCCTAAGACTTAAGACAATCCTCGACCCACTGCTTTTCAAGCGCAAGCCAAAAGCTCCTGATGACCACACCTCCAACTAAGCCCTCTCCGCCTCAAATCTGGGAGTGGGAAAGAAACAAGCTGGGGGTGAAAATGACAATGTACGGCCTATCCAAGCCTTTGCACAAACATGGTTCGCTCCTCGCCCATGCATCCCACGCCCAATACAATCTTGGGAACCCTCCATGTCCATGCAGCTTTGTTGGAACTACCTTGCCTGGGAGCCGTGACCCTGAGTGTACTTGGAGTAATCCATGTACTGCTTATAGTCACCACCCTGCGAGCAAGCTTGGGACATCATGGCTGGGTGCAGCTTTACGGGTTTGCGCAAGCTTGCTGAACTTAGTTCGATGATCTCTGTAGAACACATTATCGTTCTAAGAACGACTTACATCATTGAGTCTTGACTTGTGCCATCGCCAGGCGATTGCGCATTCCCCAGTGCTAGCAGCAAGCGTGCATCTATCCTCGACCGGGCCTCTGCGACTCTGTCCCATCAAAGCCCCTCACAACAAAATCAAGAGCCCTGAGCCTAGACATATGAGACAGCCCAACCTGTCTTAAGTCTTCATGTGGACATTGGAGTTGGGGTGGAGGAAAACCGGCTGGGATGAAGGACTACTGACTACTCGTGTCGACGCTTGTCGCAACAGGCAGGGAAAAGGCTCACTCTTCAAGCACATTGCGAAATTGCGAGCAGCGATGGAGCGTCAGTGAACAAATCCAAAACCCACGCACGCATGCAAACGACATGCTGCGGCACCGCCATCCATCACAGACTCAGCCGACCACCGAAACACCCAATCACGAAAGCCACAACTCAGCTTCGCAACCAAGGTTCCCAACACAAAATCTTGAAAATCCGATACAACCAAGTCGTGACATGTTTCTCAGTACTCAAGGACGGCTCTGAAAGCAACTCAACCATCAGCCACTACACATATCCGACCTATCCACTCGCCGGCATCGTCAACACGAAACTAATCAGCAATAACCAACAACTCAACGCCGGATCTAGTGCTTCGAAGCAATGAGAAAGTAAGGACTTATTCTCCAAGTTTGAAACTACCTTGCCTGCGATCCATGCCCTTGCGCATACTTGCTAACGTCGCCACCGTAGGACTGCATGTACTGCTGGAAATTTCCGCCCTGGGAGCCGTGCCCCTGCATGTACTTGCCTTTCATCTGCCGGGACGATAGCTATGGGAGACTTCAATGTCAACTAAGGGCAAAGATAGCAGAAACAAAACAAGCTAAAGTTGATACTTGGAGGAGCTGCTGTAGTCCCCACCGTAGGACTGCATGTACTGCTTGTAGTCACCACCCTGCAAGCAAGCTTGGGGCAAGGGCCGCATCACAACAGCCGTGTAAAGGTTCGCTTTTCGAGGAACGGGCGTGGATGGACATGCCGGCAGGGCAACCTACTTACGCTTTGGTTACCATGTTGGTGCGTGGCCACGCTCACGACTTACAGCACGTTCAGCGGCGGTCCATTACCAATCTACGCGGCGGGGCCAGATCTAGCCTTAGCCGTAGCCGTGGGATCTTGCGTAAGAGGCTGAAGTTTCGATCAAGTCAGATTTTGACCCTAAGACTTAAGACAATCCTCGACCCACTGCTTTTCAAGCGCAAGCCAAAAGCTCCTGATGACCACACCTCCAACTAAGCCCTCTCCGCCTCAAATCTGGGAGTGGGAAAGAAACAAGCTGGGGGTGAAAATGACAATGTACGGCCTATCCAAGCCTTTGCACAAACATGGTTCGCTCCTCGCCCATGCATCCCACGCCCAATACAATCTTTGGAACCCTCCATTTCCATGCAGCTTTGTTGGAACTACCTTGCCTGGGAGCCGTGACCCTGAGTGTACTTGGAGTAATCCATGTACTGCTTATAGTCACCACCCTGCGAGCAAGCTTGGGACATCATGGCTGGGTGCAGCTTTGCGGGTTTGCGCAAGCTTGCTGAACTTAGTTCGATGATCTCTGTAGAACACATTATCGTTCTAAGAACGACTTACATCATTGAGTCTTGACTTGTGCCATCGCCAGGCGATTGCGCATTCCCCAGTGCTAGCAGCAAGCGTGCATCTATCCTCGACCGGGCCTCTGCGACTCTGTCCCATCAAAGCCCCTCACAACAAAATCAAGAGCCCTGAGCCTAGACATATGAGACAGCCCAACCTGTCTTAAGTCTTCATGTGGACATTGGAGTTGGGGTGGAGGAAAGCCGGCTGGGATGAAGGACTACTGACTACTCGTGTCGACGCTTGTCGCAACAGGCAGGGACAAGGCTCACTCTTCAAGCACATTGCGAAATTGCGAGCAGCGATGGAGCGTCAGTGAACAAATCCAAAACCCACGCACGCATGCAAACGACATGCTGCGGCACCGCCATCCATCACAGACTCAGCCGACCACCGAAACACGCCATCACGAAAGCCACAACTCAGCTTCGCAACCAAGGTTCCCAACACAAAATCTTGAAAATCCGAGACAACCAAGTCGTGACATGTTTCTCAGTACTCAAGGACGGCTCTGAAAGCAACTCAACCATCAGCCACTACACATATCCGACCTATCCACTCGCCGGCATCGTCAACACGAAACTAATCAGCAATAACCAACAACTCAACGCCGGATCTAGTGCTTCGAAGCAATGAGAAAGTAAGGACTTATTATTATCCAAGTTTGGAACTACCTTGCCTGCGATCCATGCCCTTGCGCATACTTGCCAACGTCGCCACCGGAGGACTGCATGTACTGCTGGAAATTTCCGCCCTGGGAGCCGTGCCCCTGCATGTACTTGCCTTTCATCTGCCGGGACGATAGCTATGGGAGACTTCAATGTCAACTAAGGGCAAAGATAGCAGAAACAAAACAAGCTAAAGTTGATACTTGGAGGAGCTGCTGTAGTCCCCACCGTAGGACTGCATGTACTGCTTGTAGTCACCACCCTGCAAGCAAGCTTGGGGCAAGGGCCGCATCACAACAGCCGTGTAAAGGTTCGCTTTTCGAGGAACGGGCGTGGATGGACATGCCGGCAGGGCAACCTACTTACGCTTTGGTTACCATGTTGGTGCGTGGCCACGCTCACGACTTACAGCACGTTCAGCGGCGGTCCATTACCAATCTACGCGGCGGGGCCAGATCTAGCCTTAGCCGTAGCCGTGGGATCTTGCGTAAGAGGCTGAAGTTTCGATCAAGTCAGATTTTGACCCTAAGACTTAAGACAATCCTCGACCCACTGCTTTTCAAGCGCAAGCCAAAAGCTCCTGATGACCACACCTCCAACTAAGCCCTCTCCGCCTCAAATCTGGGAGTGGGAAAGAAACAAGCTGGGGGTGAAAATGACAATGTACGGCCTATCCAAGCCTTTGCACAAACATGGTTCGCTCCTCGCCCATGCATCCCACGCCCAATACAATCTTTGGAACCCTCCATTTCCATGCAGCTTTGTTGGAACTACCTTGCCTGGGAGCCGTGACCCTGAGTGTACTTGGAGTAATCCATGTACTGCTTATAGTCACCACCCTGCGAGCAAGCTTGGGACATCATGGCTGGGTGCAGCTTTACGGGTTTGCGCAAGCTTGCTGAACTTAGTTCGATGATCTCTGTAGAACACATTATCGTTCTAAGAACGACTTACATCATTGAGTCTTGACTTGTGCCATCGCCAGGCGATTGCGCATTCCCCAGTGCTAGCAGCAAGCGTGCATCTATCCTCGACCGGGCCTCTGCGACTCTGTCCCATCAAAGCCCCTCACAACAAAATCAAGAGCCCTGAGCCTAGACATATGAGACAGCCCAACCTGTCTTAAGTCTTCATGTGGACATTGGAGTTGGGGTGGAGGAAAACCGGCTGGGATGAAGGACTACTGACTACTCGTGTCGACGCTTGTCGCAACAGGCAGGGACAAGGCTCACTCTTCAAGCACATTGCGAAATTGCGAGCAGCGATGGAGCGTCAGTGAACAAATCCAAAACCCACGCACGCATGCATCCGACATGCTGCGGCACCGCCATCCATCACAGACTCAGCCGACCACCGAAACACCCAATCACGAAAGCCACAACTCAGCTTCGCAACCAAGGTTCCCAACACCAAATCTTGAAAATCCGAGACAACCAAGTCGTGACATGTTTCTCAGTACTCAAGGACGGCTCTGAAAGCAACTCAACCATCAGCCACTACACATATCCGACCTATCCACTCGCAGGCATCGTCAACACGAAACTAATCAGCAATAACCAACAACTCAACACCGGATCTAGTGCTTCGAAGCAATGAGAAAGTAAGGACTTATTATCCAGGTTTGAAACTACCTTGCCTGCGATCCATGCCCTTGCGCGTACTTGCTAACGTCGCCACCGTAGGACTGCATGTACTGCTGGAAATTTCCGCCCTGGGAGCCGTGCCCCTGCATGTACTTGCCTTTCATCTGCCGGGACGATAGCTATGGGAGACTTCAATGTCAACTAAGGGCAAAGATAGCAGAAACAAAACAAGCTAAAGTTGATACTTGGAGGAGCTGCTGTAGTCCCCACCGTAGGACTGCATGTACTGCTTGTAGTCACCACCCTGCAAGCAAGCTTGGGGCAAGGGCCGCATCACAACAGCCGTGTAAAGGTTCGCTTTTCGAGGAACGGGCGTGGATGGACATGCCGGCAGGGCAACCTACTTACGCTTTGGTTACCATGTTGGTGCGTGGCCACGCTCACGACTTACAGCACGTTCAGCAGCGGTCCATTACCAATCTACGCGGCGGGGCCAGATCTAGCCTTAGCCGTAGCCGTGGGATCTTGCGTAAGAGGCTGAAGTTTCGATCAAGTCAGATTTCGACCCTAAGACTTAAGACAATCCTCGACCCACTGCTTTTCAAGCGCAAGCCAAAAGCTCCTGATGACCACACCTCCAACTAAGCCCTCTCCGCCTCAAATCTGGGAGTGGGAAAGAAACAAGCTGGGGGTGAAAATGACAATGTACGGCCTATCCAAGCCTTTGCACAAACATGGTTCGCTCCTCGCCCATGCATCCCACGCCCAATACAATCTTTGGAACCCTCCATTTCCATGCAGCTTTGTTGGAACTACCTTGCCTGGGAGCCGTGACCCTGAGTGTACTTGGAGTAATCCATGTACTGCTTATAGTCACCACCCTGCGAGCAAGCTTGGGACATCATGGCTGGGTGCAGCTTTACTGGTTTGCGCAAGCTTGCTGAACTTAGTTCGATGATCTCTGTAGAACACATTATCGTTCTAAGAACGACTTACATCATTGAGTCTGGACTTGTGCCATCGCCAGGCGATTGCGCATTCCCCAGTGCTAGCAGCAAGCGTGCATCTATCCTCGACCGGGCCTCTGCGACTCTGTCCCATCAAAGCCCCTCACAGCAAAATCAAGAGCCCTGAGCCCTGGAAGTATGAGACATCTCAACCTGTTTCACGTCCTCTTTAGAATTGTGGTGGAGGAAACCTAGCTCGCGTTGACGCTTGTCGCAACAAGTAGGCAAGGATTGACAAGAAGCAGACAAGGTTCACTCTTCAAGCACCTTGCGAACAGCTATGAGCGTCAGAGAATACATCCACAATCCGCGACACATGCAACCGACATGCTCCTTGCTGCTGTCCCATCACCATCCATCATGTACAAAGCCGACTACCGAAAGACGCCATCACGAAAGCCACAACTCAGCTTTGCAACCCAGGCTTCGGACACATGATCATGTAAACCCGAAACAACCAAGTCGTGATCTCTCTGAAGACTGAAGGACTACACTGGTCCGACCTATCCACTAGGCTGATTTACGTCAGAACTATTCAGAAGCTCAAAGCCATTGCAAACATCCTCCATTTCCATGTTTGGAAGTATGTTGCCTGCGAGCCCTGGGAGCCGTGGCCCTGCGAGTACTTGGAGTAGTCCATGTACTTCTTGAAGCCATTTTGGTCAGCTCCGTTCTGAGAATCGCTTGCCGAGTCCTTCCTGGACTTGGCATCCGTGTTGGAGCTTTCATCCCCCTCAGCTGCCGCGAAGTTTAGCGGCTTCCCTGCATCTTCGGAAGACTCGTCCGCAGACGTGGAGGACGGCATGTACTTGCTAGCATAGTCGCCGGCATACTTCGACATGTACTTCTCATACCCTCCGGCGGCACCGGAGCCGTATTGCGACATGTACTTCTTGTAGTACTGCTGGTAACCAGAGCCACCGCCGGATCCGCCCTGCATGTAATGTTGGTACGGCGCTGCATACTGGCTCATGTAGTCTCCACCCTGGGCTGACGACAGGACTGGGAACACGAGCCCCAACAGCGACAGCACCGCCATGGCAATGGGAGATACGGCCGGGTGCGAACTCGAGCTCTTGAGCCTTTTGCCTCAGTTGCACCTAGAGTGTGCGAGGGCCAAGGCCATAAGAGATTCATAAATCGCATGTAGCGGCAATGGCATCAAATGCACGGCCTTCTCAGCCTGCCCAGACAGTGGCCCGGCAGGTCGAGCAGCTGGAGCCTGCCCAACACAAAGACGCGAATGCCCTGCCTTTTCCAGCTTTCCCTCGGCCATCGCCTTTCCGAGCTTCCCCTCGTCCTCCAAAGCACGCCGCAGCGTCCCCGTCCGGGCCCTTGCGCCCTGAGCCTGAAATGGCAGAGGGCAGTGGTTGTCGGAGCATCCCCCGCCTTTTTATGTCTGAAGCCGAGAGACTCGGAGCAGGCCCACTGCGACCAGGGAGGCGCCGGCCACGGTGAAGGGCACGGCCAGGGAGCCTCCGCCTCCTCCTTCGGTAGACATCAGAATCCCCGCAGCTCCAAAATCCGAAGGTGGCTCAAAGCTCACAGCCGAGCTGCCATGAAACTGCGAAGACCGTGCTGACCTTCGCAGGGCAGGCGCCTCGAGGGAAGTCGCAAAGGATTTCGACGATGACTTTATGGGACTTGTTCGCACTCGCACTCACTTTATGGGACTTAAAATTTAGGACCTGGATGCAACAAGGAAAGGTTGTGAAAGGTTGGCCACTGGCGAGTTCACGCTGAAGGCACCCGCCCGAAATTTAAAGCTTGCCCCGCTGCACCTCGTGTCTATCACTAAGATGTGGAAGACGCTGGAGGCAGAAGCTGACAGGCCAAAGAAAGCTCAAACCTTCTTTGATGCTGTCTGTCGTCCTGCCAGTACATGACATCCACGAGAATAAAGTAACGAACAAATATGGATAATTCATGCCTGCAAACGCTCTCTCGCAGGAGGTTCTGCCAGTCCTGACTGCGACAGAGAACATCAGGAGGACACTGGCTCCAGCTGCCACCAGAGCGGCCTTAGCCGATGGGCCGAAAGTCCAACTTGCTGCGCTTCAGGCTCTGCGATTCTGCAACGATGCAGCTCGGACCCGCACTCTTCCGAGGCGCATCTTGCGTAAGCCTGACGAGGAAAGAGAGGTGCCAACGACTCCCCCCCACATTCACTTCTGCATGCTTGCGCAAAGCTCTCTGCCCTCTGCCCGTGTGCCCCCGCAATTCTGCATGGGGCTGCCGCCTTCCCGCGGCGCCATCGCCACTCTAGCTCGGCTGAAAATATCTGTGTTTCACTGATGCCACATGGCAAGTTTGCAGTTTGGGGAAAAATCCGACGATGTCACGAGCTTGGCTCCAAATGTTTCCGCTCTTGCAATGCGGTGTGGAAATGGGATCTCTTCGTTCCTGTTATAAGCCAGAAGCACAACATCGACCCAATTCCTAAGATTTGTCAATCGACAATCGTGTCGAGCTAGCCGAATACACAAAGTGCTTCCGCGCCGGCTGATCAGCAGAACCCAAAGTTGTGCCTTTCGGACGGCAACGGCGTGGTCTATGTCACCTGGTTGCCGGGAGCTCTTGAAACAGCCCCAGCAGGGGTGAGATGAGTCACAGGTCGCGCTGCCCGTCTCCCGGCCAACAGCTGTGGCCACAAGTCTACAAGAGCAGCTCAGACTTTGCGCGCTGCTTCTTGGGCTGAGCTTCCTGGCGAGATCGATGCCGGAGATGTGGTGGGCTTCCATGATTCTATGAGGTTTGTGGATTGTGCTGGCGCATCAGGAAGTGGACCACATGCAGTGGACTGCTGAAGTCACCCTTGACACAGCCGCATGCCAGCGGAATCACGGCTCTGGGAGCCAAATCTTTGCAAGCGATTTCGATGAAACTTCAGCAACACGAGCTGCTTTGGCCTTGGCTTTCCTGGCCAAGCGCTGCGCCATCTCCTTACAAGCACCCAGACCAATCGATTGCTGCGGGCCAAGCAGAGGACATCAAAGGACTGAGAGGCCCCGGGAAGTCCCAGAGAAGGAAAACCTAGGAAAGTCTCCTGCGTCGTCTCGCCAGCGTCCTGGCCCTTCCGTTTCTTGGCTTTGGCAGGCGCGGGCGGCTCGAACTCCTCGCCCCATGCCCAACTACTTCTTACCGCCCCTGGGGCGCAAGCTGAAACTGGTAGTTCAGACTCTGCGATCTAATTAAGTGACTCAGTGAGATTTCTAATTCTAACGCTGAGACAAAGCTGCAACATTCCCCACGCCGTCGTCGGCAGCTATCCAAGTTCCTAACAGAACTGTGCCACTTGCCACTAGGGACTATTCTGCCACAGAGATCCAAAGAGCGTGGACCTTTGCGCGTTCTCTTCGCTTCTCCGCGCTCTTGGCCTGCTGCGCCTCAGGGCAAATACTTCGGGAGGCATGCGAGGAAGGCGCTCCACGATGCATCACCAAGCAGCTCTGCAAGCACGAGTACATCGGAAGAAAACTTCTGCAAACTCTGATGCCTCGCCTCGCGCTTGGCAATTCTCTGACGGAGTTGCTTCTCCTTTTCCTCGGGTGGGTGGCTTTCGCCGGCTCGGGCGGTTGACGGAGGCTCGATAGTATGTTTCAATCGTCGGCACAGCCGATACATCTATGTTGACCTTACTCGGTACTGCCAGGGCTCATTCAGGAAGTACTCGCCAGACTCCATCTGCAGATCCTGCGCACATTAAAAGCCGGCGGGGCTGGGAATGGGCGGCCGAATGATGCACAATCCGGTCCTCCTTTCTGGGGGCAGGCTGTGGAGGGAAAACGTCTTTGCTCTTCTTCTTGGCCTATACAACGCAGATCAGGTCATCACGTCGGCACAGGCCGGATCTCTGACTGCCTTCTTGTCTTTCGTCTTCTTTCTCTGCACGTTGCGGTTTTTGAAATGTGGCAAGAATCGGTCCCAATTCTCGTTCTGCAGCTCCGGGTCCTGCGCTGAACTCCAAAGAAAGAAACAAAGGTCGGGGCATTGCCGCTCCTTCTCCAGCTCCCGGCGTATCATCAACTCTTTGATGTGATAGATCCTTGGGACTGAGCCGGCAGGACAGCTTCCTTCATCTCGAATCTCACAATGGCAAGGAGCGGGTGGATGTTGCGAAAGCAGTCTTCCACGATGCGTCGAACCTTCCCCCTTCCCCACTTCCATCACTTACTTGCGCAGGAATTCCTTTCGAGATCATGACCACCGCCGGCCTGCTTGATGCCCTTTACGGATCCCATGATGGAGACAGTCTGGCCCTGAACCAGCACGAAGCACTGCGTCAGCAGCTCAATGGCCTCGACACCGACCCATATGTGCGCTTATGTGAAAGGTTTTTTCTGGTTGATCGGTCCGTCTGACTCACCAAACACTGGCCACTTGCATGAGGACAATTGTCTACGGGGTAGAAACTCGGGGCATGTCCGTGCTTGAGTGAAAAACGCTTTCTAGTTGACTGGTCCATTTACCACTTACCTGAAGGCAACTGTCTGCGGGCTCGAAAGTGAACCATATTGCGGTCACATCTCAACCATGTGCAACATGACCACTTCGCAGACAGCTGACTTCATGGGTAAGTTGCTTCCTTCTCTGTCCCTCTCCGCCGTTGCATCCAGAGGGTCTAGCAGCGCTAGGCAACGCATGAGGTTCCTTCCTTGTGCATTGCTATGTTGGCTACAACTACATAATTCGACTGCGTGGACTGCACCGCATTGGTTGGTGAAAGAGAACTTCCAAGGACAACCTGCTCAACTCAAAACTGTATGGTGGTCCCAGCAGGTCTTAGCCTGCACGACAAACCACAACCACCACCACAACCACGACAACCACCGCAGCCAAGAGCAGAGAGCAAAGACATGAAAGCGAAGATCCAACGGTGAAGCTTCGTTGACGTCGCCCCCACCGCGGCCCATCGCGGTCCCCGGGCCTTCAGCGTGGAACCGTTTGGCCCGACCAAGCGCTGCCTTCGCTTCACGAAGCGCTCCTTGGAGCGAACGAGACCTCAGGGCTTTCCGGTTGGCTTGTTCCATGGGGTTCCATGAGGACCTCCCTATGCGTCTGAGGCCCATTGACCCGACCCTCTTATGTCATGAGCTTGCCACTCAGTTCAACTGCGATTGGTGACGCCAGCCGTTCATCTCGTTGGCAGCAACAATTGGTGTACAAAGAAGCACTAGCCGGCTGTAAAGTGAAGGCTCGAATTGGCATGATTTTCGAACGAAGTCTTGTCGGGCCAGTCTTTGATGCCCCTCGAAAAGAGAATCTGATTACATGGCGGGCAGGGCAGACCTGAAACGCCGTCAGCCACAACGCTACAACCACGACGTACCACATCGGCCCCGTCCCTGCGCCGCGGGGACAAACAAACACTGTATAAGCCTTGCAGTACTGGTGGCACTTCACGAAAATTTCAGGCATGCACCAATCACGCCGAGACAGCTATGCACAGACTGCAGACCTTCAGGCTTCATGGTGCAAGCATACCTGATGCCTCCCTGGGACGACTCTAGGCTTCTCCTGAAAGTGTTTTGTGCTGAGAAAATTCCAGCAAGCTGCCGCCGATTTTGAGAATGTCGCAGTAGACCTGCCAGATGCGTGTGGTCAGCATCCCTTCTCGGCTTCTGGAAACGACACTCGATCCCACGTTACAATGTCTCTGTGTCATCCTGCTGTCGAGAGTGCCTCATCGTCCAAGATCTTCTGCGCTTGTGGCAGAGGCACACTGCGGGCGAGGAGTTTGATCATGTCCCGAGCCTGTGCGAGCTGTGGTTCACCCGCTCACTGCATTAAAAGAAAAGCTGCTGCTGATGGAAAGCATATGCCAACTTGGATGCACAGGGCCTGAATCGGAATCTGTGACCCCTGAACTACGGCTGCACAGCTTGAGCTGCTACCAGTAGAAGAGTTCCTTGATGATGATGTACGGATCCCACGTCTTCTTCGTGGTTCTCACTGTCATGGAGCCCTCGACCAGGTTCAGATCTGCCGCGAGCTCGTGCCTCGGCGAAAAAGGCCAAACTACGGCGCTTTCGGCGCGAAAGTGTGCAGCCGCGTCGCTCAGCAAGCACCTTCCGCACATCAGGCCAGACCTGCCTCAGAAGTGACAAGGACGTCACAACGGCTCCAGCGCCCACGCCCCAAAATCTTGGATGCTGCCATTGGTGCTTCAGATACTGCTCTCTGTACTGTGGAAACAGCGTGGCGAAGGAGCTCTCCTCGAGAAGCAACCCACCAGAAGGCGCATCCTCCTTCGCGATGGACCTCACACTCTCGAGTATGCAGAACAGTGCACACAGGAGGCTGTGTGTCTGCCATGGTGTGCCTGCAGCCAAGGCACACCGGCTTCCAGTGGTCGATCCCCTCGTGGTCCCACGGCTTATCTTTCCGATATTTTCCTTTCTTGTTCGCAGGCTCCGCGCCTCGAAAGCCGATGCGTCCGATGCAGTGCACTCATTGCACTGAGCTCACCGCGCTGCGACTGTGCTGCGCAGCGCCGCAGCGCAACAGCAAAGCATTGCTTCCGAGGCTCCCTTCTCCTCCTCGACCTCGCCCTGGGCCTCCACGGCAGACCTTGCGCAAAAAGGGCTCTGTCACGACACTCCGGGCTCTGAAAAACTGAGTCGAGCGGCGCTTTGCTTTTGCGCTTCCTGAGCTGTCCCAGCGGTTTGACAATCACCCATAAGCCATAAGCCTTGAAAACCTGAACTCTGCATTTAGAGGAGGCTCTTTGCCATGTCCAGCCAAGTAAAGGGGCTAGGAGTCTAAAGTGGCAATGGCCATTAAGAAGAGACTGTGTGATGCAGTTAGCTCCTCGTCTCAGAGGCAGCATTCTATCCTGGAGCGAACCGTGGGAACGGTCGCTCAGAGGTCTTGAATGTCACGCGGTACTCTTCATTCCATGCTTTGTGTCTTTTGTGTCTAAGTTAGTCTAAGTTCTTCGCAGAACCACAGCTTGCCACAGAAAGGCAGACATATCAATGCAGGCTGAGTAGGCTTCAGGCATGCTCTGGCATCTTCGCACCTTTTCAGAAGCCGGGTTTTCAGCATCAGCTTCGGGTCGCTTCTGGCGCTGATTTTTTGCTGCGGCCTTTGGCCTTCGACTTTTTCGAAGCTGTTGGGGCTCCAAGGCTACCGCTTCTGGGCAGCCCGGCGACTGACTTGTGCAGTGTCCTTGACTCTAGAGCCAAACCGACAGACTGGTTTAGCTGTTCGTTGAGCTCAGCATCTAGTGCGGCAAACTTGTCCTCCCGCAGGCGCACAGCTGTAGGTTCGTCGCTTTCCAGCACGGCGATTTCATCGCTTTCCGGCAGGGTCTCAGGCTGAGGGGCTCTCGGCTTGACCGATGGGGCTGCTGTGGGAGGCGCTGGGGCTGGAAGCTCAATGTGCCGAAGGATTTCCGAGACAGATGTGTCCAGGCTCGTGGCCGCTGCGACCTCCCGCGGCCTGCCCAGGACTTGGGCTGGAATCCGATCCTCCTTGGCAGTAGCCTCCATTTCCCTTGCTTGAGGCTGGAGTGGCTGGAGCGGCTGGAGGGCCTGGGACGCTGCCTGAGACACTTTGGACGCCGTTTGTTGGCCTTCAGCCCTGACCCTCCACGCAGAGGGCCTGGAGGGCGTCGTCTTGGGCTCCGGCTGCGGCGGCTGCGGCGGCCGCGGCGGCTGGCGGGAAGGAACTTCTCCATGCTCCACTTCCAAGCTTCTGGCAGCCTTCGCTATGGACTGAGGCTTCGAGTCCTTCCTCTCTCTGGGCTGCAGCAGCCTCAGTCGATCCTCTGGGTCAATTTCAGCGGCCAGCGAGCCGTAGGCACGAACCAGGCGATCCACCTGGTCTTCTCCGGAAGATGTTACCTTGTCGTAGTTGGCCTGCACATTGTTCCCCTTGGGTTTGGTCTTCCGGAAAGCAAAGGGGTCCAGACGGCCTCGATTCTCCGATCAGGTGAAGCTTGGAGGCCAGTTACTAGTCCTTTAAACCGCATGCTGAGACGGCAAGGCGGCAAGATGCTGTAAGGACGTCATGTGCCAAGCTACGGATGGGCGCCTGATAGCCCGTGATGAGGACTCGGGTGAGGCCTTGATCTGCGGGCTCGGCCCTTTCCTCCTGAGTCCGTACACACTCATCGGCAAGTGCACGAGACCTTCAGCTGCCCTCTTCGGATCTCCCTGCCAGGTCACAGCAGGCTCTGCTGCAAGCTCCCGCAGGCCTCAGCACAAAGACTTGACTTGGAACGAGAATACAGAATTGCGGACAAGAATAAAGCGAGCAAGGATCGTGGCAGCCATCCTTTTATGATCCCACAAACCACCGCACGAATTCAAGCTGGCACTGCCTTTGAGTGTCGGTATGCACAAAACGTGCGAAGCTCCAAATCCAACGGCTACTTTCCGTCGCCGACTGATTGACACTGTGTGTACGCAAGTGCTTACAGCTGAAGGTGTGACAAAGTTGAGCTTCAATGTGGATTCGGAGCACTTTCGATGAGGGCGGTGCGCCCTGATGCCATCTAAGACGACGCAGGCGTGGAAACTCCATGTTGAAGACTGGCTCGCACATCCGTTATCTGCATCTGCTCTCCGTTTGAACCCGTCTTCCGTCCAGCATCTGGACGTCGACGATGTGCGAGCTGCCTTGCTCATCAATTCTGCAACCTGTTTGTCGCACCAAGTACGCTTCCTAGATGCATCTGGATGCCTACTAGCAGGACATCCAATAGTTGGGTTTCCCCAATTCCCATGCGGTCATACTATGCCATACTAAATACCACCGGCGGCATATTTCCTATCAGTTTAGCAGCAGGTAGCTCTGCGACAAAGCGGGGCCTGGCCAGCTCGAGGACTGACGAATTTGTCTCCGCACTCAGCTTCGATACACAACGGCTAGTCTATCGTAGTATGAGTATAGTGATACCGTGTAGCCTGGTGTGACCAGCGCAGCTTATACAATCAATACTCTAGGCGGATGACCGCAATCCCGCTGATTTCAGCTGGGTTGCGCGGGTGCGTGGGGTATCCAAAACTGAAAGTCTTGAATGACTCCAGCTGATCAAGTGCGCAAAGAGCAACATGAACCGATCTCTTCTCCTTACACACTCACACACGGATTGAAAGCAGCCTTCGTCATCGTGAGTGCGCGCAATCGCTGCGCAATTACTGTATCAATACACACAATCCCGGGGTGAGGCTTCACCTAGTACAGGACCTCAAGATTCTCCCGGCGCCGCGCTTCTTGTTCTGCTTTCGCCCTCATTTTCGAGGCCATCGCCACATGTCGTTGCCCTTCGCGCTTTAAAGCGGTAGGCAACACATAACGACCCCCTCCTCCCGTGATTTTCCTGATGAACTCCTCTAAGCGCGCCGCATAGGCATGCTGTTCTGACATCGCCGTGTCGGCTTCTTGGAGCTGAGAATTGCACAACTTCAGCTGCCCACGAACCTCAATCTGCCTCTGCAGTTCTGCATCCATGTGCCGCCGTTCAGAAGCGGCGGTGGGGTCTTCTGCTGGGTCATCGACAGACCAATTTCCGTGAAGGCGAGCTTCTAGAACGGATTGATTTTGAAGCACCATTTGCTGGACATCTTCCATTTGCTCCCATGTTTTCTTCAGAACATCTTTCAAGGATTTGGCCTCCTCATCCTTTGCAACGAGTGCCTTGTGCAGCTCGTACTCCTCTCGAGCAGAGGCTTCCATTCTTTGCTGCTGCTTCAGCCAAGAGCTTCTGGCGTCATCGACCTTCCGCTGAAGGCCTCGTAGGAGAAGCTGGTACTGTTGATCCTGCGTCTCTTGCATCATGCGAGTGTCCTCCTCCCAAGCCAGCACCTCTCGTCTTTTGGCTTGCAGCTTCTCTTCGAGATTCTGCAAATGCATCTCCACGGCTTGCCATTGCAGAGCGAAGTCTGGGATGCAGTCGCGCAAGCGCTCCAGTTGCCTGGCCAACACGGCGATCATCCTCGACTGCACCTCGCGCTCTGGCAGATGCCGGGAGATGACCTGCTCGCATCGAATCCCACCTACCGAGCGAGGACGTTTGGAGCGGGCTTCGAAGCAACTGGATGTGCCTCGGCCTGTCTGTGGAGCCTTGGGCCCCATCCGAAGCTTTTGTTCTGCAGACCTCGGCCGAGTTTGACCACTGCTTGGCCGCTGTGGTCTTCCTGTGCTGTGGCAAGGCCTGCTCGGCCCGCTCGACGCCTCGGCTTCGCCAGGTTCCCTCTGCGTCGACCGAGCACTCGCCGGAGGCGCGCTCGCCGGAGGCGCGCCCGCCGCCGCCGCCGCGCTCGCCACTGGGGCGGCCGGGCTGGGAGCCCTGGCGGTCCGAGCACCGCGGGCAGTGAAGGACCTGCCGGCGCGCATCCGCTCGATGGCCTCCTCCAAGGCGGTATCCTCGCTGTAGTCCTCTTCAATCTGCAGTTCCTGAGACAGGGCCTGCGGCATTTCGGGAATCTTCTGCGCGAAGTTCCGCGGCTCCGCACCGCTGCTCATGGGACTTGATGCCGACTCAGATGCCTCCTTGCTTGCGGATGGGGGCCTGGACTGGGCCGCTGCCAGGGAGGGCGTGGCAGAGGTCGGTCTCGTGGACACCGACCAACGTGTCAAGTTCACAAACATTTCTCCGTGGCCTTGGCTTTGGAGTGCTATGTTGGCTTCGAGCATGCATTGCTTCAGCGGCATCGCAGAGGGGACAGCAGCAATGCTCTCCTCTCTGGTCTCCGCTAGGCTCCATGGCGCAGCCTCCATCACGACTGCGGCTCTTAGGTCCCGGTTGTACTGTGGTCCTTCTGTGGCTTTTTCGTGCGCAAGCCCCTGTAGCAGTCTAGCAATGCCTGTAATCTCGAGCCTAGATTCAGATGGGGCAGGAGACCTCTCTTCATCGCAACATGCATTCCTGCCGTGCTTGCGTTACTGCGCTTTGCGACACCATGCACCTGCTCGACACTCGCAAACCCACTGACGAGCGTCGGCTTCGACGGACGAAGTCGCGACAGCAGCAGACCGCAGCACAAACCACCACGCAAAGACCTGCCATGGCTTCGGTTTGGGAGTTAGCGGTGGGCCGGGCTTGGCTCTCGGCTCTCTCCTGCACGAATTGCGGCTCAAAGGCACGGTCACTACATCCCTGCCAGGCCTGAGCCTCCGAGCGAAAGCGCGAGCACTTGCCTCGGTTGGATCAGATTCCAGCGCTCCGAGACTTCGCTGAGAGAAAAAGCTTCACGCCCAAGACACACCGTGGCAGCAACTTCTAAGTGCTAAGCATAACCCTGCTTCAGCGTTGGCTCCGGCCATGCTCCGGTCATCCGGTAACAAATATACAAGCATGCCAACAGAGCAGAGTTTCTCGTTCAGCTCTATACTCATAGCTCGCTCATACGGGCCGTGCTTCCATGAGCAACGGCCCTGGCATCTTCAGCCAGTTGAGCATGCTCCCATGGCTCTGAAGACTGGAACATGTAAAAGGGAGGTCTGATATGATATGACCAATTGAAGGCGATTGCTTCTGTGCTTGTTTTGCGTAGCTCCTTTGTACGACACTCTTCTGAAGTTCTTGATCTTGGAGTGCACGACGCTTGAATTCCAAGGTGCGGATGCGTTGAGCAAGACGAGGTATGGCACGGTGAAATGGCACGTTCGCACATAACATACATAACTTTCGTTTGTGCGAAGGAAACCGGCACCTTTTGCGAAGGACTACCTTCTGGTCTACTGCAGCGACACTTTACGAAAGCACGGGCAGACGTTTGGCCTGGGTAGGGCGGTTGATGACGGAAATTGCATTTGATATCGCGGCCTCCGGTCAGTGGCTTTTGCGGGTTTCCAGCTTATGCGGGCCAGGCCAGGGTACATGACCTGCAAGGTTTGCAAAATCCCCAAGCACAAGGACACAAGTTCGGCAAGCTGCTTTTCTGGCGGTCGGTGGCTTGCAAACCGCTACAGCTCAAGCAACGCAGGGTCATCGCATTGGATGCCAAAGGCCTCATCACTGACGCTCTGCGTCTATGATCTCAAAGCCCGCGAGGTAGTCCTGGTAGTTGAAGAGCCCCTCATCATCCAATTCCAGACCTTAGCAATGCCCAACCTTTCTAACCTTTCTGCTTCTCAGCCAAGTCATACGAAACACCCAACGCGCGGTCCACGAACTGAGCCGAAACGGACAGCTGGTTTGTGGCAACCACCCGACCGAACGACCCTCTTGGGCAGGGTGCAGTTTTGACTCAAAAACATGCCGCCTGAGTGCTGTGGAACTAGACCGAATCTGACACCGAGATTCACTATCCCGATGGCATCCTAGCAAATGGCAAATGGAGTGGCTCAACGTACCCATTTCGGGTTCACAGCGTGCCCCTCCGAAATTATTTCAACTGCTTATTACCTAATCCGGCAAGTGGCTGACCACAAGGCTCTCCAGTTGCTGGTGGCTGAGACTTGGGCCATACCTTAGCTGTAATGTCTGAACGGCAAGGCTCGTCGCCAACCTGTAGATTCACTGTAGATCTGTAGCAGGGGGCCTGGGAGGTTCAGGGCCTTCCGAACCGAGAAGGACAAGTTAGAGTATCAGCACGGTTTCCAACACATGGGACAACTGGCTGGCAACATGCCTCTAGTTGCCGCCTCGCAGCGGATTCTCCGGCAAGGCTTGCAGGACTTGCTTAAACACTTTGGGACTGCAGCGAGTTTCCCCTGGCGGCAGCACCTGTTGAAACAGACCTGCCAGAGTCCCCAAGCCATACTCGAAAACCAGCATGCTGCACCTCAGCTCTTGACAGGTGGCAATGCTCAATCAAGCATTCCATGTTGCCAATCCTCATCATCCGACAAAGTCCTGCGTTGAAGCCCCAACTAAGGGCAGAACGTGGCCTCGAGCCAGTCATCCAGCAGAACTTCTGGTGACAGCTGCCCAGGCTTAGCCGCTTTGCGGCTCTCTATGCGAAGGCACTTCACGAGCTCAATGTATCTGATCTTGCCGCTACCACTGTCATCCATGGACTGGGCTAGAAGCTGCACTTCATTGTCGGCAGCCTTCTTCAGGCTCGGTAGCCCTTGAAGCAAAGACGCCACCTCTTTCACCTCAACGAAGCCAGACTTCTTGGCATCCGCTTGTTGAAAGAAGTCCAGAAGCAGGGTCGCGAGGGGCTTCTCTGGATGAGCACTGAGGAGGTCACGACACACGCTGCCCAATCTGCTGGCAACCTCTGTCGACATGCCGTGCTTCGACCGGAATGCGACGGAAAATGCACCGACAAAGTTCTGAAGCATATCTTTATCTTTGCCGCAGGCCAAGGACCTGTACAACATCTGCAGCAGCCTCATCGAAATGCAACAACCACTGTCTGCTATGAAAGTTAGAAACGCTTCCGACGTCAAGTCTCCCATGCTCTCCTGCAGCTGGCGTACGGAAGTCTCCATGCGTAGCAAAGACCCAAATAAGCAGTTTCCGAAGGCAATCCTCATGGTATCCTGGTTGCTTCGAAAGACCAAACGATACTTGGAAAGAAGCCGCATGTAGCAGATGGAACCGTTGTGGAGAAGCAGGTGTGGCGAGTGTTCTGTGCAGATGTCCCGCCAAGGCAATTCTGGCACAACTCGGCTGCAGCAAACGGCGAACTCCTCTTTGGAAAGCATCAGCCGTGAATCGTCGTCAGAGGCCCGAAACTCAGCGAGCAGCTGCCCTTTGTTTTGGACAATAGCGCTCAAAATCTCCAGGACAGAGCCATTGACTTTCTCCGTGACAGCGGTTGATTTCAGAGTTGCTGCAGCATCCGAAGCTTTGTGGCTCACAACCTTGAAACTCTTCGCTGAACCCTTCAACACGATCGTGCCACCCAGATTGGTGTCATAGTGCCCACAGTAGTCACTTGCAGAGAAGACGGTGACTGTGAGGCCCTGCTGCTCAGAAGACAGCAGCTGAAGCTTTTCTCCCGAGCCCTGGGATGCCAAGGGGTGCCACCACTCACAGCCGCTGGCGACTTCATGCGACCGCACCAGGAGGCTTAGTTTGTGAGCCGCCAAGAATTCCGCCGCAACGTCTGGGCCGTAGTTGATGAGACTTTTGCCACGGCTGCTCGGTCCGATGCCTGGCTCTGCTTGAGGATCAGACCATAACAAATCAGTGATGATCTGGTCCTCTCTGACAGGGGGCGGGCTCTCCGCTTAGCTTAGCTTAGCTTTAGCTTAGCACAGCTTATTCGCTATCTGGTCCTGGGGTCGCAACAGATTCTTTCAACTTTCCACCCATGCACTCAACCCTTTTGCATCCAGGACTCTTGCAATCAGCCGGGAAAATGCACACAACCCTTTTGCATCCAGGCCTCCTGTGGTGCACACAACCCTAACACCCTAAACCCTTTTTTGGAGAAGGGACTGCAATGCACCAAGCCCTGAATCCCTTCCCAACCCTAAAACCTGACCCCTTTAATTACCCTTGACCCTAAACCCTAGTAAACCCTTCTTCAGCACGGACTGAGGTGCCGGCCAGCGCCCACGAATCTCCCTAGTAAACCCTAAACCCTAAACGGTTCTAAACCCCTTTGCAACGCAAGCGAATGGTTGAGACAGAACACAGCTTCAGTGAACGAGATGTGAATCATGTTTGGTATGTTTCAACCCTAAACCGTAAATCCTAGTTGAAGGAATCGGAGTCGAAAGAATCATGATTGACAGGAACGCCCAAAGTTGATGAAGAGGGCTTCGACCCTGGTCCTGGCGGTTCTCGGCATGAGTCTGAACCTGCAGAGGCCGTCGGATCTGCTCGATCTCATCGAGGCTGGCAGCGTTGGCCGAGGATTGCCGGAAGCGCGGAAGGCCCCCGTGCACAACGACCATGGCCTCGTCGACCACGGTCATGAGCGGAAGGCAGTCACAAAGATCCTTGAACGCTGCCTTGAGAGCCTTGGCCTCATCGGCATTGTACCTGCGATCGAGCTCACCATAGAAACCCTTGGCACCGTAGTGCAAAGAGTAGTGGTGATCTTCGTGGTTGCCGCGGTTCATATGCACGGCTCCAGGAAAGGCGAGCTTGTGGCTCAGGACACAGGCCCATATCTGAACTGCCTCCATGCCACCACGATCTGCGGCATCTCCTGCACAAAACCCAAAGGCCCCTCGCTAGATTCACTCTTTACACTCTGGGCCCCTGCTGCCCCCGCCGTGCTACCCGGGGAGCTGAAGCGCGCCTCTGTCGCAGATGTCACCGTTGAAGAGATAATGGGTGGAGGCATTCGGCAAGCCTTCCCGCAGCCAAACATGAACCAAGTCCTTGAGATGGCCGTGGGTGTCTCCGAAGATCACCAGTTTCCCATCCCGGGGGGTCTGGATTCGCTGCACCGTTTTTTCTGCAAGGAACAGCTCCCGGCTCTGCCGGGCCATGTGCAAGAGCAAGCCGCATGGCATGCTCTCAGAGTACTTGTGGTGGCAATGCTCAAACACAAGCCGTGCAAACTCGCCGGTCCAGCCCGTCAGAAAGGACTGGAACTCTGGAGGCACTGCTTGCAGCCTGTCTGCCGGCCCACCTTCAGGCGGCAGCGTGAGCGCTCCCTCCGGTGCAGCTCGTAGGCCACCACGCAGTGGCTCACCACACGCGTGGTACAGGTAGCATGCACTCTTCGTGCTCCACACGCATCGGTATGCCTTCCACCAACGACCGGTGCCTTCTGAAGGCATGGCTTCAAGGCGGGTTAGAGCACGTCTCCCGATGTCAACCCATCGCAACGTCCTCCTCTCATCCAAGGTCTCAAGTCCGATCCTCGTTGAATAAGAGGTCGGGAAATATGTGGCCAGCGGCAGAAGGTGCAAGCTGTCGGCAGAAATCTTGACCACTTGGCTGCCGGCATCCAGGAGGACGGACAGACTGCCATCTGGATGTATTTCTTTCACTGTGCCCAGGGAGGACACTCCACTTAGTTCAGTATGCACCACCCGTCGCCCAAAGCCTAAAGCATTGAGCTCCTCAAATCGGCCAGTCTCCTCGTATGCACTGGCCCCAGTGCCAGAAGAGCCACAAATGCCCATGCCCACCCCCCGAAGCGTGGAGCTCTTGCAAACATGATCTGGAGCAGAGACGTCCCAAACGGCATAAAAGCGATCGAGTTGTACTCAAGCATTCACTATCGCGCCACATTAAGACAAGGGTGGATCCGGGAAGAAGAAGAGACGAGGCTGAGGCAGCATTTATTCTGGAACATGCTTGAAACCCGAAAGCCTTTCAAATCCAGGATCTGCCAGTTGCTCATGACTCATCTTGACTCTACATAGGACTGTAGGCGAGGCAAAGATTTGTGCAGGGGAATACAGGTCAACACGACTGAACACCTCAAACGCTTAATTAGCCCTGCTGACGTACTTGCACGGGACGCCACGCAACATTATATCTTCTCCTGGACGCTTGCAAGAACAGGTCTGCCTTTTTTACAAAGTGCGATCGCGGAGTCTGTCCGTCATTTTTCATTGCGTTGGCCTCTGCTAGCAAGGCTGCCACGTGCAGCGGCTGCCAGCTGCTACCAGGGTTCTTTCCAAGCGCTCGGTCTCGAAGCAACCAAGGCATGAATGAAAACATCAAGAACGACCACCAAGGAATGAGCACAGCTTACCAAGTTTACCATCCTTTCAAACGAGGCTTGTAATGATCGAGCAGGTGCTGGCCTTAGCCGTTTCGAGACTTGGAAAGCCTCACCCGCACACGGATCAAAACCCCAGTGCAGGCACAGTTCCAGCGGAGCTACTAAGAGTACGGATATTGGCATGGGCGTCAAAGATGGGGAGCTGGCCAGCTCGACCCCTTCAGAGCATATTCGCCGCGCGTGTTCTCACGCAGTTGCTGTACTGGACAAGTGGCATCTCTTCAGCACCTAGAGTAGCAGCGGGCGGACCGGCAAAAAGCCTATGTGTTCTCTCTGAAACACTGTACCCCGCCTGCTCATGCCTACCTAAACTTCATAAGGGAGTAAGTGCTGAAGAGCCAGTGCTGTTGGCCGACAGCATCTGGCAATCGTCCTACAGCGACTTAAACATTCAGTGGCCATGGAAAAAAGCCACACGGATCGGAACTGGCAGGTTGCAACCAAATTCACCAAAGTTTTTTGCGAACGGCGGCTGAGGCCAAGCCACGCCTCCAAGGAGTGGTACGGAGATCTTGGGAACGTGACCAAAAAAAGGGTCGAGGTAGTGAGGCAGAATTAGAATCATCGCCGAGTCTAATCACCGAGTCTACGCAGGAATGCCGCCGCATCTCCTACCAACTCCCACCGGTTTAGTTTCCACCGGCCAAACAATCTCAGCAGCTGCTTCCTCACAAAAGGCAAACCAGCGGTGAAAGGCAACGTGCTGTACAAATGAAGAAGGCACAGATGCGCCGCTGCCCTGCCTGGACTACACAGAACAATCTCCTCTAAGGCTTTGCAGGTTGGCCTGAGCTAGTCCGGCACAGGAGGCCCAATCAGCATGCGTTGCTGCTAGGTGCGGCTGGCGCTGCTTTGCCTTCACTGCAAGTCATGTCCTGCTACATCAGGATAGCCTGACACCACATCGCCCTTCACAAATCAGAGATAAGCGCATGATGATGTGCAATGACGAAAAGAAGAAGGTGCCAAGCAGCTGAATTCGACCCGCTAAGCTGGCCAATGGCATTCCCACTTCAGGGAAGCCGCCGTTCGTTGTCCCTTTGTGCATTGTACAATCATGCATCATGATTTCGATACAGCTTCTCGCAAGCGGTCGCAGCTGCCTCAGCTTCGCCCCCACACCACACTCCCAACAGTGATAACGACTGGAGTCCAGCAGCAGAAAGGCCCGCTGGGCCTACTCTTGCCGAGACCAATACTAGGAGCTCCTACTTTCGAGCTTGGGCCGGGTCACTCTGAGACATCAATAGAGACATCCCGAGTTTCTTGCGTTTGCTGCTGGCCGCCTGCTCAGTGAAGCAGATAGTACCTTGTGGGTCAGGCTATGGTTCTGGGAGCCCCGTTGCCCCTGCATGGCTATCTGTTAGGCTGGACAGTGTCACAGGGTCCAGTGGGCAAATAAATCAAGAACTTTACAGGACTGCACTTTAACGAAACGGCTGCAACTGAGAAGAGCACAAGCGAAGTGCCACCCACGCATCGAGGGCCTAAGGCGGGTGTAGTGTCCGCATGACCTCTCTTGCCTGTCACAGAACAAGTGTTCCGAAAGTTGATTTCGAAATCGTGGCCACTGAAGGATGTCTTCAGCTTCAACGCAAGCCCCGCGAATTTTGCATTTGACTGCTTATTGGCCTCTCGACACGAAACAAACACCAAACACCACGAGAACCGGCTCAGCCAGCTGCTGCGTAGTGGACTTGTTCCGGCCTCAGAACCATTGCAATCACGATGGTGGTAACAGGGGGCGCAGACAAAGAGAAAGCAGCAACAATCAACAGGGACAAACAAGAATAGCAAGGATAACAACAAGAAGAAGGATTGAAGCACGACGACGATTGCATAATCACGGCAGGCGTGCTATTCACCTGACACTGTGGGTTTCTTGCTTTCGAAGTATACAGGTGTAGGCCCGCACGTCAAATGCTCGCTGGACCAATCCGAGCAGGCACATCTCTTGTCCTGCAGAGACAATGCTGGATTCGGGGTGGCCTCACAACCTCGCACAGTGCAACCTCACTCAAGGCATTGATGGGCTCCGCGAAAACACAAGGGGTTACATGAAAGGTACGCAGAGAGCGAAAATCTCCCACACGGCTGGCTCCCAAATCGAACCGGAGCCCCTCTGCTTTCCTTCAGAAGCTCACAGCGGAGGAGGGTGCTGGCAGCGCGCCGCAGACTCAGAGACCTAACAGGCAAGATGTTCGACAAGTCAGAGCGTAAGGTATCATAAAGTATTATTGTAATATAGTTCTGTCAAATCTTGGTTGAGGGGTCGCGTCACTGCCAACCGCTCACAACAAACACAGCTGTAACACAGCCTGCAGACTGGCAGGCGGTTCGACAGTCGCTGCGTCGGAAAACAGTCTCAGTGCGTCATGCTGTTGGTTCTTTGTGCCAATTCCTCAATGACTTCCGCAGAGAAGGCGAAGTCGCACAGGGCTTTACATTCTTCGCCCCAGTCGCACAGTGTCACACCGCTCACTTCTTCATCCTGGGGTGTGCGCTGCTCAGATCCCCATGCCAAGCCCATTCGACTGGCACACCTGGGAGTCATGACGGTGGAACTGCGGACCCAGTCGAAGCAATTTTTCTCAGGTGAGGACGTCTCCTGTACATCCACAACAGAGCCCTGGCAAGCTCCGAAGCGTGTTCCGAGTTCCCAAGCACCCGATACACCGAGCCCATCCAGCCTGTGTTACAGCAATGCCCGTTCGCATCAGCTTCTGGGCATCCTGAACTTCCGATGCAGGGTGCACAGATACTTTTCAAGATTGTCTAGCCGCCGAACGCCACGGCGCCCCAGTGAAAAGTGACGGCCACGAGAAACCGGACCATTCAAACACGTTGCAGCATGTATGTAACCCCTCCAGTCACTAGCCACTAGCCATCCGCTAGCTTATGAAATCGCTTTTTCAAAACTCCTTGCGAGACAAAACCCTTGTACTACTCCTATTCCGAACATTCGCCCGTGCCTTAGAATTCACCGCGAAGCCCACTTTCAGCACCTCAGTTGCCGAGAGCCGGAGCTTCGAAGCCCCGCGTCTCCGGTTCTGAGAGCTGACTTCTCCGTCCCTCTCCGTCGCTCCGTCGCTCTCTGCTTTGCGAGACCTTGAGAATCTCAGATGCTTGCGTCTGGGTTGACGAGCATGAGCTGAACTTCCTGTCACGCGGAGAACTGGTGCATAAAAGTGTTGAGGAGACCCCGTGTCGTGCTGTTGCAAGGCCAAGATGCGATCAACGTCATGCGGAAGGGACCGATGTTTGTCGAAGTGGTTTATCAAGCCATGCATGTGTGTATGTGACTTCATGATGTGCGTAGACGCCTTCAGCAAGAGAAATCACACGGGCGCCAGGGGTCGGAAGGTTTGCAAGGCCTGCGGCAGCTTCTTGCCCAAAGGGCCAAGCTGCACCACATAGACCTAAGCTGGACACCGAATTCACATACTAGTTGGCGGTCTGGCCAGGTTATGCTCTGCAAACTGGCGGCACCTAGCTGCGAAGCCTGTAATGACTGTGCGCCCGCTCACAACCTTGCTTCCGTACAAGGGCCGGGGCTCGTTGTGAAGATGGAAATGCCTCATATCAAGACATGAGGAAAGCGCGAGGCGGAATGCACTTCGAAATCTTCGAAGACAACTTCAAGTGCTCCAGATGAGGCGTGCACCAGCTGCAAGACCGAGATGGGGTTGTCTGAGCCGTATCCGAAGTCCGGCACCCACCTTTCTGCGTTTGCATACGTGGGACGTTTTGCCATCATGGTTTGAGCGGCAGACTCCGAATCGAAGGCCACAACGTCGGCTGTTTGAGAGTCCCGACAAAGAGATTCCTGCCCGAGCGCATGCACCACGAGCTGCGATGAGCTATGCACTTAAGGGACTACTTAGGGGCTGACGTAGGATCCACTGCTTTTGCTGTTCACCACCTGACCGAGTCAGAGACGAGTCCAGAACCGAAGCGGGGCCGAGGCCGAGGACTGAGCCAGGATTTCTCTCGGCTCGGAAGGCAGCGAAGCGAACCTAAAGGCAAGGCTTCGCTAAGCTGTGACCAGTGACTCGGCTCGCAGAAACATCGTTGCTATTGCTGAGCTCCCGGCATGGTCATGCCGGTCTGCCAAGGCTGGTTCGGGCTTCGCTGGATGTTCGTGGACAGCACCTTGCCACAAAGCTGGGGCCTTCCGATGTCAGAGCAGGGCGCAGCCACGGCCTGCTCCTGGCTCCAGTCGCTTGAATACCTCAGAATCAAACTCCGTGCTGCAAGCAGATGCCGAGAGAGCACGTTCTGCTCCGGAGTTGCATCCTCTTGCGCTTTCAGACGCGGACTCCGATTGTTCGGAATACTCACCGAAAGCCGAGAATTTCGAATCCCACCTGAACCACCCAGCAATTGATGAGCATGGCAGTGTGGGAGGCAGAGGACGACGAACGCAGCTGCACTCAGTGCCTCCAATTACTGAGGTGTCGAAGTGAAAGCGGCATTGAGATGCTCTCCGACCTAGGCTTCTCTGCAGATTGCCAAGGCCTACAATGGACGGCTCGATCGTTGGACGATTAAGGACCCCCACTGCTTGGAGCCCCAGTATGGCTTGGTGCCCCACATGGACCACGGGTCCGAAAGACCTTCAGTTCGAGGCCCGAAGTTTCACGGCGAAGTCCGCGAGCAGAGAGAGCCTTCCGAGTCGTCCCAGATTCCTGCCGAGCTGTCCTGGACGGAAAGGCAAAGAGAGGCTCTGTCTGTCTGTCTGGGTCTGCGAAAAGCCACGGTGACTCTGACTGCTCCTTGGCCCAGGAAAACCCGGTGTTGGGTGCCGGATCCTCAGCTCGTTTCTGAAACGCCGCTGCGTCGCCAGTGACCACAGGTCACAAGCGACAGTGCCTTTCTCCATTTTGCGTTGAATACGCAGCCCGACTAGTGCAAGGTGAAACCTTTCCCGGGCAGGGAGCCTAAAATCGATTTCTGGGTGCTTTGATTGAAGCAACAAGAGGGTCCAACGAGGGTGAGGGTTTATCTACCAGACAATCTTTGCTCGGCTTGCTCGAACTTGCCGTTGATTTCGTCGAAGCTCAGTCTGCCACTGCCGTCCTTGTCCTGAGACCCACTGTGCTCCCCTAATCCTACAACACATGGCCTACGGGCCTACAGCGTGGCCCTGTCGCCCTGATCGTGCACCAGTCGAGCATCGAGAGAGTCGAAAAGCTTGTCTATTTGCTCCAGCGTTTCGCGAGCGACCTTTGGTACAGTGGGATAACCCTGTGTTCCCACGCTCCTTGAGCTTGCAACTCTCGTGTGGAAGCCAGACGGGTTGGGCATTTAGATCCCGCCTTGCCCTCTCTGACCAGAACCCAATTATGGAACTCCAGACGGTCGATGCGACCAGAACCATCCTGGTTGGCAGCTCGCTAGTAAGCTGCACAGAACACCCTAAAAACTGAGCCAATGCCTCCCTGAGACACATGACATGTGTTGTAGGTTGCCAGCTGACAGTTTCGATACCAGGGGAGCCGTCCTCGTCAATGACCTTGAACATATCTCGCGTCACCACGCACTTCTTGAAATACTCCTGGCGCTTTCCACGCAGCACTTTGGATACCGCTCCAACCTGGCGTCTTCTGCAAGGCTCCGGGGTCATGAAAGGCCAAGCATTAGGAATTCCAAGGGGGGTGGGGGGTGGTGTTCCAACTCAAGCACAGTTGGGTCACAGGTCTCGGGAAGCACGAAGGCCCTGCTTGACCCCTGTCACAGGTGGAGTCACAGTCGACTTTCAAAAAGCGCTTGATTTTAGCACTATTTTAGCGGATCGTTTGGAGATGTTTGGAGTCTCAGCCACCAGGGTAGACAGCAACGTAACTCGCCTTTAAATCCTTTAAACATTTTCTTGTTGCTTGCAAGTTGCTAAGTTGGCGAAGGCCAGCGTTCCCATCACCATCCAAACAGAGCCAAGAATTCGACCCAGGTAGGTTGATGGAGTGAAATCACCAAAGCCAACCGTGGAGAATGTTATGACTGCCTCAGTCAGTGGCTTTGGAAGGGACTTGATCCTACTCGTTTGTAAATGTAATCCGGCAGAGGCTGCATAAGTCCTTGGCACCACTATAAGGCCAGGCACCATGTATGTCGCGTCCACGACGGTGAGTTTCTGGCCTCCTGTGGCTTCGCAATCATCTTCCACACAGCCCGGCAGGTGCTGACCACCAACGATGCAAGTGCAGCTTTCCTCAACGCACGGGAAATCAGAGCTGCAAAGGCCTCAGGCCCGACACCTTTAGCGTCTGAATCAAGCGGCGTAGGTGGAGAAGAATGCGACCCAGATGAGCACGGAAACCGCATAGGTCACCACAGCTATCGTCAGATCAAGCCAGGCCTGATGCCTCATGGGCGTCATGCACACCAACGCCCTATCATTACAGAGCCAGAACCAGCGCACCTCGGAGACGGATTTCTGAAAGGATCTGGCGACCCGCCAACCGCCGACTCAACGTTCTTCATCACGTCCTCGAGCTCGGTCTCTGCCTTGTCGAGCCTGATATCTTGCATTCGCCGTTGATATGGGGAGATGTCAACGTCTTTAAGTAAAAAGAGAAGCCGTTGAAGTTTTGCTCGGGCACACGGTGTCAAAGAAGTTGTTTATGGCATCCGCCACAAGCAGTATCCCCAGCAGCACGTAGAGCGTCATAAAAACTTTTCCTCCATGGTGGACTGTCACATCACCGTAGCCTGCCATGAGGGATTCAACAACGGATCCCTGCCAAGTACGTTCCTCCGGGGCCCTGGCCAATGGTTGTCACAATTTGCGCGACGACGTACAGAACAGTTGACGGTTCCCAGTCTTCCTGTGAAGAGAGCACCACGAAGCCGACAGCAAAGTAGACCGCCACACAGAACCTGTGCCAAAACATGGGTGGGTGCTTTGCTAGGCTCGCGGGACTAAGCGTCTCAGCTTCAAAAGACCTGACTTGCGTACATGTCACAAATTGAAGAGCTTTGGATACCGCAGCACGAGAGGAAGTTTGGCTTTGAAGTCGTCTTTCGTCCTCGGAAGTAACAGCAACAACCACTCTTCTTCAGGAAGCCTGCGATTCAATCATCCGGCCTCTTTCGCACGCCCTTCTTCTTACCTGCATCGGCACAGGGGGAATTTTCGACGCCCTTCGTTGACCGAGGGTCTGTGGAGAAGGGAATGTCAGTGACAACGCACGTCTCGACATTGACATGACGATGCACCGAGATGCAAAGCTGTGAGGCATCTCGTCCCTGAGAGATAAGCCAAGTTAAGCTACTAGTAAACCAAGATTCCAAGCTATGGCTCCTGCACGATGTTACTGGCTGCTCGATCCTTGTCGCGAACGTGGATCCCTTGCGAAAAGCTCCCAGCAATGGTTTTTGATGGCATCCGGGTGACAAGATGGCTTCGGGAGCAGCATGGCTACTGAACAGGAACCTTGATCACGATCAAGGTAAGATTGCGAATCGCTCCAGCCATTTTGCCCCCCGTATACGAACAGCATGCATGCACAAATCCCGAAACGACAACTATGCGCACCTGGCAGCAATGGCTGCTCCATCTGCGGTGAGACTTTGATCCTAAGCCCTAAGCCCTAAGCCTTCAAATTTTCGGCAATGTTGATAAACCTCTCCGGCTCTGAAACCCGAGCAGCTTGAGCATCAGCTGGTCATCTTGCAGAGGATACACACATCAGAGCAAGCCCCTGGCACTGGACTCGAGAAAGGACTGCTGAGGTCGGAGCGAAGTAGACAGCCATCCTGCAGCGCTGCATCAGCGACAACAACAGACCCAAGTCCATGCATGCCGCGCGGCAGTCGAGTATCAGTTCAGGAGAAAGGCTTACGGCAGCCCCAAGCCAGACGTGCGAGACCACAGCAAGTGCTGGAGCAAGTGTGTGAGAGCTTTGCCGTCGACGCGATCGAACTCGAGCAGCCTAGGGCCCAGGGGCCCAGGATCTAGGACTAGGACCCGCCTGGTCCTGAGAGCTCCCGGTGATGCAGCCTGCAGAAGGAGGTAAGGGCATCGAAACCCCTCCTGGCTTTGCCAGTTTCGCACCTGCTGCAGGCTGCTTGTAGGCCCCTGTGGCCCACTTTGCCGGTGGTTCCAGCTACATACTGAGCCAAAAAAGATCAGTGACGCACGGCTTTCAGAAATCACCGACCTAGCGAGCTGGTGAAGCCGAGGTCTCGGAGCGAAGACTTCAGGTCGATTTTCGATTCCAGCTGTGTGCTACGGGGCTTTCCATCTGGATGGAACTCCCGATCAAGTTGGCTGGCAACCTCCGAGATGTGCAAGTCCCAATCTACGGGCGTGGTCGCTGTCTGCGCAGTCTGCGCATCCAGGGAAAACCCTCTGGTCTTGGCGAAGGCGTTCAGCCGAGCGACCATGTCCTCCACCAAGGACGGGACCTGAAGCGTTGCATCTAGGTCGAAGAAGGCTCGCGAGGAAGTAGCCTCTGCATAGGCCCTGAGATTCTTTGTCTCTTCCGTCGCCCGCTCCAGATAGGTTTGCACGCGCCCCGCGTTGTCTGTCTCTGCCAAGCCCAGCCGGTCGTCTCCTTCCCGACCCTGCCGCGAGCTGAGACGCGACAACATCACTTCTGAGGGACAGGAGAGGTGTGCCAGTACAATGTGCTCGGATCCCACGGCAGATTCGAAATCTGGTAGCTCGTGGTCCCTTAAGCCATCCACTATGATCCCCCAGAAGGCTCCAGAGGAGACAGCGCGGGCGACGACTTTGATCACAATTTCTGTGACGCGACCAAAAGCTTTCTTCCGTCGGCGCCTGTCTTTGAGCTGCTTGGCCACTGAATTCAAGAACGGTGACTTGTCACAAAAAGTCAGCCGGCGAGCGAGATCCCCGCAGGAAACGCCAAGAAAGCCAGGAAAGCGCTGCCTCGGATGATACGAGTACCCCAAGTCGGTGCCCAGGCTGCTCACCCGTGTCAAACGCCACATTCGCTGGTTCCAAGCGGCTGCAGGCTGCTCCCGAGAAGCGACTTGCCGCTGCCAGGCCCTCCGAGGATCACCTCACACCGCAAGGCTGCAAGGAGGAGCAAGTGGAATCATGTCGGGCAGAGCGTACGCCGGGTAACCCCTATCCCCTCGGTGGGGTTGCTGACGGGCGGAGGTTGCTGACGGGCGGAGTGGCGGACCCGACCAGGGGGGGCGGGGTAGCTAGATAGATAGTTAGTATCTGACGGGCGGAACCCGTCGGCGGAAACCTCTAACCTCTAACCCGTGGGTACTTGACGGAGATAGATAGTATCTGACGGGCGGACGGGTGCAGGTTGCTGACGCCCGGAGGGCGGATAGCCGACGGGCGATGGGCGGTGGGCGGAGGTTGGGCGGGTAGCTGATGGGCGGAAGTTGCTGATGCGCGGGGGGTGGGTAGCTGACGGGCGGAGGTTGCTGACGCGCGGAGGGTGGGTAGCTGACGGTGCTGACGGCAAGAGGGGCGAACCCGACCAGAGAGGGGGGGGGGTTATATAGTCAGATAGATAGTTAGTATCTGACCGGCGGAAACCTGCAACCCGCCGGCGGAAACCTCTAACCTCGGAGATAGATAGTATCTGACGGGCGGAGGTTGCTGACGGCCGGAGGTAGCTGACGCGCGGAGGATGGGTAGCTGACGGGCGGAGGGTGGGTAGCTGACGGGCGGAGGTTGGGCGGGTAGCTGATGGGCGGTTGCTGACGGGGGGAGGGGCGGTACTGACCAAAGGGGGGTGGGTAGTTAGATTGATGGTCAGCATCTGACGGGCGGAAACCTGCAACCCGCCGGTGCTCAATTTTGTTGACTGGCGGGAGGTTGCTGACGGCCGGAGGTAGCTGACGCGCGGAGGGTGGGTAGCTGACGGGCGGAGGTTGCTGACGGGCGGAGGGGCGGACCTGATCAGAGGGGGGTAGTTAGATAGATAGTTATGGGAGGTTGCTGACGGGCAGAGGAGGTTGGTTGCTGACGCGTGGGGGGCGGACCCGACCAGAGGGGGGGGGTAGTTAGATAGATAGTTAGTATCTGATGGGCGGAGGTTGACGGGTGGGTAGCTGACGGGTGGAGGTTGCTGACGCGCGGAGGGTGGGTAGCTGACAGGCGGAGGGTTGCTGACGGGCTGAGGGGCGGACCCGATTTGAGGGGGGGGGGGGGGGGGAGTTAGATTTTAGATAGTTAGTTTTTGACGGGCGGAACGCGCCGGCGGAAACCTCTAACCAACTCATGGGTACTTGACGGAGATAGATAGGTATCTGACGGGCGGAGGTTGTTGACGGCCGGAGGTAGCTGACGCGCGGAGGGTGGGTAGCTGACGGGCGGAGGTTGCTGACGGGCGGAGGGGTAGCTGACGGGCGGAGGTTGCTGACGCGCGGAGGGTGGGTAGCTGACGGGCGGAGGTTGCTGACGGGCTGAGGGGCAGGGGTAGTTAGATAATAGATAGTTAGTTTCTGACGGGCGGAACCCGCCGGCGGAAACCTCTAACCAACTCATGGGTACTTGACGGAGATAGATAGGTATCTGACGGGCGGAGGTTGCTGACGGCCGGAGGTAGCTGACGCGCGGAGGGTGGGTAGCTGATGGGCGGAGGTTGCTGACGGGCGGAGGGTGGGTAGCTGACGGGCGGAGGTTGGGCGGGTAGCTGATGGGCGGAAGTTGCTGACGGGCGGAGGGTGGGTAGCTGACGGGCGGAGGTTGCTGACGCGCAGAGGGTGGGTAGCTGACGGGCGGAGGTTGGGCGGGTAGCTGATGGGCGGAGGTTGCTGACGCGTGGGGGGCGGGTATGCTGACGGGCGGAGGTTGCTGACGCGCGGAGGTGGGTAGACGGGTGGAGGTTGCTGACGGGCGGAGGGTGGGTAGCTGGCGGGCGAAGGTTGGACAGAAACCTCTAACCTCTAACCCGTGTCTGACGGGCGGAAACCTCCAACCTCTAACCGATAGTATCTGACGGGCGGAAACCTCTAACCTCTGACCCGTGGGGTACCTGACGGAGATAGATAGTATCTGACGGGCGGAAACCTCTAACCTCTAACTCGTGGGTATCTGACGGAGATAGATAGTATCTGACGGGCGGAAACCTCTAACCTCTAACTCGTGGGTATCTGACGGAGATAGATAGTATCTGACGGGCAGAAACCTCTAACCACTAACCAGCAGGTAACCGAAGGGGGTTAGAGTAAGAGGTTAGGTGAGGTACATGATGATGTCGGGGAATCGCGTGATTTCGGTCGAACATGAACGAAGTTGAAGCCAAAGTGCGCAGCAAAGCACTGGAGTGGTCAGCAGTTCCTGCTTGGAAGCAAGACTCTTTTGATCCATGCAAGACCTGCAGGTCTCATGGCACGGGCTGGCCTCTTTTGTCTCGCAGTTCGGGGGTGAGCGTGAGCGCGAGCGTGAGCGCGCTTGCGAGAGCCGGTCCGCTGTGCTCATGCAAAACCGGGCTCCACTTCACCGCAAATGGCCAAGCTGGAGCGATTGTTGCTGTGCTTACAAGATTCGGGCAATTTCGGTATATGCCGCTCAAGACCGTGCTGAAAGCTTCCGCAAAGCTCAGAGCCCATGATATGAAAGGTCTCTCGGCTTCTGTCGTATCTTCATACCACTTTCGCTGAGCCTTTTCTCACTCGTGCCGATACGAACCAAACTGGCATCCTCAGAACCTAGACGTGATGCTGAAACCCCTGAACTCGAGACTTCGGTTTTGGTTCAAGCTCAGGCTCCCTCTGCCCTTCGAGTTGTTACATTCCATTTTGTTTACATCTGAGGTGGCCTGTGATGTCACAACATGGCCAGCTTCTTCTGCAGCTGCACTAGGCTGAGCATCCACGGAGCTGCCACCCCTAGAGGCGATGATCAGCACGCAGTGCTCGCCAGGAGAGCTTCTCTCACTCTTTCGATGGGTTTGAAGGTCGCATTTTCCACAGCAATGAGGCGCCGCGTTCTGCACTCCCTTTATCTGCCTCGCCCCTTGTGTCCTGCCTTCTCTTGCTTCTAGCCTTTTCCTCCTCTTTGCCTCCGAAATCTCTCTCCTTTTTTACCAGCACTTCGACGCCGTGAGGCACTTTGGCGTCTGCTCTGAGTGGGCTTGGCTCAAGCTTCCGGCCTGCCAGAATCCCGGTTGAGCGACTTGAGTTCCAGAAGGGGTTCACCGGTTCAAAGAGACAAACAGGTCAGCCAGGCGTTGTGGTCTCTGGAGGCCTGTGCGGCTAGAGATGCATCAGATACGTGGACTAAGTCCAATAAGTGTCAGCAACTGGCCTTGAACCGAAAGATGGAGCACGCTGGAGCAAAGAAGCCTCAAGCGGACTACATATGAAATGACATGACGCGTGTGGCTGATTTTTATGTAGCCAGTCTCAGCCTTACCAGGCGAAGCAAAAATATCGAGCGTGCTACAAGCGGATGTCTGCAGATCTACACTGAGTCCATCGCATCGAGGGTCGTCTCTGGCTCCGAATGTGCTGCCTGCTGCCTGCCATCACAGCTATGGATGCTTACCTAAAGCGCTGCAATCACTGCATTGTCGCATGTCTCATGAGAACCAACAGTTTCAAAGTTGACAGCAGCAGGTTCTTGAACTGCTCACGGTGTGGCCGCAAGAGGTCGGTAACCTACTGCACCTGTGACTCCGTCCCTGCGCACTGCAAACACAAGCCACTGCTGCAAGCGCTGGATCTGCAGGAGCTGAAGCTCTTGAATCTGGCAGGCCTGCTTTGCCGAGATTTTGTTCATAATCGCGACAGCTGAAGCTGCAATGTAGAAGAGCCACCAAATTACGTGGCCTGCTGCTGAAGCTGCTGTAGATGTTGCTGCTGCAACTGGTTCACGTGCGTTTCGAATTGCCCTTGCGTCCTCAAAGGAACATTGCAGATCCGCACATTGGCGAAGGTTCCAAGAAAGCTCTGAGGCAGCCGGCTGCTTGAGTTCCTGCTGCACACCTCGCATCATCAGGCTTCAGCCACTTCAGCCACTACCAGATCTAGCATGGCATCAGCATGGGAGGCGGTCATCCGCTCAAGCCGCCTGACATCTCTTGCCGCAGGTTGTAGATTATCACCTCGGGGGAACATCAGCCTATGTTTCTCCCTGCTCGCTCTCTCTGGTACGCATTTAAACGAATTTAAGGCTGAGTCGTCCTTCCTGGTAGTTTCGTCCTTCGACGTGCTGAGAGCTTCCTGGGCCAAGCACGAAATCTCAATGCAACGGTGGGAATGCATCTTCTGGCCTCAAGTTGAGCACCTCTGCGCACTGCCCTCACGAGGAGTTCGCGCCTGAGAGCTTTGCGAGACGGCTTTGGTACGTTCGCCATCGCTGTCGACGAAAGCTTCAAGGGCCCATGTAGAAGAGCGACTGTCGCCCGAAGTGCTGCTGGACCTTCCCGACGAAAAAACGCACCGAATCGGAGGCAGCCCCGCGTCACCTTCTCCCAACCCTCGGCCTCTGCAAGCTCTTCTCTCAGAGCAGAAAGAGCACCCGTGTCGACCTCAGACTACTCAGTCCCACAAGCAACTCTGCCCGCCTCCTCTCCCGGGTAATATCTGAGGAGGCTGCAGGTGCTTGATCACTTCCTAGGCAAAAGATTAACATGAACAGACCCTCGTCGGGATCATCACGGCTCCACAGATTCCAGAAGCTGTTGACGATTAACCCAAGGACTAACCAGAGCCCTCGTAACTATCTTAACTCGTATCCGATCAAAAACGAAAGTACGTGTGTCTCTGGGTACGTCACAGTATGTCCGTACTCATTGTCGAACAGCGACCGAAGGCTCATCAATTGAAAAGGGTCTGCACCAATCGGTGTGAAACGTCCCAGGCTAGACTGGGATGGTATGTACATCAGTGACACATCGGAAAAAATCTGGATACAGTAGGCCGCAAGCTAATCTGATGACAATTTTAAAAGCGCATGCTGCTACCTTCTCATTTGGGAGCCTCCTGCAGACCCTGGCAGCGGTCCTGAGGCATCCATTTCGAGGCGACAGAGTGCATGTTACCATGTCACATATCTTAAGCATCAACATCAACCGATGTCCCACACCACGAGCTGTCACGGGAACCTATGGCCTAAGCCGAAAGCAATGGCCTCGAGGACCTTGCGCAGGTGGCTGTTCTCAAGCCGGATGACCTCTAAAAGAAAACGGATGCCCCAAGGAAACATCTCTTTAGGCCTTCTATGAATATGAGAGTTACAATACCTTTGTTTCGCTGGGCTTGTTCGAGGCCTCCTGCACCACACTCATCTGGACCGCGCTCTCGTTCACATTGAAGCTGCCTGAGCACGATCCACCAAAGTCACCTTTTCTCATGGATTGCTTCGACTACGGTGGTCTCGGTTCCATCAACCCCAAGAGAAATCGTGCAGTTCTTCAGAAGCAAAGCCGCACATGTGTTCATGTTCCTGCAACCACCTGTCGACGACAGCTTCGGCTTGCAGGAATGAGAACCAGTCTTTTAGTTGGAAATTCCAACACAGCAGGAAAAATCTCCTGTCACTGGCACACGCCACGCTTCGCGATCCGATATTGGTTAGGCCTACTACGCGGTGTCTTCTTCTGTGTTGTACCTCCTTCCGTGAGGGGTTAGGCGAGCAGCTGACCAAAGTGCTGGAACTTCCGTATAGTGCAGCCATGACAGGCAGTGCAGCTTGCGACGACCGAGGTTGCTAAGGACTCCACCCCGGAAAAGGTCGTTCAGATCTGCACAAAGCGCCGTGAGGCCGCAGAAAGATCCCACCAACATCGTGAACACCAGCCGTAGACCTTGGTCGCTGGTGGTGTGGAGCTCAAACACAAAGGAGCTGAAGGGTCTCTGAGTGCCCCGAGGCCCGGGCGCATCGAATCCTCGGGGCGCTCTGCCAGGAAGCGCCCCTCCGACTGGTCCACCTGATCGCTGAGAGGCTGAAAGCAGCGCTTGGGGACATAACGACCTGTCACGAAATGGGATGAGCACATTCCCGAGTAAAGCAGCAGCGCCCGTCCCCACCCACAACAGCCACTATAACAGCCAGCTCCTGTTCGTTGGCCCCTTCTAAGCTCTAAGATAAAGCAGCACACGACAGGTGTTCTGGGCGTGAGCCGCCCTCTGCTAGTCTAGTGCAACCAGAGCGAGCGCACTGAGAAGACATGAGCGGTGCCTCGATAAGGAAGCAAATCGAGATGGAGGAGGCCAGCAGGCTGAGGATCACCTGAGAGAAGAGAATCTCGAAAGCCGTGCTTTCCCACGTCTGCTGTGGCCCCGGCCCAGTGCAGGAACGGAAACCTGAGCCCCATCGAGTTACGAGATGTCGCAAGATGTCGCGCATGTCCGCAGATGTCTTTGGTGTCTTGTTCTTGGCCGGGTCACGCCGTGTTGATAGAGGAGAGGCGCTCGGACCGGAAGTCGTTGAGCCTGGACACACTCATCGCCACGTTGTCACGGAGCGACATGGCCTCAGACTCAGATTCTGAATCTGAACGAGGCCGCAGTCCCGTGGACGAGGGCCCCACTGAAAAGGTTGGGGATGTCATGGCTACGGACAGATAGTCGAGGATTCCAAGCATCTCCGTGTCAGGCCTCGTCAAAAGGAGAAAGCCCTCTGAGGCAGACTGCACCTTCTGTCTGCTTGGGGACTGACACGATTTGTCGTTTGAGCGCGCTGAGGTCCACTTCGGAGGTGGACTCGGAGTAGACTCTCGCCTGCATGCGCACGCAAAAACACACAAAATCACGTATGCACACATCCATCCATCCATCCATCCATCCATCCATCCATCCCCATCTATCCATCCATCCATCAGTGGTGACAGACAGGCACGCAGGCAGGAAGGCAGGCAGGCAGCCAGCCAGCCAGGCAGACAGACATACTTTTAAAGAGTTCTACATAGGCAAATGCAGGAACACCTGTACCTCTACACATATCACACAAGTAAACTCTACTGTATGTACAGGTACATGCTTTTTCATAGGCACTTGTGTACCTGTGTACAGGTACATGCGCACATATAGGTAGGTATGCACGGATGCATCCATGCACGTAAGTACGTGGGTATGTAAGTATGTAAGCACACAAGCATGTATTGTGTATGTATGTACGTATGTGCCCGTGTATGTATACACGTATGTGTGCATTCGTCAATGTACGCATGCATTTAGGTTCATGTAAGTATGTGTCGTTTCCCCACAAACCCCCCGTTGTCAGGTACAAAACCCTCGGTGCTCGACTGGACATCTGGCAATGCTGGCCGCTGGCTGCACACTCCAATGGGGGAAGGGGCGCGCCGCATACAAGTTCAGCAGCTCCAGGCAGCGCAAGCACATAAAGGCTTCGCGCGCATTGCCACCAGGACCTCGACACAACACTGTCAGAGTCTTCGGAGTGCTCTGCACAGCGAGTCTCAAATGCGAAGGGGAATTGATTCGATAGTTCGGAGGGATTAGCCTGCGCCTGTCGGCATTTCTCTATGTCGGCGTTGAACCTCACAAAACGATGCCTACCTCTATTCCTTGTACTTGTAGCACTTGTTGTACTTTTTGATGACGCAAAGTCAAAAAAACATTGCTCCGACTTACGAAAGCCAACTGACTTGAGGATGCCACCGTCGCGCATAATCGGCGCTTCTGCTTGGCCTTCAGAAAACTAGGCTGTTAGCTGCATTTCAAAGACAGAGACTTGCTACCAGTAGCAGTGCTTCAGTTGACAGATTGACCACATGAGTCTCCCGACGATAACTTGCCAGCAGCATCGCCTTCAAAACAGTTCCGGCACACACCAACAATCTCCATAAACTGGCGGAGATGACTGGCCTGGAGAATCCGCATCTCGCAAGCCTGGGCATTCGGCAGCTGAGCAACAGCTCAGAATAGAAGCTGCCGTTTCGCACCTCCTTGTTCAGGTACTGCCTGCAGCCATTCTGCACACGTCATGTTGTGAGCTTACGCTTGCCAGCTCGTGAGACATCGCCATTGGACTTGCCTCGCCTACGCCCCTTCCCCATGAATTTGCACCAAGGTACCGGATCTCCTTCTGCCGTTGCCGCAGGGAAGAGATTGTGAGCGACGTGAGCGTGCCAAAGGCAATCGACAGCGATGCAATGACCTAGAGTTTAGAAGACACGAAAGCTCATTTCCAGGTTTCCGGCCCGGCATGCACCGCTGTCATGCCCTTGAGTCACAAACGATGCCGTTTGTTGCCGGCGTTAGCGTGACCTTCGCATACTGCTCTCCAGCTGCAGAAATCTCTGAATGACCTCAAAACTGAATCTCATCCGTCTCATCGTAAGCCTGCATCAGCTCCAAGAGCTGTCGCTCGTCGCCCAACACTCGATGAGTCCTGAAGTGTCTCCACTTGGAACAGACCGTGCTGACACGGGCAATCTTGTTCTCCCAGCGTTGGAGCCGAGGCACAGCTGCAATATATTGCTCCACTGCCAGAACCTAACTCGCCGCTGAGAACAGAGGTCTGCAGCTGCTCAGCTCTGAGATGTCACCGAGCAACGCGACTCCTGGCCCAACAATCGGGAGGACATAGTTGATCACCTCGTCTCGTCTTCTGCTGAGCAGGAGTGGAAGGGAGTGCAGGTGCAGCTGGGTGACCGCCAGGCTGGTGTCCCGTAGGCGCTTGTTTGAATCCAAAGAAACTTTGTTCCACTGGTCCTCCGGGGCCCCGACCCAAAACGTCTCCCATTGAAACTTAGAACGCGAATAAAACGTGTTTGTTTGTCAGCGTCCTCCTCATCAGTGTCTATCAGTGCCAGCGAGCAGTAGTCCCCATCAGTGAGCTCCTCCAAGCCACGTTCGGCTTGCCCTTACAATTCGAGCAACAAGGTCTGGAGCCGTTGAAATTGTACATTGTAGATCGCTTGAAGGCTGAAATCCCTCGAATGAAAGCTCAAACCTCCTTTGATCCAGTGCAAGTCCCTTCCTCCTCCACAGCCACGGCCACGGCAAGGGCCTCCGACAGTCGAGACTCTCAGCTGAATCCAGGATTCATAGTCATGCTCCCTGCTAGAGCGCCACATTTCTCAAAACTGCTCTCGTTCCGAAACCACGCGAGCAACGACGCTGACAATGACACACCGCGACCTGCTCACTCCCCTGCCGTCGTCGCACCGACCTTCGACGGGAGGGCTCGGTGCCCGATGCGATGAACAGACGTCTGAAGGACAAGAACGCCAACAACATCTCACAACTCAGCAGCGAGACAGCCTCCGCAAAGACGCAGCGAGCACGAACGCCACTGGCGTGGCTCCTGGAGAGAAGGCAATGGAAGTTCTGATGAACTGGGCCTAACAGGCGAAATGCAGACGCCTGCAAGCCAATGCCAATGGCACGATCGCTGAAGTCCCTGCTTCCAAGGATTCCAGGGTGCGCTGGCCCCGTTCACTTCGGAGCATGGGAGATGCCGCGAGAAGCTCGCACCTTCACCCCCCGTCCCGTGGTCCAAAGGCTCACGAGGCACGAGTCGATGCGACCGAGGAGCAGCTTCCCTGGAGGTACATGTGGCCCCGCCCCGCATCGGCTTTGCACTAGCATGCTAGCATGCCACCACGCGAAGGCACTTCTCTGTTTCTTGTTTTTGCCATGTGAAACGCTCTTCCTCCGACGTTGGAATTTTCGGATGTATCAGAAGCCAATCCTTGACGAAGTCATGATAGCTTGGCATCATATCGACATGGAGAATGGCTGCATCAATGCATCAGCTCCGCTTCCACTCGCTACTTGTATAGGCGTCCTAGGCTGTTCAGTTCATATGCACCACCTACATGCGGCTCCTAGCCGACACTTGGCCAAACGGCGCGAACCCCTAGCAACGGGGGCCAGACCTCCTGTTGCTGCGATTGCCTGGGCGAAGGATGAAGACAGGCCTGATCCTTCCTAATCCACAATCCATTTGGGTGCGAACGTTTTCCGCATCAGCATGTCCTCCAGAGTTCACCTCCAATGCGGTGTGATGCCCGTGCACGCAGCTGTACTGTGAATAAGCATCTGAGGCATCAACTCTCTCCCGAGTTCGTCTACCCCTGTCCTTGCGTCAGCGAAGGCCGGGAAAGGACGCATGTTTTGGGGGTTATGCTGTGCTATAGTTGTCTGTCCTTCGCTGCTGCCTTTGGCCTGCAACATCAATGCAACATGCCGGCACTAGCTGCTAGCTATCTCTGCTCTTTGCCTTCCGGCGAGCCGAGCTTCGGAGAGGGATCTGTTAGCAGATCCTGGCCCAGGTCAGTGACGTTCCAAGTCTCTGGGCAAGGTCAGTGGATGTGATTGCTTCCTGCGGCTGCAGGAGGGGTGCCGTTCATGTACGGCTTGCCGTCAGCCTTGCCCAGTGAGCAACGAGACCGATCTCGTGCACCGGATGACCCTGAAGATGGTTGGGAACTCCGAGATCGACACCTCTCCCAGTGCAGCAACTGCTGATGCAGCTAGCCTCAGACTGACCCACGGGAGCTTCAGCTGCAAACTGCTCGCCAAAGCAGGGCATCCATGCTGAACGCACTGCGAGCCAAAGCAGCTGGCAGAATAGCCCGAGAAGAGAAGATTCGAGACAGCTGAGATCCCGGGCTGTGGAGGCACATCACCGCGCGGGGACTGGCCAAGAAAGCGTCCGAACAGTCCGACATGTGCAAAGTCTCCGAAGCTACGGCAAGTATTCGTAATTGCTTCGAAGCAGCCCGCGGTCTTCCGTGAGGGGACGGCCGCCTTCCCGGGTGACGGCAGCAACCGCTGCAATGCACGAAGCCCTGAATCCGACTCTTGGAGTTCCAAGTCGCCTGTCTGTGGCAGCGGCATTGCGGGCAGATTGAGGCTGCGGTGGAACCGGATGCCTTGATGCAACTGCGCCATGAGCCATGAGCAGTGCGAAGACTGCAGAATTCGAGGCAACGACGGGTTCGGAGAGTGTGGAGCAGGCAGTGTGGCACTTCCCTGGTGCTGGGTGCTGGCATACTCCGAAAGCTGATGTACCCTGCACTGACCGGGCCTGAGTGCTGTCTCTGCGGGCGCCGTGCAGCTCGACCCGATCGTCAGTCGACCAGCACGCAACCCGGCGAATGGTTCCTCGGTCAACCGACACCCTGGAGGCAGCCCTATTCGGACGATGAGCCTCGCACGTCGGGCTGCAGTCACAAGCGCACGCGCGCGGTCGACCTGGCAATCTCGCGAGAGGGGATGCTTGAAGTGGACAGCGTCGGTGCATGCAAGATGTGAGACATATATAGACATTCTAAAGCACGTCCGATGCAGAACTGTAGTGATATTCATCCCCCACAAACAAATCGAATGCCTGTTTGACCTGCACATGCACAATGGCATCCGAGATGTAGCATGAATGACTGAGAACAAAACCCTAACATATCAGTTTCGAATACACACAAGGCAGAGGCTGAAACTTTGATGCGGTGCTGCAAGTAGCTCCACACAGGGATCTAGCTGCATAGACGTTAACACGTGCGACGATACACTTCCAGGATGGGTCAAGCTTCGGTCGTACTTTCCAACCCTCGTTTAATCCTTCAAGCTTCTGGTGGCCTCGCCCTTGAGCGGAACCCGGCCACCGGTGCTGTCCATGAGCTGCAGGACCTGGGCCAGCCTGGAGAACGCGGTTTGGCAGCCGGGTGCACTTCTGGGCCAAACATGCACTGTGCGAACATCTGGGGATGGGACTGAGATGAACACGCTTGGGCCTTGCATCACTCAACTACGGCCCACCCAAGGTGCACCACCAGCCGCCTGCAATTGCTTCTAACCAGCGGTGTATGCAGCCGGAGCACATCCTTGCTGGCATCCATGATCTGCTGCTCGAGCTGCTTTACCTCTGGAAACTCTCTGGAAGCAAAGTGGACCCACTGGCCAAGAGTCCCCACTGCCATCCTGCCTGCGTCGCCAGCAGGAAATTTTCACCTGTGGTTCGATGTGCTGAACCTCACTGTTGCATGTTGGGCAGGCTCCAGGCTCGCCTTGCTGTCGCCGGATTACAGTCTGCCGCTCCATCAACTCCTGGCATGCTAAACATCGTGAGCGATTGCACTTACACTCGACAGCCAACCGCTCCTGGTGTAAGCCCTCCTCTGTGTCGTTTGACTGGCCTACAGTCGCAGCATGTCGCAGCTCTGGCAAACTTGCGGCAAGCAAAAGGGCCCCGGCCATCTGCAGGAGGTTGCCTTGGCACTGGGTCTTCTAGCTTCGGGCTCCGAAGGCTCTGAGTTTGGCTGCAATGCACAGGTCGTCTTCAACCCATTCGGTCGAGCTGCATGTCCTTGCTGCGTGCAGTCCAAGCCTAGCAGCTCCAATCTTGCCCGGACTCTTTTTAGCAGCTGCTTGCGGCGACTACAGCGGCTACTAGAGCAGTGAGCAGCGGCCTCGTCTGGAGCATGGCTCATTGCCTCAGAACGTTTCAAAACTGCCACACCCCTGCAGGTGTGTTTAAGGTACGAAGGAGTCAGAACCTGGAAGTTAACCCGTCCAATACCCAGCAAAGGGCTTGCGGCTGGTGTTCAGCCATCCCATCAAAACAGTCGCATCCTGATGCCAACAACTTGGCCGGAACCTTGACTCACACCCCAATGCCAAACCCAACACCTGCAATCTGAGACGAGCTTTAGATGCGCTTCAATCCGCACTTTACAAGCGCCCCGATTTGGCAAGGCCAGGGTGCGCCAGCAATGTGCTGTCCCTGGAGTCTGCCATCCAATCCGAAGTCAACGGGAGAGGACTGCGCACGGTGCTGGCCAGGGCTTTCTCGGTTTTGGCTGTGACCGGCTTTGGCTGCTGGATTGTGTGTGATGCTCTCTGTGGGGCTCATGCACGCCTTCAGCGCAGGGCTTAGCGTGAGTATGACCGCCACTGTTTTGGGCCGTGGCTGAAGCTCGTGCTGCTGCGTCTAAGCTCAGTCTAGTCATTTGGGCCAAGCAGCGGACATGTTGAGGTGGCACGGCTCCATGAAATGAGGCAAAGTGGCCGCAAAAAATCGCAAAAAGCCCACAAAAGCAGAATAACGCAACACTTGTGCCAACCTGCTGCGGCAACAAATCGTCCGCACGCCCGCAGTCAGGCGCACGGGTGCGCGCTGTGATATACGTACAGTGCAATCATTGGCTCTGTGCCTCCTGGGTTCCAACCATGCCCGACCACCGCTCACATGCATTGATGGAAATTCTTAGACCCACACGGTGGAGAGCACTGAGCATGCACACGAGCAGACATGAATTCAATTGCTTGTATGGCGTTGGCAACGTTGGCTCACCGAGACACTCTGACTCTCGGAGCCCAGAAACCGCCGGAAGGATTCGCCGGAGTCTCTGAAAGGAACTCATCTTACCTCGAAGCTTCTCGGTCTTCGAGCTCGTGCCGATCACGACTGCATCTTCTGGGGAGCCGGCTGTAAACTCACCTCGTGCGGATCAGATGCAGGGGATGCGGGGCCCTCTGGAGCCTCAGCAAGTGCAACACACCCGCGCAGTGGATTGGATATTCTTTCGGAACGCAGCCTCCAAAACCGGCGGCTTCAGCTGCGCATGCCTCCGCCGCGCCAAGCTTTCGCACGCAAGACGAACAGCAACATGCACGAGACCAGGGCTCCCGCAACATTGCTTCAAGTTGGCGGTATTGCTGCGCCTGTGTAGTAGAGAAGAAACGCCATGCCAGCACTACAGAGGGGCGGGACAGATGGCACCTGCTGCAGCTGCTGTGCATGATGCTGCTGCCTCAGGGCTAGTGTGGGAGATTCTCTCCAATGCACTTGTGGTTGCGATGTCGCTGAGCCGTAGTTGCTGAGACATGCGCTGCAGCAGCTGCACCTGGCTTTCGAAAAGCTGGTTCTGATTCTGGATCTCCTCCGCAAGAGGGAGACAAAGGCGTCGATATCTTCCCGAGTTACAAACCACTACTCGCGGATCTGAAAGCCGATGACCGTCTGTCCTGCTGAGTGTGGAGCTGCTCATTCTTCAGGCTACAAATCTCCGTCTTCAGGTTGAAGATAATGACGTCCTTTCCTCGAAGAGAATCGGGGACAGCACATGTGATGCAGACTGCATCTTAGATTTGCTGAAGCCTTTCGGGATGTATTGTTGTTGCCTCCTAGGATTAGATGACAGTCGAGCCGACTGCAGCCCACTGACACTGAGATAAGAGCTTGTCAAGTCATCCTTCATCGTGAGCACATTCTCCTTCCAGAACTAGCATGACAAATCAATGCTCCTCAATGCCTGATAATCAAAGATGCTGCAGTTGTGCCAGTAGGCCTCTGCCTGTGCACCCTTTCGGATAGCTGCCACCAAGAGCTCTCGCCTTTGGTGACACCCTACATGATGACAGCACCAAGTCTTTCAGAATCTCCAAACTTCTGATCGAGCGCGGTGCTGCTGCAGGAACCTGTAGCCGACGACACGACAATGGCCCAAAACTCTGTGCCCTTGGAAGCAAAGCAAGGCCAGCGCTTCGTCTGAAGCTCGGCAAGGTGAGACGAAGTCACGCCATCTGCCTCAGGTTTAGGTTCCGAGCACTTTCCAAACGGTATATGCAACCGATTGTGGCGAACCAGAGACGTCTGAATCGGGCAAGAATAGTGCTTGGACTCCAATCGAGACGACCGTGCGCGCCCCTGTGTTGCATGCGGATGCCCTTCTCTGCCCTTCAGGCTGCAGGTTGGAGCTGCTTTGTCTGTGACCTGAGACATACGGGGGATGTTGCCAACCTGGAGTTGCTCGGATCGTCTGCGACTGCGCATGGTTCTCCAAACGACCACTCCAATAGCAGTGATTAGCACATTGGGGTGGTTTTTGTTTCCCACCTGGCACACCAATGACAGCTCCGCGGCGCGGGGTCTCAAGAGTTAACAAGCCACAGTGGCTCCCCAGTAAACAACAACAAACAAGCACAACAATACCGGTGAAGAGAGAGATGTAATCACAGCTGACCCAAAAACCACCCCCCAACATCGCCAAGTCCCTACATCTTCATGCACAGAATTTCTAATTTCGGAAATTGCCACAATGAAACACACTCATCACAGCAGGTGGCACAGTAGTGCGACAGGCATTCTTCCTGGGGTGGTGGTAGCTGTAGGAGCAGTAGGAGAAGTAATTGCCAGAGTGGTAGTGGTAGTGGGGTAGTATGTGGTAGCAGTAGTCGTCGTAGTTGTAGTCGTAGTCGTAGTAGTCGCAGCAGTCGACGTCGTAGTCAGTCGTCGTCGTCGTCGTCTGAAGCATTGCTCTCCTTCCTGTTATTGCTATCGTTGCGGTCTGTGTTGTGATCTGCTTCGTGATCTTAAATATTGCAAAAATGTATGTCCACTGCTCGGCAATTATCAGTTTGTGGCCTTGGGAAGCCCCGAAACTTGACTCATTTCTGAGAAGGCGACGGCAGAAGATTTCTCTTCCACGTCTGCTGAAGTCGAACTTGGAGGCCTTCGTGCCAGGCCAAGATTGCCCGATTCAGGCGTAATCTTTCTGATGAGAACGTGACTAAATGCCGTAGGCATGGGCAGGAACCATCAACATCATCGCAAGGGGAATTGGACATTCATGATGTTCCGCATGGGCCGCAGTGTTGCACGAAGAAGAAGTCGAAGACTGCATTGCTCATAGTACTTGTTGTGATGATGGAGGTGATGGAGCTGACGGCGACAACGGTATTCAAGGTACGCCAAAACAATCTTGAATGAAGCAGTGGTACCAACTAGTAGCAGTAGTAGTCGCAGTAATCGATATGTTGTCGTGGTAGCAGGAGAAGCAGAACGAGCGGTAGCGGCGGTAGTAGGAGCGGTAGTGGTAGCAGTGGAAGTGGTAGCAGTTGCCGTCACAGCCCCAGTAGCAGTGGCAGAAGTGACGGCAACGGCAGCAGCAGGACTGCAGGAATTAGCAAACAAACTACCAAGCCAGTAGGAGCGCCGCTGCTGCTCCTGGTACTAGCACCTGTACGGCTTGTAGCACCGGTTCCTCTGAGGAGGTTGGCGGCTGCTACTCTGCCTCCTCCTTCAGCTTGTGGATGCTGCCGTTGCTACGACTTCTGTAACTACACTACCGCCACCGTTACCAGTCAGCAGCCGAAGAGCAGTGATGATGATGATGATGACAGAAAGCGAAAACGTCCCGAAATGGCAGTCATGTTTAGTGGAACAATCATGAGCACTACGGGATCCTTTTTTCGTTGCCTCCTGCATGACTGAGTAGACGTACTCGTTTAGATTACATGAATGACTGCCCATGAACATCCCAAACCCGACGCCCCCATTCTAAGGCCCAGGATTCAAGCCCAAGCTGAGATCTTGATGATGATACATCTTGTCAGAAGTTTGGGCTTACGTGAACCCTTTCCGTGCTGGGTCGTGGACGCGACGACGTCTTTGGTACCTTGGCAGAGGCGCAGCAAAATACAACGGTGTTCTGACAGCTTCGCTGTGCCACGAAGTGATAGAACTTTGTCCGAAAGACTTTCCAGAGCAGCAGGGGCTTTAACCCAAACTGCAATCTTCATTTTATGGGCTGCTGAAGCAGTTCTAGGAAGTATGGGGCATGGTGATTGAAGCTGCTTTGTTACTCTGCGACTGCGAGATGTTCTTAGCTGTTAGCTGTAGCACGGGCCTGTCTTCGCGGGCTTCATGTCGGGGCTAGGCGGCGATGGCACCGCCACATTGGCCTGTCCACTGTGTCGTCTCTCACCCAGGCATCTGCGGCCGCTCGCAGGCAGCATGCACGGGCCGGCTAGATCAATCTCTAGTATTCGCCGTCCTATAGCCAGTTGGCCCAGCAACCCGCTGACCTCATCAGAGAGGCTGCCAGTGCCGCCGGTTCCAGCCGAACCAACCTCGCTTTCCGGCATGCATCTTGAAAGCCCCGGCGTGCAGCCACCGTCCCTTGTCTGAACACTGGGTCGAAGACTCGTGCACGCCCAGGGGAAGTGCGAGTCTCCTGCGCTCTCCACTCCAGTCCGACAGCACTCTCATTTGACGTGGCGAAAGCAGCAGGCCCATCTGAGCACCGCCAACGTGAGGATGTCAGAACAATCCAGGTACCGAGAAAAACATGGGATATGCTCTGCTGGAGACCCTCATCGCTGATGCACCAACTGTGGCAACCACTGCAACACGCCCGGCGTAATTATGCTCTTTCACCGGCATCTGTTCACCACAGTGCAGCCGAGTATGACTTCAGAGTCTCTCCATGCATCCATACAGTCGCATGTTACATCCCTCGCCTTCGATCGCACATTCAGCTGCCCTACCTAAACCGCCCCGGCCACTCCTGCTGTGCCTTGCCCAAGTTCCCAGTCTGCGGCCTGCCAGCAGGAACTCACGTCTAGGAGCCTAGCAAAGAATACCGAGCACCAAGCCCCGTCGCCCGTGGCCCCACCTGTTCGTCGCTGCTTTCACCTTTGGGCTCTTGGCCTGAAAAATCTGGAGATCGCACCAGCACGGCGCGTGGCGAGCGCAGAATTCACTCGCGGCCGGTCCTGGCTGCTGCCCGTCTCGCCGTAAAGTCCATGAAAGCCCTCACAAGCACTCACCAGAATAAGGGAAGGAAGGTCTTCTTCCGAGTCAGGGATGGCCTTTGGAGGCCGATGCGCCGAGCTGGCCGAGCTTGCCGAGGTGCGAGGGCGAGTAAATGACGGCGAAGACGTTTTTTCAAGGCGTCCCGAGCCTCCCTTTTCCTTTGCCGGGGACCCGCGTCCCGATCCTCCCTTATCCTTTGTGGGGGACCCTGTCGTGCCTGGCGCGTGCCAGGGCGCAACAGGCAAGCACAGGAGAATCAGGAAGCATGCCAAGGCCTTCTTGCATATTCAGCACCTTTCGCACGGAACGACCTCAAGCCATCCAAGCCAAGTGCCCAGAATGAAACTTGCAGTGGATGCCACAGAACTGCTCAGGGTGGCTAGTTAAGCAGAACCCCAGGAAGCACAGTACCCGACAGATTCCGAAGCACAGGTACTGCACATCTGGGGCAAATGCGAGCAGCAGCGAGGATGGCACGAACTTGCTCCGCCTCTTGCACCCGCCACCGCTTCAGCTGCACTGACTGCAGGTCTTAGAGCTACGGATTCGCCCGAGTCTGCACAGAATGCACCAAACATGGACGACGTTGAGAAGCCACCCGCGACAGCACTGATCCGAAGATTCCTGTTTGTGTAGGCCTTGCCTAACGTTCTCAAACAGGGCAAGCACGAATTGTTTGCTCGCGGCCGAGGTCGCCACATCGGCACGAAGTGACATTCGATTGCTGACGATGCACTCCAAGACCTTTCAATATTGGCTTCTGTGGACACAACCAATAAACATGTGTATGCGTGTGTATATATATATGTACATACCCATGTGTACACACACTAATCATGCATGTATGCAGGTATGCATGTATGTGTGCACATACGTACATACACAAATGTAGGCGGACAGACAGACAGCCATATATTTAGATATATGAGCATGAATATATGTATAGCAGTGTAACACTATAACATATAAGGAGATAGAGAGAGCGAGGGAGGGATAGGCATTTGCATGCAGGAACGCATGCATGCATGCATGTATGTGTGTATATGTGTTTGCTTGCGTGCGCCTCTGCCTGCATGTGCGCACGCATGTCTGTGCACTGCACCCTCATCCCTTCAGGGTGGGTTGCTGATGCTTGGCGCCTGCTGAGCCTGCGCCAGGTAAGATTGGCAGGACCTCACCTTCGGGAGTGAAAAGCAGTGCAGCAACACCCTCGTTTCAGTGAGAAAGCGGCCTCTTTGGTCACTTCCAGCGAGCCGTTCTGCATCTGCTGCACCTGCTCTTGGAGCGCACGTTCCGTGTGATTCTGCTCCGTCTACAGGCTCAGTCCATTTCCGGAGACAAACACACGAAGCGCGAGAGAGATAGGGAGAGTGTGCGTGTGTGTAGGTGTGTAAAACACGACGTTCCCAGAACGAAACCTTGAACAGGCACCAACGGCAACAGCGTCTGCGCCCAAGGCAAGCGGCCTGGGCCTTGAGAATAAAGTTCTCGCCTTCCAGCCGCAGGCAGGTGGCCTCGTAACAACAGACAGACAGCCGCAACCACGTTGAATCGGGAGACAGCTTCTTCCGGTGACTGCGAGAATAAGTATGCAGAAAACTTAAGGTCAGCTTTTGCAAACTGAACTGCCTGCCGCCGCAACAAGCAGTCGACACATCAGCGCAAAGGCAGCAACAATGATTCTGCAGCGCTAGCTGGCATCCTTCCCTTTTTGGTCTGACGTGCCTCACGCTGTGCCAGAGCAGCCTGCTCGAACAACTATCTCAAGTACGTCAAACTTGAAGACAAACACATCAATGTCCGCAGACACAGACGTATCCATATATGTACGTATGCATGCAGGGGTGCATGCATTGTCTACGCATGTAGGGACGCATGTACGCATCCGCATATGCATGTATGTGTTCGTCTGTTTCATTAGACAACTTATGTGTGTATGTCCGCACCAACACGGTACCTTCACACCGATTCGTTTGTGCATGTGATATACATTTCTATATATATATATATATATATATACATATACTATATATATATATATGTATACTTGTAGGTATAAACATGTATTCCTGTGTGTGTGTGTATAATTGTACATATAGAAACATATACATGGATGCAAGTACATTGTGTGTTTCAGTCATATATATATATATATATATGTAAGCATACATACATACATACATATGCAGCTCATGCACTAGGGTGTGCACATGTATATGCATATACATACACATACTCATGTATGCATGTGACATGTGTATATGTATGTATGTATGCATGCACGCATGCATGTGTGTGTGCGTGTGTGTTAAATAATATGTGTACCCACAACTGTATATATAGCAAATGACGTGGATAACTTGGGAGGTGCCATAAAATTATCTGTGTCTTCAATTCTCTTCGTGCTGTTTTGCGGGTGCCCGAGGTGTCCTAGTGACGTCTGTATCTAGATAGGTTAGCAATCTTCCATCTACACTATGCGGATAACTTGATACTTGCGTGATACATCTGTATATACATCTACATACGCATACACGCGCTCCTCATATCTGCATGTAGCTGCATGTATGTACACTTAAATATATATATATATATATATATATATACACACATATATATATATGTATACTGTATGTATATACATATACACATGTGTGTGTACAGAGAAATATGAAATTCTTCAACATTTGCGCTTTTGCGTTTATATGCGTGTGCATCTGTAGGCATATATATATATATATATATATAATTGTTTATATGTATATATGTATAAAATAGTACTTGTTCATGCCGCTGTTCATGCAGAGAGCGTCGCACTGCAGGCCAGAGGTTTGCCGCTTTCTTCTGTAATACAGTGTTCGACTACAGTATTCAAGACCTCGGACAATCTGGCATTCAGGCTGTACCACATCTTCCTATTTCATTGCTCAAAATATACATGACCTCATTCCCGGCACCGCTGGCAACATGTTGGTCATATGCTCTCCTTAGTTAGGTTAGTAGTTTTCCACGTAGGATTCGCTGTTTGCATTTAGCTGACAAGATGCGGATTTGGCACAACTGGTTTCTTGATCAAGCAGTGTAGATGTGAGCATCGCGGGTTGAACTGCTTATGCATCATGGATATACCGTCGCAAACGTGTCCAATTCCATTCGAAGGCTGTTCCCCTATCACCCTGCCAGCGCTGATGCATCACACGCTCCTTTCATCTTGGCATAAGTATGACGTTCTATAGATAGCTGCGGGCTTCATGCTGACATGCACAGTCGTGTAAGCTTAGGCTGGTATCTTCATATACTTAGATAGATGTCTCCGCTGCAAGGCTCTCTGTATCAAAGAGTGGCCAGCCCGCGCCTGAATCTTTGTCAGCTCATCCTCCTGGCCAGAAGCGGGCGCTGCAATTCATCGGGCTCGTAAATGGAAGCAGAATATTTGGGAGACTATTTGGTGTTGGTGGTATGTCTTGTGTCTTTCCAGTTCTGGCACCTCGCCGCCGTGTTGTCCTTTCCCTACATCTTCTAGTGAAAGTCGGGAAGCCATCCGCACAGCGAAGCAACAACTACCAAAAAACAAGTCCCAAAGTACACAGTTACCACAATAGTTTGTCCTCTTGCAATCGTCTGAAGTCTGCAATCTCACCGACAAGTCCATTCTGCCAAAACTTGGGGCTCAAGGCCTCTTGGCACCTTGCTTAAAGAAGTCTATACATGAAGCACGTCTGACAGAGCAAAGGCTGACGTCTCCAGGACTAACGTAGGGGCCTTAACAGTTAGGGTTTTGGTGTAAAATGGTGTAAATTACAACATAATTACAATGCAACGCCAGCATCTTAAGCCTTCAACACGGTGCTTGAGTTGCAAACTAGACACGACGAGATCACCAAAGTCCTCACATGTCTTGCGCGCATGCTTCGAAACCCCAGTGCACCCCAACATGACAAATGGCGGGTTCTAGTTTATCAACCAACCGTCACCTAAAACAGTCCGAGAAATCAAGCTTCCAGGAAGAAACCCTTTCGTTGCAGTCGCACCTCGGGAGATTTTGACATTGCTGCGCGAAGCTTTACGCTAGCTTTCACCAAAGTTCGCTGCTGCGCTTCTTGCTGCTGTAAACATCTGCACGAGAATTCTGCTTTTGCTGCGTCAGTACGGCTCGTCACTGCTAGGATGCAGCTGGAGCCAACAAAACAGCAACAAATAAGGAATGGTCTCAATGTGCGCATCCCATGTCGGAGCGCTTGATTCACGGCAGACTGTTGCAGTCGTTTCTCCTTCCGCTCTCTCGTCCAGACAAATGATCCAGATCTCCCTTTCTGTCCGCCGGCATGCGGCTGCTGGCATGATCCAGCTATACACAAGGTTTCGGTCGGCTCAACAGCAGGTGCGACGTGCTTCCTGGGAAAGTTGGATCCCATGCGACCCAACACATCATGAAGATTCCACGACCAGAAGAGAAACCAGCTGAAGAAGCAAACTGCGCAGGCTTGCCGGCAGTCTCCTGTGCGTGCTTCTGCGGCCAGTGCTCGTGGCGCCTTCAGTGCAGAAAAGGCTCATCAGCATCACAAGTTCCACTCTTTGTGTCACCACCCACGGCCGGTTGAACATGCCCCTGCCCGGAATGCCGCAACAAAGACAGTGATCGAGCTCTCCAGAAATACTGCTGGAGGCACAGGTCTGAGCTATCCAAGTCTGATTGCCCTTTCGCGAAAACGCCCATGTCTGACAATCAGGACTTGTGATTGACTGTGCGCTCAGTTGGGGAATGACGATCGCAACTATACAAGGGGCTGCTGCAGTCGAGTATCTGTGTCAATAGAGCAACACAAGGCGAGTCCGAATTTGGAATAGCTGCCCCAAGTACCACCATCGCACCATCGGCCACCGAGTGAAGTAACATCCGACAGAGAGCAGCTTCAACCCCCAAACTTTCCACCAGTCAACGGCAAAAAGAGATGCAAGTGTTGCAGTTGCATCGACACACGACCATTCCCAAACAGAAAGGTTTCTTCAATCAACCTGAAGATGTGGGAATTCCAAATGCCACCAGACACTCCGAGAGTGAAGAGTCGTGTCTGAACCCAAAGCAGTCCCTCAGCATGCCCGTTGATACATCCGAGGAGGCAGTTTGGAAAGACCGCCTTTCTGCGAACGTGCTGGAGCTGGTAAAGAATGAAGAATGTAGAACATCTTGTTGTGCCCATCATGCTCATCTTCGCGAAAGATCCGAAATACCCCGATCCCAAATGATTACTCCTGCGATTCCGCAGCCTGCTCAAGAACTGCTGCCCTGTCTCCGTGACCTGAGCTACGAGATGCTCGGACTCAGCGTGTGAACCGGGCGGACATGTCTGGCTGCATGTTTTCTGGACACGGGAATTACGGACAGTGAACTTGGGCATAAGCTGATTTTTCAACTACCCGGTCGCTTTTACAGTGCTGCGCCACCTCGCAGTGTATGGCTAGTTGCAGCGCCGGCAGGTTCAGACCTGACGCTGGTGCGGGGCACCTGCGTGCGATGCATCTAGTGCTGGCCATGAACTCCTTCCGTTTGTTCGGCATCTGTTCCATCTTTTCCCCTGCATCAATCTTGCTGATGTTTCGGCACGACCACACGACTCACGAATTGAATCACCAAGTCGATATGCAACGCCTCTGCGTGACTTGCAGTGTTGACTGCCAGCTGCAACCTGTGTCAGTCTCCCGATGCCCGGAGCGTCAGAGGGTTAGGCTTGGTTTCCCCAGGCCATTTCGAACACCTATGCCGCCAGGTCTTTACGCTCTCGCAACTCGGACATGCCTGACGATGCTGCGTGCTTTGACGGTCGGGACTAGCAACTGATCGCTGCCAGGTCTCTAGTGGTTCGAGCCCCAGGACAACGAGTCGTGCACTTCCCCCAGTCCATACCGGCGCTCAATTCAATCGCGACGTTCCACATAGTGGTCCAGGCTGACACCCTCCGCATTGAGACCGGCAGTGCATGATGACACTTTTTGAGAAGAGCAGAAGCAGTGAGGGCAACAGCATCGTGACCTCACAGGCGGCCTCTGGATGCCTCTAGGCAGCGGGCATGGAATCGATTCTCCGTGTCGAGGCGAAGGATGGAGTTCGAGCCCTCGTTGCAAAAAACAGAATCGGGCACGCTAGTTCACGCTCAAGTGTTAGCTGGTCTTTATCGGTATCGTTTTTGAAGAGGTGGGCAAGGTTCGCCAGTAAGTAACTGGCAAAAGACCAGTAAGTAACCAATGCGGAATTAGTTGCCTAGTGAGCAACAAGTAAGGAAGTTTTGCGAGGCAAGTGCACGGCATTCTACTCAATTTAGCAGACACAACATGTTCCGCAGCGATACCCTACCTGTGAAATGCGATCAGTTCATGAGCCACAGGCCTTAGGACTTCTTTGTAGCAGCTTCAGCTTTGTCATTATCGCCTCCAAACAGCAGCACCCACCACGTCACGCGATGAGTACAGTATGAGAACGTATGCGCAGCGGAGCCTTCGGTGTGGTCCCCTTCGCTTGCAATCTAGACTCCACGCTTCTGGGCGACAGTTTCACATGAAATTCTGGAAGTCCTACGCGTCCTGTACCTGCTGCCGCGGCACATAAGCTTTGCTTATACTGCCAGATCGTTGCAGTCAGTCTGATAAACGTGTGCGAAGCAACCTCCAGTGTCATTGGCCCATGCGCAGAAAGGGCCTGGACCGTGCTTTCGGCATCTGCAGAAGATGCGAAGAACAGCTTCTCCACTACACACTGCACCTGAATTATGTTGTAAAAGACGCGCTTCTTTGGCCTGAAGCCGTGTGCTGGTTTTTCCGAATACGCTTGCACAGCCAAAACCCGAGAACGCCGCGCGTTCAAGTAAGACATCGAGAAGCGGTCCACGTGGCCTCGATGCTGGCATTGAGCATAGCTGACTGCGAGCTCGTGTTCATGCAAGCTTATGTAGAAGAACATCTTTTTCACTGCTGCAAAACAAGGAATCAACTCTCTTGAAGAAATCCAATTGGCACTGGCCGCAGATGGAACTCAGTGGGATGTTCTCATGACCTCAGCAGCTTCACGAAGCCTTTCTGATGCTGGGCCCATCAAAATCCAAAGATCCGCAGACATGCCTTTACACAGCAGGACATGTGAACCGGTGGAAGGGGCAGCCCGATCCTTCATGCAACAAGACCCATTGGCAAAATCCTGGGCTCTCGATAAGCACTCGCTACATCTGCCACGGGCTTGATCTTGAGGCTTCCATCAACCCTCAGCCTCGTGCCGCACTGGCTGCACGTCCACGGCCCAAGGTCTTTCTTTGCCATCTCCTGTGATCGTGAGGTAGTGAGGTTCGCGGCTGAGTGCGCCATACTGAAGCTGGGCACCGTGCTGTCTCCTCCTGAAACATGCCGGCATGCCAGCATCCACCGGACATCGGACACTACGTGCTTATGAACATGTGGCTGCAGGTCGAGGTCTGAAGCCTACCACGAGTGTCCTGCGACCAGAAGAGAAAGCGCTCATGGACAACGTCCAGTGATAAGTCCTGTAACTGCAGGGGGCGCTGCTGACTGAGATCGGGCCAGCATGCAGCTTACACTCCCTTCCGCTTGTGTCTGCTCGCCCCATACACCAGCTCGGACACACCTCAAAAGTCAGGACGTAGAAACCAGGGCTCTCCTCCTGCGACGCAGCAGATGCGGTCCACTGCGACATGGCTTCCAAAAAGGTGTTTCTTGTTCGTCCTGGATCTTGTTCAGCCACTCCTGCACTGCCATAAAGACATGCGGAGGTGCAGGGACCGGCCAAAGCCGGGCTCTTGCACTCGCTCTTCTCTGCGCTCCTTCTCTTTGCTCTTCCGGGCTCCAGGCCCGGCAAGCTCCGCAGGGCGGCAAGGGGTTCTGCAGCGCCACAGGGTTTTCCCCGCCGTAGGGCACCTCCGCTACCAGTACAGTACTGCACGTACTGTAAGAGTGCGGGTGCCTACCACCTACCCTGCACACGGCAAAGATCTCGCATCCGATCGAGACTGCGCCAGTGCAAGTAAGACAGCGACGGTGGAGGGGACCTCGAGGACGGCAATCCCTTGACATGGAGCAACAGTTCGGCTCGCAGGAAACGGCCCGGCCCCAGGACACCGAGCAATCCGCCCTTCATATGGCTGCACACGACGCCAGGATAGTTTGCTCGTGCCTCAAACGCATAGGATCTCATGGCAGAAGCTTGCAAGAACGAGAATGGCACCACTTTGTGAGATCTGGTACCTGTGATCGCGACGTTCCCAATCGCTGCGCGCTCAGCGCAGATCGAACCAGTAGGCAAGGAGACTTCGCCTTCCAAGTATGCGTCTGCTGGCATTTACACTTGCCACAAGTTGTCACAACAATTAAGCACAGCCCGGGTCACTGTTGATGCCACGTGCAAAACGAGCTTGGCCTGCCAGCATAGGAGAACCACCAAACAGGAACGCTGACATGACTCATGACCTAGCCACAAACTGAAAAGACAACCTCAGCATATTCGGCCACCTCCGTCCTCGACATGAAGAACGGCGAGAACAACTCGATCGGACCTGGCTTCGGAATGCAGAGGCAGCCGGCGGCCGCACATGCTTGGAGGCTCGCTCGCTGGTGTGGAAACTCGTCGCTTGCAACAAGCATAAGTCGTTCTCGGCCAATGTTCGGTTTCGCAGACCCGTGGGCATCTGACTTTCCACTATACTTCTCCGGTTACACTGTTGCTGCGGCGAATAAAGCACGAAGGGGGCCCCAACCTCAAGCGGCAACACGAGTTCAGGCAGTGCAGAGACACCCGAGAGCATTCGTAAGTCTTCGGAAAGGACCATGCTCGGTCAACGAGAGATAAGAGCCGGGGTGAGCCCAAGCAGCTCAAGCGTACTCCTGCAAATTAGAGGATCGGAAAGCATTGTCTTTGGTTTCTTGAAGTGATTTCCCTGAGGGCCTGTTTTGGGCAATGTTGCCCCCACGGCCAAGCGTATCCAAGCATGACGCCTCGCAAATGATATGATTGCCCCTTGGCAGCTCAACATCAAACTCAGGCTGGCCGACTTCCGGTGAAAGAAAGGATCCATGCCGCTCCTGCGGTACCTGCAACTGCTTGCACTCGATTCCAAGCTCCGCCATGTGCTCTCCAAACTTGCTGACATGGCGACTTTTTGCATGCGCTGGAAACCGCGGCAGCGCGGACTATCAAGCCTGTCCCTGATGAAAGGGTAAGAGATACTATAAGGTTACTTTATGTAGGGCTACAGTAGCCTGAAGGTATCTGAAGGTACTAGAATGTAGTATCCTGTGGATTGGCACATTCATCTGGCTCTCATCAGACAGTGTTTTCCAGGCCTGGCGGCCTCAAACATCCTCAGCACACGACAGCAAGCTGAACTTTGCTTGCTTACAAAACTAGCAGCTTGTGGTCGAGCGTGGTCGAGCACTGAATTGCAACCCCTCCACACAGGAATGCTGAGCATCCGAAGAATGATTTGCCGTTGCACGTTGCACATTCCCCGTCTCCCAGCTTCGTTAAAGCCGAGATTCTTTCTGAAGTAGCACGGTCCTTTCCGCTGCATCCTCGTCCTCCATTGCCTCACGCTCCTGGTAGCACTCGGGTTGGGGTGCGTGATCATGATCGGAGCTTCACGGCTTCAGATTCGACTTCATCTGCTGCGATATTGAAGAGCGGGGCGCTCTGCACTGAGGCCTGTCTTGGATCTTCAACTTGATTCAATGAATAGGCTTCACGATGGTCACAAGCCTGCAAAAACTGAACCGCACTTTGCCAGGTTCCAGTCTCCTCGAGGGACTCCTTGTCCGCTGGATATGTCCAGAAAAGGAGGGCAAAGTTCACGGCGCCTCATCATTAGCAGGCTGATGCAGCTGCTCTCATCTAATCTTGACTGAACCAACTATCCACAAAGCGATTCGGGCAGTGACTGCAGAACAATGCTGAAACGAGAAAGCCGGGGCACTGATCAAGGAGGGGACCACACAACTGAAGAAGATGGCACGCCCAAGAGCCGACGCGTTGTGCTCTCGCACCTCCAGGCTCATGTTCTCCTTGGCTATCTCCAAATGACAGCGTCCAACTGACTCAGGCACCAATTCTCCGCCTGTCATGCAGCTAGGCGGCCACCTTCTCACTGGTATAGTGATAATCGAAGATGTCCTGCTGTGAGTCCACGCACAAAGCCCGCCCCAGCCGTGGTTGCTAGAAGCATAAGCGGGGAGGTTGCACCTGGGCTATGAACCCCACCAGCAATGGCCCGATCGTGTTGCCACTTGCAAAGACCTTGCCAGCTTCACGCTTCGGGAAGGGAGGCTCGAGGGCACGAAGATGCTGAGTTCCAGACTATTGCAACATCCCACGAGAAAGCCGATGACAAACTCAAACGCAAGAAAGAGCTGACTTCAAGGTGCCGGCACCATCACTCCAAATCTTGCATCCAAGACACTCTCTTCTTGGGATGATATCCATGACCTGGAGCTTGCCATGTTCAGAAACATTTGCCGGTTAACTAGCCCTCGTGATTGGCAGAGCACTGAATCCGACCAGGGTTCCACAGGCTGCAAGCATCCAGGAACCTCCCACGCGGTCACCAAGCCCATCGTAAACAAGATGCCGGCGAAGAGCAAACCTACGGCAGGGTATGGCACGACAACCTCGTCACGGGCCTCCGAACAACTCAAACAGGTTTGACTGCATGTCTCGTCGTTTCGGCCAGCTACTAAGGCTGGCTTCTCTGGGAATCCCCATGTACACAACGTAGAGGAAAGGGATGCTTGCCTTAGCGCCAAACCGACAGGTGGCATATCCGAGCGCTGGCACAGCAACCACGTGCTCTTTTGCGCTCTCTCGCTTGCAAAATTGCCCAGGCACAGTAACCGAAAACATTGCCACCCAAGTTCTGCCATAGCGGTGATTTTTGGCATTAGCTGCGTCACCCAGATAGCCTGACATCTTCGCTCCGGACCGGAGTCCTTCCCTGTCCTGCCCTACCCTACCATCACCTCACGAATTAAAATTAACAATCCCTACAATGAAAGATATCTCGAGGCAGCCCCGGCCTCCTAAAGCGCCACCAATACCCTCACCGACCGTGCGCATAGCGATAATCAGTCCACACCTCAAAAAACAGTTCCAGAGCAGACAGAGGAAGGCGAATCAGCATTCCTCCGGGTGACATGTGGTTGCTGATCGAGAGGTACTGAAAGTACCTGACATTCCAGACAGGGCAGGGGCCTCGCCGCATCAGGCTCGATCATCGATATGCGGAGAAGGGTGCATGGTTGTGAACGTCTGTGCCGCTCCAGGGATTGTGCCGAAAACTCCCTGGAGAATAATGACCTTCGGCAATGCAGCAGCGCATCGACCACTAGGCTGGGAGAGATACTCCCTTAGACGGAGGCTTCAGATGTGCGAAACTGAGTGCCTGACTCGGAAAGACCCCAGACGGAGGAACTTTGCCAGCTTGTGAAACTCACCTGTTCCGAATGCTGCATGCGGAAGCCGTGAAATTATGCCAAACCCTCGGGGCGTTGCCATCTCCTTGCCCAGGACGTTCAGTTTCCCTCTGCTCTCTCTGCCGCAAAGCTGCGAGTGAGGCCGAACCGCTTTGGATCCCATGTCCTGCAGCTGCCCCCAGCGAAAAAAACAAGGTGCCGCACCCAGCATCACAAGTCTCTACGCTGTCAGCCAGTTGATTCTGCTACTATTCTGCTACTCATGGGCCTCGGCAAATCCTCCACGGCCGCTTCGACCAAAAGAACGACCAGCAAGCCTGATTTCAACTGTCGGCAATTCCACTATGCTTGGATGGTAGCAAAGCATGCGACCAAGACTCTGAGTATACCAACCACTGCCAGACATATTCTCCAACCCATGACACCGAAGATCCGATGCTCAGATATTGGCACCTGAGCCGTGAGCACCCAGTGCTTCCCCTTTTCGGCGAGACATCGAAATCGCCGTCACGAATGAGACACGGGCTACAATCAAACATGCCAGCACTTGGCCAAAGTTGGCTGCGCAGTACACCTGAACGGTCTCAGCGCAAGCCACCGGTATCCATGCCTTCAGGTGTGTCTACCGGCCTTGCCACAGATCTGCCCAGCATCTTCCGATGTGCTTAAGTCCTGGGCTTTCCGTCGCTATTACACCACAACTGCTAGTTTGCCACACGCCCCATTCACTCTTCCTCCACAAGTCACAAGATTACGCACGGCCGTTTGGCACTCCAAGGCTCCGAGATGAAGGACTGCAGAACCGGCAACAGCATGGACAGTGCAGCGCCATTCAGAACTCGTAGCGCCAGCATCGGCCACAGCTGCGTCGTGAACCTCGTCTCCGCTTGAAGTATCCGGGACAAGAAACTTAAAGCCTACAGCGACGCGGTGCCAGCTGCTACCGCTTTGAGCCAAGTGGGCAAGGCCTCAAAAGCCAAATGTCGGCCAAGCTTCGCCAGCTGAAAGGTGCAGAGTCCCCACAGGCCGGTACCGACCTGAACAGGACGAGGGCTTCTGTGGCGCAAAAATCGAGTCTTCCCGGGTGGGAGACCTTCAGAAGCAGCTTTCTGGAAGCTCCGCTGTCCACCAGGTTGCCCCAGATCGGCCCAGTGACCGCACAGGCCACGCCCTGTCAGGTCAGAGGTCCGGTCGCCCACCTAAACCCTACCGTTCTTTCGATGCCACTCGCCTCTTGTGCACTTCGGGAAGACTCTTGGGAGGTTCTTCTGACCTAAAAGCTTCCCCTGCCAGTTATGGCACCACTCTCCAGGGTGGCTGTTTGATCTTTGTGCTTTCACAGCAGATCGGCACAGACACTCTTTCATTGGCTGCGTTGATGGCCGGGTCATCAAACTTATCAACAAAAACCTCTTCGGAATGAAACCAGCCCAACTGCGAGGAGCATGGGGCCTTGCAATCCTGATGCCCTGACATCTGCCGTGATCTGCTCCGTCGTTATACATGCGGCAGCCAGGCGGCTTGGCGTGCATAAACCGCCGCTGCGGAAATAACAAGACGGTGTTACGGAGCAACAAAGTTCAGGGAAGGACTAGCTCCGATGAGTTTGATGCTTGTCGGACTAAGTTTCGTCTTGAAAGTCGTACGGCAACATAGCGCAATATGCTGCGAGTCTGGATTTGGGGACGTGGACATTCTCCACACCTTCCGCAACCCGAAGCTCAAGAAGTGAAAGCGCAGTTGGCTGGCGGGCCTGGGCCAGTGCCATCAACCCCAGCAGATTTGGCCGCATGTGAAGCTCATGCTCCATGGCTCGAAACCTCGGTGAGATGCGATGCTGCAGCAAAATCGCGACGCTGACATGCTGGGCCACGTCTTTACCGGAGTCTGCCACGTGTATGCGGAATACCGCGTCTAGAATCTAAATCTGACATCCTGCAAACACACATCGCGAATAACCTGTCGGCTTGGCGGCCGCGATTCGGAGCAAAGCTTGAAAGGACTCACTGAAACCCAAACCTCGCTACTCACTAAGCATGCCCAGGAAAAGCTTCCGAGTGGCGACGACGGCAGCAGCTGCACATCTGCACCCTTCCATGCATGGGTCTTCAAATGGGATGCCAATAAGCGTTGGAGCGAGCCTTCAGTGCCGAAAGTAGGATGAGCGCGGCCAGCGTCTGATCGCTGGAAAATAGCCTGCTGCGAGCCCCACGCTGATCTTGTCCCAATCTTATGCAGCTGCGAAACAAAACAGCAAATTGGCGTGAAACGCAAATCAGTTAGCCAGACCTTGCTCGTTTTGGGCGGCACAACCGCCAGCTAGGAAAACTGTCAGCCTCATGCTCCGTGCTACGTCTCCCACAAATAGCAATGCTACACACCCGCGTGTTTACCTACGTCATCTGATTGAATATATGCTGCATCAACTTCCTGTTTTCGACAAAGTGTGTGCGCCGAAACCAGGTAAGCTTGTCGCCATCCAGTGGATCCAAAACGTGTTCGTCACATTCCTTCAATGGCCTCTACGGTGTCACAAGGACAGGGCGATACCAGCCCGACAGTAACGTTTTGCAACCAAAGCCTTGCAAAGGCAATGTTCAGTATACTGCTCTTCTGGCGAGATGATCTACTCTAAGCCCTGTTGCACGTTGGAGGCCTTCGACTGACTGTGCGACTATCCCTGCCCATCCCCCCAGCTGCAGGGTGGCCTTGAGTGCAAAACCCAAAGTATCCTGCCGAATATCCCTGAGCTCCCACCCCAGAATAGGCCGCAGAGTACTACTGGAGAACCTCTACCAAAGCATCGACATTATCATCACCATTCGTATCATCATGGATTCTAATCACCGTCAACATCATCAGTGTCATCATCATCATCTGCTGTGTTGATAACAAGCCACTACCGCAATAAATGCCAAGCTCAGCAAACATGCAGAAACGAGGGCTACAGTACACTGCAGATGTCAGCTTTGGTGCAGACAGCTCTTGGGCCGTTGCTGCTAGCACACTGGGGCGGACAGGAACGGCACAGCTCTTGTTTCTTTGTAACTGTAACGAAATTCAACAAATTCCCAACTGACCCGAACGACCTCTATCCTGAGTAGGGTGCAGGCCGCTGGGAAGTTCTCTGCCGAGGTGCCGAGCCCTCCGCGGAAGCTCATCCTGCTGCATTCCTGGGCCTGGGATTGCCATTGGATCCACTTCCAAGAGAAGATTGTTCGGATGCTGCTGCTGATGATGGTGATGGTGATGGAGATGGAGATGATGACGGAGATGGGGATGAGGATGGGGATGGGGATGGGGAGACAGAGAGGGAGACGGAGAGGGAGAGAAAGATGGAGATGATGATGATGTAGTAGGCGTGAAGCTCCGGACTTAAAGCTTCAGCTGTACCCAGAGTGCATCGCACCAGGAAGCCAACAAGAATCCGAGAGGCTAGCAGCTCCAACATGAGCTGCGCCCAGCACGGAGATACTTGAGCCAAGTCCAAAGTATGCGGAGCATCGGGTCAACAGTTTACAAATGTTTACCAGATTTCGCAGTCCTGACAGTTTGCAGGGACACCACGTCAAGTAGCTCCGCATCTCGGCGGTGAGCTTGTAAACGTCCTCCTGCTTCTGTAAGGCCTCAGCTCTATGCGCTTAAGCGCCTTCTGCGCTGCTCAGTACCCTCGATGCCATCGTTCCCTCCTTCGGACGGCTGCTCGCTCCGTCACTTGCTCGGTAACTCATCTACTTGCCTTGCCCTGCAAGGTTTTTGATCCGTTAGCACCTGAGATACGAATTCGGGAGCACCTCAACCATGCCGCCTCTCCGGAGTCCCCATACGGCCAGGCTCTTCAACTGACACCTGTAGAATTCCAAAGAAACCCTCCATGCCTCCTCCTCTCTCCCTTCGCTGAGATTGGCGCCGAGGCATGGCGGACCTCGCATTTTTCTCAACCCTCTGAGTGGGCCCTGGGCACATCTCAGCCCTCAGTCACGGTCACGCTGCACTTCCAGCACCCGCGGCAGGAGCATAGCTTCGGGAGGCGGCAACACACCGGAGTGCAGCGCGACGACGAGTCATGCACGCGGCAGTGGCAGCAGAACCGCACGAGCTCCGAGGAGCTGACTAGCGTGGCCATGCAAAGACGTCGACTTCGCAAGAACGCGATCTTTGTCAAAGATGCGCACCGCACCACAGCGGGAGCAGCAAACCGCCGAGTGAGCCTGTACACAGTAGCCTAATCCCTCTACTCCGAACGTAAAAACCCAATGCTGCCACACGGATTGTTGAATAACAACCAGAATGACAATCATCACACGTACGATGTTATTTCCACCAAACTCGACAGGGTAGGTGCGTGGCCCGTGTGAACTCTTTCCTCACAAGCCACTTCTCATCGTCCCACAAGGACGGTTGGACTTTCCTTAGGCTGCATCTTTGCACACGAGTTTCTGAACTCACACTCTGGTTGGCACTCTTGTCTTGCGCGCACTCGTTCGCCGACTTCGCACTGCCCTTGCACACTGGCTCATCAAGGCATATTATTCTCGAAAGCATTCCTCTCGAAGCAGACTACGCCCAGGCTTCATCCTTGAAATGTCACCATGTCAACCGAGTTTTGCATCGAATTTACACCAGCTTTGGCCCACACTTGCGAAAATCTGGGGACTCGCTGCGAGGGAAGTGTCTGTTTCGGGAGAAGGACAAGACAAGCCGGAAGAAGGAATGGGACAGTTGTCCACAACGGGCAAGGCGCCGTTGCTGCCAATATTTCGGAATTTAGGAGTCCGGAATATGTCTCTGATTTCCATGCACATACTACCCACTCTTGAGCCCATGCACGCTATGACACTCAAAGAGTATCTGCACACACCTTCCTTTGTTGAGCGGGATGCACACATGCCACTGACGAGGCGATTGGGGCGGCGCTGGGGCGAAGGGAAGACTACTGCGGACCTGCAACTATACACACATTGCGAAGCCCGAGGCCCGCAGACATGAAGAGAGGCCATCCACGGCAAAAAAACCGAGCAGAAGAAGAACGAGGCTCGCATCAAGGACGCAGCTGAAGGCTCCAAGGGACCTACCGGCACACCTGAAGGACCGAAGCATGGCCTGGACAAAAGAGCGGAAAATGCTGGCGCCGTCTCGGTTGTTGGGACCCGAGTACCTGTCCAACCCAGACTTCGAGGATCCCGAAAGAACAACTTCTTGAAAAGACCCATACTCTCTGAGCGAGCCTCTCAAAAAGGACATCCGGCAGTCTCTCATCAAGACCAAGGGCAGCATGAGCAAAGCTTGAGAGCAGAGGAAGAGGAGATAGAGCTCACAAAACTTTGGTGGAGCAACATGAGAGGAAGCTCCAGGAAGCAAACGAGACAAACTAAACGCTCAACTACCAAACTGGAAAGGACCCCAAGGGTGCCCATAGTTTCGGGGTTCTAGTTTCGGATCGGTGCTGCCGGTGGTTTCGGATCAGAGAGGGATAAGTTTCGGCACAGCGGGAGTCAGTTTGGGGACGCGGGTCTCTCAGTTTCGGGGGCGATGTGGGAAGTTTCAGTCCGCTTCACTGACCGATGGCGTGAGACCGAAACTGAGCAGGTCCTGATCCGAAATTGTCCCGGACCATGTTCCAGAAACTACCCCAAATAGTGTTGGAAAGAGCGCACCTCAAGAACTGGACCCAACGCAGCATATTAACAAGACGCAGCTGCAGTGTGTCCGGCGATGTTGGGAAGGCCATGGCAGGTGCCAAACAAGCACAATACATGCACGAGTTAACAGGAAAACTAGTCCAGGACAACTTGCATGTTGGAAAAGGAACTGGAGTGCTGTAAACAATGCATCTGGACATGGAAACGGCCGTCAAGCGATCGGCAGATTGTATCATACGTTGGTGCGGGGTGGAGGCAACATCGCACAGTCCAAGTGAGGCAGCGGATGCAAACAACCCAACATAATGTAGATTCAGCCCTTGCCCCTGCAGTGCACGATGCCATGAGGGAAGGGGTCTTACTGACAGCAGGAAGTTCTGGTTTCTCTCGCCGAAATCACACCCTGCTGGCTCTCTTCGATCTGGTCCGAGACCTAAAGCCTCTGACAAATCTCGCATGCGGCCCAAGGCTCGGAGCTTTCCGTGACCTTTTCTGACTCGTAGACTTGGCACGCAAACAGCTCCGCGTGAGTGTCGACAAGTCCTGGCAAAGATCACCAGCCCCAAGGCACATGTCACATGCCGCTTTTCTTTCAACGGATTCAATCGTAGCCACACGCTGCCTTCTTCAGCCACATGGCTTCCCCATGGCTTTGCCACTGCTAGTCATTATTTTGGGCCCAGAACAGTTTCAGGACGGAGCAAGCTGAAGTGGAGCTGGTGCTTCTACACACGTGCAGCAACATTTACAGCGAGCCGGCCTCCCAAATGTCTTTACACGTGACGGGTCAGTAAGAGTAAAGAGCACTTGCAGCCACTTGCACTTCTGCAAGCAGCTGTGGGCATGCTGCGCGCCAGCGCGTCAAACAAGAAGACAAACCAGCACCAGCTGCATGCTCTTGGCATCGCAGCGGGTGAACCTAATATGACCTAATCCAACTTCAAAGTGAAACAGTCTCGAAAACTGAGATATTTTCATGGAGCTTGCACAGTCTATTCTAGCTCATTTCATTCTCCTTGGTGAGCGAGAAAGACTCTTGATGGGTGTGGGTAGGTCTGCAACTCGGGGGTCCGGGCTGGCAGCCTGTCTGCAGCTGCAAGGAATAATGCACCTTCCACCTCGCAAGGCGCACATCACAGACTCAAAGTCGTGGTGCAGAACTGGTTCAAAGGACCGCCTCTCCCCTTCAAGTATCTGCGAGTACGTCGACCTCAGCAACAGACGGGGTCTTGCGAGAAATCGACTGACTGCCAACAGCAAAAGCACCGCAATTCTCAACCTCGCTACGTCTCTCTCTCTTTGCTTTGCTCGGGGTTTTGAGCAAGGGGCAGTCCCCCTGCCCACGCTCCGGCACTACTCCATCCTGCATTTTGGGGGATGGGCTCGACTGTACCTTAAGGTGTGTACCGCTTTTCAGGTACAAGCTGAGCTGGTGCGTCCTTTGTCTCTCTCTTCCCCTGCACTCAGCCGGCGTGCAGCGCCCAAAGTCGGCGTGAAGCAGCAAGGGACATCTTTGACCCCTCTTCAACGCCTTCATCCCGAACCGCACCGAACCTTGCGCAACTGCACTGTCTCTTCCTTCCTTCCTTCGGTCACTGCACCGTCTCTGCTTACTCAGGGGTGAGAGCTGCAAGCAGTCCTTGCACCGTCTTGCTTGCTTGCTTGCGCAGGGGTGTGGGCTCCCGGGGGAACCCTGGCCCGTAGGCCTACCCCCTCCAGGTCCGCGCGATCCCAAGTCTGTACGGCCCCTTCCGGGGTTGAGAGAATCACTCGTTCCCCCGACTGAACTTGTTCATAGGAAACCTTGCGCCGTCTCTCTCTTGCTTGCACACAGCCAAGGAAGGACAGCAGCCCTCCCCGCGCGCGGGCACGCACTGGTTCGTGTCAGTCCTGTAAAGCTCCCCCCGGTTTGAAAGAAGCGCCGGCTTGCTCTGCTAAAACCCCTTTTTATGCCTGAATTAGAACACTAAACCCTGTTGGTCCAGGTGTGGCGGTCCCTATCCTGTGTCTTTCACGAATGCCGTTCTACATGAATTACGGCTTCGCCCCCAATTCATCTTCTGCGCAGGTGGGTTTCTTCCCCGTAGAAAAGTCAAAGGATTGATACCACATTTTCGTGTGGATATGTCTCGGACGTCTAACCTCGAGGGCCGTTGTGGCCCGGTGTCTAAACCACTCCTTCGGACGAGCCGCTAACAAACCGGCACTCCATCATTCAATCATATTGTATCCGCTTAATGCCTGGTCTTCACGATTTTGCACTCACAACACATCGCTCTTGGGACTGACGTTGCCCCGCGCAGCAGGGTGTAAAGCGTGCTCTGGAGCAGCACCTCTCAGCAATCTGACCAACCGTGTTCCCCGTCGTACTGTTTGGCACGTGTCTCCAGTACAGGCAACCTGAAGCAGCGATCACGCCTTCGAGCAGCAAATGTAGTCGTCAACACCGTGGCAGTTTGCAGCTGCAGGAGATGTCGCACATTCGGCAGGGCAGGCGTAGGGGACGGGCCTTGTTTTGAGCTGTAGCGCCCGCGGATATGGTGGCTCAAGCACTACTGGGGAGGAACCTCTTGGCTCCCCTGCCGATGGACAGACCCCTCCCTTCTCTCTGTCTTTCGCTGTGGGCTGTGGGCTGCGGATTGCTCCGAGGGCCCGTTGCCTTGCTCGCAGCCAGGAGCAAGTTAGGTCTCCTCCCCCGCCTGTCTCTGTCTCACTCTCTCTCAGCTTCCTTTCTTCATGCTCAGGGCAATAACCCCTACGAAAGCATTACGCTCTTCCGGCATTGTGGATAGGTCAAGCCAGGTAGTATCGCACGACCTTACTGCTCTCTCTGGTGATGGGTTTAATAAGGGCCGCTTTTGGAGCTCTCCCTGTCTTTCTGTCTGTAGCCTTGGTATGCACACGGCTCAGAAGTTCTCAGTGGGCCACGCCCCGGCTGCCGGCACCTTGGAGGGATCCAGCCGCGCCTCCTCGCAACATGCGCATCACGTCATGATGTTGCAGCCCTGAACAAGAAGCTTACGTTGCCAGATTCCGCCGGATGTCTCCCTAGTTACGACTCTCTCCCTCGCTTCTGCACGATGGACTCTCCGAAGCTTCAGCAAGACTTTTTGAACAACACTGCTGGTTCACCTTCTTCTTCTCGAACTTGGAGTGAATGTACCGGTCGCCTGCATGAATACACGAAACAACCACTGATGCCATGCAATTTGCCGGTATCATTGCCCTTCTCAACTTCTCAACACCTGTCACTGGCTGCTTCACATTGCCATGGACTCTGGACTCCCGAAGAGCGCAGAGCTCCCGGCCCGGTTTGTGCGGATTGGGCTGCGGCGGGTGCAGGCCAAACGTGGTGCCCATCTTCTTGCTCATCCTGGGCCCACAGGGTACATGACCGCTTCCTGCCATGGTCTGGCATGGACACTCAGCGCTCTCCGGCTCCATTTTCACGAGGTCCGGCCACTCGCCATGACTAAGTCAGACGAACTGTGCACCGCACCCAGGTCTGGCAGCTGGAATGCACAAGAAAGTGCTTTGGTAAGAGTCTTACATGGCGGGGGTCCTACAGATGCGACCGTGGGAGTCGAAGGAGGGGCATTCGCAGGTCGACTCTTTGGTCTACCTGTGACCATGACAGTGTTCAGCTGCTCAGCTGCGCCGGATCATCTCCTCAGCTGTGGCAGCACGGCTTTTCGCCCTCCAAGACGAACGATTTGCACAAGGACTCGGCTGGCCCATTTCAGCATCCAACAGCTTCTCCATCTCCTCCGATGCAACGTGCCACATCCCTTCTTGCGGACGCTGATGGCTGCGGCGCCTGAATCCGAGACGGGCTTCCCACCGGCCCGCGCCCAGTCGGGGACATGTTGTTCCCAGGACCTGCTCAACAAGCGCCGCTGGATGCGAAACGCAGCGACACAAGGAGAGGAAGGTGGGATTTCTTGCGCTTGGGCGGGCAGGGAAGCCAGTGACGCATCAACTGCGCACACAGGCGAGCGTCAGAACAACTACATCCGCTGAGAGGTCTGCTCGGATAGTTGGGGTAGTGCGGGTAGTTTGCCTCAGCATGATCCAAAAGTCCGAAAGTATGCAGGGCATGACATCTCGTCTTCACTAGTCCAAGCCGCGATCGCTCGAGGCGGGCCTCCTCGAGGAGGAGAGTCGTCGTCGGAGCGACCAAAGTCCATCTCGTGAAGATCTCCACTCACGTGGTTCCGCATGCCCGGGCAACAAATCCTCGTGCAGCCGTATCCTGGGAGCCGTCGTTTGGAGTTTGGCGGAGCGGGGCCGGGCCGGGTCAGAAGTCTCTCTGTGCCGGCAGGACACGGTCCAAGAGGGATAAGAGGCCGACCTCAGGCTCACGCGGCTCACGCGGCTCACGCGGATGCTTCGGTGCTCGGCCGCCACCCCTGAGGGAGCTGCAAAACTCAAGCCTGCACCCAGTCCGAAGTAGATCCTGCGGCAGAGCATGGCAGAGAGCATGGCAAAGCATCGAAACGATGGCGAGTCTGAGCCCCCAGCATCGTCCACAGCCAGTCGTGCGGCCTTGGCTGGGAACTCCAACTCGACTGAAATCACTGCGCCTTACTCTTCTCACACAGCTGTCAAGCGTCAACAACCTATTCGTCACTGAGTGGGGTTTCGATGCGATGCTGGGGACATCTGGAAACTGCCGTTGATCTGTCGCTGGGCATCTTAAGCCTGAACGTTGTTTTTGACGTTGCCACGCTCGTCCCCCTTGGGGATCTACAGGCTCACATCCTCCGTTCCTTTGCGTTCGCTTGTTTCTCCGCTGTGTGACTCGCCGTTCTTATGCCCCAGTCCTTCGACGCGCTGACTCGCAGATTCTGGGTGACAAAAGGCGACTGGCCCAGAGAATCACGAGGAGCTGACATCATGAACATGTTGAGCGTCCCGACGAAGAAGTAAAACAAAGCGCGGCCTCTTGACACAAACCATGACACCAAGCATGACAGCAATGCATTGCAGGACTCCACCACTTGCAACGGCACAGCCTGTGCGCGAGGCCAGAAATGCAGCCCAGCCAAACAGTCCGTGTTGCAGCTTGTTCCACCTCAGCGCCAAGGCTCCGAGCGCTCTTGCATGCGGGCTCCGAGGCCCCGACAGGCCGCAATGCTGGCACTGCATCTCGGAGGGCCCCTCCATGATCTGGGCAGGCGCAGGTCAAGTCATCAATGAACTCGTCCTCTCGCCATGGAGCACAGCGGAGTGGCGCTTATGTCCTCCTAAGTCCTGGGGGCCTCGCGACGATGATCAAGGCCTCAGCTGCAGCTGAGCTCAGTGCCAGCAAATCGCAATGTTTCAAAATCAATGGAGTGTTTCATTTCAAGTCTCCCTCTGAGGGCACCGCAAAGAACACATCGTAAGTCGCAAGGACGTAGTACAACGGGTGCGCCATTGCGTAGAAGACATTGAAGATTGAGAGCCTGAAGGTAATCGACTGAAGCACGTGGTGGCTCTTGCTATACTGGGCAGTTTCATCGTATCCATTGCAATTGTGGTCGCCATCATACTGAGCCTTTTTGCGGTCGTCATGCTGATCGTGACGGGGAGTCTGTAGCCGGGTGGCAAGGACACCACAAACATTGCGACGGCAACGGTGAAGGCGATGCCCTTTACAGTCCACGCACTGGCCTGAGACACTCAGATACGACGAGGCAGTCGCCGAGCATTCGCCGCCATGCGCCTCCGCGTGCACGTAGATGGCTACGGCTGCCTTCTTGGCGAGGTTGGCCCCGGTGTGAAGCGCCTGCCTGCCTTGGCAAAAAGGAACTTAAGCATGCCAACAGCATCATGCTTTCTTTTGGATTGGGCATTCTCGACATCCGACTATTTAGACGATGTACCATGTGCACCTAGAAGTACATACATTTCCACTACAGCAGCTGCTTGCCACGCTTTTACGGGTTCTCGGGTTTGCCATGCACGCGATGGCAAGCTGTGATGCGGGCCATACTGTACGGCTGCTTCTTGCATCGCTTCTCGCAGCTTGTGTCCCACCTTCACATGGCGAAAGATGTCAGGCGCTACGTGGCCACCACTACGTATGGAAACACGTCTTCGCGACAACTGAGCAACCTCCGCATCCACGTTATAGTGACCTGCTAGTGCCACACGCAGAACCATCATTCGGACTACGATGCTGACTCGTGCGAAGCGCAGAGGACGCTGCTTGTTGGGTCTCCGTATGGTAGACCACCATCATGATGATGATGGTGATGCGCCTGCCAAAAACATGGTTCGGAATTGCACATAAGCATGCCATGCAAAACCGCGACCGTTTAGAAGCGGAACAAGGACCGGGCTGCAGGACGACTATAGAAGAAAAGGGCGCCAGGGAAGTACGCATGTTGGACATGATGGTTCAAAACTGCGGCAGGGACTGTCGTAGTGTTACAGTGCGGAAATGAAACTTACCAACACGACTTATCAGCCATAGACCCTTATTGGCACCCGCGCTCGACCGAGTCAGGCGAGGTTTCCAGACAGAAATACTCCTTCAGACACACATGCATTCACAGAACATTAGCAGCAGGTGCCTTCCAGCTCGGGGGTGGTCGTGGCGCAAACCTGGGCACTGCTTGGAACCGTGACCACGCGCTGCGAGCACCCGGTACAAGGGCTAGTAAAAGTGAAGATGGCACGAAGGATACCGGGATGGCAGCTCTTTGCGATTCACTTTGCACAGCATGACGTGGGCAATACCCATTCATCCTTACAGGCCCTTGCGCGCTTCGTTGCTGCCGGCCGCAGTCACTGGGCTTAGAGCCCTGAGGTAGCGCTCTGTAAATCTGATGACGCGTATTCTGACTGTTGCTGCTGGTCTCAACAGCGGCATGTCGCAAAAGCAGCGGCTCCGCAGGATGGTGCCTCGCCCCTTCGGTTCTTGGCCGCCCTCCGATCTAAAGTTCCCTAAATGCCCACATTATGCTTATTTCGCCTTGGGCACTGCTTGTGCGTGACTCGATTACAACACGGAGCCAGCAGCAGTGCTGCTCGGAGGCCAGACGAGGAAGTCTGGCAAAACTTGTAGTCGCGAATCTCTAAGAGATCGAGACTGGCCAGATGAGTGAATCTGGCAAGAGAGGTGTTTGCCAATCTTTCAGAGATCAGCACTGTGGTTGGACTCGTCCTTGACTACCAGGCCGCGTTTTTCATTGTAGCGTTTCATCTGCCTCTGGTACATCAGGCTCTTGCCAGAAGTCAGTTGGCTCACGCTCTTCTGGGAGCTTCGGTGCAAGACGTCCAGGACCGTCGTAAGCCACTTGAGCTTGTAGGTCTCCTGGCCACTTTCGCTGACAGGGTCAGAAGGCAAGGACAAGACACTGTCGGGCCAGTTCTCACGCATGAAGCAATGCGTGTACTATTCGAGCAGCTTCGCGTGAGAGTCGGTCTTGCAGAGGAAGAGCACCGGGAGGTGCGTCAGCTTGATGTGGGCCCCCAGTCCCTGTTTGTACTTCTGAAGCCTAGCGACCAAGGCCGACCGCGTCGTGGTGTTGTGGCAGTCGAAGCAAGTCTTACCAACCTTCACGAAGTCGTTGAAGACCAGAGCATGGACAACTCCTATTTGCAGATTGCCTTGTAAGCTCAGCTCTCGCGTGACTTGCTGGCGAGACGGGGCAGCAAGTCACGCGAAAGCTGAGCTTACAAGGCAATCTGCAAATAGGAATTGTCCATGCTCTGGTCTTCAACGACTTCGCGAAGGTTGGTAAGACTTGCTTCGACTGCCACAACACCACGACGCGGTCGGCCTTGGTCGCTAGGCTTCAGAAGTACAAACAAGGACTGGGGGCCCACATCAAGCTCACCTCCTGTGTCGGTGGCGATGCCATGCTTGCGGCAGCATTCTGAGGCGGCGGTTGTGCCTCTATCATCCGGGCAACATCCTGTGTCGGCGGAGCTGCACTGCTTGCCGGAGCACTCTGCCGTGGCATCTCCTGAGACGGAGGGCTGAACTCTCTCTCGCTGCGCCTCTTTCTAGGCGGCGTGCTAAAGAAGCCCTGAGTGCACTGGCTCGGAGGCATGCCAGGCTTCCCCGACTCAGGATCCACGCACTCTGGAGCCTTAAAGGCTTCAGCCTCCACCGCTGCCTCTCTGGCCTGCATCTGCTGCTTCCGTACCCGTTTGGCATGCGGAGTTGGAAACCCCGGCACCGTACTAGCCTGCGAAACAGCACCGGGAGACGGCATGCCAGGGTGCCTCGACGAGCCAGGCGAGTCCAGTTGTGTCGGAGCCACCGACGGCTCCCGTCCTCTAGGCGAGAGCTCCTCTTCTGCGGCATCCATCTGCGTGAACTCCTGCTCCAGCTGCGTGGGCGTCAGCTCCATCCTCTGTGCCCGATGATAGTCCCAGGAAAAGGGACTGTCCTCCGCCATGGCTCCACAAGTCTGCGGGAATTCAGGCTTCCTTGATCTGGTCACGTAACTGCAAGAGCGTACACAAACAGCATTCAGAGCTGCTCACTGCAGAAACATGGGTGACGATGTTTGCTAGATCCTGAGCCCCCCAAGCAGCGCGTAAATGTTCTTGACGACTGGGCGGTTCTGTTCAGCAGCATCAGCATCGACATCAGAGATGACAAACGCATTGCAGTCATCATTAGCATGATGGTGACTCGTGATCGGCATCGTCATCATCATCCCCACTGTATCCTTCATCGCGTTACATCGCACTCTCCCAGTTGCGCAATGAAGGTTGTTGCTATGCGGCATGAGATGATGATGGTTCAGTGAGAGTGATGATGAGCGGGGAATTAACGATCGAGAATTCTTGAAGTGGTTTGACGTGGTAACAACAATGCTGATGCTGATCCGGGTCCGGCCTCCTATCCCAGGCGTCGGCGCCGCCAGGCCCTTCGCAAAGGGACGTCATAGAGTCTTGGGTTAGCAAGAACAGCTTCAGAGGGCAGTCTTTTCTGTGGAATATCTCCAAACATGGTCTTCTTTGCGAAGGCTAGCGAGCTGGCCCGGTCTGGTGAGTCGCTGAGACTTGTGCCAGTTCGGCTCACTCAGTCTGCATCGCCCGGGTCCAAGGCATCGCAAAAGAAGAACTATCTGTCAACCAAAGCCATGGCCTCTGCGAGATATGTCATGGCACTTGCCTTGTCTCCGAAGTCAAGGGCAGATGCTGCTAGCTCCGCCTTCTTGCGGGCCTCGATGATGGGCTTCCCGGAACTAGGTCCTTGGCCTTGGCCGCCTTGGCCGCCTTGGCCTTGGCCCGGACGGCCAGACTTCGGCTCCTTCCCGAGACTCAGCTTCGCTCTGGCCAGGCTCAGCCGCAAACGCCTCTTGCACGAACCGTAAGAAACCGCCCCGAGAACGTAGAACACCGGCAGGAGCCACCATGGAACAGACGTCCAGGGACCCGCCACGCAGTCAGCAACAGCATGGGAAAGTCGGTCGAGACATCCGGAATCAGCTTCAGCTTTCCGGCTCAGCATGGACAGCAGCTGCGAGATGGACGACATGATGTGACCCTGTCCTAGCGATCTTCGAAGCATATCCTGAGCGCCTTCTTCCTCCGTGTGTTGCCTGATCCGACTGCACTGCTGTATTCTTGCATGCAGACTTGGACGTTCCCTATCACTATCCCGCCTATACATCGCCTGAGTCAATTCAGCTTGAGCTCAGCGTTGCAAGCGCGAGGACACGCTACAGTACCGGGCCGGGGTTTAGTGCGACAGGTGGGTCACATGAGAGAACTGTTCGAGATGCAATAAGACCTTTGTAAGGATGATGATGAAATGGTTATGGAGGTCATGGACATCACTCCTACACAACTGCAGTGTGATATCCCGCTCGAAGAGCCATCAAACATAAAGTCTGTCTCAGACCGCTGCAAAGGAAGCTCGTGGCATGCTCATGCTCACGCTCCTCCAGTCCGGGGTCCCAAGTCCCGAGCCTGGATGCCCTGGCCACGGGTTCGGTGGTTGTCCTGGCTGTCTCCTTCCCAGGGCAGTGGGCTCTATACTCTATACGATTCTATACGTGATACCCTGCCAGACATGGTCTAGGCTCCAGCCACCGGCAGTTGGAGGAGATGGTGCGTGAAACATGGCTATCGGTCAGCAAGAAAATCCTTGCAGCTGCACTGCCACAGTATCCGCTATCTGCTCGCTGGCTACGTGTAACGCATGAGAACCGTGATGTCTGTGAAGTGTGGCTTCGGTTCAGGGCCCGCTGGGCCCGCTGGCATGATGAGTCTCACAAGGTCAGAAGCACCCTGAGCCACAGCACAGAGTGAACGGACTTCCTCATTTCCAATCCCAATCAACGAACATAGACCACGGACATGTGCCAGAAGCTGTCATGAATGTAACATAATTCGTCACGTCAAGGCCCATGCTCAAGGCTCTCGAGATCTTGTGCCGGCGAGAACAGGGCCTGTCCAAATTGACCCGACGCCGACAATCCCACGTCCAAATGCATCAACATGGAGACTTGCGTGAAAAACGGGCTTGGTGCACCTGGCCTGGCCACCGGTCTGTACGAAGCGGTTATTCCACTGGTACGTGTGCATCCGGTCCTTGGAACATTCTTCTGGCCCTGGGCTCGACCGTTGTCCATGAACGAGCTGGGGCCCATGGCTACTGGCCAAACCCCGCGCTTCAGCCAGCCATCGCTGGTCACCTGCAGGGAGTTGTGGATTGAAAGCCGCTGGGCAGAAATGCCCCAGCGGGCCCGTCATGTCCATCTATTCACCACCCTTCAGCAAGATTCAAAGGGCCGGAAGGGCAGAACACTACGACCGCTACGACCAGAATGGCAGGAGGCCGAGCCTGCGGATTGTGGGTCCGAAGCGCCTGCGCCTTGTGCGAAGTGGCACTTCAGAGGATTGAGGGCATCTGCAGAAAGCTTTGAGGACGTGCACACCGGCAGACACACAGAAAGACACGTATGCGAACCAAAGCACAAGCAAAAACAAGGAAAAGACACCACTACCATGACCAGCAAAACACAAGAAGCACAACAACCAACTCAATGACAGCTGTGGTGGCCAGTCCGATGCACGCAAACACACAGCAACTGTCAAAGCCGAAGACCGCGTTGCAGCACATAGCTCTGTGCGTCTACACCTCGTGCAAGACGAGATGATGTTCAGGACGGAAATGAATCCGGATCTGTCTGCAGTCGTCTCCTCTCAGCAAATTCGTTTGCCAGAATCCTGTGAGCGTTCGGCAGACTATATAAAACCAGCAGCAACCAAGAAGATATGTCAACGAAAACATCGAGAGTCTCGAGAGAAGATAGTCTTGGCCACAGGGGCGGACATGGCACAAACCAAATGCCAAACGTTACCGACACAGACGGTGAACAGAAAGGCGGAGAGCAAGAGGTTCGCATCAGAGGGACTGTTCCTGCCCCATCCCCCAAAACCCTCAGCTCAACCTGTCCGTTTCGCAAAGCCCAAGGTAAGGGAGCGAACAGGCCCTATCCAGGAGAACCGTGCAGAAGATGCGGACACTGTCCACAAAAGCATCCCGTCTTCGTGTCGGAGCGTAAGGACGGCTCCGACTCGCTCGCTTCTGCGAAGCGCATACCATGCACTGTCTCAGACAGCTTGCCCGGAATTGTCCTGGCACAGGAAGCACCACACACGTACCAGAAGGTATGACCCTACCCGCTTGCATGTTTTCATGTTTTCGGGCAGAGCTCACCGTAGTTCTGCAGTTCGGCTCACAGGCCAGCCACACCCGCTGTAGCCTGGAATTCGCGACGGCACCTGCCACCAGTGTAACAGCTTGGCAGAGTTTGCACTGAGCTTTAGAACTCGTGTCTTCTTCTTGGCTGCGGTTGCTTCACTGTACCAACAGTCTGGACGGTAGATCTCAGAACCCCCCCCCCTCTCGCTCACACCCGACTTTGGCCATGCCGACACCTCCGAACCCAACACTACAAATCACTAGAAGCACCCGCCTCCAGCCCCTTGCCAGTCCCCAGCGCCTTGGCCCAGTTCTCCAATGTCTTCGGGAAACCAAGCCGGAAAGGTGGGGGCAGCACGGGATCGTGGTTCACTGCTCGGAATGGCTCCGACCATGTCCTGCGCATAGACCTGGCCAGGGGCCCAGGGGCCCAGGGGCCCAGGGGCCCGGGGGCCCAGGAGAAGAGCTGGAAACAAAGCCCGGGCCTCAGAGGAAGAGACTGCGTCGCCAGGTGATTCTCGGATCCAAACGTGCCGCCATGGAGGTTCTCGGAAACCTTGCTGGGCAGAAGTCTAGCGACAGGCAAGGCATCAAGTGACGACCGGGATGGGGGTCCTTTCCAGCTATGTGCCCGCGGTAGCCAGGAATTGCAAGCGCCTGCATAGGCAGAGGCCTCCAGAAAGCTCGCTAATTTCAGCGAAGTTGAGCTGAGACTGAGGGATTAGGGACCTGCAAGCCCTCGTGGCCGACAGGCTCCCCGTGCGGTCCAGCACCTGTGATGTGCCGCAGGCACAGGCAGCCACAATCGAGGAACGAGGTGACCGGAGGTGACCAGCTGTGGCCCGTACTTCGATGGCCCTACGATCGCCGCTTCTGATGAAGGCCGGCCTTTACACCCAACTCAAGCAGTGCCACTGCACAGACAGTGGATGATGCGCAGCGCTTCGCTGTCATCCACTCTTGACGGAGAATCTGGTTCTGTGCAAGCTATGCCAGGGACGTGCTGATCACATTGTGCGAGTGCGGATATTGCCTTCGACTCCCGCATGGAAGGCAAGCTGCAGACTCGACTGTTGCGATTGCATATCACACTTGGCCTGAGAGTGTCGGAGATGAGGCCACTGAACTTCTTACCAGAATCCAGGGAGCAAACGCCTGCAAAAGGTCGCTTTGCACTCCGCGCTACAGCCCAAAATACAGAGTTTCTTGATCACCAGATCACCAGATTCCTCTCGTGCTGCAAATCTGATATATACCTACATACGCTTAAATAGCCGAACTTGTCTTACTGAAAAGAGAATGCAATCCCACACTCCATTTCGCAAACCCACGCTTCGAAACCCCACGAAAAGACTCTGCAAGATGATACGTGTTCCCGGCAGCCCGACGACAGTCCCTCTGCGTAAGAAACCCTTTCATCTAATGCCTACACCCGCACGACCGAGCTACTCGTGCAGCGATGACAATTATCAGCGGCAGCAGACCACACCGCACACTCACCATGCATTTGCAGTGTGCGAGCAACAGTAGTGCTACCATAACTACTCCGGTGGTGCTATTTCTCCGAGGCTTGGTTGCTGTGCGGGCTGGCTACTCACAGGCTTGGTTGAAGCTGTGAAGCCGTGCGGGTTGGCAGCCCGCAGCCACTCGGATGTAAAGCCGTGCGGGCGGGCAGCCCGCAGCCACTCGGAGGCTGGGTTGAAGCTTTAAAGCCGTGCGGGCTGGCAGCCCGCAGCCACTCAGAGCATCTGTGCTGTTTGGCACGAACTGAACTTGGATTTGTCCTTACCGCGGAAATCTTCAACAAACTACAAGCACAATTAAGCGCACACACACACAAACACACACGAGGCCCCCAGACAAACAGTCAGTGCTGAAACAGATCAACACGGTATTTAGTAACTAGCAGGACAGCTTTGTCCTATTCCGACATTTCCGACCTGATTAGTTCATTCGCTACGTACCTGCATAACATAAACCCGTGGCATGATTACAGTGGTTGCGAGTAGGAAACTTCTTGAGACAGGCTTTTAGAAAAGTTTCGCCAGGAGGCACAAAGGCACTTGCAAGAACTGAGGAAGAAGCCCAGCTGGGAAAATCGGAAGACCATGCCTGCTCCTCCACTGTGGGAGCCCGCTGGAAGATGCGACATGGGAGACGCCGCAAGTCCGCATCAAGCGAACCCCGGCAACGCTTCAAGCCATGCTGCCGTCGTGGGTCAAAGGTCAGTGCTGCCTTGGAAGTGATCCGCTGCTGCTTCGGCTCGTCACAGACTCATGCTCTGAGATCCTGGAACCCTCTGCTTTTTGTGACTTCGCAGCGGCCTGGCTTCGGGACAAGGTCAGACTTTACAGATTGAGAAATCTTGAGGCACAGCCCATGCTCTCGATATCATTGCAGGAGGCGGTGACACGAAGGCATGATGTGCGAATGGCACACTGGAGCACTGGCACCAATTCGTATCTGACAACATGCAAAGGATTCCCTCGACCCACAATTGATCGAAAGATCTGGGCCATGTCCATGCGGCATCGTCGTAAGTCGATCTCAGCTTTTTCCTCCAGGATGCTACAGTAGCGATGTCTTCCTTCCTGCAGCGCATCGAGTGGCCGTGCAACAACCATGGAATCTCGGATTGCTGTTTTGTTGCAGCACCCGAGATTCCATGATTGCTCACCACGGAAAACTCACTGAAAGCATGCTTGGTCTGAACAAAGCCCACAAACCAGACCCTCCGTGGCCGACAAGACTGTTCTCAGCATGACAGCACCTGTCCCTGCGAGATACTTGTAGCAAGTACTTGAAGCACCTTTCAAGAAACAGCAACGGCCTCAGTTCTGTTCATGAAGCAGCTTCCGGGCAAAACACATGGAAACACCTAATGTTCCACAACCGTCTCAAGCACAAGCTGTGCTGATGAGCGCCTCGGACCCCAACAGCTGCAGCTGAACGGGACATCACTGCTACCGCTGCTTAGCCTGCCCAGCTGCAGGAACACGCAGTCGACATAGAAATGAGCTGGAGCCTTTTGGGACGCTCGTTTGCGAAGGAAGCACGCCTATCTCTCGTCAAACGTCGTTGTGCAAGACGGGTGAAACTGCACAGAAAACTGTGCGGCACTGCTCCCGATCCCAGACACCGTTGGTGTGAACGCCAACACTCTCTCTCCGTCTTCAGTCAACTGGTGAGTAGCGAGAACTTGGGCTGTTTGGGCAAGCACAAGATGTGCCGGATCTGCAACAGGTTACTACGCTGTCCATCAAGCAGGCGTAGTTTTAACGCTGCTTGACAAAAGCATCAACTCAGGCATTTAGCCTGGTCGCGAAGCTGAGGCAATACGCTCATAACGTAACGCTGAAATATTGAAAGAGCTATCCTACTTTGTCCAAAGCCAACCAGTCCAGGTCTTCACCAAAGACTGAATTACATGCCCTCTCTCAAGCCGTGGCTCTGCCATGGCCTTGCCATCCGACAGAAGTGTCGAATGACTTCAAGGAAGTTGGGGTACGCGGAACGCCATGCTACGAGTGGGAGGCATCCTGGCACGACTTGAAAGCCAGATCCGAGGCATTGACCGTGCTACTGTTTGGCCTGCCAAAATGCAAGCTCAGTACTTCCTGAGACGGAGCAGTCAAAAGCCGTGCCTTCGCCTTGGGATCGGCTGCAGGCGCAGCCTCGCAAGAACTGAATCTCACGCCCCAAGGTGCCGACATCCGCTGAAGGGCCTTAGCCTTCGGATCCCCAGCCGGTGCGGCCTTTCCACAGGGGCAAGACTTCTGCGAGCGCGCTCCAGCAAGACTTGAGGCAGCGCTTGCACGTTGGGTTTCGGATGCCTTCGCCTTGGGCTCAACAGCAGATGCCTGACAACATGTGAAGTGGAACCCGTCCGTCACGATTCACAAGCCAAGCCTTCGCCTTTGGATGCGCAGCCTGCGCAGCTGCCGGCGCAGCCTCTTGTCGCGTGCTGTACGCTCGACATACCCATACGCCGCTTCTCGCATCGTCGGTCCACATAACAACGACGGAAGGGCCTTCGCCTTGGGATCTGCGGGCTGCGGAGCCTCACGGAAAGCACGCGGCCCCCGCCCCATGTCGGGACTCGGGACGGTGCAGCTCTGGCGAGCCTTGGCCTTCGGAGCCGGCGTCGCTGCCGGCGCAGATTCCTGACAAATGCAGCTGAAAGCAATGGCGCAGAACTCCAAAACATCCGGACTGGGGCTCCAGCAACTGCAGACCCGTATACCGTGGGGGGCGCTCCGTGTGGCTTGCCCTTTGCCTTGGCCTTTGGCTTCGGCAAAGACCGGAGGAAGGACTCCGGCGGTGAAGCTGCGGTCTCTTTCAGGGGGTGTGGCGGGTCAGCCTCCACCGTTGCCTTCAGAGCACGGAAGAATGCACCCTTGCCCGTCGTAACCACTTCCAAATCGCCAGGGTACTCGAGTATGGCCTCGCCTAGAAGGCATCCAACCACTTCTGGATCGTTCTCAAAAACTCCGCATCCGACATCGGGGCACACGAGAACTGAAGCTTTCAACTTCTGTAAGCAAGCCAGGGTCGCTCTAAATTTGTCTTTCACCTGGTGGCAGTACTCCGCAAAGTCATGGGGGGCATCCAAGGGACTGTCGGCCACACGTGAGTTCATGTTGAACATCGCAATGCTACACACGCCCGCAAGTGTTGTGGGTCTCTCCTGGAATGCATAACCTCGAGCACTGGTGTCCCGGAAGATTTGCACCTGTGGGCTCATAATGCAGGAAGTCACCGGGATGTGCTGGTGGAGGTGCCCATGGGCGTGGCTTGTGGATCGTCTGTCCTGCCACTGAACCTTTTGCAAAGATGGCAGCAGGGTCGACGTAGTACACATTGCCTCTTCCAGGGCATGCCTACCCCCGCTCATGACACCACCACCAACTTGGTAGGCGGAGGCTGCATTCACGGCCACGGTTGCCTTGCCGGATGCTTGCATTTTCATGGCGACCTCCATGACGGTCTGGTCATCATGCCTCAGGGACTTAATGCCTCGACCGGGCTGACCGGCCAGGAATGCTGCTGCGTCAACGACCTCTGTACTTTGTGCGGTAGTCCTGGAATCCAGCGGCACAGCTTCGCCAGAGGGCAAAGAGTAGCCACCCCCGGCCAAAGCATGCGCCGTGTTGATGAAGCACCCAAGCCTCTCGAGACGGTCGCTTGTGCCGTTCTTATTCCGGATCCAGTCAAAGTTTCCGTACTTCTTCGGGACACTGCCCATGGTCTCAGTGAGCTTCATCTTGTCTCCCACTAGAAGCGCAACCTTGCTCGCAAGCGAAGCCTCGTAGAGCTTGTACTCGGACTTCTTGAAAATACAGACTTCGATCGAAGAGTTCCTAAGCACGTCCTGTTGAGCTGTGGGCATCATGCCAAAGGCCAAGGAGATGGCACTCCACGTGATCTCCGCCATGTACCGATCCAGCCTCGGCTACAATCTGCGCTTCTCACATCGCAACGCGAAGCAGCTTCAACATCTTCGACTAAGTGGCTTCCGGTTGAGCAGGAAGATTCCAGATGACACAGGCAACAACCGCAGCACCTGTGCAAACATGAAGCTGCATCAACGATATGCAGCTCTTCAACGCAATGCAGGCCTGATTGGTTGGCCTGCCGCTGGCTGCAGGCCCTTCGAAGATGCGGCAGAACTCGTCGAATACGTTAACGTACGTTCCTAAGTTGGCACGAACTGCTGCTAGACATCTTCGTGAGTTCCAGCTGCCATCCCAGAAAATATGAATGGTGAATGACCAAGTGGCTAGATAAGTCATGGAGGGCGGATTGAAGATCCCGAATTTTGGGCCCAATGACGTGTACCACATGCATTCCATCGTTGTACGCAAAGTACTTGGCACGAGTTTCCTCAGATTACAATCCACTGACCGAAAGCTCTGGCACGGTTTCCTGCCGCTTCGGTTCAAGGGACAGATCGAATATGGACAGACCAAGGTTCCGCTTCTTCCTCCTGGGGCATGGATGCAGGTCACACCATGGAAGAGAGTCTGTCTTGCAGGCACTTTCATCACGCTGCCGGAATTCTCACACATTGCATCCAGGCCACGGTATGAGTATTGAAATGTGCATGCACCTCCACTGGGAATTTGCCAGTGGTCTTCTTGATCCCGAGCCTGTTCTTCGCTGGCCAAGTATGGATTTCACATCACATGTTGGAGCCCTTGAACACAGACATGCCGTGTGCTACAGTTCTCCGAAAAGCTGCCGAAGCGCCAGTCATAGATGGCACCAGCAGCACCGCCTGCTCCTTTGGCGTCACCTGTCTTTCCTATATACCTCCAGCCAGCTGGGTCCACGATCACCTGGTCTCATGCACGAAACCTGATCACGCATGTTTCATTCCACACGCTAGAAAAAGATCTGCCCCGGCACTGCAGGGATCGGCGTGAACGGCTTCACATCCTTCTGCCCTTCAGCAGCTCCCAACACACCGTGGGCTTTCACCTGTGCGGCCACAGCAACACCTACAGGACCTACCAACGCGCGGGCCGCATGGACCGAAACCGAAATGTTCCAGAGCTTCGACTGAGGTCTGGGCAGAAACCCTCGTCAGCAGTGGATGGGTGAAGGGCTTTAACAGCGATGATTCCTTTGCACGAAGCTCGCGGCAATTCGGCACTGTGGCTAAGGTAATTACTGCATCAGCCGTCCTGTTCCAAGCTTTGGTTTACAGGCTCTGGCTGCGCCGTGCCGAAAATGCCTGCCCAGCCCAAAGTTCGCACGTCTGAGGGACAAAATCGATCATCAGGCCCATCAGGCCTGGATTGGGCAGCTCAAGCAGCCCTTGAGGGAAGACAAGTTTGACCAAAGCAGCGAACTGCTCACCCAACGCCTGAGCGACTGTCGGGGCGAACGAAGGTGATGAAAGGCGAAAAGTGAACAGAGAACATGCATGTGCAAGCGAGCTGCTGTCATGTCCTTCTCCAGGCCTTCCACTCGCTTTTTCTGATTTTGTACGGTCGTGGGCGGTGTCGCGGGCATGGTCGGCCAGAGCCGGTTCTGGAGCGTCTCGGGCTGCTTACCGGTCAATGCGGTCGACGTCTTGCTCGCGGAGGATTCAATCGGAGGTTGGCGCCGCAACATTTCTGGAGTGTACTCCTCCTGAAGGAAAGACCT